CTAGGGGAGGGGATGACCGACGTCGACCGTAGCTTAACCTAGCCTAGGCTAGGGGAGGGGATGACCGACGTCGACCGTAGCTTAACCTAGCCTAAAAGTATTCACTATTATCCTTTTTACACTCAAAACATCTTCTATTCACAATTCTACCAGCACTGTGTACAAAGATAATCATATGTGAGCCCCAAGAACCCTCCAAATGGCTGCCGTGGGACCTCCCGTAATGTCCGGACAGTTCGCGTTTAAGGGCCCTCCGGGCCCCCCTCCCCCCCCTACATCCGGTTTTTTATTTTATTCCTGCCACCCCCTTGAGGAGACCAGATAAAACAGAGATGAATAGGTTAAAGAACTCCCCTCTACTAGGGTCGTCCTTATATACTAAATACATGCGCAGCCCTGAAGGCTATGAAACAGTTAAATAAGTCATTCTGAGTCGTATGAACGCTGCGCCCCAGTCCGTAGTCGATGCGGAAACCTGTACTCAATAATTATAGTACACAGACATATGGAAACCTATGGGTCGCAGTCTGAGGCAATGAGAAGCTATGTAGTCCGTAGTCGAGAATACAAAGGAGTCGAGACACGCCTACCAGTCCATGGAAATGTTCATCAACCGGCCATATGAGTGGATGATGTATATGTGGTTAAATAAAAGATATACGAGTCATAGAAAAGCGAAAAGTAGTCCATAACAATAGCGAGAATGTCAAAGTACTGTGTGTCGAATAGAATGGTGAACATCAGTAACTAGCGCAGAATTATGTCTTTGTGGTTCAGGCAAGCAACATTCACCTCGGTATGGGCAGCATCAATACTCTCACTAGGTATGGAAGGAAAGTCCAGCGGATGGGGAAGATTCTCTGTCTGCTGCATACTCTGTCGTTGTACTATTCTGACTATTGTAGAGGTTGATTCTGCCTGACATTTATACACGAAGCTTCGTTCTGTTCAGATGACGATCATCTCGGTTCAGAGGAAAAATCACATGCATTTTTTTTTGGTTTGGGTTCCACATCAAACTTATTCGACCAGCCTCTTGCGAAAAAACGGTCCAGGTAAAGAAGGGAGTCAAAGCTCACTAGAAACATGCTGACACGACTGCATGGTACGAGTGACTTCACAGGAAGGTAAAAAAACTCGATGAAACTCGATGCTACGCTGTCATAAATGGTGTTGATTGCTAAAAAGGAGGAAGAGTAGCGCCAATAGCTGATCACCAAATACTAAGAGCGTGTCGTAGGGAGAGGGGGCTTTCTGGTTGATGGCAGACAAAACAGAGAGAGCATACAACACAGCAAGAGCAAGAAAAATGAGAAGAAGGAAAGGTGTTGCAATAATTGCCAATCACTAAGTGCGTGCTGTAGGGGAAGAGGTTCTGATTTTCAGACACCAAACTGCTCCCGTGCTTTCATGACTTGCTCCACTCTTAGCATGGTGGCGGCCACTGCGAAACATATCAAAGACTGACACAGCCATGAAAGCATATGAGACAACGTACATCTAGGAAGTTTTATTGCCCGCTGAACATAGCTATCATCAGAGGCCACCGAACTCTGAGATTTCTTCCGAGCCTTCTCTGCAGACTGGAGGGCCTCCAGGCCGTTGGAGATCTTTTGAAGGATTGATTCTTTCATCTTCTCCTGCACCTCAACGTTCTTCTCAGAGAACTTGGGGCACACCCATGGGGCGACGAGTTGACTGTGGGAGCCGCGAGTGTGTATTTCCAACTTCATCACCGCCCTGTACGCCGCAAAACACTCACCACACAGGGCGCATGACAGCTTCGAGACACCGAAGTACGCGTAGAGGCCTGCCTGTCCGTGGAGGCTTGCAAGGAGCGTACATTCACAGTGAGGATAGACAGACTCGTACTTGGGCTGTATCTGCTGAGGAGGCACGTCTGATTTGATAGTGAGGACTCAGGACTCAAAAGGGTGATATCCACATACCCTGTTTCGGTAACCGGAGGTTTTGGGGGAGGTCAACGAAAACCTGTTCCAATACGTGATCACCGATCGACTTCCCTTCGCCATTCTTCTCCTCATCTTTCTTCCACCCGGACTCCTGCGCAGCTTGCCGAATCGTATCCAGTGTGATGTTAACAGAGATGGAGACGGGCGGTTGGGGATGGACGGCAACGACCTCGACTGTTGGGTCAATGAACGGGGCGAGAGAGGTAGACGTAACGAGGCGAGACACGCATGAGAAGTTACGGTGCGGAGTGATGAGTTTATTGATCCAACGCGCCAAGTCGTAACTGGAGCCTATCAAAGACGGATGAGCATTGTGGTATCGGGCGATCATCGGTGAAATCATTACGGTCAAGGTAAAGCGTGCACAAGTTTAACACGTCCTGTCCCCGCTCGTCGACAACACGTTTGCCATATGATACCTCCAGAAGCTGCATCGCTATATTCACCATGGCCGAATCCTCTTTTGTCGGAGTCACGACGTCCCGGAGTGCAGCATCCATAATGTCCAACGCCTCCGCGAACTTGATGAGATTTTTGCGCGCATCTGAGTTCCGCAAACCTTCGACGAGACGCTGACGAAGTGCGAGTGTGTGATTATTAGGTGGGTTGCTGCGGTCCGCCTCAGCGTGTACGTTGCCGTCCTCATAGACAACGTCTCGAAGGAGCTTGTTGAAGCCGTCGTATCGCTTGCGGAAGCGCTGCCTGAGTTTAGGCCACGCATACTCGATCATCCGATCCTCCATATCATCGAGCTTTTCGGAAAGGGCGGAGTCCTGGACGTCTGGAGGAGAGCGCGGTAGGCGCAGTGCAAACGAACGGATCTCCTTGATGCGACGCACGGTGTCCTTGAGGTGGTTGATGACATTCTCTGAAACAGGGCAGTTTTCGGCAACATGAAGGGTCACGAGTCCTTGGGTGATTGTAACACCTACGGCAACCACCTGGCCCTTCGCCTTGCAGACGGCGAGGGCGGCGAGGGCGTCCAAGAGTTGGGGCCCGGGTGTGCGTTTGTCGCCTTTGACAACCGAGGAGGTAGCCCTCCAAATATTCTGAGAATTAGGTTCACGTATACCGGAGGCGAGTGTGAATAGAGTCTGGAGATCGATGGATGGGCGTTGCGAAGACGAATCAGGCATGGCGAATGCGTGACGGTTCGGTGATTTGAAGTTTGTTTGAAGTAGAACGAGGGACAAAATGGACGTTTTATTGAAGGAGGGGTATGTAGCAAGGAAAAGCTGCAATGTGTATTAAAGAGTCAGATGTTAGAGTATCAATTTCATTCCTCGTTCGTACTTACTTCAACTTCACCTCGTGCTAGAAGCAAGTCGTTCTACGTACCGCACGTGTAATCTCGGTATCCCCCGACGAGTGTTTCCTCTCTTTTTCTCTCGGCTCCCGTAGTGCACGTATTCAACAAGACGCACGACGGTTGAACGACAGGCTACTCTGCCTTTGGGAGACTGATAAGTGTCGAGAAGAAAGCCAGACCGCGTAGAACTTGGATTCGGTCGCGGAGGGCATTGGCTTTGAATATTTGAATCCTAACAAGGACAAACAAATGCTCGCCACCGCACGCCACATGTCTTCCTCCGCAGGTTTCGTCAAGTCGAGGGCAATGATAATGAAACTCTCCCCAAGCTGAGGTTTAATACTATGAGCTCTTGAATCCTTCCACATGATTATTTACAGCGTACTTCCAGGCCATACTGGGCTGACAGGACTTATGACGACTGCGTAACTTTAGAGCGGGATTCTGTCGCATCGATGTGAATGGTAAGGTTAGTATTCAACCCAATGTCCAGTTCAAAAATGCTATTTCCCGATGTTTTTCCTATTTACCAAGACAAAGAATGAGGTGTCGAGAGCCTGATGAAGCTAGCCTTGCCTAGCACACCGACGAAATTCAAGGTGGACAGTCGAGCAACCTCCAAGGTCGCTCCCGCAATGTCCACTCCTATGAACTCTACTTTCTGATCCCGTACCCCCTCATGCATCGTCTCGTAGTATTTCTGCAGTCTACGAGCAGAAAGGGGTAATAGCGAGAATGTCGAAGTACTGTTTGTCAAATGGAATGGTGAATATTAGCATTTCCCACAAAATCGAACCTGTTTCCAGAGTTCAGGCAGGCAACACTGACCTCGGTATGGGCGGCATCGATACCCCCGCTGGGTATGGAGGCAGAGCAAGTCGGGTCTTCCCCATCTGCTGCACACTCTGTCGTTGTGTCCGCAGATGGCGGGTCCGGGTTCTGCCAGTACTCGATACCTACATAGAGGAATATATTTAAACAAATACAGTGAACATCCGGCAAGCGCGTGAGATTACATGACAATGATAATGGAACGTACCGTGGTGTCGGTAGCCGAGAGATGTAGGGATGATTGTTGGCACTCTTCATGTCGACGAGTCATACAAAGATCAGCTACGTAGAGAACGATGAGAAGAGCAAGCTAACATACCCATCCGTAGTGTGCACAACTAGTGATAGACCATGAGTTGTCGAACTAATATGTGTTGAATGACATCGAGGAATCACGTACCTCTGAATGCATTCGACCCAATTTCATCGTTCACCCAGAACGCGTAATCATCATTTCCCGTCCTCGGCTGACCGTAGGTATACATCCGGACAATCCTATGTAGAAATGTTATATCTGAGTACAGGTTTATAGATAATGACCAGCTCGACGCACGAGGAAGGGAAGTTCTGCTGTAATGTGATAGCAGCGAGAGAGGATAGGGCGCCTCCGAGTGAATGGCCGCTGGTGACGATTGCGTAGCCTGGGTTATCGGAGAGCTGGCTCGTAACCTCAGACAGGACAGTATCGACAACAGCGTTCCAGCTTAAGATATACAGGCGTCAGTTACGGTGGCCGAGAACAATAAAGAACTGGTATGCCTACGCGTTCAAGAATCCTGTGTGCGCGGTTGTGCCATCTTATTTTGATCGCAGGATGTGAGAGTCATCAGGGTGTGAAGTCAGAGGGAGATAATAGAGACGTCTCACCTGGTGGTGAAGTACCGGTCACGACAAAGTCCTCCAGTACCAACTCAACATCGGTCAGAAAATCTTCCGCGCTGGAGCTTTATCGACCCAACCACGACATGACGGAATCGTAATGAATATCGACTGGATGATTCGAAGGCTCGTCGATAACACTAATGGAGAGTTGTACCAACCTTCCGCGAAGAGCAACCACAATTTCCTCTCGAGTGTCGTCTCGAGCGATAAACCCTTGTGTGTCCGTGCCCGTGTCACTGAACTGAAAACGGAGGATATCGGATCCTTAGCACGTCGTTGACAGGGGATAATACGCGTGGACTGTGTAGGATATAATGACGATTTACTTACCTCTGTGACGAGCGTGTTCCCGTTTGGGCTAGCACAGGTGGTGCTATACGCCGACGAAGCGTACTGGAAGTAGAAGACCAAATCATCGTAAACAGCTATATGCATTATATATCAGTAAACTTCTCAGGCGAGGCTGAGGTGAAGAGGAATACACGTACTCTCCGATATGGTCCTCTTCACCGGATTAGCTCGAGTGACCAATATATGAAGTCCACTAAACAAGAATGGGACAACAGCGGCAGAGCGCATCGTAATAGAGGTGGGAGTGCTTGAACAGAGGATGGGTGATTATTTTCTCGGCCCTGTGCAACGGCAAGGTAACACTCAAGACAGACAAGACACCTAGGAGGCTCGAGAGACTCGAGAGGTCATATTCCTGGCTTGCAGCGTTAATAAAGAGTTCGCCGTCGCGACTGCAACTGAATCCGTGCCCGCACATGAAAATTTGAAGGGTCAACCTGAACGCCAGTCATGAGAATCGACTATGCGTTGCGAGTGAGCAGATGACCCTCAACTGCGAGGTCGTGTGAGCAGAGCGACCGACCAACGAATAGCAAGTTGATGAGTGATGCCATATCAGAATCACAAGCAAAGAGAACGAGGGTGGGTAGGTTAAACGAAGAGAAACGAGTTTTGTGGGTCGCAGCGGACAGTGGTCTGCTGAGCAGGCGCAGCACGAAGTCATGTAAACTAGGGAATGTGTTCGCAGATCATCGTCTTCGCACGACTGCATAGACCTCAACGATCCACTCTTGTACGCTGACGATGGCCAACTGCGTGTGCCGAATTGGGCATACTATCTTCATAAAAGTGAGCTGATTACCATCCTCAAGTACTTACACGCTAAGATATTCAGATCGTTATAGGAGTATGTTCGAGATCTGTCCCAGCTGAGAAAGTCTTCTTCACCATGTCAAAAAGCCCCAATTGTTCCTGCTGTGGTACCAGCACAAAGCCAAGATACAGTGAAGACCCTTGTAAGCAACGTATAACAGATCGAGGAAGAAAGAAAGAAGACACACCGCATGCGACATTCCCTCGGATGACAGGCCAGTCGATGTGATCGATCAGACCCATCGTAAACCCACTTCTCTACTTCCAGCTATTTCTGATACGCGATGCGAAAGTTACCATGACGTAGACGCGAATGTAAGAGAGCTGATGTCGAGGATGTCCAGCTGTCCAGGTCATCTGCTGTTCCGGCTGCTGTATGTAGTAGTCAATCATGTCTATCCTTTATAGACGAAGAGGTCAATCAGTTCGGATGGTGATCATCTCGGCTCAAGGAAGAAATCACATGCATTTTTTTTTGGTTTGGGTTCCACATCTTACTACTCGACCACCCTCTGTGAGAAAAAAAGGTTCAGGCAAAGAAAGGAGTCAAAGCTCACCGGAAATATGCTGACACGACTGCAAGTATGGTACAAGCGGCTTTACAGGATGGCAAGGACTTGATGCTACGCTGTCGCATATATAACCTCCAGTGAGTGAATAGGCGGTTTGGAGGTCGTAATCGTCAGGTAGAGGTCAGTCTGGTGAGAGAGAGAGCAAGACTCGAGAGCTGTGGTGGTCGCGGATGAGATTCGCAGACCAGGTTCCTGGCACAGGGAACGGAAGCATATCTAATTGTGGCGAGCGTTCTATAAATAGCGCAGAGGAACAAGGGGGCAGCAAGCAGCCGACAGTCAGTGTTACAATGGTATCCCGGAGAAGTGTACGAATATATACAATCCAGAAGTGAGCAATTAAGACAGCCAGAGCATAGCAGCGAGCAGAGAACACGGTACAATGACACGACACGATAAGAAATATGAGAATTGTCAACAACGCGGCCCAAAGAGAAACGTGACACCCCGAGCCTGCGGAATATGAACCGACCGAGCAAGCGAGATGTAGATTGGGTGGAGATGTTGTGTGGCGCATGGATGATCCGAAATCAAGCACAAGCAATTTTACAGAGAAGGAAAGGGAAAAGGATAGATGAAGAGCATAAAGAAGTTGAACGGTGAGGAAGACTGAAGAAATATACAGCATGAATTTTGGGCGACCTCTACTGCCACCAAGACGCGCTCACCGCAACGATCAACAGGGAGCGAGATGTCCGAACCAAACTCCCTTGCCCCCCTTGAGCATAACTAGAACTCGATGTCCGTATCCCCACACCAAGAATGCCACATCCTCTAGTAGACAGGCCACCTCGCGTTCCTCGGCCCGTTCACGGTCCTCAGACCTCTCCCGGGTGGACTACCAGTGGAGACGCCTCTATCCCTGGTCTCCCTCTCTCTACCGGCGCTAGGACTCTCCGGGATCCTCAGGCTAGGCAACGCCTCGGCACCGGTCCACGAATACAATCTGGGTGTGACGCTGGGAGGCGGGGAAGGAGAGATCATCGCGCCTACGAGACTTGTATTCGCCGCAGGAGTAGATGGAGTGAGAGGAATCGGAATTGCACCGGCGTGGACTGGCGTAGACGCGATGAACGATGGTTCGGTTTCTGCAAAGAGTTCGCGGAGGGCTTGGGGAGGGGTGATAGGCTGTATGAGGGTGTCCGCGTCGGACGGTGCAAGATGGTGGGTACTGCGGGGCCATGGAGTAACGTCATCGTGTGGCCTTGCGCTGGCAAGACCACTTCGAGTGCGTAGACCGACGGAAGGGAGAGGGATGGGGGTTATGGAGGATGTGCTCAGACGCGGGAGTGGAAGAGGAGCTGGCTCAGTAGGGTTGTTCTCGTGTTCGTCATCTGAGTCACTCTCAGTGAAGAGAGGGCGGTAGGTGCGGATGTTGGTACGGGTGGCGGAGCGCGTGGCGAGCAACCTTGTAGGTACGTGACTTCCCGTGCTCGTTCTAGGAGCACGACGACGAGGCGCGTCGTGTTCTTGAACATGACCATTGGACTCTCCTGACACAACTCCACTTGGCTGGTCTTCCTGCGTGTCACGGAAGTGCGGAGGGGAGAGGTCTCGAGAGCTAGAGCGCTCAGACGAGGACGCTGTTGACAGAGACGCGGGTGACATGGGCGAAATCGGCGAACCAGGCTGAAGGAAGGCTTCGTAGACGGCATTGTTGAAGAACTCTTCGGATTCGGGGTCGAATGGGTGTTCCTCAGACCATTTTCTGTAAGATGGGGTGGGCATCTCCGGGTTGGCGGTCGCGTCCTCATGATGGGGAGACGCAATCTGTGGCTGAGGCTGAGCAGGCTGGGAGACGGAGTAGAATGAACGGCCCATTGTTTTGATAGATGTGATGTACTTTTGGGGGGTAAATAAGTGAAGCAAAGGGGTATGCGAAGGCGGGGTATAAGAGCGCTGTGGATGGGCTGGGGCAAGAACAAGGCAAGACGAAACAGGCGACGCGTTTGTTCGCTTCTATAAAATTTGCACGCGTTCGTTCAGGCACAGCATGCTTACGTAATCCAAACCTGTCCCCGCTGTGCCACACGATGTTCCGGTACCGGTGCCACCACGCCACTGCCTCTTAAACAATGGAATCGCAATCACTCAACTGTTCTGCTCATTGCATTGGCCAGCAGGGCCTCTCTTATCACAATAATACGCGAGCATGTCTTGTTGTGAGCCAGTACTGGCGTGCAAGACGGTGCCCAAATTTATGTCACTGATAAGTCCATTCTGCCACTCAACTGCCACTGATGCCCACCTCCTGTACTAGCCATCATATGCAAACAAGAGCAACAGTACGCCATCACGAAAGCACCATCAACATCTGATCATCCGAACCTTGTATCCCACCTCCCCACACTCTCAACCATCGCCCATCGACCCCGGTCCTTTGTTTCCTTCACATCCTGTATCGCCTCGATGCCGTGGTCCGAGCCAACTGAACCCTCTGGCACCAAGATAACGCATGCACAGTCCTCACCCTCCCCAGGTCCCCTCGGAACCTTCGAGATACCTGGCGCCTTGCCTTTCAAAGCGAGTTTGACACCTGGGGCTGGTGAGTGTGCCGCCACGTGGAGAGTAAGCGCGACAAACGATCGGTTTCGGGAGGCAGATGGGGAGGGAGTGTGCTCTTCGGAGCCGCGCAACCCGCGACTTTAAAAGTTGGTCAAGAAGGAAAAGATTGAGCATTTTATGAGGTTGAGGATGACGCACTCACGTAACGCCATCGACAAGAGCTTGTACGAATACTGGATGCATAAGGCCCTTCCACTGCATGTGGGTGATTTCTTGTATGTCGACGGGCGCGGGTGGCATATAGACGGCGACATATGGGTCGACCTGGTCGTTAGCTTGTAGCCTACAACAAGCGACACTTCAGGAGATGCTGGTAACATAACGATAAGGAATGCTCACCGCTGTGCACCCAGTCCTGCCATTCCAACCCACTCGAAAAGTTCACCCATTTTCACTTCCCAATCCTCAATCGCATCCTCCAGTTGAGGCTCCTCAGTATTATGTTCTACGCAATCATCCACGTCCATAGGATCAGCGGCTTTAGCCCCTTCCGAGTGTGCGAGCTTCCTCTTTTTATTCGGGTGAGGTTTCAAGGTAGGCCGTTGCGAGAGCAAAAATTGAGGTGCATGGACGTTCGTTGCTTGATGAACGGATGGTTGGATGGAATATGGTTTGGTAGACGAAGTGGGAGAGAATATGTGGCCGGCGGGTAGGTCCACTACAAGCATGACACATGATTCAACTTCAAGCCAAGTCGAGGGCGAAGATATATATACCACATACCTTCGCCATCAAAGCAGAACACAAACTCCCATTCTTGTTTCTGTGTTTCCAGCATCTTCTGAAAGCGGGCGAGCTTGGTCTTGTCCTCTCCCGACGAAGGATTCAGAGGGATCGTGATATCTTTGGCGCAGTAAAGTCAATCCACTTGCTGCCAGAAGTGTAGCGCAAAAGAGAAACATGGTGATATAGGAAGGGTGATGTTGGTATCATGTTAGAGATGAACGCACGGTACTGCTCCTCCACCCCTTTCCCTTTGAATACTCCATGCACCTTACTGCCCTGTACACCAAGACCTTCGTACGTCGTCTTTCCCACATTGAGGTGGAGAGTTCCACTGTTGATAGCCCAGACGTCCGGGAGCAGACGAGAGGTGCTAAGTGCATACAGGCTGCCAATACTTCGCCAGACGAAGTCGGAGAGGTCATCCAAGAAAGGTTAGAACGAGATTCAAACTCGCATAACTGAGGACGAAGCGTACCTCTTCAGGTCCCTGGCACCTTTCAAAATATCTAAGAGAGATCCCTTGCCCGTATAGTACGATGAATGAAACCGTTCGTTCTTCAGAGCTTGTTCAAGATGCAACGACCGAGGGAAGAGAACATCTATCTTTGAGAGAACGTCAAGTCTCATTCTACCATTTCGTGGTATAAGATGGTGAGGCAAGAGAGAGAAAACCGTGCCTGAAAGACACTTGGATGTTTCTGCCCAAGCAGAGACAATTCCGGAGACGGGAAGGGGCCCGTGGATATCATTGTGCGGCGAGTTTCGAGGTTGGCAGCCATGATGGCTTCAGATTCCGTATTACCGAGTACAAACTTCGGTCGCGGATTGATGTTGTACGATCAAAATAATGCTTGAATTAACAAAGAAAGATCGAGGTGCCCTATGTGGTAAACTAGTGGTGGTGGTCGTGCAAGGAAAAGCGGTCTGTAAAACCAGGTAAACCTACTAAAAGTCGAAGCCAATTTACGACGCGTCTGTGGCGTGAGAAGTCGCGCAGAACTGAACAACAGCTAATCGCCTGCAGTCTTCTTTTGCAAAGAGAAAGACCAGAGCTGTTGGCTGTGATTCTTTGACCGAGAGATTTCATGCAACGGACAGTAATAATACGTTTATATCAGATTTTTTTTCAACACAGCGTAGCACAATATCTAGCTCGTAGAGATAGTGCGACCTCGGGCACCACACGGTGAGACGACTCTCTGCTAGGATCCAAAGAGATATACATGGCGCATTGAATCAGTTCGACTATGGATGCTAAAAATGACAGTACACGCACTGATATGATTCCTTCCTTGATCAGTGCAACGATTCTCTCCCTGAATCGCGGCAGTTCTTCCTGTGCTCTCCTCCTGCACCAATGACACCTCGCCGCCTCTTGGATAAACGGAGCCATCAATTGATCGTCCACACCCTCTTTCGTCAATGTCTCCCAATGTGGCCTGTCGCTGAGAAGAGCCCTGCACTTTCGCATGAAATTGACCACCCAGACAGGCACTGTGAATGATCGAGTGCCACTGGCGGCGTGTTCCATTCCGGTCTGTCTCGCGCATCTGCACGAGTTGGTCCACGCCTCGGCAGATGCGGAATCAGCACGAGGAGTGGTGGGGAGGTACCAAACGCAGGGAAGATGCTCAGAGCAAGGAGTACTGGACTCGGACGGGTTCGTGGTCACTTCCATGGCCCGTAGAACGGCACAATCCTCGGAAACGCATTCGAGATGATACCGCATGAGTCTGGTGAACCTCTCTCTACTGATGATTGTGAACAAGCGACGGGTGTTCGTGTACCCTTCGGTGAAGAATAACGGGCGGCGAAGAGTCTCCAGCACTGCGTCATCCGCGATTTGTGGCATGTCGTACTTGAGTGCTATTGCGGATACCAAATGTGGGCTTCTGCTCATCGCATCCTTGAGGAGGCTCTCGACGAACCGAGGGTAGGTCGTGATAAGGTACTTGTCCAGCGCGCGTATGAGGGCTTCTATCTCCCATATATCTGTCACGATAGGATTGTCCATGGGATATATCAAGCGAAGGAGGGATTCGACAGTATTGCGCTGCTCTTCCACTTTGACGATAGGGAGATCGTCTCTTGCGTCGTCTACAGTGGCGTTGACGAACAAGTCTTGGAAGAACTCAGATGCTTCGACCAGAATGGCTCTAGAGGCTCGAAAGTCGACGTCGTCTTTGGAGCGAATGATGACATTCGCGCTCTCGCGGTCAAACGGTGGACCGAAGTCGCTGACTTCGAACGAAGGATCCTGATCAGTCGCGGGCATGGTACACTCGCGGCCGGCGTTGACTTTATGAAGTTCGTAAAGGTCAGTATGTGCCACTCATTATTCTACGGATTAGATGTGGTGAGAGACATAACTTACCTGAAGATCCCGAAACAGCGTTTGACTGGTGTTGAAGACCGCCTCGCAAGGCCAAGATAGACAAGGTTGGTATGATCGGAGTGGCTTTATATCGGAATCAAGCCACTCGTTCTATCTTGCGTACAAAGAGCTTATAGTGCAGGCATGTTAGGGAATTGGATGTGTTCATCGAGCGTCAAAGCTTAAAGGGAATCGCTCCGGGAAAAAGCAAAGCGAGTCAATTTGGCGAGTCTGCGGGAGCGCAGATGCAGAGCCACCGGTAGGTGCCGGGATCAAGCAATATTGAAGAGATGGAAGGAGCGAATACAAATGATACTACAAAACGTTCAGAATAAGCTAGTAAAACATGGCATACAGTACAGAAGACCATTAGAGCACACAACTGATGTACAGAGGGTATACTGCGTCGAAAACCTACACATCTACGTCCGTTGGATCAGTTGGAATCTTTGGAATAGGGCAGACATCATGCTCACCATCATCGTTCCAGTCAGGGCAGATCCACCTAGAACCGAAAACGCTCAGCATCCAACGACACGCCACCCCCAGACCACATCGCCAGCATACACAGTCACAGGACACTCACAGCAGCCACCCTCTTATCCACCATCGACGCAAACAAATCCCCAAACTCCTCGATATGCTCAAACACCTTCTCCCTGCATGACGCACACTCGCTCGCCTTCGCCAACGAAGGGAGCAGCCTATTCCAATGCTGCACTGTGCTTCCCTGCGGACTCTTCTCCAATGCAGCCCTGCACCTCTCCATATATCCCATCATCCATTTCGGGATGCTGTACGACACGACGCTGCTCCGATTGAAGTACCCCGCCGTCCACTGAGTGATGCGCGGACAGATGCACGAACCGCTTTTCTGCGTCTCGCCGATAGCACAAGGGATTCGTGAGCCGTTTATCCAGTCGAAGTTTGTCGTGACTTGAACGGCCGCCCGTACACATTCGGCGTGGTAGCGCATGAGGCGGAGGTACGCTGCTGCATCAGCGTCACTCACCGCCACGTCCAGTACCGACTTGATCTGTCGTAGGGTCAGCTTCGCAGCCGCCCTGGATAGGTCCGGCATACTGCAGCGACAAGCGAGGAGGAAGACGGTCTCTGGTTCATGTTCCATAGCTCGCCACAGTGGAGGTTCGACTTTCCAGACGCTGTGGACTTGAAACTTGTCGGCGATGCGCAGGGCGGCTTTTACGTCGGAAACGTTTCGGAAGTCTGAGTGGTAGCCTGGGTAACAGAGCCCAAGGAGGAGGGTAAGGGAGTGTTCTGTTTCTTCGGGGATGCGGACGATAGAGAGACCATCTCGTGTATCATCTGGAATATTGGCTTGGATGCCGGTCGAGTAGACGCCTTGTGGTAGGGATAGAAGTTCTTTGAAGACACTAGATGCCCTCGAAATCATCACGCGATGGACACGGAAGTCCACCTACACCGAAAGAGGTTCTTAATAGGCATAGGGAAGACTGCTGGTGCGACGAACACGCACATTGTCACAGCTTCTTAGGATAAGATCCGCATCGTCGTGATTGTAAGGCGCCTGCGCATCATAAATGCGAGGTGTAGAAGAGGTAGAAGGTTCTGATGGTGGATCCATCTGTGTATCCAGATGAGCTTCCTTAGTGACGGTGCGGAGTAATTTGGAGGAGGCCTTCCGGTGGGCTACGTATGGAAGACATATGTTGAGCAATGCACTTCTCAAGCGCTGAAAGGTCTACGCACGAAATAGGTTGACAGCAAAGTCTGAAAGAAGCTGAGATAGGTCTTGATACTCCGAGAGGGCTGAGAGACCGTGTTATTCGTCAGTCAAGTTATGCGATACATGGCGAGACTGAGAGCTGAGACGCCACCTATGCGAAGCTTCGTATAGATTGGTTCAATAGACCCTGTAGACCATAAAATACGTCAGTAATGATGCGGATCGTGAATTTGATGAAAACAAACCGATATGAATAGCCCAGAGGAGTACGAAGATGAGCTTATGGACCGCTGTAACAACAACCACCGGAAGACCGAAAGCTAGTGGATAGGGCCACAATGGTCAGACAGGGGCAGGCTCCAGTCTCGTCAATGCAGCCAAGATCACCTAGTGTGTCTTTTTGGACGAGAATATTGACCAATTGGGAGAACAATGCCAAAGGGCTTGATTTGCTGGCGAGAGCAAACGAGAGTGCAGGTGAGGGAGAAGATGTGGGCGCGTGCCAGTGCCGACTTCTAACCTTTAATGTGGGGAAATCGATGACGACAACAACATTTCGGATTGGGCCGCGAGTTGCCGGACCAATCAGGTGGCACATATCCTCCTTGTACAATGCATCCCAACAGTGTCATTTGACAGACAGTCAATAATTCGCGGATCATCCGCGTCAACGTTCTAATATGCTAACATGTCTAACGCAACGACAAGATATTTTACCCCTCTGGAGCGTCGAAGAGCCTAATACACCGAGCCTAATATGCCACGCCAGCCCCCGCCGCCTTCCTTGGATCATTCGCTGCCTCGAACAACCCTGTATCCAGATGCTTGACAATAACATGACTGGTACTCCCGCTCTCATCCTCATATGTGACATTATATCCCATCGACTCCAGATACGCCACCGTCGCATTACTGAACCCAGCAATCCCCAAATTCGGCGCCGCGATTTCGAAGTACGTTGTACCTGAGAGCTGATCATGCCATCGGGACTGGTGCACCGACTCGTAGGCGGTCATGTGTTGGTCGAGGTGGTGGTGTAAATTTTGCAACGTTGCAGTGATGATGCGGGAGCCACCGGCAGAACCGGTGGCCATGACGAGCTCGCCGGTGTGGAGGTCCTCGGCAATTGAGGAAGAGATGGAGGATTGTGGGCGTTTGAAAGGTCTAGAGAGAGAGGCTTGAGTTATAGAAAGATGTGTGAGGAGAATAAACGTACTTGATGTAGTTGATGGGGCTAGCAGTGAATCCAAAGCCGTTCGTCTGGCCAGGGCTGTAGACGTCATTGAGCATAACCCACTGCAATCACACCGACGAACAACATACCTCGAGAAGTCATCCATTTCGTCGTTCAAAATGATACCATCCGCAGTCATAACTTGGCTGCCCCAATAGAAGTTTACCGTCGTGGTCAACGACACGGCGTTGCCCCACTGGTCGACAGCCGCCATATGCGATGTCCCGGAGTCATTGAGAGAGATATAGTTCTCCGGATCGTAGTACTCAACGGCGAAAGTGGTGTTATCCGAGATCTTCGCGCGAACGGCGGCTGCGGTGCTTTCTTGCAGATAATACTGCTCAAGCTCAGAGACGTTGGCTGTGAACGCAGGGTCGCCGAAGGTCGTGCGCTGGCCGTACGCAAATTTTGTGCCCTATAATGATGTCCCGACTGTCAAAATACTGCTCTTATTACCGGGGAAAAGGACACCCACCTCAATCAATCTGTGTGTGGTGAGGTTGATAGCTGGGTCATCGGGCTCCGCACCCCCAGAATAACCCTCGAATATCTTCAAAGCGCTGAGAACAACACTCCCCGAGCTCGGCGCTATGGTCGAGAAGATCCTGTATCTGTCCCGGTACGTGATATTCGAGGGGGTCCTCAGAATAGCTGAATAGTTCGCGAGGTCAGACATCTGGAGAATCCCTCCGCGGGCCTGGGCAGCAGCTGTGACATTTTCCGCGATCGGACCGGTGTAGAATGCATCGGGACCTTGCTCGGCGATGGTGGAGAGGGTCTTGGCATAGTCTTTACGGTAGCAAGTGTCGTTCTCCAGCAGAAGGGAACCATTAGGTGCGTAAATTTCGGCCCAGCGAGAGTCGGTCGTGAGGAAGGGGTACGAGGCTAGGGTAAAAATAATCAGCTTTCGTAAAATGTCCGAATTATGTGCAGCGAAATCGACTCGACGAACAAGAAACACTCACTGTTCGAAAGAGCAGCGGCAAGGTCAACAGTGACCTTGAAGCCTTCGCCTGCCAGTTTGATAGCGGGTTGGAAAAGTGTCGCCCATGGCAACTTTCCGTGCCGGTTGTGCAACATCTCCCATCCTCGCATCTCGCCGGGTGTGCCGACAGCGAGTCCTCCGACGGTTGAAGCAGTCGTATCATTGCTGTCAACGTACATGGTCTCGTTACCGAGACCGGGCATCGTCTCACGGAAGTCAATCTATTTGAGCACATGCACGTCAGCCGGAACCACGATTGTCGACCGTGAACGAATCGGACCTACCATTTCGTACGAATGTTCCGAACTATTTTGAGATCGTACACTGAGGAAGAAGGTCAGCGTCCCGTTTGATCGTAGAAATATGCGTCAGCTCACATCATGAACCCACCTCCTCCGATCCCGGAGTGGTAGGCTGCGATAGTGCCGACGCAAAGTGCTGTAGCAATAATCTTTACGTTTATGAGTAAAATACAGAGACAGTGACACGAGAGTTCAAAAGTGTGTTTGCACAGATATTCAGGTATATCTCCCAGCTTCTATATGAACTTCTCTGCACCTGGCCTACCACATGCAAACAAGTATGACCAGCAGTAAGTGCTACTCACCGCATCTGCCGCTGTACCACCCATCTTGAGCATTTCAACCCCAGACTCAGAGCAAACTGCGACTTCGCTAGCTACAGCGCCATGTTTCCCGGTAGATTTGTAACTTTCCTGCTGGTTTCGAGGAATAGACACTCCAGCAGTACTATGAATGGCTGAGAGCCCGCAGAGCAGCGACAGCGCAGACGACCGCATCGTGAGGCGCATCCGAGTCGTTAGGAGCAGAACGCGCTACCAGTGAAGTGGGGGAAGGAGGCCAAAGACCGCGAGCGGGGATCATCCAGTGGACTTCGCATTTATATAGCTCGATGGATGCAGGTTCAGGAGATCGTTCCTTGGAGGCGCCTATCATGCCCAACATTCAACATCATGAAGTTTTGAAAGCAGCGACCATGCGCACCTCGGCTATTTTTGTTCTCCCTGGGGCCTCGGCATTCGGCGAATCTTCTTGTTCGCCGCCACCACCCGCTTTTATTCGGAATATCGACTGTGGTCCACACGCCTTACACTCCACCATAATCTCTCTTCAGCATCTTTTCAGGGGATTTATTTGCCTAATCTCTTTGGATATTACTATGGCTTGCGCAGCCTTATCAGACCACTGAACCTCCTGTTTTTCGTTCCTATATTTACTGTGAAACGGCGGCAACTTGTACGGTAAACATTCCATCAGTCGGCCTTTGGAACAGAATCATGGGGCAGAACATCGCTTTTCGGCCTGCTTTGGGATGCCTCAGTGATACTCGAGTGCTTGCTTCTAAAACCTCCAATCTCATGCTGTCTGTTGCCTCGTTCGAATCTTCGGCCCACTCCAGGCTCTGGTTCACGGTGGGGTAATGGACTGCACAACTACACTGTTTGCTGATTGCAGTGAGGCGGACCTTATGCAAACATGTTCGCAAGCTCCGTCAAACTGTTCACAACGATGTCGAACTCCTCCGCCTTGTAACCCGCGGTCTGTTCAATTCCAACTCCCGCATCCTCTGTCTCCCGCCTCACATATACAGTTCGAAGCCCGACCTTAGCAGCGCCACGAAGGTCGTGGACGTGTGCGGCAACCATGGCTACTTTATGCGGAGGTAGTTGGAGGTATTGTGCCAAGCCAGAATAGACTTTGGGATTCCTGGGTTGAGCCATGATGTAGCGTGAGGTTGTGGATCCTGTATAAGGGAAGCGAAAGGGCGATATTGAAGAAGAGACATACGGTTTGTAGGAGCTGACTAACTCGGACGAGAAAACAAAGTCCCACGGGAGGTCAGTGTGTTTGGCCATGTCGACAAGAAGCCTCACACTTCCATGCGAACAGGTGCTGATGATGTGTTTCTTCTTGAGGGCGTAGAGACCTTTCGACGAATCAGGCCAGCCTGGAAGAGATACGCGCGATGAATGTTTGTAGGTTTCACCATGAGGTACTGGAGTTATGTATACCCTCTAGACGATGCCATATAAGGTTGAGCTCTGCTCTTTCTTCTGGATCCCACACTTCTGCAAGCAGCTTCCATCGTTCTTCATTCAGGATACTATCAAGGATCTATGGGCCAAAAGCACATCACGAAGACAAAGCACGGTGAGCCATATTTTTCTCGAATTTGATCCATGAAGAAGGTCGTGACAACTCACCTGGCGATTCAGTATATCCACATTCCACGGTCCCTCCGCATCCGGCGCAGAACGACGAAATGTTTCCTTCTTATACCCATCCCTCCACTGCTTTGCAAAATCAGATGCCTCTGTACGAAGATGAATATGTTACATTCCTGGGCGAAACTGAGTGCAGAACACTTACGTCCTTCGGACATCTCGACCTGGTGATTCGTCGCACGTCGATGAATCTCTCGACTAACTGGACCAAGCCAGTCGACGACTGTGCCGAATACATCAAATACGAAGGCTTCGATCTCCCCAGCCAACGGGTTCACATGAGGGGTCATGGATGAGCGTTGTGGGGATGCTTCTGGGTAGCGGTTGGATATGCAGACAATGTGGACACCCGTAGACTCACCGGGAAGACCTTACTATGTTATATAGCGTACAGCCTCAACTCTCATGAGTACTATTTCTAGCATCAAGCTATGATTAGGAACATAGACATATTTGGCCAGTAAACATATCAGATACAAACTTAGAGCTCAAGTGGTGCGCGTGTCAGGGGCTCGGGCTTACGGCCATCCGAAGGTGTACCCGGGCCACTGTGGCCCATGTAAGTTGTGAAGTAGTGACGTCAAAGCCGACTTCCTCTACGCTCATCATGTCCTCGACTGCATGCTCCTTCTTCTTACATCCCTACCACCACCTCCAAACCACCTCACCCTCAATATTGACTTGCTCGTATCAACATGCCTGTACCAAAACAAATAATATCGCAGATCAAACAGCTCATCCCGCCTTTGGATGGATCGCTGCATAAGGGACAGTCGGGTGAGTTCACATGCTTTCTCCGTAGCTATATGTGGAGACTGAAGAGGAGCTTGTCAGGAAGAGTTGGTGTGCTTGGAGGGGCACTAGAGTATGATTCTCAGCTCATATCAAGTTGCCTCATGCCTGGCTAATCAATGATTTCAGCTACACAGGAGCACCTTTCTTCGCCGCCATCTCTGCGTTGCGAGTAGTTCGTACATCTGGCTCTGTATCTCACCTTTGCTAAAATCTAACTAATAAACTAGGGTGTAGATCTTTCGCATGTGATATGCTCACCCACTGCTGCTGGTGCCATCAAATCATATTCCCCTGATCTCATTGTCCACCCAATTCTCCGGGAAGAAGTGTAAGTATGACATATACATGGCCCCAGTCTTATCCAAGCTCATTTCCCCCCTCTCCCTTCTCCGACAACACGCCATGACTTCTAATAATCATGGTAGGTCACCTAAATCTCTACGAGACGAAATGAAGGGCCTCCTCTCGCGCCTACACGTCCTCATCATCGGACCCGGTCTCGGCCGTGAAGAGTACATGCAATCACACGCACGCATGGCTTTCGACGTGGCCAAAGAACAGAATATGTTTGTCGTTCTGGACGCTGACGGTCTATATATGGCCGGCCAAGATTTGAGCATCGTGAAGGGGTACAGTCGGATCGTGCTCACTCCTAACGTCGTCGAATTCAAGCGACTCAGTGAACAAGCCGTGCGTCCCGCCACATACGAGAGCTTTCTGGTTCATTTACCATCGTAATATCTATAGGGTATCGACCCAAACACGAAACCAGAAGAGCGTGCCGGGGCCATCTCAAGGAAGCTAGGTGGAATAACGATACTTCAAAAAGGCGCCAACGACATAATCTGTGCAAATACGTCTTCCAACTCAGCCGTCGGCTCTGAACCCACGGATGAGACCGTCATTGTGGATACACAAGGAGGCATGAAACGCTGTGGCGGTCAGGGAGATATCCTCAGCGGATCTGTCGGTGCACTTTTGGCGTGGAGTAAGTGCTACGAGGATGGTGCGTTTGGGGACAAGAGCGTGCCGGTGTCGAGGATGCCGCTGTTGTCTGCGACGGGGGCCAGTATAATCACAAGAGGGGCGAGCAGGAGGGCGTATGAGATCATGGGAAGGGGCGTGGTGACGCAGGATATGCTGAAAGAGATCGCGGGATCGTTTTCGGAGGCGTTTGGGGCGGAGATGTGGGGTGGAAAGCTGTAGGTGTCGGACTGGCGCAAGACTGACGGATAGGCAAGACATATGTGCGAGGATGGGTTGCATGTGGAGGACAGAAGACGCTGTATTTGTTGTTGTAACACATAGTACCACTTTCTTTCGGCACCCGTGCTTGAGTCGATGATTAGAATTCGGTGTGTTAGTTGTGTTCGGCGGTAATCGTCCTAAGAATCGAACGAAGTAAAGTATCGAGAGATGCAAAGCTTGGGAGTGAGCGAACAGGCCAATGTTCAGGTATCTTCAACTTCGACGGCGCTGCGTGGGCCACAGTGGCCCAACTCACGGACCCCCGTGAGCCCGAGCCCCTGACAAATGCTCTCGTCCTGGAGCACTTTTCGCATCGGGCACGATACCATGACCAAATCTCTCCAGGATTCTCATCATAATGCGGGGGTAGTGTCTTGAGGCCGTGCACTATACAACATGAGGACTTCCTAGTGCGTCTACATTGTCTCCATAACCTCTGCTCAGACCGTCACCCGATCCCGAACTTACTCTCGCCACAACTTACGCTCACCCATGGCTCCAGATGCAAACCCCCTGTCTGGGCAGATCGAAGCCTTCGTATTTGATGTTTTTGGTACGGTAGTGGACTGGCTTGGTCCAGTCAGTCGAGATATTTCTCGACGTGCGGCGAATCACAAAGTCGAGATCTCGGGAGAACGTAAGTGTTATGCACGGTGTCATCGTCAGTTTCGCTCCAGGTCGTAACATCCATACCTTCGTGCAGAGGCATCTGACTTTGCAAAGCATTGGAGGAATGGGTACGAGGAAGAGACACTTCGTCTTTCGGCGCCTGGTGCTGAGGGACCATGGAATGTTGATATACTGCATCGCCAGGTGAGTTTCCGGCCCTCTTCATGGATCGTATCTGAGAATCTGAGGAACAGTATCTTTTGTTTCGTCACGGTTCTTGAATTCACTTATAGATCCTTGAAAGAATCCTGAACGAAGAACGATGGAAGCCACTTGCAGAAGTATGGAGTGCAGAAGAGAGAGCGGAACTCAATCTTACCTGGCATCGTCTAGACGGTATGTATCCCTCTAATCGACTGTGATTGTCCATGGTGAAACTTATGGATCGTTATCACGCACATCATTCTCAGGCTGGCCTGACTCGTCGAAAGGCCTCTACGCCCTCAAGAAGAGATACATCATCAGTACCTGTTCGCATGGAAGTGTGAGGCTACTGGTCGATATGGCCAAACACACCGACCTTCCGTGGGACCTTGTCTTCTCGTCCGAGTTAGTCAGCTCGTATAAACCGTATGCCTCTTCTCCTTCAATGTCATCCTTTCACTTCCCTGATATGCGAACCATGCCGCCACGCCACGCGCCATACCACCACGCTCGATCCAGGAACCCTAAGGTCTATTCTGGCGTGGCACACTACCTCCAGCTACCTCCACAAAAAGTAGCCATGGTTGCTGCACACGTCGATGATCTTCGTGGAGCTGCTGCGGCCGGCCTACGAACGATATACGTGAGACGTGGCACAGAGGACGCGGGCGATGGCATTGAACAGAGAACGGGCTATAAGCCGGGGGAGTTCGACATCGTCGTGGACAGTTTGACAGAACTCGCGGAAATGTTTGTATGAGGCCTAGCTTACTGCAATCAATGAACAATGTAAGTGCATAGAAGGTGCACAATGAATAAAGGACCCACAATACCCGCATCTGACTCCGCTTTCCAAATTAGTCACACCAAGACTCGATGTTTCAAACTATGCATTGAGGGTCTACTTCGCCAAACATACTGTGCATAAAGATCATGTGGGTGCAATACGCGTAGGACTGTAAATGTATGGGTATGCAGACAATGATGGAGGACCAAGATAAACGGAACTAATACTACAGTGTGATGTGGAAAGGCACAGGCCAAAAATGGAGGCAGACAAAGCGAGACATAAGAAGCGAACAATGGTGACCGGACCTCTAGACTTCCTGGGAAGCACCCTCCTTCTTGCCCTTGCCGGACTTGTTGGGCAGGAGTTCTGGGTTGATGAAGGGAACGACACCACCCTGGCTGATGACGACGTCGCCGAGAAGTTTGTTCAACCTACGATACGTGACGAATGAATAAGAATGAGTTAATTGTTGATGCATTGGATGGGACGTACTCTTCGTCGTTACGGATGGCGAGCTGGAGATGACGGGGAACAATACGCTGCTTCTTGTTGTCGCGTGCAGCATTGCCAGCCAGCTCGAGGATCTCAGCAGCGAGGTACTCAAGGACAGCGGCGAGATAGACTAAGCCAATCGTCTTTGTAAGGATGTGATGGATGAGAAGAAAAATCGCAGGCGACGCACCTGGAGCACCGGCACCAACACGCTGTGCGTAATTACCCCGCTTCAACAGACGATGAATACGACCGACGGGGAATTGGAGGCCAGCTTTTGACGAGCGTGACTGGGATTTTGAGTCGCTTCCAACCTTTCCGGAAGACTTGCCACTATATGACCCGATATCAGACTTGATATAGAATGAGGTTATCGAATTCCAATGCGTACGCTTTTCCTTTGCCAGACTACAATAGAACGAGAAGTGTGAGCTGCAGACCACAAAAGAATACAGATATAGCACGCACCATTGTTGTGATAAGTTGATGGAGGAGGTTGGGTGGGTTGGGTGAGCGAAAAGAGGTGCTGAGATGGTGGTAAGAGAGCAAGAGAGTGAGCAACGAGAAAGAGAGGAGCGAGAGCCTTATATATGGGCGGCGGAACGCGCAGACGCGTCTTTCAAGCTCCGAATTGTTGCACGTGACTGACGCGACGTGATCAACGAGCCCGATGTGGCGGCTCTGACATTGGAATGTTCTCACGGGCAGGCACACCAGACGCGTTCATTCAAGACCGAATCCGGGTCAAAGCATGCCTCAAAGCTGCCCGTTGTCGGTCACACTGGCCACTCTATTACTTTGTTTCCCATGGTCACATCTTCCACTATGCTAGATCCTTGGGCGCTTTTGGGCCTGATATAACGAGCTTTGGAAGGAGACGCATGGGTCCGATCGCAACGTGTTTTCTTTCTACGATCTTGCACCGCTAAGACTCGGGGCCCTTCTCCACAACCTATCCGTGAACTTCCTGCACGGTCTTGGTCCTCGCCGTTTTCACTCGGTCTCTGCGCTTCTCTGCACGCTCTCTCCGCTAGCCCGCACATTATGTCGGACCCAGATGGCTCCAACCCGTATCGTCCTCCTGTTGCCCAGAAAATGCACGTAGCCCCGCTTCACCCGACCTCGGACCAAGTAAATTCCATGAGATTATTCTCTTATTATCCACGATATTGACCACGATATATGGGTACTAGGTTCCAGTTCTATATGTTGTACGCTTTTCTCTTATCCCCTGGCAGTTTGAATACACCAGCTGATCTTCCGCCACCCTAGATTGGTGTCTATGCCGTCGTTATATTTGGTCTATGGAATGTTCCAGGAGCTCGCAACCTCATCTACCCTCTCAAATTGTTCGTTATCGGGTGGCATGAAATTTCACATGCAACGATAGTCCGTGTCAACAGTTGACTCCCGAATTCCATTGCCTGACCGTCTCTTTGTCCGACGCTGGCCAGGCGGTTCTGTCCGGCGGGACCATAACCCGAATGTGTATAGACCCCATCCTCGGAGGCTGTACCATGGTCCAAGGGGGACACCCGCCAACTATCCTTTCAGCAGGATACATCGGATCGACTGTCATGGGAGCGGCTTTTGTGTTGGCAGGCTTCGATACATTAGTGGCGAAGGTTATGAGTTTCGTGGCGGGCATTGGCATATTGGCCCCCCTCGTTCTCGTCCGGGATAAATTGTACGTCTACGGGGAAAGATACTGTTATGACGAACGTCTCATATTTTTCTGGTGAAGAACCATCATCCTGACCGTAGTATATGAAGGGCTTCTAATTGGGTTCTGGTTTATCGACCATGGGTACTTTTTTAACGTGCTTTAATCTTGATGACTCGACTCTAATGCTGACGTGTGTTTTAGGCAGGCGCTAAGGTGGTACATGCTTTTCATCGGTATCATGCACATATTCTACGTCGTTTGTGCGCCTTCCTTTTCTTCGTGATCGATGAGTGCACCCTTACTGACCCTGTGTGCCTTCCGCAGGGGACATCGCGGACGACAAGTACTTTCGCAAGCCAAATGACTCGGACGCCACACAATTTAACTTGATGTTTCCTAGTGTACCCTCACATGGTATGGACTCTTGTTATATGTTTCCTGTACGCACTTGCTTATTCGTGGGAAATATCTCTGTGGCGAAGTCTGGGCAATCTTATGGATCCTCTTCGAGATTGGGTTCCTTATAGGGTTTGTCTTGATCGGGATTGCGGCATTCAAGGAGACTCCAGAGCAGATGTCCGCGCGGGCGGGTCAGTTCTTCATCGTCTGCTTCTCTTGCGCTTAAATACTGACTATCATTGACTTCGAATATTGCAGCCACCTTCCTTCCGACATAACGATGTCACTATGGTTCCTCTCATAGTCCATCATCCGACAAACGCACTCGCTTTCGACATTCATTGGACGATCGCTCACAACGTCCTTCGTTTTTGTACATCGCTTTCTCTCAGACCTCGCATCACATCTGCACTGAATATACATCATATACGCTCTCACTCTTACAAATATCCACTGTTGTCCTTGTTTTGTTACCATACGCTTCTTTCCTTGTCACAAATATTGTATAGCATTGACACACTGACACTCGCTCCCATCACGTACTTAATGACCCTTGGCCTTGCATGCAATACACGGATGTTCCACGATCCAGACACCTCGCAAGCTTATTCTTCAACGCGTACGAATGAAATCGCCGCCCGCCTGGCCGTCCATGTCCCACCTTCGCGCCGTAAACACACCCTCTAATCTCAAGTCTCACCGCCACAAATCGCCCCCTCCGCCCTCAATCGCGTCACCGCCTCTCTCACATCCCCCTCTAAATCATGATGCCACACCTTTTCATACATCCCCTCAATATCGTTCTTTATACCCTCAGCAGACGGTCCCGACTCGCCAAAGCCTTCATAAATACGACCAGCGCGGATGCTGCCTTTCAGCACGAAGTTGGCGCGGGGAACGCGGAGGCTGTCGTACGCTTTGAGAACGGCCTGTGGCGTGTTGAGTGAACGAGGCGGCGTTCGATTAGTGATTCGCTCATACGCATGTCGCCTTACGAGGCAAATGAGGTGGAAGTAAGGTCGGGGGGCGACTCACTTCGAGGTTAGAATGGTTAGTCTCTGAATGTGCGAGGAGTTGAGTGAGCACCCAGGTATCCTCTATGCCCTGTCCGACGCCGGCACCTAAATGGGGCAGCATCGCATGCGCCTACCAACATTCACCAATCAGCCAAAATATAATTTCCTGGTAACGCAACGACCATATCAAGAGAATAAGCAGAACTCACCGCATCCCCAACTAATGCCACTCTTCCTTTAACAAAACTCTCCAGCGGCGGGTCTAAAGCAAATATCGACCATTTGCTAGGCTTCTCTATGCACCTTAGCATCTTCAACGCGTCTTCGCTCCATCCGGCATATGCGTCCAGAAGCTCTTGTTGTGGGACGGGGGTCACCCAGGGTGTACCTGGTGGGAGTGTCACGGAGCCGAGAGGGATGGTGTTGTCCGCCACAAAGGCTACGACGTTGAGCTGTGCGTAGCAAGTGATGTGTCAAAGACCGGTCTTGTTGACGGTCAGTCGGAGGACGTACTACGGTGTGCTTCTTAATCGGAAAGGTTACAATATGCTAAAAACAGTGGTTAAATTAGCAAAAAGTCGGAAGGTCCGAGGGTGATGTAAGTTACTTTATTATGGCCAGACCATTCGAGAGAAGCTGGTGACAGTTGAGTCTTTATGTCGAGGCTCTTCAACGTCTCGAGTGGCACCAACCCACGATATGCTACGGTGTTCGTATACACGAGTGATCGAGTGGCTCTCTCTTCGCCAACGACAGTGTGTCGGACGATACTCCTGCGACGCCACACAACGTCAATATATGAGCGCCACATAATTCTCACAGTGAGAGTCGAGGACCACGACGGTGACCATATCTGGGACACCGACTCTCAAAAGTCAGGTACTGACCGGATTCCGTCTGCTCCGATGACGAGGTCAGTCTCGTGTGTTGTGCCGTCTGAGAATCGCAGCATCGAACGGGAGGCATTGGTGGGCGAAGCAGTGACAGAAGTGCATCGTTTCAAGAAATGTGCAGTCGTGAGGTTGGGGTCGAGGAACTTGACCAGAGCTTCGAGGAAGGACGCCCTTCACGGAGTAGGTTATAGTTAAAATAAGTTCCATGCAGGTAAGCGAGATGGCGTGCTGAGAAGAAACTCACCGGTGGACGGCTAATGCGTCGTCATCTTCACGAGCTGGATACTGTCAAGTCGATCAATCAAGACTGAGAGTCAGTCACATGGTGTTTTGGACATACGCATGATGAAAGGCCATCACGGAAGAGAGAGAAGTAGTGTTTTGGAGGTGAAGATACTACAACGCACATGATAAATGAAGTCACAATCTCCCGTTCCATAAATATAGTCGAATGTCTTCATGGTAAGTCCGTCCTCGTCTGATTTCGAAATGACTTCATCGAGCACTCCAAACGCTTTCAAGGCTCGGACAGCATTTGGCCCTGTGAGGCAAGAGAAGACACGACCAGATACGAACGTTAGATATCGTAGAAGGGCTGGACAATAATTCTTGATGTACCGATGGCGACACCCGCTCCGACTTCACCATACTTTGCCTATGAGACGCAAATAGACATAGAGTTCAGGGACTTTACACATTGATACCTTCGAGGCTGGTAAAGATGGCAGAACTGAGATGAAGGGTAGATAAGGAGTAACGTACTGCCGACTCAAATATGTCCACTCTGATGCCAGCTTTGTTCAGGCCAATTGCGCACAGTAACCCGCATATTCCACCCCCAACAATGGCCACAGAGAACTTCTTGCTGTCATCCGCCATCGTGAGGATACGTGCAGCAGGTTGGTGGGTCTTATAGCGGTAGGAGAGAACAACCGAGAGCAGGTGCGAGCCGACAGTAAGAGCCTCTGAAACAGTCCCGTGAGAGTCGGATGACAAGTGAAGGGATCATCGAAGTCAAGTGAGCGAGCCGTTTCGCCCTTATGTGGTCCGGCAAGCACTGTGAAGTAATGAACCAGAGATGATCCGAGACTACATGTAGGGTTGTCGAGGCGGCACAGAGTAGTAGAATTTACATAAGGATAATCATGCCAGCGGTCTGAGGAGGACTAGCTCGCAGAGCAGGTTTGATACTGTGTAGCCGCGAGACCTGTTGGACGGGTAATAGAGCGTTTGATTGCATACAACTCGGGCTCGATAAGACATGGTGTAGAGACAACGTATGCGTATTCTGCACCCCAAGGCGAACGACTTAGTTATGTAAGTAAGGGAGAGGAAGAAAGAATCGCCCTCGGGCGTGCCCGTAGAAACAGCGGCGCAGCTTTCCACGTTTTGCGGAATATCGAGAGCAAACAGGAGCAGGTCCTCTTGTTATCGAACTACGACTATGTCGACACTCCTAGCATCCTTAGTATGTTCTGTCCCGCTGAGTTATTCCTGGTCTCTGTTGCACGCCCTTTTTTCAGCACAGTTCGCAGAATAATCTCACGACAGCCGCGGGTCCAGTTCGCGAGTGTCATCAACCTCCCATAGCGCTCGGTTTTCCGAATGCGTTCTCATATATTCCGGCAGGCATGCTTACTACGGTCACAGCATTAACCGCGGTGCAAGGTGAGCGTGGTGTCTTCAGGGAGAAGGAACACTGAATATCGAGCTGCTTTGGATTAGAAAGAGGCAAAGACGCTGCCACGAGGCCCCAGCGAGGCGAGATGATGCAAAGAGGACCGGCTTGCGGCGGGGACATGTCCTATTACAGGACCTTGTGGCCCGTTTGATCCTCCATTCGACCTTGCGCGCCTAATGTTGGAGCACGGAAGGCCGGCCAGCACCGCCGTCGACGTCGTCGCACGGCGTTACCTCGCCGTACATTCACTTGCCTCTGATCATCATCTTGCCCGTCGTCCGACATGTCCTATACGACGAGGACACCGTCCAACAAGTCCTACGCCCCTCAACAGCAATACGCTCCTCTTCGTCAAGCCAGTCTAAGCAGACGACAGGCCCCCACACCACCTGCCCCACGGGGAAGACAGGCACCAAATCCTGCGCCTTCGAATGGTTCTGCGAATGTTTCCGCAGGACGACAAGCTCTGACAGCTGGAGTGGCTACTGGTGCTGTTGGTGCAGGATATGGCCCCTATGCAGTACGTTGCGATTCTTTTCAACAGTATTACTTGTCTATAACCTGGATGGTCTTGCAGCATAGAGGAGTGGCGAAGGATCCGAGTGCGTTCGCAGGCTCGCGTTTCAGCAACGAGCACTCAGAAAGCAACTCTCTCATCAAGGAGACCAGTCAGGATGCTCCTCCAGCCAATACCCAGACTGTTCCTGCCTTCATGTGGGACAACGCCGACCCAGATTTGGACGACGCCCTACACAACCCGGATCCCATTAGAGATGCAGCCTTGGATCGTTCTTTTGACGTCTTCTCTGGTCGAGGATGGGCAAACGCTTCCGCCCTCTTCATCCTAATTGCTGGCCTCATCACTCTGTTTGCTGGATATCCCATCATCGCTTTCTATGGCAAGGCACCACAATCCGATCTCGGTGCTTCAAATATCGGCGGTACGAACAGCACCGGCCAAGTATCTGCGTTCAGCAATATGCCTACCCTGATCGACAAAGATACCGACTCTTCCGTATATACCAAGACTGGTACCGACGGAAAGACCTACAACCTCGTCTTCAGCGATGAATTCGAGACCGACGGAAGGACGTTTTGGCCTGGCGACGATCCATTCTGGGAAGCCGTGGACCTCTATTATTGGTACGTCACCCGACACCACAATTCCCTCATAGCATTTCTCACCGAGACTGCGCGCGCTTAGGCCCACGAACGATATCGAGTGGTTCGACCCTGGGGTGAGCTCGCTTTATTTTGAGCGTGATACGTGTCTTACGGTGGGCTCAGCAAATTACGACAAAAGACGGAAAACTCGTCATTACGATGGTGGAAAAGAATAACCATAACTTGAATTTCCAGAGCGGTAGGCTAGCCCCTATGATCCCAGAACTTCCGGGCCTGACTTATGCGGTTTTGTAGGTATGCTCCAGTCTTGGAACAAGCTCTGCTTCACGACAGGGATCATCGAAGTGTCTGTAAGCTTGCCGGGTAGCCCCGAGGCTCCCGGTTTCTGGCCAGGTGCGCGCTGTGAAAATGATTCACATATCTGTTCGCTTACCTTTCTCATATCCAGGTGTTTGGACAATGGGCAATCTGGTGAGATTCACTAGCTCATAATATTCCTTCGGGTCTTAATGCAATATCGATGCTCAGGGACGAGCTGGTTATGGCGCTACGACAGAAGGGACTTGGCCTTATAGCTACGATTCCTGCGATGTTGGAACCTTCCCAAACCAGACGAACCCAGACGGTACTACCCCGCAAGCAGCACTCACTGGTTCTCCAGAAGGTGGTGAACTGTCCTTCCTTCCCGGCCAACGTCTGTCCGCCTGCACCTGCCCAGGCTCCGATCATCCTGGACCGAAGGTCAGCAATGGTCGCAACGTCCCCGAAATCGATATCCTCGAAGCCCAGGTCGACGTCTCTGTGTTCCGAGGCCAAGCTTCTCAGTCCTATCAGACAGCTCCGTTCAACTTCCAATATGACTTCGATAACTCGTCTTCGTCCTCTCCAATATACGACGAGTCGATCACGCAATTCAATTCGTACAAGGGCGGCCAGTTCCAGCAGGCACTGAGTGCGGTGACGTACATCGATGCGAGTTTCTACAACGACAATGCGTACTCCCCTTATTCGTTCGAGTGGTGGAGTAACCCGAGTCAGAGGGATGAGGGCTACATCACTTGGAGTGTCAATGACCAGAAGACATGGACGGTAACGGCAGCCTCGTTGGCTGGAGACACGGAGACCGAGATCTCATCGAGGATCATTCCGGAAGAGCCGATGGTAAGTTTCTCTTGGCCCTTGCTGTACATCCACTAACCATCGATCATCTCATGCAGTCCATCATCCTCAACTTTGGCATGGCGCGTACGTGCCCTTCATCTCTCGAGTGCCCTCCAGGGCGAATTAATAATGTGTCTGTCTTGTATTCTAGCTGGTTTCCAGGAACAGGACTTCCAGCATCTCCAATTCCCGAGCGAAATGCGCATAGACTACGTCCGTATTTACCAACGTGACGACGTGAAGGATGGCCTTGGCTGCGATCCCTCCTCTCACCCGACTAGTGATTATATCACCGAGTTCGTTCTTTCTATCTCTATTTTTATTGAGTATCTGTTGCTTATCGATTTCTTTCAGCCATGCGAATGCGTACAGCAACCCAAACTTGACGACATGGGCTCAAGCCGGATATGACTTCCCTCGAAACTCCAAGTACGACGGATGCTAGATCATATTCCTTCCTCCCACAATTGCTACCACGATACGATACTATACGATTTTGATTCGCTGCTCCATTTGACCCTCATATCCATGGACGATATTCCATCATTGATCGCTGTACTGCACGAACGCTGCCCTTCGTTTACACTCCGTCGTTCTTTGCTCTGTGTTACCGTTACCCTATGCTCTACCGTTGTGTTTTGCTTGCTTACTGGTCCGTCGCGCCTTTGATTCGCGAAATCTTGTCTTGTCTTGTCTGACTGTGCTACCGATACACTTTGTACGACCGCGACGTACGCCCTCTGTTTCACTGCCCGAACTCCCACTTCCTCCTACCCGCCCTGCACTGCGCTATGTTATCCCTACGAGACCGGATGTCTTTCTACTATCTTATTTCCTGTACCCTTTCACCTAAACATACCTCTTCTTACCCTCAACTTAACCTCGTACGTGTGGATAGTTCGCGGTGTCGTCGTGATTAGCGCTAGCGTTGGTGGAATCGGACTCGGTTCTTCAAAGAATTTTTATAGGTTACGCATATCTGTTTTTGGACATCGATTCGATGAAATCTGTTGTCTTGTGGATTCGATATGACCATGCGACGGCCGTTACAGCCGTTCCGGTAAATAATGAGAATCGGGTTTTTTTTCGACGCGCGACGAGAAAGGAAACGCAACCGAAATCCCAAACCGTATGACGCATTCCGCGCTGTGAGGACCGCGGCCAGCGCTTCTTGTCTGAGAGTTATGGTGCGAAGCACTTAGTCACCGCATATAATATTCAACCGCCAAATTTGTGCCCGGGAGGTCGAAATTTCAGTTTATTGAAAGAAAATTCCTGGAGCACATTAAAAAAACCCGGGACTCTCATAAATAATAAACAATTCTATTAAATATTAATTGTTTGGCGGGAGAAATTGAAACCCGCCAAATCTAGTGGGTGGGAACTTTGAAAGTCCCTCAGTTTTAATTATTTTGGAAATCTGTCTTGGGGATCTCTTCCTTTCATCACAAGAGGTGTGCGGAATTGCAATCGGGCACACTGCTCGGCGTTCGCTTAGCTCTCGGCTAAGAGGTGGGTAGGGGGGAGTGTTGCACCCGGGGTCCTCTCATAAGATTAGATAATGACGATGTCCTGTGGCGGAAACTGGCAAGTACTGTGGCTCGGACGCCAGTCGACCTTCAAAGAGCGTCCCATGAGTCTGTGACGGATAGAAAGTTGATAATATCGGTAGAGCAAGTATTAAGAATGATGTGTACACCCAAGAGGATCGAGAGTCAGTGGTATTACGGCCGGTTCCTTTTTGATAGGCCTCTCCGGATTTGCGTGCCACCCGGCGGAGTCCGAATCTACTGGTCGTGCGTTCCGCTCTAGAAATATTTATACAAGATTTTCATATCCTTTCTTATACGCTTCTACACTTAACATGAAAGCTCAACCATATTTATCTCACTGATATACTTTTCTGGCCAAAAAAAAGTAGCGGTAACTTATAAACTTGTGCTAGTAGATGCGAACTTTGCGCGAACTTCGAATGGTGGCATGGCTGGAAGGCGCCACCGAGCCCGCCAGCAGCGTACGTTTTGAGTACCAGGCTGGTGCTCGACCAATCCAGAAGTCAATTTATTTCAATGATGTCCAAGTATAAATAACGTTGAGCTCAATACATAACAGTTTAAGTCTGCAGGAACTTGAACTGGCTGACATCATGGGGCCAGTCTAAGTGCAGGACGGCCGTGGTGAGACTCAGTGAGGAAGGCGTGTTGTTTTCGGACTCCACTTGGTGGCACACAAATCCCAAGGTGCCTACCGAAAAGCGACTGGCTGCAATACAATGACATGAGTGAGAATCTGTGAGAATCAGCTCTTTGAACGTCGACTAGAGTCCGAGCCACAATACTTGCCAGTTTCCGCCACAGGACATCGTCATTATCTAATCATTTCATGAGAGGACCCCGGGTGCAACACTCCCCCCTACCCACCTCTTAGCCGAGAGCTAAGCGAACGCCGAGCAGTGTGCCCGATTGCAATTCCGCACGCCTCTTGTTTCATCAAAAGGAGCATTTTGGCAAGACAGATAAGTCTTAGAGGCGAATTTGACCCTCCTGTGACCGGGTCTTCCCGGTGTTCGACTTATGCGGTGAGTAAGTGCTTCGCACCATAGGGGGCGATTCCGCGCGCCTGAAAGAGAAGTTGGGATTCTCATTATTTTCAGGAACGGCTGTAATGTCGCATAATAATACACAAATATTGTACTATCTGGTAGGAAGACCGGTGGCGCACCATGCCGGCGGCGTGGGAGATTCCCGGAACACGTTCCGAAGTTGAACGTTTATGATTTCCCTTTTCAGAATCCGGAGTCATACAACCGCGGCGGTGAACTCGGCTCGCTAGTTCTCTGTGCTACGCTTGGACGATCAATCTGCTCGTAGTCCACCCTCGGAAAAGGACGCTTTTTCAACTTGCAGCGGCTCGAAGGCTCAGGCGCCTTCCACAAGCTCTTGAGCATCCGTTGTCACGAGTCCGTCCATGGTCCATCGGCATCGTTCTGGCCCCGGTCTCCCGCCGATGAGGAGTTCTTCGCGCACGGGCGTGCTTCCTAGCTGCAAAGTCTGCGCAGAGGAGGTGAGATTCATGCTACGTTTTCGCATTTGTTTTATGACCTGTGAAACTATAGTAATCGTGTTCTCGTGGGATTAGATCTCATAGACTCGAAGATCGGAAGCGTCCTACCATTGGCAGTCCGAGCGCTATTTGTCGACGCAAGTCCGTCTCAATTCCACCAATAGTGACACGGACGTCCATCGACGAAGTCTTTACAACCCAGGAGCTGCACGGGAGGCTCATTAAAACTCGGAGTAGCTCGACGTCTGTGTAGCGGACCTGGTTTACGCACCACCGTTTCCATGCTTTGATCATAGACTGCCTTCTCGATACGAGCTCTTTGGGTCATATTACTTGTTAGAGACATTTTAATGGTAGTTGTATTGACAGGGCGTCTTACAGCTGCGGATTCAGTTGTTGTTGAATACAGCTGTCCCGCTGGAAACTTTCTTGAAGATTTAACTACGGCATGCTTAGGTAGACTTTCCGATTGGGCCTCGCCACAAGGATTATATCGGAAGGTGCGTCACACGTGAAGCGCATAGCATATTGGGAATCTGCCGTGTTTCACTGATAACGCCCGGAGTACACGCCCCTCGCGCGGTCTGACTATCTCCGATCTGTCCACAACAAGCACCCACAACTGTATACGTGCACCCCAGCTCCTCTATCAATCTCACACCCTCGCCTCATCTCAATCAACCTCACTATTGCCTTTACACCTTTCATTCTAACACCCACAACTGCGCATAATATTCTCTCCCTACAGCACCGTTCATGAAGTTTGTTTTATCTTACCATCTGTTCCCCTACGCTCCCTCCAGTATGCTCTGCTTCGTCACCAGTCACCCCCATGCTCAGTAAGACCTCCATAAGAATCCATACGGAAAATACAGTGATCATAGATTCCTCCCTCTTTGGGAGGGGCGAAAGAAGTCGGATGGTCTAATGTCATCAAAACATCCTCGCATCAGTTGGCACGGCCTCGGACGTCAATATCTACGACCATGTTGTCCAGTTGGTATACAGCTCCAGCCTGCAGTTGTTATACAGCTCCATCGTCCAGTTGTTTTACAACTACTATGCCGGGTGCGTCTATCAGTATTTCAGAGCAAATCGCTCGACCAGATCGTCAGTCCTGACTGCCCTTCCTCCCCATTGCCCAAGGCTACCCACCAGAGGCTTGGGTGCTCGAAGTCCTATCCTTTCACCAGCCCTCATTTTCCACTCTCAAAGATCATGGACATCATTGCGACGCCCCCTGGCTGCATTGCTTCCTCATTCACGAAGATTGATAAACTCCTCTTCCGCCTCTGCCAGAATCCCAACTTCGAAGATATAGCAGCCAACGGCACCATGCTCGTTCAAGAACTCCAAGGGGCCTACGAAAATCAGACGAGGCAGAAGACTTCCCTACCTATTCCGCTATGGTTCTGGGTCCAAACACCTCAAGGGTTCCAGCAGGGCATCGACGTCGAGGACGACCCCTTCGACATCCAAGTGCCTTACCTTTACCAGGGCGATCTCCGGCCTGAGATACCCTTTGAGACAAAGGCGAACTTCAGACTACACATTGCTGTATGTGTTCCCGTTCTGATACGTGACGACGGTATCCGACTCATTGCTCATGCTGTATTGACAGCCCAAGCACTGTGCCGTACACTCGCCTCAAATTGGGATCAAGAGCCACGGGAATCTCATCACCACAGCCGCCATAGCCAAGAAGATTGCTAGGGAGGTTATAAACTACTTCTCGGTATGTTCGACCTTTTCTTCCTGTCTTTCTAGCAGTGCTAAGTAGCAGAGCAGGAGCCGAGCCGTTCCGTTCCCGATGGGATGGGCGGTGAAATAATCCCTCGCCGTCTTCGACTCGTTGGTTTGACGTGGGTCTCTGACGGCGCGATGATGGCCATGCTGCAGATTGTGATGTAGGCCCGGGGCAGGAACTCGTTGTATGTCTCCTCCTGGTCCGACATTCCGCTCTAAATTTCGCCGTTCGGTGCGGGTCACAATTCGATTCAACTAACTGTATCATCATGGTTTATCCAGGTGGTCTATCTTTGTTGGAAAGTTCCGTTAGTTTGCAACGGTTTGATCGGCGATGGGCCCCCTGTCCAAGTCTGTCCTTCCCAAGCCCCATGTTTCCGTATGACACCGGTTCTAGTTATTAGGTATTCTCGAAGGTTGATATTCTGCCCGATGCGCTCGTCTCTGCACCTCTAAACCAGCATACGTAGTTGGTCGATTGTCTTCATTCTCTCTCTCTGCTCTGCTCTTAACATGATATGCGTTTGCTCTCCAATTTGCTATAACAACGATTTTACCTGTTCGCTCTCTGAATTACGGTTTCGAAGTATTTTGATCGTCGATATCACTTTTGCAGGCGAGACTTATACTATGATCCCAGGTCCTTCGTCGGATGCACCAACTTGAACATGGTTGACTTTCCGCCACGGCTTTGTGACCAGTGTGGCGTGGGAAGGAAACATTTTTTTCGTACTCAATTTGTTGAACAACACCAGGTAACTGATATCGGAAATCAGACAAACGGGCGGCGATGATCCTGCTAGACACTCTAGTACTAAGCTGAGACATCGTAAAAACGTACTATACACGGGTCGTTGACGGCTCGTGAACCTGGCGGCGCCTTGTAAGCATCGCAAAAGGTCTTCGAGGTCGGCACCCCATCTCATTCGCTCGACACTTGAGGGCCAATGTGCCACTGACCATTGCCTGACCATGGTAGATGTTCCAGCGCACTTGTGTCGAGACATTTGTTCTTCTATGAACCTTGTATAGAAGAACAAATGTCTCGATAAAAGTTACCATCAGGCTGCGTCCATCCAGTTGACCCCGAAGCCGACAAGCGCCGTAGCTCGGCGGCGAGGGGCCCGTGAGGCCTTCATGGAGGTTGTGACAACTCTGACAACATGAACTCTGCCCGTTTGCTCTGCAATGCACGGGCACCCGCTAGTGCGAATTATAAGATGAAAGATGTGCGATGATGGTTAGCGTTCAAACAGTCTCAGGCCTGATGTGGCGCGCGCCATATTGGCGGCGTCGGATCCGGAAGCTCGGTGGACTCCGGAAAGGGCGCTTGCGATTCGGAGGAAGGTATACATCCACAATATCTACCGCGGTCCGCGACGAGCTCTGCTGCCCTGCTTTCACTGTTGCTCTGTCTCTGGCGACACCCTGGGGTCAATCCGTTCTGCACTGGATGTAGAGATGGATCGTCGTCACAGGATCTCACGCTAGTCCGCTCAAATTCCCAAAGTTCCTACTTGTGTGATCTGCTGTAGAGCATTACGTTCGAGGTTTCCCAAAGCAACTTCTTGGCACTGCGCTTGCAGGGAATGTCTGGCTGCTCTCGGATCAAGTCCTTCTTCGAATGGCTTCCTGACATGGTCGATGCGATTCAAGCGCAGCGCAGAGCAATGTAGCGAGAAACCGCAAGCCAAGTGCTTCCCACTGCCGCGGAGTGTTCGCTTACTGCATTCCGAATTCGACATGAAAGTCGCATTGCTCGGAAGACCGATGATCGCTTGGGTCTACGTTCAGCTACGAAAGAAGACGGTAAACCTTGTTTTGACGGCTCTTGGGTTCTCGATTCTTCGTAACCAGCATATGCATTTTATTCTCACTATTTGGCGCCTGGGACTCGAAGGTGTTGCGATCAACGTTGAAGGCACCGAGCGTTCACGTTATCAAGAACTCGGGCATTGCCCGTAGCAAGCTAGAAGCTGATATGTGGCATTCTTTTCAGCTGTGCGATAAGTATAGTCCGCAAGGCCGGTCCAGAACGGAGTATTGTCTCTGGAGAGCGAAATGTGCTCTTGCGCTACGAACCGCGATCAAGCTATGGTCCCATCGGGCTTGTACGGCAGTTGAGCCCTCCTATTTCACGGTGGTTAATCTCGAGTCTGTCAGCTGCGACGAGGTCAATGTTCTGCTTTGACTTCTGTCGGGGCGCGATGTTTATCAGGGCTGTGGTAAGTCATTAAAAAATTCCGGGGTTATCTTAGGACTGACAGCCTTCTTTGTCGGCCTCATCCTTGCGCCGGATGTGAACACGAGTCGCGTTGGCGGTCGTGTTGAAGCAGTATGTGTATGCAAGTCGTAAGCAGCCGGAATGTGTTGCTCCGTCGAGACATACCATTCACGCGGGTCCGTCTCCTTTTTGTTATACTGCTCCGGAGTACCGCCCCCACATCTCTACATACAGACATGCTTCCCTGACCTCTAGCACCCAGCGATAATCATCGGCCTTGCTTCGTGATACGTCTGCGCCTGCTTTTCCTATTGTTATATTGGCTGGATAAGTTGCACCCATTAAGCGCACAGCTGTTGGAAAGCGTGCATGCCGCGCGATTCTCATGTGGGTGGTGCGGCGGGAAGTCAGGTGAGGACGGGCACGTCTGCCGGGTCGGCTCCTCAGAAAATTTCCTCCATTCCAGCCACTATAACTCTGAGGAAGGCTCAGCACTCCCGGAAGACGCTTAGTGTACGGGGTCTGCGTTGGAATATGATATTCGAGCCACACCCTGGCGTGTCTACGTGGCCGCTGCCTTCCTGGACATGGTGCTTAGGGCCGCCTGGACTCACTCCCACTGCGTTGTGGCAATCTATCCCGCTTCCAAAACGATGGTATTACTCCGTCAACCATCGCTATCCAACGTCCTTGATCTTATCCGGATAGTGGCCATGCGACAGTCAAGGCCCGGAGGTCACCCCATCCGTCAGATTATCCTAGAGACACATCAGTACCGCCGCCGTATGCTTGCTTTCATTCATTCACGATCTCAACTAATAATACACACCCTACAGCTCAAAGACATTTCATATCTTCGCAGAGGGGCTTACTCGATTCAAAACTTCACCATCGGACATTAGATTCGCCTTCAGAACTGCTAGTTGACCTACCATACCCATTTTCAAGTTGCGTCAAATCTCATCAGATCGCGATCTAAAGACGTGAAGTGGATATTTGGGACTTAGGGGTGCCAATGCGATGCGGCAAGGTAAGAGAATCGACTTTTCAAATCCTCGTCCTTCAACGTAGTTCGTCTCATACATTCAATGCGTACTCAAACATGCTGCGCACCCCCAGCTGTATTGAACGAGGCCTGCGCGATGTCAGATGTGGACGAAACGTACCCGTTGTATAAAGGAAGGAGCCTCCAGGAAGTAATCCTTTGCCTCTATCTCAAGACACTCGCAAGATCCGCGCCTTCGACATCATCAGCACATCCAAATTCATTGTCAGCAACTCTCGACCCACATCTATGCCCTTGCCCTCCCAGCCGATCGTTCCTCCTCGAAGGATAATTCAGGAGGTACGGCATTCTAGTTCAACATACTTTAGTGACACCCCCTGACTTGTTCATCGAGATCAGGACAACCCCTCTCCCTATATGTTCGCTATATGGGACTCGGTTGACGCCAGTCAAGCAGCCTCTCTGTACGAACGCTTGGAGCGGACCGTAGGTGACTTCAGGGACGCACCTACCGCCTTCAGAATGTTGCGCCAAATTCTTTGGGTTGCATACCAAGGGACCGCAAGAGAGGACCATGGTACTCTCCCAGGACCGCCGATACGGTTTTATAGAGACGTTGGGTCGGGAGTGGCCCTGCTCGGCATACTCATCGACGACGCTGTCGCTGGACGGTTTTCACTGCCCGAAGGACACAACATCTTGGAGCCATTGGGCAGTTCGTCGACCTGTGTCTTGCACATATGGGTACGACATTTCTCTCTGAATCTGGACAACGTAGGACATCGCCGCTGACTAGTCTCACATAGCCGGTTGGCCAATCAACAGCACACTCAACGAGTCAGATTCCGCTTCAAAGGGGTGTCGGAATGAGGAGGAGAGCTGTCACAACGGCAGAGTTGATACAGGTTATTGCTAGGCGTGTGTACGACTACTTCAGAGTGCGTTAACAGTATGCTCTCATTCCTGGTATCTCCTGGACCAGGTACTAACGTCCACATAGTACCACGAGGTTATCGTGCGCGGTAGAGGAAGAATCACCACGAACCGCCTTTGTCTCGTTGGCCTTACTTGGATATCCCAGGGCGCAGTCATTCCCATTTTGCAGATTGACGATAGGATTTAATGGTACTGGTTGGACGCGAGAGCCAGCCTGCGAATAAACTTCGGAGGTGAGTGCACATACTTACATGATCGGGGTCAGAACACCTCGAGTAACCATACATTCTCTGAACCTTGGGCAGCTCATCCTCTAGACCATCCAGAAACATGCGGATGAACAAAACACCCGTTCCGTTAGAATCCCAGCCTGCATGAAGGATGTTACCGTCAATCCTGTTGTTCCTCCGCCCCGCGGACCACGCTCATAGAGCTGTATATTGACTGTATCATCCGACCTGCTTTGATTTTTGAGGTGTCCATTAGAAAAAGTCCCCTCTATTTCCTGCTGAACTTTTACCGAAGTCCTTTGATACGTGTATTATGCGCTCAGATATAAGTGTTACTGTTGGTCTTATGCGCGCCACAATTGTGCAGCCAGTGGCGTGGGAGTTTGCATTTTTTTTCGACACTCGCATGTTCAAGTCAAGTTCAAGTTGAACGACGGTCATCCGGAGCAGCGACCCCGACATGGCTTGAATAGCCACTACTCGCCTCCGCGTCGTGATCAAAAACGCCCACTTCGGAAGTCAAACATACAAGAGGCGATGATTCTTCTAAACAGCCCTCCCTACCTAACTTGGTTCGTCGAAACGTATTCCCGGTGACTCGGAAGGCGTGCTGGTCTCGTAGGCATTGAAGGCATTACAACTACTAGTACTAGTACGCAAGAGTATTACGACAGCCCTACAGCTGCGGTGAAGAAGGAAACCTAGTTAAAACCCGCACCCTGGGGAAGTTGCGCTTCCGGCTTCACTCGGTGCCGTCTCTCCGGCCTCCGAAAAGCAGGGGCCTCTGGGCGTCCACAAGCACCCACACTACGGCCCGCCCTTCTCATCCCGCTCATGGCTCGCCTCGACCTTTGTTTCCTTTCATCTCTTGTCCTACAACTGTGCCGCTGTACATCGGACCTACAGCAGTCCATCAACTGCCTCATATGTTAGGGAACCTGGTCACCGTCCTCCAGCTTATCACTCTACGCGATTGCCTTCATTCGTGCACGTTATGAACTGTAGGCCAATGAGATGACCGGACCAAGACTATATATCCATCGACGAGTCATCTCATTTTGATCTCTTTCCCTCCCGAAGCTCACCTTGAACACGCGCTAGAAAGGAGACCATCCGCGATTGGATCGCGCATGCTCCAGCATTCCTACATATGTTGACTTGTATAGCTCGCATACCGTTATGTCTAGCTGCCCCTCCGAATTGTTCTCTACGACAACATGACCGGAGAACATGAAAGTCCGTCGACCGACAAGAGCCTTTTAACGAAACTCTTCCAGTCCTCCCGTCCACCTCTCGCATCCTTCACCCAGACTGTCTTCGCCCAGTCTACACCATCCATGGATACTTCTCGCACAGGCTACGTGACCATGATGTGTTTCCCAACACAGGTAAGCTCGTCAAACCCCCGGGCTTGTCTGGTCATAACATTTGCACACAGATCATCGACTCCAGACCCCTGCGCCTTTGCATTCGAAACTCATTCGAGCCTTTACGTGGTTGTCTTCTCTTGGACCGTTTGGAACAGACCAAAGACTTTGCCGACTTTCCCTCCGACTACCCCATGGCACTGCAGAAATTGAAACTCGCATACGAGAGAACCTCCAGGGAAAGAGGGCCTCTCCCGTTGCCGGTCTTCTTTCACTGTATTAACGCCCTTGGACAACGGCAGTTGGGCATGAACATCAAGGATATACTACGAGAGCAGTGCGAGGTAAGAATCTATGGACCCGACACGACCTTGTCCATGGGTGAAAAGCACAATTTCAAACTGCACATCGCGGTATGTCTCTGACCAGCGGCGCTCCGTGACATTCCTTGTATTTACTTCAAGCTTCCTCAGGCAGTCGGATATGGCCTTATCACAAAACAAATTCAACTTGGGAAAGGCCTGTCCAAGCCCACGACCAAATCTAGCCTGATGAAGAAGATTGCTAAGTGGGTAGAGATATATTATGAGGTCAGTAAGACCTATTCATCCTTGCCATCTTCTTACTCCGTTGACACCGTGTTAACTGAACTGTGGCCAGGAGAATGAGGTTTCGATGGTTGGAGTAGATGCTCGAGTCACTTCGGACCGGCTGCGCCTCGTTGGATTGACCTGGGTGTCCAGTGGGGCTGCGATGGCCTTGTTGCAGATAGTAGCTTGAACAAGAAGACGTAACTACATCGGTCGAAGATGTTGCCTGGCCATGAGTAGACCTTCCGACTTATATTCATGGTGCCGCCTTGATTTGTCGCTGTTCCCGTGTAGTGTTCGCCTTTCAGCCCTGTTCCATCATCTCAGTTATCCCAACCATACGTATGCCTCCGTTCCCCGCTTGGCTTCCAGTGGCTAGGATGAGCTTTAGGCCTTTACTTCACTGCATATCGTTCTCTTTCCTGATCAGGAGTTGCTTTAGCTACCTCATTCAGCCCCTTGGACTTTGGTACTTGTATGTATTGTGTGCCGAAGAGTTGAAATTACTGTAATAGGCTCTCCTTTCATATCAGTACCAGAGTCTTCTTTGTGTACCAAAGGACTGGAGATCGCGCTACGCAGTTTAAATCTTCACCTACTTATTGTGTTGCATTTTTTCAGCCTTAAATCATTAGAGCCTTCGGGTTCAGCGGGCTAGGGACGAGTGGCACTGAAAAATCAGCAAGTAGTAAGGGGCAAGACAATAGACTCGTGTGGTACTCCGCCTACTGACACCAAGGGGTCTGTTGTGGACTCGGATGAAGAGGGAGACATTAATATTTGATTCAAGATGACCGCCACAGGCGCCTCATTCCCGGTCGTGGCCGATGCCGCAAGTTTTGGCGCCTGTCTGACCGTGTCTTCAACACGTGGGGGCCTCTTTCAGTAAAGAGCGACGCCCCGTTACAACTTGTCCTCACCCTTGCCTCACCCTGCCGCGGACTTGGAGCTCTTGCGCTCACTTTGTCCACAGGACCGCGATACCAGGTTGCGATAATATAGCGATGCACAAGACAGTCTGAGGTGTATTACGCGGCACCGCACTCAGGCTCATGATCTACTTAATCTTCTTGAAGGGCATCGCTTGCCAACAGCATACCAATAGTCGTACTTGTGATCCTAGTACTCCATCTGATGTCGCGTCTGGTCATAAAAGAACACGAAGCCCCACCGCGACTCTGTATTCGCCATTCTTCCCTCGTTGACACATCCGCCCCTACGCCACGACCTAGCTGAGGATCCGTTCTCTCGATACGTATGTTCCCCAACTTTCTTTGCGAATGTACTTAATCTTGCCCTGTTTCCAATTCAGGGTAGTGAATGTTCAAAGGTGTGAGCAGAGGGCTGAATGCATATTCCCTCGTCCAGACAACGACCCTGCTTTTGATGTCTGTCTGCATTTTATTGACAAACACAATCCTCGTTCGCCACAACTCTAGAGGCTTATGGTGGCAAGCATAGAGCCCCTCTGGAAGTACGGCTTCGAGTCATAGCGGTGTCCTCTTCTGATATACACCGTGCCCATATCAGTGCCTCTACTGCTACCGCCGTGTCATGCACTCGAAGGACTCTGTCTCCGACGAGTCCCCTTCTGTCCCGATAGGTTGTGTACGGTCCTCTTTGACTTTCTATGAAGCACAAGACGCATACGTGTAATACTATTTCTGCGGCCTACACGTACAGCTAAGTCAACACCGGCACGTTGCTCTGACCGATGTCATGAGCGTGTACCTGGGACACTCTGTTAGGCTTCATGTGTTTGGAGCCGAACACGTATAGAGTGATACGGGCTATTGTCAAAGGCTGCTTCACGGAGCATGGGCTGCTAGGAGGACCAACAGCTGGACGTACAGCTGTACTATCATTTCACAACTTCGCGCCTGTCGACCTGTCCTTCGGTAACAACTGGTGCGAAATCTACATTGATACCTTCATATGTTGTGTGTTCTGACTCGGGCTTGTTCGCGACTTTGGTAGTTTTCCTACCTACGACTCTCGTGTTTCATTCACTTAAATCAAACTCTCTGTCTCTAAAAATCTGGGAACATCGATAGTCATGCTCGCAGCCAACTTTGCTTTGCTTTTTTTTTGAAGCCAGTGTATAGCAAGCTTGATGCGGCCTCGTGTTCATGATGCAGGATGTCGTTGTTGTATGTCCATACACCCATACTCGTCTATGGCCTCATCTTATCCAGCTGTAATGTGGAGCACAAAGTTATATAATTACTTGGGCGTGTCCAAGCCGTTCCCATATCCATCTTCTCAATCTGACCTTTCCTCGCCATCACCCTCAAGCGTTTCAGAAAACACCCTGACTTTCCTCTCCACGAACGTCAGCCACCATGGTATGATCAGTCAGGTTCTCCCATCCATTCGTTTCCTGAATAGAAACATTTTCCATCTAGAATGCTCCACAAGGGCTTGTCGGAGGCACGTTCAGTGGCGAGGATCGCGCACTGGTGTTGTTCAGGCTGTCATTGACGGGCAACGGTGCTTTCCGTGACGTCTGGTTACCCAACAGGCCCCTACATCAGAGGCTATTCATCGCCCGTGCCGGTACCTCTCAGGAAGAGACTGGCGCGCTTCCCACTATGCCCTTTTGGTTGAGGACTACAACCGATCAGGGCATACTCATCTTTCATGGAGCTCATGGCCCGGCTCACTTCAGCCTGCCTCACGAACTGAATATATGGCATCCTCTCGGCTCAAGTCGTCCCACTGCCATGCTTTGCATATGGGTATGTTATATTATTACACTCGTGGACTCGATGACCACTATATCTTCCAGTTCTTCTGAAAGATGGCTCTTCCTCCTCCTAGGTGCCTGGTCACGACCTCACCAGAGAACCTGTCAATATAAATGTATCAACATCCCAGTTGGTACACAAGATCTGCGACACGATTGCCGGATATCTCAATGTATGTTATTTGCCCGCCCTCTCTGGTTTTATATGCAGCTGATTGTCGAGTAGAGCCAAGATATCCGGGTCCCCGGAGTCGCAGGGCGCCTAACACCCGCACAAATCCGCCTTCATGGCATAATTTGGGTCTCTCGAAGAGATCTCATGCCTGTCCTCACAATCGTCTGAGGTTAGTGTACACATTATCGTTTATTTGTAGTTTACTAACTTGCGGATGTCTATACTTACTTTGTGGTCCTGATCAGTAGACTCAAGACATAGGTTGAACCTCCCGTCAACGCCCGTCTTCCAGCAATGATTCTCCCTTTCCCATAATCAATTCAATGGTCCCCCTCTGGCTCTCCTTTCACCATCATTTTCCTGTCCGATCTCTCCTATGCACATTACGATCACAGTCTTTAGGGTCTGGCCGAGTCTTGATATCCTGTTTGCTGTGGTCGTATTGGTATTCTGTTGATGTAAAGGCTGCTTATATATTTTCCGGATCCCTGATCTGTTTAGTTATTTCTGTGCAGAGGCTTTGCGGTGGTCGATAGTGATTATATATTCATGTATGGCGCCGAGGTCTAGTATGGTAGGAACGCACGTTCACAGAGAGCTAAGCTTAGTGATATGTTATATTGCTACCTATTGATATTGAAGCATCAAGGGTTCTGATATGAATTCGACGTCTGAGGTCAAATTGAGGTGGCACAGATGTGAGCTCGACATTTGTTTGTCTTTGTTAGGATTGAACGGTCTTGGCACACTCATCTACTATATAATGGGAAAGCAGTCTCTAGACAAGCCACGTGCGAGAGCCCTTTTTGGAAGCTCCTATATTCGGTAACGTCGACATACTGCGCTCATGTGAATAACGTGTGGCCCTGTGCTTCCCTACTAATCACCGCTCTGCAGTTGCTCTTGCACGCTCTAAGTGCCATGGAGGATTGGTTGTAGTGCGTGAATCTGTTTCGTCTGAATCTTATGTGGGAGAGCAGTGTCCCACGGTCTAAAATGGCAACTACCGTTTATGGCCGTTCTGCGACAGTGGCACTGCTGTGTGGCGACTTCCTGTCTCTTTCTCGATCTCACCTCAGTAGCATATGAACCAACGGGGAGCAAGATCCAAACGAGTTGGCGTCTGACCAATCAACGGGGAGCGAGATCGAAAAGAGTCTACGTGCACGCTGGCTTGATACATCTTTTATTGGCGTTGTGAGTGATCACACCAAGATCACACTGGTGAGATCGCACACATGCTGCGATATTTGGTTTCTGTGGAGTCTGCTCCTCATAAGAGCGACGGGAAGCTACGGATACTTCCTGACACCTCAAATAGTCGGAGTATTTCCAGCCACAAAATTTCAGTGTCACGGTCCCGATGATGTTAGATCAATGTCGCGAGGAAATGGGCCACATCGAAGGAGACATTATCATCGGCTTTGTGTGGGACTTTTGTGGGCTTGAAACTTCAGTTGAAGCGGTCATTGAAGTACAACGGTTAATATTTGTGCGCGAGCACGGGTAACTGCTAGTCTAATATATAATGGGAGAGCAGTGTCTCACGGTCTAAAAATGGCAACTGCCGTTTATGGTCGTTCTGCGATGGTGGCACTGTGGCGTCTTTCCGTCTCTTTCTTGGTATTTTTCTCTCTACCTCAGAGGCATATGGACTGCGGCCCAAACAACGGGGAGCGAGATTTAAAAGACTCTACGTACATGTTGATTTGATGTATCCGTTATTGTCACTGTGGGTAGCCACACTGGCGAGGTTCGGCGGGCGAGGTGGCACATAAGTAAGTATGCTGTGGTAAGTATTTCGTTTTTGTGTTCTCGCGATACGAGGCATGCACCGGCAGTAGCTCTATCTACTCCTCACCAGAGCAATGGGAATCTACCAATACTTCGTAATACTCCAAGTGATTGGAACATGTGCAGTTACAGTGCCACTGGCCCAACGATGGTGGGGGTCGACGTCGCGAGGAAATGGGTCACGTTCAGGATAGCATTGTCGTAGGCTTTATACGGGAATTTATGGGCTTGACCTTCGAGTTGTATCAATCATCGAATGTCCAAGGAGAACGGTCAATATTTGTGCGCGAGCACGGGTAACTGCTAGTTGCATCTCCGGGACCTTCCGAACGACACTTGCTCCCACTTCTGGCAGTTACTAGCAAACGGTATTGCTTCACGACACGACATCGAACTTGAAGGGTCCACTAGTTCAAACGATATACTTCCTCCACGATATGCTCGCAAGTACGACACCTACAGTCGGTAAGAAATCTAGGTCTTCTCGTTTCTTCTCGTAACTTCGTTATCTGGTGGCCTGGGCTTTCAAACAGCACCCAATCTGTGATTGCCTACTGGACATAGCTTGCTCAGAGATCTAGACCAGGAAATGAAGGAGAACCAGCACCTCGTGGTGCTGTAGCGGCGGAGCTACACAAGTAGGTAAGTTGATACTACTCCGCGGCGATCTGACTGTGTTGAGGGCTAGATCCTTCTCAGGCCTATATTACCATGCTCAGGATGTTCATGAGACGATCCATCTCACGAAATATACGCTCGCTTTGACGAGTACAACTGTCATGCTCTAGACTCTCTTACGAATCCACGGTCTAATTTTGTGTGAGCAGTGCAAGCTCGCACTGGCCGCGTGTATTACACTCAGGACGGGCATTTGGAAATAGTTGTTACTTTATTTATGATATCATTCCAGAGGATATTTGCGCTCCCAGACCAAAGAATGACCACCATGATTTCTAACAACATCGGCCTCAAGGACTTTCGGGGCATAAAGGGCAGCATGTAGCTCTAAAGTCAACGTACTTCTCGAAGCACATACTTTCCTCTCGTCTCGGCATTGCAGCCAAGCCTTTGAGGTCATTGCGCAAACGACATCGAATAATATTTCCGCCTCTGAACTTCCTTGCTCTCGGGGCGTGTTGATGAGAGTCTCGATGTCGACCCTGCCAGTATCACCTTCTAAAATCCCGTCGTCATGCTCTGATAGATTTTGGCGTAGGGCTGGCCACCCAGAACCTTGCAGACAGACATCAGCCAACCCTTCCCTGCGCCCTCTCCTTTTGGCCTTCTCATCAGTCAGATTTGCACCACACGGCAGTATGCGGCAAGGACTATGTGGTAAATGGTATAGATGGACGGCTATGGCTCATCCGTACCCTCATTTCATACAGCGGTTTTATACACACCACTCAAAGTGAGATTTCATATCAATATCTGACTGCAGGGAAACAGTTCATGCATCCGGCCTTGCTCTCGCCGGACCACAAGAGCCAGAGGCGGCGGCCATACAGATCGCAAGGTCCCTTCTGATCTGACGAGCGACTTGTGTGAGCAGACTCTGACTCAGGCGTGCATTTCTTGTGTATCGATCTTAAATGTTGCTGACCATTTTTGCTTAGTGAGCTAAATTTTGGTCATTTGAAGAGACATAAACGAATTCCAGGACTTCAAGCGGTGCTGAAGGTGGGCAGCACATCAGCGAAGCACTGGAGCTACCTGGCTGTATACCTGGACGCTCGTCTCCGGAACGCTGATCTCATACCTAGAAACCTATCTGCAAGAGGAAACATTCCCTTCTCACCTCGACACGAGGCTCACCAGATCCCTGATCCAGAGGATTCAATCGCCCTCAAGCGCCCGCGTTGTCTGGACCTGCCTGCTCGCTCGACGACAGAACGTTAATAACATTGTTCTCCAAATCCTAACTCCAGCAGTATGGCCGAGTCTCGGTCGAGCCCGCTATCTCCGCGTCACAGGCGATCCTCCCTGATTGGTTGATGCTTCCACCGCCGTACATTCGCGGCATTCGTTCACTCAATATAAATATTCGGGAAACTTTCCTTGTCACCTTATAAACCCTAGCGAATGCTGTTCGTTCTACCTTGGACCGATACTCCTCTCAACACACATGACCACATCTACCCGCAGGAGCTCCCCGTCACTTTGATCTATTCGGGGTCCACCTTCCTCTCGTGGCCCTCACCTCAACGGGCTGCATCTCAGCTATATCACAGGCAAGCTTATCTGCTGGGCTAGCTAGCTCACAGTGTTACTTACATATCGTATTATCATAACAGAAATATAGCATGATGCCAAACAGATATAGTGTATTCGACTCGTTCGGTCCGGATAGATCTCTACAACTCCTCTCTCGGCTGCCTCTGTACTCTGGAGCCTCCTTCGAAGACATACCTGTTGCGCATCCAATGATGCCGCAAGATCTATGGATTGCCTACGAAGGACGCTCGAACCAAGACAGAGGACTCCTGCCTCAATGGCCCACTATCTTCTGGAGCGGTCTCGGACTTGCGACGGAGATGGTCGGAGTGGATGTGGAAGATGCCTGTGCAGGTAATTTTTCACTGGCGTATGGGCAGGAAGCAGCTCTGTGGGGTAGAGCCACCACTTGCAAGCTTCATATACGAGTGAGTTGGCCCACATCCAGAGAACTGAGTACTGATATCTATGCTTCAGCCGCGTGGTATATTTCACAATCCAATGAAGCCTGACCAGCTCCAACTACGCCACAGTACCAGCAAGGAGTTCATTACGGTCAACGAGTTCCTCAAGATATTGGCGAGACGCGTCAAGGCTTACTTTCTGGTGAGTCAATTCGTCCGGTCGGGCATGCCTCTCATACTGTCGCTTAACCTTGCTCTTTGGCAGAAACATCACGTTCAGATCCCTGGCTTCGGGCACATCACCCCAGCTCGCCTTCGCATTGTCGGTACCTCTTGGGTATCTCGTGGTGCCATAATGCCTCTTCTTCAGGTTGTACGTTGATGACCAATGGGCCGCAAAATGCACCGGGTGAGTACTTGTTACCATAGCCTACACCGCTCTGCATCTGCTCACCATCGATATCAGCCCTCGGCGCTTGCATAGTCACTTTATTAGATGATTTGTGGTGACTTTGCAGGCGAATTCTCACCACCAGTCGCTTCTGTCATTATCCCCTATTCGACTTGTCTCTTAATCGGTCTTAGTGTTTTGTCGATAATTCCCCCAATCTCGATGTTGTGTCTGCTCCTCGCTGTCTAATTCGAGATCACCCTGTACATGTACTCTACACCGTTAAATAGCCCTCTGCCCTTCTTTCTCGCCTGTGTTGTATGTATATCACCCGCTTTCGCTAAGAAGTACGCCGTTGTTTCTCGTGTTTGTCTACGCTATTCCTCCATCCGTAGTATGCGCCGATTTCTGATCATTCCATCGAGAGCACGCAGCAGTCTATGCCACAGTCGTGCAAGCTTGCAATTCGCCGTATATCGGGAAAAAACAGCCATATAACAATGTACACCATAATTTTGATTACACATGATACAATTTGAACGGACAACGATTTAAAGCAAAACAATAACACTACGATCACCCTGAAGACCGAGCCCTCTGTACCGCCCTCAATACTCACTCCACCATCCGCTCTCCTACACCCGTTTCTCCCTCCGGACACTCCGTGAGCCTTCTTGTTCCATGCAGCGCCGTCACCGTCCTCGTGCTCCCACGCCCATGACTTGGTGAAGAGGGAGCCGCGGGCGATGAAGGGCCAGACTTTGAGCCTGCTCTACTCCAGACGACACGACCCCGTCCGTCCGTCATGAAAGGAGGGTCAGGAGGTGGACCTGTGCTTGGTTGAGCGCAGGCCCATGCTCCCGCCTCCGCCGGTGGCTCAGGGGTGGGCGTGGCGGTGGCGGACTCGGGGCCTGTGGTGGAAGGGGAGGGTAATGACTGTGTCAAACTTGGTAGTGTATCGGAAGATGGACAGATGGCAGCTGCAGCATCGCTGTCGACTGGTAGAATGTGTGATGAAGTGGAAGGGATATCGATATAAGGCGTAGTCGCGGAGTTCGAAGGTTGGGCAAGAGAAACCATCTCAGCGGGGGGAAATGATACTGGAGGTGAAGGCTCCAGAGGTGGCGCTCCCTCCTCTGCACTTCCCTCACCACCAACATGCTCTGTTTCCGACCCAGACCCTATCATGCCCGACATAGTCGCAAGCGCAGTGAGGAATTCATTCGGCACCGCCTCCTCGTCCTCTTCCGAGTTAAACGCCGACGAAGGCGGAGGCGGCTCATGAAAACCCTGCCCAGGGTCTGTACTGTCGTGCTCCATGAAGTGTAACTCCGGTTCCTCACCGTCTACACCGTCTGAGTCTCCCAAGGTCAGATTCTGGATAGCTTCGACAATTCTCCCCAGCTCTACTCTTGTCATCCCGCCGCTCGGACCTTCATGCTCATCCTCTTCATCCTCGGAAGACCATGGTGGATCGTCGTCATCTCCCCAGAAGCGACCTTCGGGCTCACCGTCCTCTTCCTCGTCCGCACTTGAATCTGACACCGTCTCCAATTCGGGCATAGACCCCACATCAGATGGGACAGGAGATCCGGAACGTGGTGGGCGACGTCGGTGAGTAGAGTTGCCGGGAAGACGTGGATCAGTAGCGGTAGTAGGCCAACTGCCGAGTGGTATATTCGGACCAGGTCCTGAGGGATTGTTGGCATTGGGAACTGGCGCTTCACCGGCGGGGCGAGCGAAGACAGCATTGAGGTTCGCGGTGACATGAGCCATAAGCTGATTGCTCTGAACAATTCATTCAATGTCGATCAGACTAACAATCCAACTGAAATAAATAAACGGAAGTACAATTGAATTCCACTGACCAGTTCGCGCAACCCAGGAGCAGGACCATCTTCATTTCGAGCTCCACTAGTTCCTGCCTGGGGCCCGTCATTGGCAAGATCGGGGATGCGAGCGAGCAGTTCGCGAATATCGTCCACGTAGCGGTTGACATCGTTAAAAGAATTATCAAGAAAATAATTCAGAGCAAGGCGGGTGATGCGTTCGTCTGGCACGTGGCTTGGGTAGTGCAGGCGACGACGGTGCCATTTCTGCAACGAGGAAGTTCATCTCCGAGCTGGGTGTATCACAAAAGATTTCACTAGACAAGACTCACGTTCATCCAGTACTCAACACCCTCTTCGAACACATATGGTGTACCGTCCTCATTCTCGTGCTTGTAATAACAATCCTTTCCGAAGGGACAGCAACGATCAGTCGGTTTCGAGTGCTTGAAGTACCTATCGCTTTACATCAATACCATTCGGCGTGCGAGACTGAGGGAGCACGTACTTGCAATGCACGCGGGCAAGGCTACCCTTGTACTTCTCCAGCGTCTCTGCTTTACCCTGATGTCCATCCGGATAATAATGACTAGAGGGTATGATCAACCTGGAGTAAGTGCGACAGTAGGGACATTTCTTGTTGACACGGGATCCTATAATATCTCCGCCCTTGTCCTTTGGGTCTCGCCATTTTCGTAGACACTGAACAAAAGGGCTGATCAGATAGAAGCTCAGGAACGAAAGAAGCGTCTCGCTCGCCTCGATACAGAATATATGGCTGCAATTGGCTGAACAAAGGATGTCAGCAGATGTACGACAATAGCCATTAGCCAGAAATGACCCACTAAGCAAGCCAAACGTCACGGGTGGTTCGAGACAGATGCTACAGGCCAAGGGCTCTTCAGGAGATGGCGGACGAGGGGCCACTTCGGCGAGCTCGGTGGCGGCAGCGGTATCAGGATAGACATGTTTGAACCAGCAGCTTGCGCCACGTTTGCAATAACCTGGATCAAATCGTGAGTGACTTTGAAGTTGACCAGACATATAAATTACGCACCTTGGGCGAAAAACCTACAGGTCTTTCTCTCGTCGTAAGGGGTAATCTTCTGCTCCTCTCCATGCAGAAACTTGCACTTGCTCCCTTGCAGGCATCCCCACTTGGTCTGATAGTATTTACAAATGCCTCTCGGCTTCGAGGTTGATGGTCGCTCCATAGATCAGAAACGAAATAAGGGAGCCGTTCAGGACATGTCGTGGTGGTCAAGGAGAGACCACAGTTGGCGAAATGACTGGACGCGCTGACAGTAGCCGCTGGTGCCACCACGTGAATTTGTGTGGCGTAAGAAAGCACGCCGTCGGTCTTTTTTTTTTTTTTTTTTTTTTTTTTGGTGTAACATCTACACGCCGTCGGTCTCGCGTCACGTCGATGTGCTCTTGACGCGAACCACTACCAGCTACGCCATGGCCCTCGAGTCGACGTCCACAATCAAGGTTAAACTTGCCATTGGACTCAAGGATAAAGCATCCAAATACTGGGCTATACTACAAGCGTTTCTCTCAGCTCAAATATCACGAGCTGAATTCGACGAACAGATCCGAGAATGTGTCAGCACAATGCAACTCGGTGCGTCGGACGCCACCCTAGAGATAATCCGGTCTCACTGACACACTGCCTCTTCAATAGTTCAACTGCATAATGCACTCATTATCTCTATATTTGATCCCTCGCAACGGCCCGTATCGCTTACTCCGCCGCCTGAAGCGCCCAAAGGCCCTGCTCGCAAGCGTAAACGCCTCCTGCCATATCAAGGAGACGACCCAGACGAACCTGTGACCCTAAAGTCTGCACGGCTGAAGAGATGGGCTCTTGGCTTGGGGAAACGCGAGAGGGAACGCGTACGGAATATGCAACCCGTGGCCTTGTCGACGAAATATGAACCACGGCCTGAAACGGACGAGATTGCTAGTGAACGAGGAGTTCAGTTGTTGAAGGAGCGTGGTGGTAAGTTTCACCTCCCTCGCACTCTGTACCTCTACTTAAAACTATCGTATCTAGATCCGGCCGGGAGCAGACCCTCTGTACATCTAGCATCTGCTGCTCGGGGGTTCATATCACAACACATAATAGACCGGATTAACCTCATATGTGCTCAACATAACCTCAATACACCAACCAAGAATGTTTCTTCTCTCCTTATAGTTGCCTTTGAGGTAATTCACTTTGGATAGCCCCTCTCGATCATTTGTATTGACCAGACATCGCTTTCTTAGGCCAAACTCAAACAACTCATCACCCAAGCTATAACTCTCACCACCACCTCCCATTCTGTGACGTCTATTCATCCGTCCGGCCCCCACTCCACTGGCCCTCGACTCTCCGCTACCTCCATAGATACCCTCTTTACTGTGTCTCCTGCTGTTCTCGCAAACCCGTCCGCCGCCATCAGGAAGCTTTCTTCGGGAGACCCCGAACAGGGAACCCGCACTTACGCTGGTGATGATGTAGTCATGGATGAGAAGAGGGATCCAGATAACGAGGCGTGGCAGTTATTGGCGCTGTTGAGGGACAGGAGCACGGTCGAACAGGCAATCCAGTCGTGGACTTGATATTGTGGCGGGATGTCTGTGAGGAGGTGTGGCGCGATGTGCATGATGTATCTTTACTGGCGGATGTATGGTCGTGTACTTTGTTAGGCTGTGTACCCTATTTATTACCCTTTTTTTAAGGATCGATCTTGCCGAACACATCAGGCTTTGGCTCATTAACTGTCATGTACTATAGGAAACCTGACCCTAACTCGGCAGGTCTCCGTATGAATGCAGCGTTCACGCAGCCTTACTGTTCCGAAGTCGGGTCTGTAGGACGGGTAAGACAACTGATCGTTCTCCTAAGACGCAGTCCTGGCTCGGACAACAATTAAACCTTGATCCGATCTCCGTCGTGTGTCAAAATAAGCCAAAGCCGCAGCTCGTAACGAAAACAATTAAACGACTACTTGACAGAGCCCGCAGATCCATGCCAGTGATGCGCACGGCCAAGTTTATCAGGAGGACTTTCCTGGAGCCACCCCGCTGTTTGGTGTGGACGGATGGTGCAGGTGCAAGATCATGCCAACAACCTATACTTCTCCAGCATAAGCTTCACATCTTGTGTAGATGAAGAGTCACAACTCGAACTTGGGGATATGCCAAACGATCGACATCGATAACATTTAGAGGTAGGAAAGACGAATGTGTAAAGTAAAATGCAACGAAGAGAGCGGCCAAATTAGCAGAAGTGCATCAGCAGAAGTTGCAGGAGAACGAATACAATATTGGTACAAATTCTACACGGTCATTAGAGATGAGACTGGAATTGCTCTGCATCGATAGCATGCCTCATATACAGGCCTTGCTGCCTCAACAACCACCTGATGCCAATCTTGGTGTCTTCAAACAGCTCTGCTGAGGCCTTCAGACCCGGGAACGTTAAGAAGTGCGCATGAGGGACTCCAGCGTACCTATATGATGAGCAATCAGTATTTGAGCATGAAAAATATCAGAAGTTCATGGTGCAGGGTGTACAAGCGGGAATCGCAGCAAGGGTGTATAAAAAAACATAGACAAATACTCACACGAATACCTTGGTGGAGACTCCTGCCTGCCTCAGGAGACGTTCGTACAACAGACACTCTTCGGAGAGCGGGTCGAGACCGGAGACGAATATGACCAGAGGAGGAAGAGATGTGCGGTTGGGGAAGAGCAAGGGCGAGACTTCAGGATCGGCAGGAGGGCCCTGGTGCATATCTGAAAAACGAGTTGTGGTCAAGGTAAATGATATGAACAACATGTTCAAGACGTTGGTGAGGATACAACGTACCATAACAGCCGTGAATGAGATCCATGTTGGTAATGGCTTCGTCTCTGTACAGATCAGTGGGACGAGAATCCAGGTATGGTTTGAATCTGCGGAAGCCATGAGAACAATGATTTTTCAAAAAGCGAATAGATGTTCGACCGACTCTTCAGGGCGGACATCCGGATGTAATAATGTGGGCATGAAAAGTAGTTGTCCAGTGATCTGTATGCCATTCTTGACGAAGAATGGATCACTGACGGCGCGCTGCGTAAGTGCTGCAGCGAGATTTCCGCCTGCTGAGGTTCCGCCGACGATCAACCCTGCATGGCGTGGAGATGCGCAAAGAAGCTCGGCGTTTGTTACTGCCTATAGCAGAAGCGTTCAAAGGTGTGCATTAGTTTTGAATGTTGATTTAAATCAAAAGTAACCTACCCATTTGAGGGCTTCGTAGCAATCGTTGAGGTTGACAGGATACTGGTGTTCGGGAGCAAGTCTGGAGGAAGGGTACGTGCGACACAGATGTTAAATCGATACCAGAGGCACAATCACCTGGACTTACCTGTACTCTACGTTGACAATGGACATCTTTAGATCGACGCACAGGTGACGCAGACGATGGTCTTCCATCCGTACACTGCCGGCGAAAAAACCTACAGAAAGTAACACATATCAGGAAGTGCAGACCGGGGGTATCAGCGTGTAAAGCCCTTACCTCCACCGTGCATGAAAACAAGAAGTGGATACTTCTGTCGACCTTCGGCCCCATGAGGGGTAGGTACAAGGGTGCGCGCTGTGATCTCCGTACCGTCCACAGCTATTGCGTGGTCCTCGACTCGATATGTCCCTTCTGCGATTATGCATGATCTTGTCACCATGGTGGCCAAAGCACGGCGGTAGTAAATAACAGTGTGGACATACCCTCTGGAGGATCAGACTCGAACCAATCAACGATGGGATCTTCAAACGTAGCGTTGGCATTAGCTCTTGCCCCGTCGATGTTAGTGGATATTATTTGGAGAGGGTTATCGAACGCTGCAAACGCGTCCATATACTCCGCGCTAGGTGGTAGAGTACAGAGAGCCTTGTAGAGACGATCTTGGGTAGAGTCGGTGTTCATCGCTCAGTATTGAGTGCGAGTGAGAATTGCGCCGAGTGAGTTGCACAGACAATTTGGATCCCAAAACCTAGCATCGATACGCCAGCTCTTTTATAAGTCATCGATGTCAAGCCACGAAACTCTAACAACCCACGCTCGCAGCATCCTGACGCACATATGCTCCACCCACTTGAGAGGACACCTGTTTCTGCCCTGAACTTCGCACGCGAGACGCTCGAACAATTGTTTAGTGAAACATTCGTGAGTGCTCTAAACATAACGGGTCAGCATCAATATCTAAACGCTTTAGCACAGGCTCAGATTTACCTGCGTGTCTTCACCTACGATGCCATCTTCCGATCAATGATGCACTGCTGACTTCCACACAGACGAGATGTATCGAGGTCTTGTCTCAATCAACCAACCGAAAACATGTCTCATGAAAAGAACACCGGTATGCCGCAGGGAGAAGGCGTAGCGTCGCCGCTAGTTTCCGGAAATTCGTACTGCCCGTAGAGAACAAAAAGACATCGGAGGGATTACGGCGCTCAAAAAGGATTACTCAAGGGCTGTAGTACCGTGGTCCCTGCAGCTAACCTGTCGCACGGAATGTCGATGACATGTAGTTTCAAGGTTCTGCGATATCATAAGTAGAGCCGAGTCGCTCGGATGTCCGAGGCAACCGTTGAAATGGCACATCACCTGTTTTATCTTTCTCGAAGCCCAGAGATCTGAATCCTGATGTCGATACCGTCTGAGGAGAGTTCAAAAGCTAAGCCGGAAGGAAGGGACCCGGTCGACGGAATCAGCGGATCTGATGTCCAAACGCAAGCTTGTCTCCAATGAGCGTGGTCAGAGACATACAACATATGCTGGACGCTGTCGGCAGAGACAATAGACGATGGGATGATGTTTGCGAGCGTACACAACTTGAAACCCGGAGAAGAAACTGTGCAGTTCAAGTCTTCACAGCCAGGATTGTAGAGCGCGTTCAGGAAGGAATTCGCCACACAACCGTGCGAAAGCGAGGAAGCGGGGTTTCTAAATTAGCAACCAGTTCGGGGTGGCGGGTGGACGCGTTGATTTTGTTTTCATCCTGGTAATCTTGGACTGGGAGCGATAGGACTCGGATACAGCCCGGATATATATACCACCATGCTCACACAAGATCTGTAAATATCGTGCACCTGCTCTCTTGCTACTCCCATAAGCTACATTTTCGCCGACACCACTTTGTGACGTCGACGCTGGTCCTGGACGTCAAAGTTCTCGAATTACCTCTCTCTCTATCACTCTGTGCTCCCTTATCCTGAAATGGCCTCAGAGCAAGCTCTCGTATTCCGATGGGGTATCATCTCCACCGGAAATATTGCCACGGCTTTCATAACGGTGAGCATCTGTTTAGCATATCACTGCCAGAAGCTTACCACCAAGTCTAACCCTTGTCCCGAAATCAGGACATGCTGATTGACCCGAAAACGTATGTACTTCGTTTCTGATGCTAACCTACGGTGCCTTTGAATAATGAACTAATCTATGGATTTAGACGAGATGTTCACGATGTCGTGCATAAAGTCGTTGCTGTGGGCTCTCGCAGTGTCGTTTCTGCGCAGAAGTTTATCGACGAGAAGGCTGGCGGCGACAAGAGCATCAAAGCTCTTGGAAGCTACGCTGCGGTTTTTGCTGATCCTGTCGGTTCATTTTTACCCTGTTTTTACTGAGTCTGACTGAATAGTAATCATTGATAGGACGTCGACGCAGTCTATATCGGTACTAGCTTTGATATTCGTGCCTTCGTCATCTCGGGCGATCTCACTCATATACAACAAAGGTACACCACATACATATCACTATCAGGCCGCCAAGTCTGCGATTCTTGCCAAAAAGCATGTCCTCCTCGAGAAACCCGCTACAACGAACGCAGCCGAGCTCCGTTCCCTCATCGTCCTCGCCAAAGAGAACAATGTCTTCCTGATGGAAGCGATGTGGACTAGATTCCAGCCGGTGGCAAAGGCGGTCAGAGCCTTGATTGACGGAGGCAGCCTGGGGGACCCTGTTGTCGTTCACGCGGATCTTTCAGGTGGCTTCGATGTCGAGAGTGAGTGGATCACTTGAAGGCATTGTTCGTGGGGAGACGGCCGCGAGATATAACTGACATCCGTTAACAGATTTGCCGGAGACACACAGGATGATGGACCCGAAACTTGGCGGTGGTGCCATTCTCGATTTGTGAGTTTACCTTCCATTCAACTCCATACGTTGACTTACACATGTCAAAGGGGTCCATACCCGCTGGTCTGGGTTCGTCCAGTCGCCGTCTATATATATTTGTTTCCCGAAAATGACATTCCATCACAGGCTATAATCGCCTTGTACGAGCATCCCTCTAACAAGTCACAGGCACCTAGCAGCATTAGCGCCACCATGCTCAAGACTCCTACGACAGGAGTCGACTGCAATACCTCATTCACTTTGACATTCCCTTCCATCCCTGCACTTGCCACCCTTTACGCCTCCATGGACCTCAATGGCCTTCCCACGCAAGCATCTGCGAGCATCCGTTTCCGACGCGGGAACATCCTCATCCCGCAGCCTCCGTACTGTCCGAAATCATATACCGTACAATGGGTGGGTAAAGACGGGAAGATCGAGAGTGAGGAAACGAAGGAAGTGAGCTGGGAGGGCGGAGGATGGCATTTCCAGGCCGACGAGGTGGCGAGGTGTGTCAGGGACGGCAAGCTCCGGAGCGATGTTTGGGGTTGGGACAAGAGCATAATGGCAATGGAGATATTCGACGAGGTGAGCCTTTGGCACGATCTGTGTCGTGTTGTTGGACAGCTTGAGCCTGTTGATGCTCATGACCGACTGATCTTTCAAGGTCCGCAAGCAAGGTGGCTACAAGCTACCCGAGGGTGTTGAGCAGGTTGTGTAAGTCGGTGATTGGATGATAGTGTCGTATTCGAGACAAAGAAGAGGGTCTTCATCTTTTGTACAACATGCCCATACGATTGTCATGCTTCAGATAATGAATCAAAGACAACATTGTTATCCTGGATTTGTGCGCGTAACATACATGTGGTGGATGCAGCCTGAGGGCCGAAAGAGATCATAAATAAGTGGAAAGCATGGAGAAAATATCAGAAACGTCCGCAACGGGTCCATGGGAAACCTCCTTGTCCCGTTGATAGTGCAAGGTTGGTTCTTGGCCACACTCGTACCAACCAAACGGCAGCTCAGCAACAACCGGCATCTACATGTAGAACTCAGGCTTGCGCGAGTTGATACCATACTCTGCCAGCGCCGCACTCAAATCTTCCATCGTCAACGTGGTCCGGGCTTTGTCCTGTCCGAGGAGAAACGAGAATATGACGGTTGCAGCGTTCCGAGAAATCGTGGGCAGTGACCGTGGAACGAGGAATGGCGCGTGAGGAACATGGCAGGTCAGGAAACGAAGGAACACGCACCCGAGCGGTTGTGGGAGGTTGGTTTGCACGTGCACGACCACCCGCTGCATTCGACCTGATGCGTGCATGCTGGTACGCGTCCGCTGCGATGTCTGAAACAAATTTCTGTGCAGCGAGCGCTAGGAGCCGTTTCCTAAGGATGTCGGAAGACGTGGAGAGAAAGACAGCGCATTGAGATGGCAGATGCAGGCAAGGCGAATGTCTCATGGATCAGTACGATATGCAAACAAAAGATCAAGCGAGTATGACGGACAGACGGGCGTCTTGACAGTCAAAGCCAACCCGTTGGAGGTAGTAGTCCGTCACCTCATCCGGTATCTACCACCATTTGTCTGTCAGTTATGATGTTGCTTCCGTGGACCATGAAGGGCATCACAGTCGTCATTCGTCCCAAAAGACAGTCATTAAGTGTAGGACGAACTCACCAGCGGCTCGTAGTCATCTAACATCAAGAGAAACTCAGACAGTGTCCTGTCCTTGCGCGCCTCCTCTGCTGCAAGCCGAGATGACTGTGCCTTCGGGTCTGCACTTGGAACGCTCCCACTCGCGCTAGTACTGGCCGCTTGTGTTGATGCTGGTGTTTGGGTGGCAAAGGGCTGCTGGCCTGCGGCGAGGGGGTACGCATATGACATAGTGGCTGGTTGCGAAGATTGCGGTGTTGCAGGCTGCGTTGTCTGTGACGTGGAGGGTTGACCGGTATAGTACGGGGTCGACATATCGTCTGCTCGTAAATGGAACGAAAGATGGATTCGAATTCTGTGTGAGGCGATGTTGTGTGAGCAGTGTGGCACGAACGACAGAATTCGAAGATGGCGTTCGTCACTCGCGCCCAACTCGCGCGTGGGCGGCAACACCCAGCGGAGATTCAAATATGCTGGATAAAAGAAGCGAGGCGCGTCTTTTTTTCTTTCATTCCAACCGTCCTCTCGACTCCTTTCATCTCTTTCCTTTTGTTGGTTTGGTGAGCATCCTTTCTTTTATTTTTACATGATGTTTGAGGCATTTGGCTTTAGTGGGAGCGCACCCCACATTGCAGAAAATTATCTCAGCTACCTTCGAACTGGCCGCTTTGGCGGTCGAGTTCGCTTTGACTGACCTTCATTCCTTGCTACATCTTGTGCAACATCTCGCTAATACTTCCACTTCGTCTTGCAGATCGTCCTGTACACGTGGAGGGTGGGATCTGGAGGGACCTGTGCTGTCCGAAGTTTGTTTTGTATGTCTCATCGATATAATCATGTTCTTTAAATATATCCCCTCTTTTTTTCGTTCGACCCACTACACAATGCCTAAGACGCCTTCGCCTATACCATGAAGTTTCTTGCTCAAAGAATGGTCGGTGAAACATAGCAGCAGTGACACGCTGAGGTGGAAGTTTTCGATGCCGTTTGATTATGTAATATGCAACATAAGCCCTCAACCGATTTGTGGCATCCTTTGTCTAACCCATCAAGCTACAACGTTGACGTTCTTACATCTCATCTCCATAAACGAACACACTAGTCCCTACTCTCTTACTGCCTAATCCTCGTCTCGTTGCTGTCATTGCTCTCCCTGAACAAACTACTGTTTTACACTCATTTAGTGCTTTTCGCCTTCAAACCAAACGCCATCGCCGCTCGCGCTCCCCCCTGCCCTTCCAGCCATGGGCTCTCAGTCAGCTGCACATCGAGTTCTGGATATTCCCGAGCTTTTGGACTTGGTCTTCCGGCTACTCGACCACAAATCCAACTTGAACAATGCATGCGTGTCCCACCACTGGACGGATATCGGGCTAAATAACCTGTGGCGGCGGGTTGATTCAGCGCCGCAAATCGTCCATCTATTCTCTAAATTAGCTCCTCTCGATTACAAGTTGGATGTCGGAAACGTGCGTACTCCTTTCGTGATCTCTCGAATCAGTTTGCTGACATGTGGTATAGTGTTTCACCAGAGCAGTCACGCAAGCAGACTGGGCGAACTTCGCTCCGTATGCTCGTCGTGTGCGGTTGCTCATTTATAATCCTCATCCCTTGAGGACAAAAGAAGCAATACACCACTCTGTCTTCGCAGAGATCTCTAGAACACGGACGTCCTTCACAATCTTCCCCCATCTACGTGTCTTGGGCTGGCGCGCGCGAAACACCGCCACTTGCATCTATTCGACGTTGTTCATGCATAGCGCTGTCAAGGAAGTTCGCATCGACATAGCGTCAGCCATCAGTTACACCAGAGAAGCCCAGGTTGACGATCTAATATCCCGTCTACCTTCCCTAGAAACTCTCTGTATAGCTGCCGAGCTCTCGATTTCGACCATTCCATCGCTCATGCCCTTATTCAGCAAACTTCAAACTCTGAAGAAGATTTCTATGGAGAGGTGGTTATATACGCCGAGCGTCATGATGGCGCTGTCGCAGCTTCCATACTTAGAGGCCCTCGCATTCGATTTATCACTGGAATCAGATGACGAAGCTCTAGCCACGGAACTTTACCCCGACCTACCAGACAAACCATTTGGACCGAACACTTTCCCGGCTCTGAAGCAAATCTGCTTGTGGACACCGCTTTCCGTCGCCACAATGCTCCTCACGGGCGACACCTCCCTATCCAGGCTTTCCGAGATCAACGTTTACACACGCGAGGCCGAAGGGAAGAAGGCCATCAAAAGCTTCCTCAAGGCGGTAGCAGATACGTATCCAGACCTCCAGGAGCTATGCTTGGAAGTCGTCGATACACGCCCAGCTAATCCATCCATCGAACCGGAACAAATTGGTCTCGACACACTTCAGCCCATCCTCCGTCTCAAATCCCTGCGCAGCCTGGAATTCAGACATAATCTACCGCTCATGCTCAACGAGGAGGATGTTTCCCAGTTAGCGGTTTCACTTCCCAACCTCGAAAACCTGTTCCTGAATCCGGAACCCCTGAATATAATCGATACGGACGAATATCCCCCGTTGCCTTTGGCGGCGTTGATTCCACTCGTACGGCATTGTCGCAAGCTCGAGAAGCTGGGCGTGTACATCGACGGAATCGCAAAGGACCCATCTGATGATGTCCACGGTCTTATCCCTCGATTCCCGGTTCTTCACGACTTCTATATTGGTGTCTCTCCCATCTGCGAAGTCGACGGCATACAACCCCTTGCTCTCTTCCTCTCACACCTCCTTTTCGGTCAGCAAGCCCCTATTTTGAGCATGGGAGTCACCTGGCCGTGGTACATGGTCGACGAGGTCTACAAGGCCGTAAGCAGGGAACGGTACGAAAGATGGGAGGCTCTGAGGGATATGTTGCCATTGCTGATGAAGATCAGGCAGGAAGAGGTGGTGCAGAGGATTGATGTCGAGCGAGAAGTCGAAGATTTGCGCATGAGAAACGAGCTCCTGACAGCTCACGCTAAAATCAGACAGGCGGGAGCTGTTGGTCCAGGAGGAACGACATGTTTACTGCAGTGATGGACATCAGTATCGTCAGGGTGACATGTCTCCCGTTGGGCGCTCTCGGCTTTATATAGACATCATACTTTCCTAGACCGTTTTGTTTCATTTTCCTCCCAAGTTCGTGAGTATCCTTGTGCGGCGGCCGTACTATTTGGTGCGAGCTTTACGGTCGGCCGCCGTTGTATCTCTGATAATAGTGTTTTGCTGTGGACGTTCCTCAATTTACAGTCCTTCCTCGTGATTTTGAGTGTCGTTTCATCGGGTTGACATCTGTTTGCGTTATGTTTGCGTTGTGGCCGGCCTCCGGGCGTTCGAGTTGACTGGTGACTGCTAGAATAGGAGAGTGGTCATCTGCTTGCGTATCTGAACGTTTCATCTTGGTCCTCGTGGAATATCTCGTATGTCCCTGATACCGCCTGCCTTTCATGGTCCGTTATCTACAGTAAAAAGAGACGTGAGGCCGTGCAGTATGGCATTCATCAGCATTCCAACAACCCTTTTGTCATCCTTGTACAAAATATCATGAACGCGGGAGGTTGGTTGGTTGAAAGATGTGTTATTTCGGAGCACAAAGGAAAAGAAGCTGATGAACATCAACGTTCATCAGTTCGATGTCGCCACCAAACCACAGGAAGCAGTGCGGTGTTCTACGAGTGATCCCAGAAAGATGCAGGTCCTTTTGAGTACTTATGTGCGCATCAGTCGATAGACTCTGATTGAATATGATATTTCCGTCGCATCCCTGAGTCACCCTTCTCTCCCCGAGCCGTTACGTCCGTCGTACTTGACCTCACCTTCCCAATTGAAGACCACCTCGACGCCCAACATCCCCAACATCCCAACGGATGACGACCTCCAAAGCAAGCGCCAGCGAAGCCGGTCCTTCGTCCGGACCAAGTTCATCTACCACTCGGAGAGGTGGCTTGAGTTGCTCAGAGTGTCGAAGGTACGCTCTTTAGTTATTCTCCGACTCGCCCTCCGACTCGCTCTGCAGATATTCTCCCACTTCGACTCTTTCTGGGCGCTTCTTGTCTTGGGCTCTCCTTTGTGCTGACTCTCTATATATGTAGATCGAAATTGAAATGTGACAGGTGTGTACCAACCAGTGTACCCCAATGAGAGCGATCCGATTCGGAGAGCGATTCGAGCGGGGGTCAGCGGGGCTAGCAGCAAGCTGACTGTCTGCAATGTGTCCACAGGACCTTTCCTTGTCAAGCTTGTATAAGACGTGGTTGTGCTGCAATTTGTCCAGATGGTATGGCTAACGCCGTTGTGCGGATCGATGGCTTGACGCTGACATGATGAGTGTGTCTCAGGAACTTTGGCGGCGACCAAGGGCAATAAGTGAGTTGAGGTACAATCGCTCTTCATCCGCGTTTTTGCTAACAAGATCTCGTCAGAGTTCTCGCGGCTCATGCGGAGAAGTTGACAGAGCGAGTCAAGGTCATGTCTGCACGTATCAAGGAACTCGAAACAGCCCTTGCCGACGCGAATAGAGCCGGGAGTTCCTTGTCCCATTGTCACCTTCGCGACTCCGACGATCGACGACTTGAAGATGACCCGGAAAGTGGAGACCAGTGGGAGCCGAATTATCCTAATGAGTCGGCGGGAGACATGTCAGACCTTGTTGGGACTATGTCTGTAGGCCTAGACGGACAAAGGCGTGGCTCTGGAGAGATATTGAAACCCCATGTAAGTGGTCCCTCACGCGACATGAAGAGGAACTCTGGCTCAAATCTCGATGATCCCTATTTAGACACCGTCTGCGGTACGTCTTTCTCGGTGCCGATAAATGTCTGGAGGCTGATGTCAACGTCTGTTTCCAGGACCCCGCCGAAGACACTCTAGAATCACTACCGACAGATATTGTGCACCTTTCCAATGCATTTCCATTTGGGATCCCAAACACGCCCCACACCACTCTCCTCTTCGCAAATTTCATTCCATCACGTGAACAGGTGGCTCGCTTTGCCGAACTTTACTATTCGAACGCAGCTTGGTTGTGAGTATCTTATTTTACTACCGCTGTGGAAGACCCACTGCTCATGTAGTCCCTCAGCTATGATCCTGTTATTGAGAAAGATTTCCAGCAAAACATCTTCGACCCCATCTATTCTACTACGACACCGTCGTCCTCCACAAGAACATCTATCCTCTCGTCATTCCATCCACATTCATTGGCAATCTTCTTTTTGGTTGTGGCGACCGGTTCCCTGTTTGGCGAGCAACCCTTTGCAAGAACCGTCTCAGAGCAGTATTATGCTCTTGCCCGGGCTGCCTTCTCGTTGAAATCCATCGTCCACGAGTCCAGTGTAGCATCAGTGCAAGCCTTGTTCATGTTTATCCTGTTCAAGTACTACACGGATCGGTCAACGAGCGACAATCGGTGGTTGTTGAGCGGTCTATGCTTCAGACTTGGTCACACAGTGCGTCTGTCTGGTAGCTCATCGTTTTCTGTGCTGACCGTATCATGTACCGCATACAGTTCGGGCTCCGTGAGTGCGTCCTAAATTTTGACTGTAACATAGTCTTAACCGTTTTCGATTAACCGCAGACCGTGACCCTGCAAACTGGAATCTTACTCCAGAAGAAGTGCAGCGCCGAAGACATGTGTTTTGGGAGTTTTATACTTATGATTCGTGGACAGTAAGCCGAACGATCTCCTTGCCATTGTCAAACCCTCTCAAGTGTCTTTTCAGTGTATGGTACTAGGTAGACCTCCTGGTCTCAGTTTGAATTATGCCGACTGCAACTTCCCAGAGGATAACTCTCCGCACATCAATAGCGCTGGTGAGGTCGAGTTTGGCTGTAAGTATCTGGTCCTATATCCCTCGTCAGGTGTTCTCTGCTTGTTAATGTCTTGCTAACCGCGATCACTAGATCATTCTTGGAAACATCGATATGCAGCGACTTGCGTTTCAGCCTGCGTTCCACGAACATTGGCTGCCCAGCGTCTTCCATACACCTCGATTTTGGATCTGGACAAACGCATTCGTACTTTTCCGACGCCACAACACCTCCAGAGTCCGGTCGACCGAAACGATACACGGTACGCATGGAAAGCAGATCCGTCGTCCGCTGTCCAACAGTGTTGTCACGCAATCGTCCGGGAGGCCAGTATGTGACTTTCTATCGTTATGGCCTAGGACACACTCACGAACAATTTCCAGATTTGATGCACATGCACAGAAATTTCCTTGTGCAGGCCTTGCAGGACCCGGATGATCCTCTGAAGCACAAGTACGCTCCATCCGTGCGGGCTGCTTATCGAGGTGCATGCCAGCTAGTGTCAACCATCCAGTCTTTCTATGCTGTACATCCTGATATGGGCGGTCGCGTTTGGTTCTTTTGGTCCAGTATTTTCTCTGCTTGCGTACGTTTATTTATAATTATCAAGAAAGTCTACTGATGCCTGTTTCTGGTCTACACCGATTGTTAGGTCATCCTGGCGGCGGTTATCATCCACAAGCCAGGCTGCAGCCTAGGACAAGGAGCTTTCCTCGAGCTAGGAGGCGCTCGCCTCTTCTTCAAAGAGTGCTCTCATAACAGCCAGCCTTCGGCGGAAAGTTTGGTACGCATTCCTTTGATAAGCCTTGCGTCGAGATGCCTCTAACACCTTGTCGCCTCCATCAGAAGGCTCTGGACAGACTATATGAACGAAGCAAGAACGTCCTTCAAGAGTTTAGGGCCACTGGTATCGAGCCCATGCGCGCACGAACCTCGAGTCTCCACGGGAGCCCAGGGTCAAGGGATGGTGGTGCTTCTATGCCAGCCATGAACACCCCGCCAACCCCATTAACGACAAACCTTCATCACTCCCACCAATATACCACTTCCCACGAACAAGTTGGGAATACGTCGAACCACGCAGATGCATACAGCATTTCCAATGCAGCTCAAGCCAATTACTCTTCTTTCGCCACGGTCGGCGGCTCCCAGATGATGACCGAAATGGGCAACTCAAGTTCGCATTCACATACCTTCGAAATGAGTCCTCCTATCGTTCCCAGTCAGAGCGACCATCAGGCACACTTTCTCGCGGGTCTCCCACTTGACCCTATGTACTGCTCGACTTCGTCGCACGCGCTGTCCTCCGCTGACAATACGGGTCACTCTACTCTCAACTACGGTGTACCAGGCACGGGTACTCATTATGGAATACAACCGCCAGAACCGATGCCGTACCACTCGCCGACATTCACGCCGTACATGGATCCGGCCTCGGGTTTGGCGAAGTTCAGCACGGGCGAAGGAGATATGAATATTGATCGGCAGGATGGAAATAAAGCATGGACTGGCTTCGTGCAGCAGTTGTTTTAGACTGAAACAAAGGTTCCGACGAGCAGGGGCATATGGATGGACCTCTACTTTATTTAACCACTCGAAAGCTGAACAATGTTTTTTCTGCGAAGCATCGGGTCAAATCGAGCGGTTTTTTTCTTCTCCCCTATACTTGTAACGTTTGTGCAGCACATACACGCCTGCCATAGCATCTTAGGCGTGGACTCTAGAAGATTGCTGTAGAATAATATGCTTGAGACTCTGTCACCTTTACGATATGTACTCGGGTCTAATACTACATCGCGTCAGTCGCGGTACAACCGAATTTATGCACATGTACTGACTATAGTGCAAAGCGGCGGTTAAGAGCGTAGAATGTGTGATCGGCGCTCCAAGGACACATACGATTTTAGGTTAGAAAGAAAAACATGGTAGGGGATAAAGCGGAAACCGGGTGATTTGCGGTGTTTGGGCGAGAAGGCACGATGGTCTCAACCCTCACATAGAGGTCGATAGATGAGTGAACGATAAAATGTGGGAGAGCATCTTTCTATTCGGTTCAGTACCTGGAAACCTGTTACTTGGCGCCGGGTATGTATTGGTGGGAGCCGCTATGAAGGCAATAGTAATGTGAAGCAGGCCGCATATGTCTAATGCGAGCAGGCAATCGTTAAGTGGTATCCATTGCAATCAAGGTCTCGTCCTCGAGTTTTGACAAGACAGCCTGGTCTGCTTGCGTCATAGCGTCAAGCAGTGTATCTACGTTCGGAGTGACGACGAATCGTCGGGAGACCTCCCCAAGGACGTTTAAGTGTTTGTTCCGTCTGTCGATGTGGACGGCTTGCTGAAGGAAGGATGGTTGCGTCGCCGCCGAGACCTGCAAAACAAGAGACAGGATATGTGAGTACAGGCCACCGCCACATCGCGTAATGTAGAGAGGAGAGTTGGAAGGTGAATGCGAGAGGATCCACAAACATCAAGAAGAATTCCATTGTGCAGTCTCATCTTCACGGCGCCACTCTGGTAAATCTCCAGCTGCCCAATAAGGCCATCCACATGGTTGGGTTCTGTCTCCGAATCGACATTTGTGGGGCCAGTAGCGGTATTGCCCTCCGCTGGTTTCGTGTCTTGGGCAAAGGATACACGCTTTTCTGGGCTCGAGGCTTCTGGAGCTTTGCCCTTGTCGACTGCCATGGCTCCTTCGGAGGGTTGGCCGGGATCCTTTTTCTGGACGAAGGTAGGGAATGGTGTTGGGAACTGAAAGAAATATAGACGCTCATTGGTCATGCCGTTGCCCTGAAAAAAAAGCGAGCCAGTCCAGGTGGGCGATGGTAAGATGTTCGTTAGGCCAAATGAAAATAATGTGAATAGAACACCTACGTCGTCCATGCCATCAAGTGAGGCGAAATCATCAACTAGGGCTTCCATCTCCTCTTCATCTTCGCTCTCGCTCAAGTCAAGAGCATTTGCAAGATCGACTTCCCCAGCAGTAGCAGGTGTACCCTCAAGGCTAGGAGTGATGCTATCAATCTCAATGGGCTCTGCTTTTGCTACAGCTAACGTATGTGAAGTATGAGTGAGTGGTCGCCCACATCATACGACGCAGAAAGCAAGAGATTACGAACCTTTCCCTTTATCAGTTTTAGCTTCCCGTTCCTCTCTCTTGATTCTTTCCGCTTTCTTCCTCCTCTTATCGCCTTCCCTCTCTTTCTTCAAACTTTCTGGTGCCATCCAATCCATACCCCTCACATTCTCCATATCCACAATCTCAACCCCATCTTCCGGATCCGAATATACTTCCACATCATCCTGCACTGTCATTCCACCACCTACGACACCACTCCCACCTTCTCCCTTTTCTCGCTTCAACGACGGAGCAGCCGATCTCGTCAATCCTGCTCCGAGAGCCGAAGCGCCAGAAGGACCGAGAGGAACGATAGGAGTGTGAGAGCGCGGTGTTGGTCGACGAATAGCGGATGATGAACCGGCGAGGGCGGGACCCATGGCGAAAGGACCACTGGCTGTCATTTCTTGACCTGGACGGGGAGCGGCGCCACGACCACGACCGGCGCCACCACGAGTACCATCGCCACGACCGCGTCCTGTACCTCTACCGCGACCTCGATCGGATGAGGTGGATGGAACAGCAGCAGCTGTAGGTTCCTGTATAGTGATGAAGTTATGGTGTGTTAGAATTTTATTGTATTGCATAGTAGAGGACGAACGCACTTGCTTGACTTCGCTAGGTGGATTGAAGGGCCCGTAGGTTAGAGATCGAAGTAGAGAACCACTAGTAAGAAACGCACTCTTTTTTGCGTCGTGCTGGCAAAGTCGGAACAAATTTCAACTTTGTTGTGCCCGACCTCGTTGTGTCTGTAGGTTTCTTCGCAAGGCTCGCGATGGCCTTACTTGGCGTGCCTCCACTCCCAGAAGGAGTTCCAGAGCCTGAAGAGGCCGCATTTGCTTCTGACATTAGCTGTCGTTACTTAAGATTGATGCCTTAGCGTATATGGATGTAAAAGAAAGGGCCCAAAAAGCAAGTGAGACAGGCAGACGTGCGCGTAGGCAACGCGTATAGGCACAGACGTTTGAGCGCGATGGGCCACACAGAAAAGTTTGGTGGGCAGCGGTAGAGCCGGGCCGGCAAGGTGCAACAATTTCGCTCGATTGTGTGGCGTGGTTGACTCCTCTTTCAGTACCCTTTATCTCCTTTTTTCTTCGTGAAAACCACATATATCTAGCAATCCACGATGGGAGACGAGCCAGTACACACCCGAGTGACATATAATGATGTACACAACCTCATCAAGAATTCAGCTAAGAAGATCGAAGAATTCAAGCCTGACATGTTCATAGCCATTGGTTTGCTTTTCCTCTCGTGCTCCGCTTTCTTCAGGATCTGACATGCGGTTGAATTATCACCGAAACCAGGTGGAGGGTCAGTTAAAACACATTGAACCCTGTTTACCGACAAACCCCTTGTTGACTTGTGCAGCACAGAGGCTTCTTCCCTGCTCGTGTACTTGTACGTCCAAACTTTATTGCGAACCGATATACATCCTGATCCCCATGGATTTCGTACGGTTTCCCCGGATCCGATATCTATCCCATGTTTCGTCCCTACTTGCGTCATATCTATAGCGGACATTCCTCAAGCACCGCGACACCAAGAAGAACATCCCTATCTACGCGATTGGACTTTCGCTATACGAAGAACTCCCAGGCACCACCGCAGAGCAGATCGGTGCCCAGGTCATTCGAACGCAATGGCTGTTCGTACCTCTTCCTTCAGCTGTCCTCCAGTTATTCAGCATCTCATTATTTCTGTTATGTGTGGCTCTTGACTGTAGGGGACCGGAGTCGAGCAAGCTGCTCCTCGGCAGGAGAGCTTTAATTATCGTACGTGCTCTCTATCGAATTCTCTGCTCATATATTGACGGAAATGCCGGTCACAGGACGAGGTTGATGATTCCCGGAAGACTCTTCAGTGCGAGGCTATTTCTATTACTAGACTCTCCATCTCCGTCCTATTCCCATAGAAAGAGCCTGAGAGACTTTCTGGTTTGCATCGTAACCCACAGATATGCCGTCTCAGAGCTCCAAAAAGATGTTGAGAAAGAGCTGTTAGCCCTTCCCGAGAGCGAGCGTGAAGCTTCGAGGACGCAGTTCGCCGTGTTCGGTTCGTATCCATATCTGCCCCTTCTGATTTCGTTGTGTTTGTTTACCACTCTGTACCTCTTGCGCTGCAGTTGTTCACAACAAGCGGAAACCGAAGCTCGGCGAAATTCCCGCCGGTGTCCCGTGAGTCTTTGTTTGCTGTGGCGCTCTCGATCCCTTCGTCCTAGGGAGGCGACTGCTATGCTCGTGGGAGCGTGTAATTCTGATTTGCGCCTGGGAATGGAATTCCAGGTACTACGTGGGCGACGAAGTAGACGACGTATGGTAAGGAGTCGATTAATCTTGACTCTGTGAACACTCATGCTAACTTGGCCCATCGCAATGGAACTACACAGGCTTGATTACCCATGGGAATCGAGGTCGGTCCCCTCCCATACTTATCATACCTTTTCTCTGCTGACCACCATATATTATAGTGACATCGAAGAGCACGATCGCCTTGCTGCAGCTGAAAAGGCTGAAAAGCGAAAATAGCCCGTCACGGGGTGTGAAGTAGAATGTTGTATTAGACAAGGGCTGGTGGCGGAAGAGAAATGGGTGTAAGATCGCTATGATTGGCTGTATCGTGTATAGCCTGTGAGCCACCCTCGGGGCGTGTTAGACGAGGGAACGTGTACTATCGAAACTATGCCTGTGGTGAGCGCGAATGCCCAGAAATCTTCGCACCAACATCGCACAAAAAGCGAGCCAGCGTAGTGCCTTCAAGACGAGCTCCTGTAGCCACTACACCCAGTGCCGACAGTCGATAACGTACAGACACAGAGTGCACGTCGGCGAACTGACGGAGACCGCATCCCATTGGCGGAGCGTTCCTATTCGCCAGGCGGTGCAGCAGCAAAGCTCCGTTCATATTTTTTCCATCTGGCTATCCTGCCCCCACGCGCCTGTGCCCTCCAAGTCCGACGCCAGCCGACGGGCCAGCAAGACGCGTCGTACACCATCTCTATACCCATTCGCCTTCTCTAGTCATACTTTTTGGACCTCGTATCTTATAAACGCCAGCTCGCTTTCCCTTGACCTTGACCTAGTGAACTACGCATGCACGAATCACCTATAATGGAAATCAAGGAGGAGCTGGATTATGAAGGACTGTCTCCGAATGCAGGGCTTGGTGTACGCAGATCTTATTTTCGATTTTTATCTGGAGCAAGATGAGGACGTTATGCTGATTAGGGCGCATTGTCGGTTTCTAGGTGAACATGTTGGCTGGAGCACTTGTGGGACTCATTCCTTCCTTCGTCATAATTCGGTGGCAGAGCTGCTTCATGCCGAATGGCGATTCGTTTACTCAGTAGGCAAGGACGCTGAAATATGGCTTCGTCGTTCTCTAGGCAGGAATCACAGAACACTCTGTCATGTATCCCTTTGACAGCATAAAAGTGCGTCGCCATACATTCTGTCTTTCAAGCCTTCCTTGACCATTCGCGTGTCGCGTTCTCCGTTCAAAATTTGCAGACACGAATGCAGGTCTTCACGACTTCGCCAGCAGCAGTGTACTCGGGCATTGGGAACGCTATCACGCGGATATCGTCGACGGAAGGCGCGCGCGCACTATGGCGGGGGGTATCGTCAGTGATAGCAGGTGCGGGGCCAGCGCATGCAGTGCAGTTTGGGACATATGAGGCCGTGAAGGAGTTCACGGGAGCAAATGATGATTCGTCAGAGTATCAGTGGGCTTCTACAGGTGCGTTTCCGTCTGTTTTGCGCTATGAGGAAGACAAAGTTGAAGTATGGCTGGGAATTCGTCCGTGATGTAGCACTGGCTGGTGCATCGGCAACGATTGCAAGTGACGCACTCATGAATCCCTTTGATGGTGAGTACTTCCCTATACTCATATTATTTCAGTGAATATTTGATAGAGCCTGGTGAGTGTAGTGATAAAACAACGGATGCAAGTCCACCAATCCGAATTCCGGTCTATGGTTACCTGCGCCTCCACCGTATTCCGCAATGAAGGCCTTTCAGCCTTCTATGTCTCCTACCCAACAACCCTCACCATGACCGTACCCTTCACGGCCGCCCAGTTTACCGTGTACGAGCAAATCAAGAAGTTTATGAACCCTTCGGGCACGTATTCGCCAGTATCACATATCGTCGCCGGCGGAATTGGAGGTGGTGTTGCCGCGGGGCTTACAACACCCTTGGACGTGGCGAAGACGTTATTGCAGACGAGAGGGACATCGAGCGATTTGGAGATTAGGCATTGTAGAGGGATGCTGCACGCGTTTCAGATTATATGGGCGAGAGATGGTGTGAAGGGTTTCTTCAGGGGGTTGTCACCGAGGGTGGTCACACATATGCCCAGTAGTGCGCTCTGTTGGATGTCTTATGAATTCTTCAGTGTGTTCTATTCATTGCCTCGTCCGTCGAATAGCGCTGATCATGATTGTTCTTCATATCTACAGAGGCTACAATTCGCGAAGACTAGGTCTTCTTCTGAACCTGTAGTGGTCACTGCATGGCACACACTTCATCCACACCGAAGATATGGTTCGTCGTGCCTTGGGCTGCGCGCGGGAGTAGATGGACAGCCGTCGTCCGTCCGGCTACAAATAATCACATAGGGCGATGAACCTACCACGCCGTGTACGCATTTCTTCATCGTCCACATTGTTGTCAGTTTCTAGATCGTGTCTCTTTCCTTTCACTCCGTCATTTCCTCTTGCATGCTCTCGTATTCTTGGCTTTATATTTTGCATCTTAGTTCCACGTATGGTAATAGCATCCACCACTTGTCATGGGATTTCTTGGTCATGTATCGTATAGCCTGAAGCTACTTGCCCGATGGTAGTTGCTTAGGGTAAGTTAAGTACAGGACTGACGAAGTTGTGCTTGGGCGTCAGCGATTCGAGCTGCCTGCGGTACAGGAGAGTCTATTTATAGCTCAAGTAGTGTTCCGGGCGTTTCCGACAGCGTGTTGAAGTGGCGTCTGGTTTCTGTCCTTATGTGGGGCCGAGCTAACTGCCCGACATCAGTAACCGCCATGTCGACCTCGTCCATGCGGAAGTTCCAACACAGAAAAGATCTATGGCCTCGGCGACTTCTACTTGCTCTCATCATTCTCTTTCCGTGTTTTTGTGTCTTCTCGCTCTTCGCCGTTCTGAAACACGCACTCGAATCGCATTACACTCGTACGAGCGGGGCGCCGAGACCACATACTTCGCCTGGAGGCTCCATCCCGCCGCTCGCCGCTGTACAACCGCTATCTGCCAAATGGTCGGCTGGTATTTCTGTATCCGACTCTAACTTGCCACATTTCACTCTCGACTCAAGACCGGACTATCGAGCCATCACTAGCTCACACTATGACGCCACAGATTATGCACAACAACTTCTACACGCTCGACCTATCGGTCCTCGGTCTCTCGCAATCATCCTTCCTGTAACCTCTCAAAGCCTCTCCCATCTGGAAACGACTATCCTTTCACTCTACCAAGACCCCGGCGCTGTCACAGAAATCATCGTCCTAGCCTACGAACCCATCCTCTCACTAACACGCCGTACACTTCGTACCATTATGACCACGATCTCCCCCAATCCCGACATCATCTTCCCCACTGAGATCACGCTCCGAAATTGGAAACCTATCCTTACGCAAGCCGAAGCGTCATTGCGGTGCATGTCCCGCAACAGTGGCACGAGTGAGTGGGTCCTGGTTCTTGACCAGCGGTATTTTGAAGGGGTGGGGGAGGAGATGAGGAACATGTTATTGAGCCCGCCAAATGTTTCGTTCCCGCTTGGAATAAGAGGGTCAGGCGTTGGAGAACGTGAGGTGTTGTCTTACGCTGGTTTGAGGGGGTTCGAGGAGGACGATGTGGCCGGAGAGGTGGATTATCAGGAAATCTCCCATTCTGAGGAGCTACGTCCGGTCTCGTTCCTCGTCCCGCCTTTCGTTCTTCCGACTCGACTCCTGGGTGACAGCATCGACAGGACATCTGCATCCAACTTGAAAGATACCGACACTCATCTGAGCTCTTGGGCAGCTTTTGGACACTGGATCTCGAGTACTCGCCCGGACAAAATCGGAGGCGTCGCTCTAGGGTACGGAGAAGCTTCAAGTACGACATCGGGCTATCATACTCAGCACGGGAGAGGCGATATTACGAGCGACCAGTGGGCCGCCGACTCTGGTGTTCTTTCTTCTCTTCCTCTAGCCCAGGCCTCGCTCTCTCAGACTCGTCTTCTCGGGATGTTCGGCATACTTATGTATTCTCTGGAGGACCTCGCTCGCTTCGCTCCTGTGGCGTGTAGGCTCGTGAAAGATGGACATCAAGTGGAGATATTGCTTTATGGACAGGGGCAATCGCGCAGTGTTCTTAATCCCGACCTCGAGGATGGAAGCAAGATGTTTGTGCAGGGCACTGTCTCTGGGCCTGGCCAATGCGATCTTCGTTACCGATCAATGGCTGAGCAGCAACGATCGCCGTATAGGACTTTGGCTACATGGCTCGATGGCTTCATGGAGTCTCCGGATGTGCTCGTATCATCTGTGGAAGACGATATATTTGGCGATACTCTCTCTATACAACTTAAGGAGCGGCGATGGGACAAGATGGCTACATTGATTCGGCTTCCTCGAGGCGATTTGCCGTACAGTGACTGGATGGGAACGCTCTCACTGGAGGAGTGGAAACGTGAGTTTCATTACCTGAATATCTTAGGAACCTACTCTGACATTATCTGCAGATTGGAACATACCCCACATAGACCTTAGCGTCATCACTGACAGCCGTCCAGCCTCCCTCGGACGCCTGCTCAGCTCTCTACAAAATGCACGCTACTTCGGTGACAAACCTCGGCTACGAATCAACATCGAGGACTCTGCAGACGAAGAGACCCTCAGCATGGTCGATCAGTTCGAGTGGCTTGGAGGTGCGGAGAACGTCTTCGCTCATCATCGGGTGGTGCATGGGGGTCTGCTTCCTGCTGTGGTCGAGTCGTGGTATCCTTCATCGGACGATTCGTATGGATTGCTGCTGGAGGATGATGTCGAACTTTCACCGCTTTTCTACGCTTGGGCGAAGATGAACGTTCTCCACTACAGGTAATAACGCCCCGTCCCCTTCATCAAGTACGTGCTCATCGTCAATCATTCCAGATACGGTAAACCATCGGACAAATCCTCGTCCTTGTTCGGCATCAGCCTCTTCCAGCAAAAGAGCATCGAGCTTCGCCCGGAAGGTCGTACACCCTTCCATCCACGTCAGCTATTCGCACACTCCGGTCTCGAACACCCCAACACCCCCTACCTCTCCCAAATCCCATGCAGCTGGGGCGCAATCTACTTCCCTTCCCAATGGCGCGAGTTTCACGCCTATCTCTCCTTGAGACTCTCTGGCCTCGACCCTTCGTCGCCTCATCACCTACCATCAGAAGACATCGCGCTCGATGTGAGATCGAACAGGTGGAAACATTCGTGGAAGAAATACTTCATCGAGCTGGCGTATCTTAGGGGATACGTGATGCTTTATCCGAATTTCGCAGATTTCAAGTCGCTGTCGACGAATCATCTGGAGGTGGGGTCCCATGTCAAGAAGACACCAAGAGCGATATACGACAAGAAAAAGGCACTATTCAACTTACCCCTCATGCCTCTTCCGAACGTCAATATGACCCTCCCCCCTTCAGTGTTTCCCTCGATGGGAAAGGATCCAGAGAGGACGCGAGAGCTAGAAGGGGGTACATGGAGGATAGTGGAACAGTTGCAGACGGGTTTGTTGGATCTGCCTGAGGGGAGACTGCCGAGCTGGAGGGACATGCCCGTGTTAGATCTGCATGGGGAGTTTGCGTCGGGGTTGGAGATCAAGGAGAGAGGAGCAGCACGGAGGATGGAGCTGTTAGGATGCTCTACATCGAGCTTTCAGTCGGGTCATGGACCAGCGTACAATGCGAGGGCATCATTGTGTTTGACACCGTAGGTGCAGTGATTTATCGTTCTGCGTTCTTTCTATGTTTCTACTATTTCTGCGAGCAGGTCTCGGGGAATCGATACCCACTCACTGTTATTGTTTTGCGAGAATCGGATCCGGCCATGATACAATCACTATAGATACCTGTACCATTTAGTAGTTTTGGCGACTGAGTGACTTACCAACAGGATGGCGAAAACCCAGTGTCACGATCATGTTGAAGTCGGTATCACCGCCGGTGAGCTAATCGCTTGGCTCACCTTCGGGTTACAAAGCTCGGGCTTCAGTTCGCCGAGGTTGTACTGATGCGAAACTAGCTACGTCGCTGAACACTTCGTGGTTGGTATCGCTTCGTACATGTACTGTCAATTCACGTTATGCCCTCAAGCTTCGCCTCGCGCTACTTTCCTTGCCAGAACTTAGCAGAGCTTAATGATAATTTCCTTGATCATTTCGCGACGGTGGCGACATCCTGCTTCCCAGTCGCGTCTGGCACTGGGCCGTGTCTGTTCCTCCTATTTCTTTCTCTCTTCTTTCCCATTGTACCGCTGCAACCGTCGGACCTTTGGCACTGACTAATGTGTTTTCTCATCTGCTAAGCATCATCTCTATTCGAGTTGGTGGGCTTCTGCGAACAGGAGAACCTCAAAACTTCAAATCACAGTTGCGCAATCATGGTAGCTAACGCAATTCTCCTGACCCCTGTCGTACTAATCCTGTCGTGCGCCCTATGGACTCTAACTGTGCTGTTAGACAATCGCCCTCACGTACTATGGTTCTGCTATGTATAAAGCCTGGTGATCACTCCGCTGTATCTACATCGTGTCTTCCACTTCCCAACCGCCAGCCATCTCTATCCTTTATTAACACACTCTCGACGATATGTCTGGATTCACCTCTTTTGCTGTCGTTGGTGCTGGCGGAATTGGCTCTTTCATCGTTGAGGAACTCCTTCAGTTGAAGGCCTCCAACAAGATCAAGAGTGTCGTCATCCTCACCCGCTCGGTCAGTATCTTGTCCATACTCCCTAACTACCTCCATACAAACGCTAGCTTTACATCTGCTAATATCCTGCAATATGTAGGCGAAGGACAACTCTAACCTAGATGATTTCGCTAGCAGAGGCGCCAAAATCACCGCCGTCGACTACTCATCTTCTTCCTCCCTCACCAGCGCTCTCTCCGGCATCGACGTTGTAATCTCCGCCGTCGGCATGGGAGGCATGACAGCCCAGCTCCCTCTCGCAGATGCCGCCAAGGCTGCAGGGGTGAAGCTCTTCATCCCCACCGAGTTTGGTAACCCAACGGATGACCCTTCGATTATACCCGAGAAGAGCCCTCTCGCAGTCAAGGTCGCGACCCAGAAGAAACTGAAAGAGCTGGGCCTGCCGTATGCGTTGTTCTTCACGGGACCGTTTAGTGACTTCTGCTTTGTTCCGTGAGTTATTTCTTTCATGTGTTGGCGTTTGATGAACATGTGCTAATGGATTGTCTGCAGGTTCCTCGGTATCGACCTTGAGAACGGTAAGGCGAGCGTCGGGGGAGACGGGAATGCCTTGATCTCCTGGACCGCGAGGCCCGATATCGCAAGGTTCTTGGCCTACGTCGTCACTGAACTTCCTCCTTCCAAACTCGAATGGGCGATCTTCCGCATTGAAGGCGAGCGCGCTGTAAGCATCTTGACTGCCAAGGCACTCTCATATCTTCTTTCGTGTCTGATGCCCTCTTTTGTGACTACGCAGTCTTTCAACCAGATTTTCGCAGCCTACGAGAAGAAGACTGGCAAGAAGATCGACGTCGCTTATAGGTCTGCCCAGGAACTCCAGGACACCATCGCCAGCAACCCTCACGACTTCGCAAGTCGCTTACACTTGAGCTGGTCAGTGGGACAAGGTCAGGTCGGGAAGCCGGAGCAGGTGTCTAACGGGGCGTACCCGGAGTGGAACCCCAAGGATGTACTTGCTGTCCTCGCGCCTTGAGCAAAGTGTTGTATTTATCTGTGTGTATGAGATTTAGAATTATACTTGTTTTATCGATGACCGTGATGATGTCCAAGAGTTTTTTTTTTTCGATCATCTGTGAGACACAGGTACTAGTCAAATCTGACGGTGATAGCGATAGCGAGAGTAAGGAACTGCCAGGCCTTCTGTATTCCCGCTACTTTAGTAGTGGGTCTTACAAGAAGTATCGTTCGGTTTTTGGCTTGTAATGCGACGACCTTCCCTATATGGTAGATGCTGACCAATTTCTGACTCAGCTATCCCGCCTGAGTTCGCCACACTTCGTGAACGTCCGTTTTGTCAATCTACTGCTAGTCCAAGTCATGACAGAATTGTTTCTAGAGTATTCATTTCTGTTCATGTTTTTAAATCGTAACCTCGGCAAGGTGTGAAGTGTGACACACATGTACTATGTTTGGGTCACGAAGCTGCTGGGCGAAGCCCTGCAGCGGCAGTGACGGTCCCCTCACTTGCTGGAGCAGTAGCACGTCATGCATACTCTTCGGACGTTGCTAAACAATTCGAAACTATGAGATCAATTGAACATCTTATGCTGCTCGTGGCCAATATGTTAGACTGGTACTTACATTTGGAGCAAAGATAAGTAGCGGGACCTGCCGTTCAGCGGCCTTACGCCTGCGTTATTGACAAAGAAAGAGACCCAGAGAAAGCGCAGGGCGAGAGAAAAGACACGAAACTTGAAGGAAGCCCGAAGAACAAATACTGTGTGGCGGCGAAGGCACATGTCTCTGAAGCAACTCTGAGGCCAGCCGCCACTGACTCAGGAACCAAACAAGCGTGGCCGTCTCCCGGGTCTTCAATGTTCGACCTCAGATCTTAGATCGTAATCTGATCGCTTTGTAGCCCAAGCAAGCCGACACCATTTCCTCCTCGTCCGCCACCCATCCTCTCTTCGGGCTTGCCACGGTCTCGAGCGCTTTCTCGGTCTCAGCGCAGTGACAAGCGATCACTGCTCCATCGACGAGTACAGGGCATACGTCGCGACGAAGAAAGGATAGATAGGCTGGTCGTGCGCATCGTCTGTATGCGGTGTGTACATCAGGTTTGTTCTGCGGGAGGAAGGGCAGCGATGTTCACGGACGAGTAGAGAGGAAGAGGAATGCCACGCCCAAGGAAGGGAGCAAGAGCTGGAAGATTGGTTTGAAGAGATATTCCCTGACATCGCGGGACGGTCCGATATATCGGCCTCAATCGGAGTCTCCACAGTCATGATGGACTGGCCATGGATGGCCATTTGACTCGGATTGCCCATGGGCGTGATGAACAACGAAGAATCCATCGCCACGATAGTGTCTTTTTCTCCAGATTCACAAGGGCATTCTCTGAGCGTCAAGGAAGCGCAGTATTTCTTCTCCCATTCTCCCGTTACAATGGATTGCATTACTTTTCAATGTGGATCAACGACCATCTGCTAAGCAGATACTGGCATTCCAAGTCGAGAAGGTGGGTTCTTGCAACAGAATATTCCCAAGCTCCAAATCACTGTGGCACCATCAAGGCAGTCAACGCAATCCTCCTCACCTCTCTTATTCATGTTGTCGTGCACCGTACAGCACCGTACGGACTCTGCGTCCAATGCTGTCATGGTGCACTGACCAACTGTGGCTCTGTTGTATATAAAGCCTGTTGATCTGTTTGCTTTATCGATAATCTAAATCCAGTTGCTTTATACTATCTGGTCATCTCTATACTCGACTAACAAACTCCCGATAACATGTCTGGATTCACCTCTTTTGCTGTTGTTGGTGCTGGTGGGATTGGCTCCTTCATCGTTGAGGAACTTCTCAAGTTGAAGGCCTCCAACAAGATCAAGAATGTCACCATCCTCACTCGCTCGGTTAGTACACGGCTTCCATCCCATACTGACATCTGTTTTCATCTCATGTGCTAACACCGTCCCATAATATGTAGGCGAAAGACAACTCCAAGCTTGACAATTTCGCCAGCAAAGGCGCCACGATCACCGCCGTCGACTACTCCTCTCCGTCCTCCCTCGCCACCGCCCTCTCCGGAATCGACGTTGTCGTCTCCGCCGTCGGAATGGGCGGCATGAGCATCCAGTTCCCTCTCGCAGATGCCGCCAAGTCTGCAGGAGTGAAGCTCTTTATTCCCACCGAGTTTGGTAACCCCACGGAAGACAATGGGACGATCTCTGAGAAGAGCCCTCTTGCGACGAAGCTTGCGACCCAGAAGAAATTGAAGGAGTTGGGGTTGCCGTATGCGTTGTTCTTCACGGGACCATTTACCGACTTCTGCTTCATCCCGTGAGTATTTTCTTTCATATATTGACCTCTCGGTCTATCTCATACTAATGGATTGGCCGCAGGTTAATCGGTCTTGACCTTGAGAACGGAAAGGCAATCGTCGGTGGGGATGGTAACACCCCAATCTCTTGGACTTCGAGGCCTGACATCGCAAGGTATCTGGCCTACGTCCTCACGGAACTTCCTCCATCCAAACTCGAGTGGCGGGACTTCCGCATCGAAGGCGAGCGTGCTGTGAGCATCCTATTCCCATGGCCATCTCATACCTTCCATCATCCCTGACGACATTTTCTCGTATCATGCAGTCCTTCAACCAGATTTTCGCGGCCTATGAGCAGAAGACCGGCAAGAAGATCGACGTCACGTACAAGTCTGCACAAGAACTAAAGGACGCACTCGCCAGCAACCCGCGTGATTTCTTGAGTTATTTGCAGCTGGTTTGGTCATTGGGGCAAGGCCAGGTCGGGACGCCGGAGCAGGTGTCGAATGGAGAGTACCCGGAATGGAACCCCAAGAAAGTGCTCGATGTGATTGCGCCTTGAGTCAAGAGAATTGCGACTTTCGTGTTCGATTCAGAGGGTTTGTATCATGATGTAGAATAATTATTGTTTTATCAGTCGACGAACCTGAAGTCTAGTGAATAATTTTGGTCAAACGTCCTTGTGCGGAAGCCCTTCACGCCACTGAAGGAGGTGTCTAATATCCTTAATATTGCAGGTCATGTACTGTACACCTTTCTGGTATCGCACTATATAGTATCACTATCCGTAACAGACAGGTAACAGTCACATATAACAGTCATAGCGAGAGTAGCCGCCAATCATTTTGTATTCGCACAGCAAGAGACTTGGAGAAAGCGAAAGAAGAAACAAAAGATGCAAAAATTGAAAGAAAATGAAGAACAAATATTGTGTGGCTGCGAAGACGAACAATCAGTCGCCACATATAAGAACCAGACGAGCCGGGGGACCCCGTCTCTCGGGCCCTCTCAACGTTCGACCTTAGATCGTGATCTGATCGCTATGCAGCCCAAGCACCTTCAAGAACAGATTGACGTTGGCCAATTTTGCCACCATCTCCTCTTCGTCCGCCACCCATCCTCTCTTCGCGCTCGCCACATTCTCGAGCACCTTCTCTCTCAGCGCGGTGACGAGCGCCTGCTGCTGCTCCATCGACGAGTGCAAGGCATACGTTGCGAAGAACTGCCAGACGGGCTGGTCAAGCGCGTCGGTCTGCATTTGGTGTGCGTATTGGGCTTGTTCGGCGGGTGGGAGTGCGGCGATATTCATGGCGAGGCGAGTAGACGGGAAAAGGAACGGCAGGTGTGGGAGCAGGAGCTGGAAGATGTGGTTGAAGAGATGTTCCCTAAGGAAGGACCGAAAATTTCAGCAAAAGGCAGCAACGATCACGACGAGGCTAAATTGGAGGCTACTGACCATTGTTGCATCTCATCTGGGGATGGAAGGTCGGTCATATCGACTCCTGTTGCAAGATTCTGCTTGATGAGCTCGGCCCGACTCAGGAAAAGTGTCAGGAAGGCCATCCCGGGCTGAACAATGCAATATATCAGTGATTCCATCCGTTAATTCGGGGAAAGGAAATAAATTGGAAACGTACCTTAGTCTGCGAGATTGCCACGATATCGTTCCTCTCCAACAGCAAGCCTAACAAGCCGCTGACGAGTCTCAAACCGGCCTTCGCCACAACAGGCAATATAGTCGAGATGACACTCCCAAGGAAGATCTGGGTCTGCCTCTCAATATCCGCTTGCTGTTGCGACGGAATGGGCGTGTCAAGGAGGGAAGCATGGACGACGATGTCCATTTGTGAGAAACAGGCGACGAGGAGGGTGAGCATGGTGAGCATCTGCTGTTGGTCGAAGTGTTTGTAGATTCGGGGGAGAAGCTTTTTGCCCTTCGCCGGGGTGATGAGGGAGATGAAAGGATGGGGAGTGCTATGTAGAAGGTCTTCTGTCAGTTTGCGGACGACTTGTAGGCAGTGAGAAGGAAAAACCTGGTCTCGAGCGGGGCCATGACCTGAAGCTTCTCAAAGAGCTGCTGGATCATTTCTCTTAGCTGTGCTTCCCTGACAAGACAGACCGCTGGTTAGTATATCAACAGTAGCGATACCATGCAGCACTTACCAGATGCCCATAGCTTCGAAGTCTTCGGGATCATCTGGTTGTTCTCTCCCGATTTGCTCGATGTTCAGTGCAAGGTCGTAAAGGCTCTCCAGAGTGATCAAAGCCTCTCGCGTGGTGAGTGGGTCCCTGTGAATTGGTCCATCCGACTGAAACATTCGATGACAAAAAAAACCTGACGTTAAAACACGATACGAACGAACTTCCGTCGGGAAACGTACATCGTCAGCGGTTCCGAGAGCCGCAGCACCGATCTTAGCAGCTTCCTTAGCAGCACCTTCACCCTCCTGGCGAATGGCGTCCTCACGAGAAATATGCGCATGGGTCGCCGCAGGACTGGTGTTTCCGTTAGCGTTTCCTGGCTCGACCTGGAGAAGTTGACGCGGAGCGGCCTTGTAACTCCTTCCGGACGTCTTTCCCAAAGCACCTTGCAGGCTGTGTACAGCTGTGCAGGATATAAGTACGCAGCCAGGCGTACATGGGAGAGGCAGAGGACCCACAGTGCATGCCCTTTTCCTTCTCCCTCAACCTTGCGTTTGTCACGATCCTCTCTACCTGCTGCTCCATCTTCTGCATTGCATTCGGCCGTCTGCCGGAGCCTTTCTGCCCAAGGCCCAGTCCGACACCCCCACCAGATCCAAACTTGAGCACACGATCGTCAGAAGGTTGCATGCCCATTCGAGAACGGATGATAGCGCCATAGACTTGTGCGTAGAAGTCCTCTGCGTACGGGTCCTGGGTGACGAGTTGCGAAACTTGGATGCGAGTGATGAAGTCCTTGTCTGACTGGGTCATCAGATCGTTGTATCGGGACTAGAAATATGATAGACAGCGTGTCAGAGAGCTGCAAAAGTGTCGCACAAACCTCGGTAATGACTGCCGTTAGAAAAAGCAACAAAATCGCACCATATGGTTTATTTTCGCTGCCTTCAATCTCCTCTTCTCTTCCATCCTTTCCGTCTCCATGATCCTCCTCATCACCTGGGCCCTCACCACATTTGGGTCTTCCTCCGTCGACGGCTGCATGTTCTGTAAGAACTCGGCCTGCGCAAGCTCAGACAATATCCGCTGCTGCAACTGGATATTCTGCGGAAGAAGCTGACCATTGGCCTGCTCGTATGCGACTTGCATGTGAGAATCGATCAGCGCAGGCGAAGCACGGTGTCTCCTCCGCTCGAGTTGCTGCTGAGTCGCCATATCCGCCAGAGCCAAAGCCTGCTGTGGGGTCACGCCTCTCGACAGATACTGGCCTTGTAAAAGCTGCTGCTGCTGCTGCTGTTGGTGCTGCAACTCCTGAAGCCTCGCCGCCCTCATCTGCCGCTCTATCTCCTCCAGCCTCAGCTGTTCCTGCAACTGAAGCTCCTGAAGCTGCCTCTGCCTGTCGCGATCTCTGATCTGCTGCTCCCGCAAGATCTGCTGTTCCCGCAACTGCTGTTCCAACAATTGTTGCTCCCGTTGCTGTTGGAGCAGAAGTTGCTGATGCTGTTGTTGCTGATGGAAACGGGGCGACTGGGACTGGGGGTGCATCCGCGGAGGGGCGGTTCGTTGTTGCTGCTGATAGTACTGCTGCTGCTGTTGCTGCTGTTCTTGAAGGAGTTGTTGACGTTGAGTGGCGACAGCGGCGGTCCGTGTCCGTTGAGCTGCAGCCCGCATCTCTGCCTCGATCTCCTCAAGAGTCCGAATTCCACCTTGATTGACGAGACCCTGGGGATTCAGCTGGGCCGCAGAGAGGCCGGGAGAGGGTACATGGGCTTGCGCCTGGCTCGTAGACGGGGTTGAACCATTCGAGTACTGGCCAAGACGCGGAGACGATGTTGTGCGATTGAGATCGGCCTGTGTACGAAGAGTGCCATTCATACGAGGAAGAACAGAGAACGGAGATCTTTCGTCCCATAGCGAGTGAGGTTGACGGGCTGTAGAGAAATGCAAAAGAAAAACAAAAGGTTACACGAGCGTGAAGAGCAAGCAAGGCCTGTAAACGCCGTACAAGGTTGCTGCTGGCCTTGCTCAGAGATTGATAGGCCTTCGAGACTCGGGGTACCGGGCCCAGGCGAAGCCGTCTCGAAGAAACCAGGCAACTTTTGGTCGATGAAGCCGGAGTTCTCTGTAAATTTCGCTGAAGAGACGAGCTGGTCGTCCGAAGGCAGAGCCTGCTGCGCAAAATCAAAGTCCTTTCCTGTGCACAGTGAGCAATTACTTAAAAGTATATAACAGGGTATAGGGGATGCGCACCGATAGCCCCCGTGCCGCCAAATGTCTCATCGTTCAGCTCGTCCCCGCCCTCCTGCAAAACGTCGCCCAGTCCGTCATAGCTTTCCTCTCCCCATGTATAGACCGCCAGATCTTCGTCACCCTTCCTGCCCGCAGCGAAGTCCTGTTTTTCTCGTTGAAGATCGTTGTTTTGCTCGAATCCGAAGAACGACATAAAGATGAGACGGCGGTGAGAGTCAAGTCCGCGAGGCCAGCATAGGTATCAAGGTTTCACCAGAGCTGATTGGTGCCACTTGACTCCTTTTCTGGTTTCGCCGCCACAACATCTCCATCACAATGTGGCCCACGCTCATCAACGCCAAAATAATCATGATACAACGGTAAATTGCTAATGGTGTATATGTGTTGTTGCGTTACATGCGAGAAAACATACATCTACTTGTACGTCCTCCGCGCTAATTATCGTGAATACAAACAGGGGGGAATGACAACAGCAATGCTGACTACGAACTTCGGAATAGAGAAGAGAATTGAGAAAGACATCTTAGCTGGTGTGCCCTGAGGCCCTCAGATCAAGGAAAGGGTAACAATGTGTATGCAGAACTGGTGTATGTATGTCCGTTATCAAATTGAATGCGTTCCTTCTCCGTAAACCGGCCTACGCCTTGTCAGCCGTAGAGATCGCATGCGCATCCTCCAAGGCGTCCAAGAGCGTACTTGCGCTCCAAGCCTGAGTAGGGCACGAATCGTAACAGAATCCGCCATTCTCGTTGGTCAGCTCCGGTAGACCTCTCCAGGGATCCTTGCGGATATGTGCGCGAGAAGTGAGGAGGGAATTATGAATATAGTGGAGTGAGACAGATGGGTCCTGGGTTAAAAGATCTTATTAGGAACTGCGATGCGGCACGTAAATAAAAATCGCTTACCTTCTTGCCATCTCCTACTCGAGTGTCGAAGTAGAGGTATGCGCGTAGGAAGTATCCTAAAGGCCACCCCCACTCAGGACCCTAAAACATAGAGAATTCGTATCAGCCGCAGACTTATGAAACCAATTCACAGAAGGATCCAGGACGTGAGCATACCTGATGGTAGTTCCTCCCCTTAGCCACAGCCGGATCGCTCGAGTCGTTCGCGTTATCGTAGTGTGGCCTATATTGCATATCGCTCGGGTCCAGCGTCTTCATGCCCAAGGGAGCCCTCAAGACCTGGTCGGCCAACTTTAACGCGCCCATAGCGTGTTCGGGAACGAACAACTCTGGAGCGACCGTCATGGCAATGGGAAAATTGGCCCTGAACTGGTAGTCGGACCATTCGCGGCCGGTACCAGCACCGAAGGTGTCTTTGTAGATTCCGCGACGGTTCACGAGGGAGGAGTTGAGGGTGTACTTTGAGTCCTCAGTGGGATCTATATATTTGATTAGACCTAGGACGAGAGAGGAAAAAAAACCACCGCTACTCACCCAAAGGAACGTAGTAAGACTTCTCGAAAGACTCTTGGATCAAGTCATTCCACTCTTTATATGTGACCAGGCGGCGCTTTCCATCGACTAAAACCATTCAGAATCAGCACTGATACTCAAGCATGGAGATACATCGCGAAATGAACTCACTCCCAGCTTCAACACCCTTGAACGGAAACTTGCCCTTGCCCGCCAATCCATCCAACCACCTCAATGTACTCTTTACCAATCCAGTAATCTCCACTGGCGCTCCATCCCTAGGCGTCCCCGGAAGCCCCTTCGTACCCGCCTTCTCAGACTCTCCCATCTTATCCATCCAGGTCCCACAATTCCATTCATTCCCACCAGAGACGAGGCCCGTCTTCCAGTCGACTTTAACTTCGATGTTGAACCCTGGATCGCGCATCTGCATGTCGAGGTTCGGTCCCGCATTATGCTCGCGGAAGGAGATGCCATCGGCGTGGCGCTGGAGGATTTCCTGGATGATTTCGGCGATGGTGCTGGTTTCCGAGTAGGCGCGAGGGTCGTCCCAGGGAACCCAAGTATCGTCTTTGGGGAAACGACGCTTGACCGGTTCGTCGAGAATGGCTAGGCCGTCAGGAGCCTTCGTTGTGTAGTCTTGGATATTTTGTAACATCCACCAGGGAGAATCACGGGAGTTATATCTATATTCATACATGTCAGACAATTATCGAGCTTCGCAAAAATATGGAAGATACGCGTACCTCGGGTTCCTCACCGAATCCAACAAGTTCGGAATCAGTCCATGCTTCAACGTCGACGCAAACGCCACGATATGCTTCTTCGCATCAACAAACTGCCCCGTCGCCAAGAACAAGCCCCTCAACGAGATGAACACATCTCTTCCCCAGCACCTTGCCCATCCTGCCGCAAAGTGCGGCAAGCCAGCCGCGAGCGAAGGCGTCGGCTTGCCCGGGTCCAAGCTTGCAGACTGCACCCTACCATGCATCTGGACGGCAACGAGCGCAAGATCATGCGTGAACGAGTGTCCTGACGAGACGAAGTCTGAGCATTGCTCAATGGCGGCACGACGTGCAGCTTTGTAGGCTTCAGAGATGACAATGGCGAAATATTTGGGGCGGAGGAAAGGCGGGACGGAAGTCTTGATACGATCAAAGCGCGCTTTGAACCATTCCGCCGGCTTGGCGAGATGAGGAAGGTAGGAAGCTTGCTTTGAAAGTCGAGAAGGAACGTAATCCAACGCCCAGGTGCCCTCCCTGAGATGACCGCAAAGCGGGTGGCCCAAGTCGTTGTAGCGCATAACGTGACGGAGAGCGTGCATCCAGCCTTCCAATCCACAGAACTTGGACTTTCCGGCGCCAGGAATATCGTATCCTCCGATCTCTCCGTTCGTCGCATCGAGCTCCTCACCCTCGGACCTGAACAGGACGACGTTGAGATCGACAAGGTCAAGCTCATCGAATGCTTTATCAGCTCCGGATGCGCAGAAGGCGTCGAGCTCTGTGTCGAAGCCTTGCAAGTGAGTCTCGAAGATCATGATGCTACCGGGAGGGAAGTAATCGGGGACGATAATATCCGAGTAAGGGCCTTCACCGTCGCTTCCTTCAGGTACGTGGGGTGCAGGAATGGGAACAAGTTTGGACGGGATACCGCCCAGAGTTTTATCATCAGCTTTAGGCCCTGCTTCAGAAAACTCGATACTGCTGCCAAAGATGAACTTGACTTTGGAGCCGCGCAGGCGGATGGGTTCAACTGTGATGATAGGCTATCAGGTCTAGTTGGAAGAACCAAAGCCATGCGTGGACTTACTATTTCCACGATCCTTAGAACCTTTACTATTCGCGAAGGCATTGTGGGCGACCATGATGTACCCCTTCTGAGTGCCTGGCTGGACTCTGTGCATCACTATATACTAAAGAAAGTTTGGTGGTTAGCAAAATGTGTCGAATTGAAGGGAGAAAGCATCCTACGTCGTTTTCCTGATGCACATGACCCTCTTCATAACCGCCTACAACCATCTCCCTATGCAAATTATTCAACAGCCTTTTGGCCACCGCAATACCACTTCTCCCGAATTCCCCTTCCTTCGCATCACCTAATCCGACAAGTTCATACAGCCTCTTCTCCGTGACAAGCTCTAGAAGTTTAGGATACACCTCGTCGTAGCCCTTCACGCTGCCGGTGGCGCACCACGAGAATGCTACAACGGCGGCGGCAGAGAGCGTGTGCTCCGCGGAAAGCTTCATGGCAGTCGACTCGTTGTCGTGTGTCTGGTCGTAGAGAAGCGCATGAGGAAGCGAACCGGTAACAGGACTGACGAGGCAAGGTCGAATGGGCCCTTTCCCTGAAGGCGTCGGCGACTGAATGAAAGATGGCGTAGTCAGGCATGCTCCGTCCATAGAACCGATAGGCTTCCCGAGCCCATCACGCCAGATAATACGCGAGAACTCCTTCGGGTCGCCAGCGTTGCCCGCCTCGCGAATGAGACTGTTAATACCCAGACGACTGACGAAGATCGTGTCCATGTCCTCACTACCGGTGAACAGCTCCGCGACGACGTAGAGATCGGGATTGACCTCGCGAGCACGGTCTAGGAGGAACGTTCCCACGTGAAGAGGGGTTGAGTGACAGTTGTCGAGACGGAAGCCAGTGAAGGCGCGAGCGAGGGTAGTGACATATTTCGTCATGTGCTCCCAGAGGAAAGGAGAGTCTTCGGGTGAAGAGCCGTAGTTAAGTTTGACACAGTCGCCCCAGGCGATGACGGTACGTTGGAAGTAAGCCTTTGAGGGAAGGAGAGCAAAGTTCGATAAGGGATCGGCCGCCCACATCCAGCCGTTGACGGCCAAAGAGTACTTGAGAGGGTCCTTCTCGTGGCCAGGAATGCGAGCGAAGTAAGACTCCATGAGCGGTGATCTAGAAACAACGATTGTCAGCGAATGCTCAGACCGATAATATTTCGTTCACTTACTTCTGGGTGATCTCTCCCAATCGGGGACCATGCTCGTCGAGCCTGGTATACTTCAACCTTCCGCGAATGCTTTCGATGGCTATCTTAGTATCCACTTCCCATTCCTCGTACAACGGGACATTCAGAACATCCACAACCTTCACCCAGAACTCAGCGAGAGCGTCGATATCGCCTCCCTGAAGAGCAGTCTGAGTGATCCCAGCAGCCACTAAGCCATCCACCGACACGCCAAAGCGCTTCGCGTATTTCCCGAGACCTTGAATATGTTTTCCGTTCTCGAACGAGCGGAGCGTCACGGCGATATCGACAGGAGACTTGCCGGCGAGGTCGGGACCTTTCCAAGGGGTAGCCTTCCCACTCTTCAGAGCTTTATGGACCTCTTCCTTCTCGCGCTCGGTGTCGAGGACATAGTACTGCCAGAAGTTGAGCGGTTTGATATAGTCGGCGAATGCGTTCGTCAGAGTATCGACATCGCCCATGGAGTTCACAGAGGTAGGAAGGCCTTTCTCACTAAGTAGGCTAGAGAACTCGATCATCGCGTTATCCAGCTCAAGAGCTGAAGTGAGGTGAGGGAAGGTCGCGGGGCTAAATCCTGATGCAGGTTACAGTCACCTTCAGTCTCCCGAAAATTTGACAAAAGGTCCAAAACTTACCAGCTTCGGGATGATCCTCCAGCCAGGTGCTGTTGTTCGCCGTGTGGTTGAGAACGACATCGGTCAAGTTCAACAACCCATATTCTTCCCTCGCGAGCTTGAGGATTTCCTCCATCTTCGCAATACCGCCATCGGCCTTGATATCCTTGTTGTCATCGAACATAGCAGGCTCGTACTTCAACTGGTCCTTAATCGAGTAAGGCGAGTCGCTCTCGCCACGCTCCTGCAACGGCGTCCAGTGAAGCATGTTGTAACCGCGGTCCCTCGCCTCCGCAAAGAACTGAGGCCACTTTGAGACGGGGCCCATCCATTTCGAAACGGTACTGAGGAGAGAGACGGCGGAAAGAGGGATGTTCGTGAACTCGTCCTTGAGGGCACCGCCTCCTTCCGAGGGGGGGAGAGGTATCAAGTCGGAGGAAAGAATGGGAGCCCGAGCTTTGGTCCGAAGGATTGGGTCGATGTTGAAGTATCCTACGCGACCCTTAATCCGGGAACCTGCAGTGGCACCATCGTATTCGACCCAATAGGCAAACGCGCCGGCATGGGAGATGGGCAGATCAATCTCGATAGGCTTGGAGACGTCGGTCGGAAGTCTACAATTGACGTCGTGAGTTAAGGCCTGCCTCTGCATGGGTACAGGGTTTGCTTACTTTTTATCGCAAAAGTTGTTGCGATCAAACTGTCCTCCTTCAAGAGGGAAGTTGGTCTTGAAGACGCCGTTTCGGGAAGCAGGAGTGCCAGCCTCGAGCGATACACGCAAGATATAGGGAGTGTAAGCTGGAGGGAGACGAATGTACTGTAAAGTCTAATGTGAGTCTGTGCTCAGATGTAGAGATGATTACTGCGAGCAACTCGAAGGTGTGATCTCTTGGCCCTCAACCGATGAAGTCACATAACCTCAAGCTCCCGCAGAGCCATTACGTGAAATAATACAGAACAGAACGACGTACCGCAACTTCCTTGCTCGGCCCACCGTCTGCATCGAGTGCTAACTCGTAGACTCTGACGGGTGGCTCGCCCTTTTTGAATTCAGACTCGAAGAACGCGATACCCTCGTCTGCCGGCGTCCTAGGCGTTTTCTGCGCTCTAGAAGAAGTGGGCGAATTGCTCGCAGATGAGCCTGTAGAAGACATCCCTCCGCTGGGGATGGAAAGAGTTCCCGGAGCCAACGCCTTCTTTGCTTTATTCGCCGTAGACTTCGCCTTGTTCTTCGCCATCTTTAGTTTTTATGAAGGTGGAGAGATGTCCAGAGAATGCGGCGTGAGCGAGAGAAGGAGGGTATGGACAAGTGAGGGGATGCGCGTCCCGAACCTGGACGTGTTGAAAGTCTATATAAACCGCCTTTTGTGGACGACGTCATGGCTTCTGAATTGCTCTCGCCCCAGATGGATGCACGTTGCAAAAGTTGATATGCATTGATATCGGAAATTTCCCTGACCTTCCCGGACTTACCCCGCGGGTGGCGATCTGGGGAAAGGTACGAACGTTGTGGGGCGCCACACATCCCAAACTCTGGAGTCGCAAACATAAACCGAAAAATAGCATAGAATACAGTCAATAAAGCTGGTACACGATCGACGCAAATCCAATATATTACAACACGCTACGACTTTCCCTTTCATAACCGCCGCCCCTCCGCTTGAGTATTCGAATTCATTATGCCTGCCTAAATCCCCACCACCTCCGATCCGCCCCTCCACCTTCCTGCCTACCCCAATCCTGGCTTTCAGGTCTTCTCTTCCTAAGTTTATTGCTCTCGACGGCCGGCGCACGTTCAGGATCTAATTAGAATACGATTACATTGAGCCCTCCGTCAGTGCGCAGATGAGGTAGAGCACGAACTACGAGGATTGTAGTGATTTCTGTCGCTAGCTTGCCTCCAAGGATTGGTCGTAACAGGCGGCGCAGGGACCCTCGGTACTTCACGAGTACGTTCTCTCCCAGCACGATCTCGATGTTCTCTCTCGTGCCTCCGCCCAGGACTGGGGTCCCTCCTTCGTTCAGCATGACGATCATGTGCCTCCCTATGTCTCTGTGGTGGCGGCGAGGGCGCTCTTCTAGCTTGATCAGAGGCCTTGACTGCAGGGGGAAGAGGGTATGGATTGTTCATGCCTTGAGCTCGGTTTGGCGGGGGTATAACAGGTGGGCCCGACCCAGCAAAACTTCCAACACGTTCACGGCCGTTACCTACAGGCCCCCTCGGAGCTGGTCCCAGGCCAGGCGGAGGATGAGGTGGAGGTGGGGGAGGTGGAGTAGGGTCGGCTCTTGTATTACCTACGTATGGACCCGCATTGTTGGGGGGCTGTCTATTATCGAGATGGGGATAGACTTGTCGGGCAGGGTATGGGTTGTTGTTGTCTGCATCATCGTTCCAGCCAGTCCTCTGAACATGAGGAATATCCCCGGGCCACTGATTTGCATGCAAAGGTGGTGCGTGTCCCGCAGTCGGAGGACGCGGTGGTCCTGGTGGACGTAGCCCACCTTGAGGAGCGAGCGGTGGCGGTCCGCCCTGAGGTTGACCACCTTGAGGAATGAACGGTGGCGGTCCTCCTTGAGGTGGGAACAGAGGACGAGCCTGAGCACCGGGATGAGGAGGGAGTGGAGAATAACGGCCTCCGTCAGGGCGAAGAGGGACGACAGGTGGAATATCAGGTGGACTAAAATGTCTCCCATTCTCTGGTGGGGGAGGTACTCCGTAAGGAGGACCAGGCGGCCCACGAGGAACTTGACCCATATTCCATGAGCCTAGGTCACTACGAGGTTGACCTGGAGGTGGAGGGGATGGTGACCGACCTCCGGGTGGCGGCAGAGGTGCGGGCGCTACGCCGTGGCCAGTTCTAATGGACGACGCGGAGTTAGGTGGGTTCAAGTGTTGGAGAGATGGTTGGTCGTGTGTTTTCTCGAGGATGTACGTCGTAGTAGGAGGACCCTGTCAACATAAAATATGCGTATCTCATCAGCTTATGATACATGCCTGGCTCTGGACAAGTACATGGAATCTAGACATGAGAAAGTTCAAACGAAATGATTGCTCACCCTACCGCCGCCAACCCTTTTGATGATACTCTCCTTCACACCCTTGGAGTTCCTTGCGAGTCGAGTCTCTGAGACAGATGGCCTTCCGCTAAGTTTGATTGTGCGCGTGTGACTTGACATCTCGAAATGATCGTCAAGAGCAGTGGGTCGACCGACGGCGCCGTTGTTGAAAGGATTATATGAATCTTGAAAGAGTTTGTCGCGCTCCCTGTCGAACATATCGGTTGTAAGATGAACAGGAGAATGATAGGGCGTAAGTTGTTGAATAGCAGGAGGATTGTAGGCGAGCGCCATGATGAAAGAAAGGGCTTGAGCTCTAGATGAGAAAGACCAGGGACTGTGGCCAGAAAACAGGAACGGGTGGCTGTCGAGAGACAGTGAGGCTACTCTGACTCTGGTGTAATCCTACGCGAGTCTTATATGCAGTTGCAGAAAACTAGTCGGCGTCCCTCACGTTCCGCCTCAGACTACATTGGCTCAAATTAAGATACACGCCCTCCCATTCAAAGCGATGAAAACGTCAAGTGTGGCCCTAGGATGACCTCCGATCAAAGGAATGTTGGGTGTGACTGGGGATACGAGCGCCACTCGCAAGGATATATGCATATAGCCTTCAGAACCCAGGACCGAGAACAGAAGAACTTTAACACAGCACGACGAAGGCTGAGGCTAAGCAAAGTCGCCCAACCTTCGGAAGGCTGTGGTCAAAAGAAAAGGGTGAAGGCGTAAGATAGACCCGAATCAAAAATAGCTCTGTATGACCATGCATGCCCCGCTGAATGTGTCCATAAAATCCGGTGACGTCCTTCTCGCACAGCCGCGCGTACTGAATTAAACATAACAGAACGAAACCATCATCGGCAGTGCCGCCATTGACCCGCTCTTCATCATTGAGACATTCCATACGAGTAGTGCAATACTCAGGAACTCGAAAAGGATTGATACATGAGGCATGCGCAATGCAAAGGAGGTCTGAGATACCGACGCAAGATCTTAGATTTTGGCACAAGCGTATGGCCACCGTGCCTCTGTGAGCAAACAGAGACCATCCAGACGGATCAGCGGCTAGCAGATCGAGAAATTGTCAACAAATACTCGCGCCGCAACATCATAAACGGCCGATGTCCGCGCTGACGCTAAAAGTAACTCACCTGAGGATACCAAAGGGTTTGCGGCAGTACATGAGGGCTGACTCCTCCAAAATGCGCGAACCTCGTGTCGCCACCACCAGCGACTGTGTGGATGAATATGAGAGTCCGATGGAGGTGAGCGACAACGTCCTGCGGTCCTTTCGGACTTGCCATAAGAGACTTATCGGCACACCAAAGGGGATTGGTGAATGGGTATAAAATATACAGAAACAAACCTCAAGACACAAGATGTAGCAGACCTGCTGATCACAGTATGTCAACGTGATGAAGTGACCCTTGAACCCTGATTTCCTGGGGCTATGGCATACCAGCGTATTGGAAGCTCGTTCGGCACATTATTGACAAGTTGACCTACTACGACGTCCAACTCTATGGTCTGTATTCTGAGGTAAATACTCGCGCATAGCTTCCATTAGTTCACTGGAGGATTCAGTTCCAATCGATGTGAAAGGATCGGAAAACTACCCTCAAAAAAGAGCGGCAATTCATCCTCGATGTTGAAGTGTCAGTGCTTGTTTCCGATGTGGGGGGCCCGTTCAAGTTTGAAGGAAGACAGACCATCACGGGTCTATTTCTGCTGTTCGTAAGACTAGGAGCGGATGAGGTGCAAGGACAATCGTCGTCACATAGCAAGATACGCTTCATCATGGAGAGAGTAGAAGAACTCTAGATAGAAATTTGAGCAGAGAGCGCCGTCGATGAGGTTACAACGTTAACGTGTCCTGGACTTATCCGCCCGACGGCTTTTGCCGAGATATTGTGGCGCGCCACATTTGCTGTTCTTCGGGACTGCGGAGAAGGAGTCGACTCAGAAAACTAACAAGTAAAGGTTGGTCGGAAAAGCTTTCGGCTCAGGTTTGAAAATATATCAACCTTAGTAACATTGTATAAGTCGGAATAATCACAAAGATATCGCTACGAGAGTGACCCATGTACTTGACAGAACGGCCGTGGGAGCAAGGAGAAAGTAAACAAACATGATTAGAAATAATTCAAGGCAGCTCTGGATAGAAGTCTCGCAACATCTCGTCCTTGACACATTGGACTTGTCTGTGCCGCAGATATTATCACGCCGAATTACTCATAGTTATGACCTTTCTCTGATCTTCTCCTGGCCAGGTCTGCTCCGGGTTCCCTATGCTTGGACGCTGTGCCAGGAGCTCGCGCAGAACCTTGCACACACAAATAATATCATGTTTATTTCAGTGTTTATCAAAGCCCATTGGCGAACAGCAGGTGAGACCTACCAGAAACATACTGATCAACGATAGACTTCTTCCGCCATGGGTTTGAATAGTCCAATGCTGGTCGGGCAACACTGGTTCGAGACGAAGCTACAGATGCCCTTGACGAAGCTTCAGATATGCTCGTCGTTTGCCCAGGGCGAGCGCTAGCAATGCTGAGACTTGCTCCAGAAACGGACAGGCCGTCGTCACTGTCCTCGGCATCGCCGGCTCCCCCTCGAAGCCTTTCGGCAGAGCGCTCGTCCCAAATACCGTAGTGTGGCTGCGGTTGCTCCAGTGAAAGGTTTATGCTTCCGCTCGAAGATGGGTCATACGTTCGCTGGCAGTAATAGGACGTCTTTGGAGGTTGCTGTACCGTGACGAACATGTTAGTCCCCTCCCAAAAACAAGCAGCAATAAAACAGAACTCTGACACTCACGTTCCTACCAACTGTTGTCACGAGGCTTTCCCTCATACCGTTCGAACTCTTTGAGAACCTAGTTTCGGAGAGAGGCGGAAGGCCGGGTTTGATGATTGTGCGTGTAGTTCTGTATACCATGACAGACTGGTCGGGCGGAAAATGTGAATAATTCACTGTCGGAGCAGGTGAGGGCCTCAGTGGCGGCGGGGCAAAAGCGGCTGGTGAAGGGTTGGAAGGCCCTCCCGGCACACGAGGAGGTGAGGGTGGTTGTGGGGCTGCTGGCTTTTCTGGAAGTGGTACTGGTGCTGGCAATGAATGTGTGTGTGAGGGGGGGGTAGGCTTAGGAGGTGGGGCGTTAGGCCACAGTAGCGCAGTCGGCTGTTCTGGAGCTGGTGCTGGCACTGAAAATGTGGGCGAGGGAGGGGCAGGCGGAGGGAGCCGAGCATTGGGCATGCTTATGAAAGGAGGTTGAGCTTCCCTCCCGGCAGCGAGAAAGCGGTCTCGTTGGTAGTCGAATTGCTGAGGGAAGATCAGATAAGGAAACTGTTGAGGTGGAAAGTGGCCAGGAGGGGGAGAAGTGCGTTCCATTATCACTAATAGGATAAGATGACAAGCGTAGACTTGTAGGCTTGAGATGAGGAAACGTTCAGGCGCCAGGGAAAAGTTCTGCCACAGGGGAGCAGCTATTATAGAGGCGAGCAGAGATATTGCAAGGTTTAGAGCCGACTGAGGAGCCGCCACAGCCTCTGCATGGATGACTACAGTCAGCTACCTTGCTAGAAGTACTATGCTCCCAAGAACATAGACACTGCTTCCACCAAACGTAAGAGTCAATGAGAAGTATACATCCTGTCAGGGAGAACGCCCCGCACTGATTCGAAAGCAAAGTTCGGCAAAGACATGGCGGTAGGAAGAAAGGACAGGATCCCAAACAAGGTAGGAGCGAGACCTCCGCCAGGGTCTTGTACGACTGAACCGCCACACAGACGCCAGATATAACTCTGTGTCATCGTAGTGCCTGACTGCAGAATACTCACATGAAGCCTCTGATGCTTGGCGCGGACGAGGGATGTCAAGAGATACGGTTATGAAGATCCCCGCCATTGGATCCGTTAGAAGACCTTGTAGTCTAATACAGTCGGTTGTACAATAATGGGATAAATCATGGCCATCAGTAACATGCCATTTCGAGAGGAAGCAACATTCTCACGAGCCCAGTGTCAGTCTGTCGGGTAGTGACCGTCCAACTAGTACTGACATCACATTTGGGCGGTGGCAAAGATGGAGGGATGTGAACTATCATGCAGCCTGAGCTCAACATCCCGCTGCTGTCCCAAGATAGAACACGGCAGTAAACGTCTCAAAGCGCCCATCGGGTCTATATGTCTATGTGCAATATGGGGTTTTCTCCGTCCGTTAAAGCGTCCGTGTTCCCTTGAACTACATTACCGCTCCCTGCCACTTCATAACCTGTACACAAGGATACGAAACCGTTCACGAGTATGGTTCTTCGGGAGCATTGGCTCGCTCGAGTGGGCGTAACCCGTTATGATGGTCTTGTAATCTTGAGTTTGAGGCCTATAAGGGGTGCAGATTTCAGGCATGGAACACAATGTAAGCGGTGAAGGGCAAAAGAAATGGCCAAATACATACATGAATATAACGGGAGTAATTGACAATGCGATGCCCCCATTCAGGCTGAAAGGCTGAAAGCGCTGCAACCAAAACATAGTTCTCATAAGATAGGCCCGGTGCTTGCACAAAGAGGAGCGTCACCATGTCTGAGAGCAGCTACCTGGAGCCCTGCATGTGGTAAATGAATAGTTCATAACATATCACGACCCATTCTAGGTTGTCGTCTCCGCGACATGCAGTGTATGTCACAGCAGAGCGAGATATCACAGCCTTCCACCATACTGGCTGAGTTATGTGTAGACGGCTGTTTCTCATGCAAAAACGGATCTAGGATCTTGACGGTGGTGACACCCCACAAGCACTGACCAATACCCACACTCACAGTGCCTCTTCACGATTAGCTTCATCTTCATGCGACGCCACCCGCACCTGTGCTACTGACGCAGCCATGTCCCTAGTCGACGGCGAGCTAGCTTACCTACTTGGTTTGTTTGGGCAGGTGATACTCCAGATACGGTGTACTTGGAAGGCTATGATCCCGCACTTGTTCCTATGATGGAGCGCGCGTTTACATGGAGCAGGGAAGTAACGTAAGAGTTAGGAGTTGTTGCAAAACTGAAGCAAAGAAAGGCGTACTTGGTAGAGGAACAGGGAAGAACGATTGCTGTAGACCGCACTGATCTTGTATGCTTGACGAATGGGGTGAAACGCAGCGACGATACGGTTCGATGTATGGAGAATCGAAAAGTGTACTACATGGATGCCAACCAAGTGGCGATAAACAATACTACAATAGGAGACTATCAAGGTGAGTACAAAAGCAAAAGAAGATACCTAAGAGTCACTGATTAACCGATTACATCAGAGCGATATCAAAGCAATCAACTAATACAACCGGCATGATACAACTGACGACTCACAGCTCACAGGCAGCTGCAGACGAAGCCCAGACCTATCCTCTAATAGAACACATCGGGCACAACACGATACAGATGCCCGACACACCGTCCTACTGTATTATCCTACAAGCCCACCGCAACTTGAGGATCAATATTCCCTTCGCGTTCTCTTCTCTCTTCTTCTTTCCGTAGCTACATACACGGAACATGAGACTCAGTGCCATAATTTCTCCTTGACACGCTCACCGATGGACTTACGAGACGGAACCTCGTGGTACGAAGGGGGCGGAGAGACCTCATGCCTCCCCGACCTGGTCGCCGGCAGTTCATCTGGGACCACCACCACAGGTGTATCAGTAATGCGCGGCCCGTCGTCCACTCTGCTGTCACGTTGATGCTGATGGTGGTCCTTATCACGGTGACGATGCAAGAAATGGAGCGGGTTCCTAGAGTGACGATGGTCTTCGTGATGACGAGGAGCATTCCGGTCCTGGAAGGCCCCGGGAACAACTGGATCATCGTCTGAACTGCTGTCGTCGTGAATACTCCGGTTGTGCGCGGAGCCACGGGAAGACCGAGAGCGTTCGTCTCTGCCAGAGTGATGGGAGTGGTGAGAGTGGTGAGAGTGAGGGCGGGCTTCTTGACTGGAGCGATGACTGTGGCGCGGGTCCCGAGGAATCACGGGCGTGTCGTCTTCATTGTCGTAGGAGAAGCGATGGCCGCTGTGGCTTCCATGGCGGGAGCCCGGTTGAGTTACGTTGTGAGGTGGTGGTTGTTGGATGTAGCGATCATTTCTGGGTGTGGAAGAATCTTGTTCGATGCCGTTGAGGGTGTGGCGTTCGCGGCCATCGGGGTAGGTGTGCGTGACATGCTCGTTGCCCTATATAGCGTCTTGTCAGTGGATTGTCTAGTTCGCCCTCGAAAGGAGAGACGCGTACTTGCGAATCCTTCCTCTTCACGATCGATTCTGTCACACCGTTGATCGTTCTAGTCATTCGACTCTCAGACACCCATCTTCCGCCATTTCCGTTGCCGAAACCACCGGTAGAACTCGAACTCATCGACTGAGTGCTGAAGCCTCTGCCACCGGCGCCACCTCCGAGCATCATATTCATCATCGGACTTCCGAACCCAAATGATCCAAACGCTCCCATGCCTGGACCCCCGTTAACGCCACCGCGTCTCCTGCCAGACCCGAATACTTCATCATCGTCGTCGTCGAGGAACGGGTCGCGATAGCTATTTCCGAACCCTCTCCCTTGGTTGATATCATGGAGGTCACCGAACATCTGATTGAATAGTTGGAAAGGATCCGTGAATCCATAGGAAGATTGATTATATTGGTGTGGGCGGGAACGGTGACGCTGAGGCGGCGGGCCACCAAACATAGACGGGAATGAGGGGAAGCCAGTGCCGAAAAATGGATCATTGAAGGGGTCATTGGCACGTTGTCGGCTGCCGCGACCGCCTCGAGTGAATGGAGAGTCGAAGAAGTCGGATGGGAAGTCTGGAGCATTAGGTCGAGACGAGGTCGGTGGGGGCCAAACGCCAGCAGCGTCGTATTGCTGATGAATGAAATGATAGGGTACCGGTTAGCGCAGTGCCGCATGTGGGTAGAGGGGGCGTAGAAGCGAGGGTAGAAGTACGATAATCGGATGTGGCGGCTTACCTGGCGCTTCTCTGGGTCGCTGAGGACCTCGTAGGCATTGTTCACCTATTCGATATCGGTCTGAGCAAATGAAGAAAGTATGGTGTAGTGATGCTGGCAAATTTTGGAGGCATACCTTGCGAAATTTCTCGTTAGCTGCCTCTTTATCCACCTCAGTCATGTCTGCTGGCTGGCGATCTGGATGAGTCTGCAATGCCCGACGTTTGTACGCCTTGCGAACTGCCCTTTGCAGTAAGTAATGAACCTATAAGCCGACCATGAAATAGACTACATACTCTGGTCAGTCGTCGCATTCTTGTCCAGCTCGAGCACGTCGTAGAGATCTGTGGCCATGTCGTAGACTATTGGCGAGAGACCAAGAGAGAAGGAGGGATATACAAGTTCTGCGCGCCCTAGCAGAGGCCTATTATATAGGTAAGAGAACACAAACAGGATGCCCCATACACGAGCTTAGCGGCTGTTGTTCTCGAAACGTCGGTGAGCGGTGCAAACTCAAAGATGTGTTGTTCCGAAAGACTGCCGCGCCACTCAGAGCCACACGCGTCCCCAATTTCCCATCACGTGTAGACTTCGCGCTTCGCGATTTTTTCGCGTCTTTTCCGTGCTTTTTCTCCATCGTCGATACCATTCTCAGAATCCTCGCTTGGACTGTGGACATCAAGGATCGGACTCAAAAATGCGGCTCCAAGAAGTCGTTTTATGCTCAACTGCACCCTCGACTTCTACGTCCGGCGCTGGTGCTATAGCTCTGCATGACATCTCTACGGGCTCTACTTTGGCATCCTTCAAGCAAACATCTCCTGCGGTTCAATGCACCGCTGTGGTCAATACGACCGTGCTAGATGGGACACCACAAGGAGGTTTAATTCTCACGTCACAACCAGACAAGTCTATTTTGAACGTCTACAATTTCCAAAAAGTAAGGTGCGTCTACGCCACATCGTACTTCTGCGCTGCCTCACTGCTAACTCGCGTTGGTGTTTTTGACCTGAAGGACCAGATAGCCCTCAAGATTGTGCTCCCGGAGAAACTATCGTGCATCTCGGTTGATGCAAGGGGAGAATTCTGCGCGGGAGGGACGGCACAGGGCAGGATTTATCTTTGGGAGGCATGTGGCCCAATTCATCTTACTACTCTAATTCTCTGTACTGACTGAACCCCGATTTCGACCCGGTATTAGATTGCATCTGGTATTATGTATAACTCGTGGGACGCGCACTACCGACAAATCACCGTTTTGCGGTTCACATCTGACGGAGCCGCATTACTGTCAGGGAGTGAGGACTCAGGTGTTAGCGTGTGGTCTGTTTCCAGGTGAGCAGCCTCCGGGCGTATCTGGCATACCCAAAAACCTGATTCTTCGCGACAGGCTCCTAGATGACGAGCTGCAAAATGATCTCCCTTCACCCTATACGACTCTTTCCGACCATACCCTCCCGATCACTGATATTGCATGTGGCGTAGGGCCCTTCCCTTCATGTCGGGTCCTCACTTCATCAGTAGACCATTCAGTCAAGGTGAAATTATGTTCAATTACCCGAAGCTCCCTTTGTCAGATTCTGACGGCATTTTGTCACGAACCTAGCTCTGGGATCTGTACTCGAAAACTCTCCTCACGACCTTCCACTTTCCTCATTCAATCTGTTGCCTAACATGGGACGTCACCGAACGTCTTTTCTTCGCTGCCTCTTCCACCTCAGAAGGAACTGTCCATCAAGTGAACCTATTTCGTAAAAGAAATGATCACGGCAGCCAAAACTTTGGAGGGATGGAGGCCGTAGGTGGAGCGGGCGTGAGCGATGTTATCAGGATTGGGGAAGAAGACCCACGAGAGGCTAAAAGAAGAGTAATCACTGTCGGGTACGTAGTGACGTTCTTGGGATCTTTATGCGTATCTCATTATTGACGATGTACTGTATTGCGACGTACAGAGAGCCAATAGCGTCTCTAACCCTCTCCCTAACATCCTCTTTCCTCCTCACCGGCACCTCAACTGGACAAATCCACATTCACGATATCCCCTCGCACCAGCTCCTTCGTACTATCTCTTCGCACAAAGGTTTCTCAATAACTTATCTCACCACGATGTTGAAACCCCCGGACTTGATCGGTCACGCGAGTTTGAGTTTGGGCGCAGGGTCCGCAGGCGTAGGTGTGGGAGGTGGTGCCACCTCGGCAGGTAGTGGTGGCGCTGGAGGGGAAATTGGTGTGAAACCTATAATGCCTTTCCAGAGGATGAAGGAACCTCGGGCGAGAGATGCGCACGAGGTCGTTATGGTTCTGCCCGTACAGGACAAGGTAAAGTTTTACTCCCATTCAATCCAGGAACTCTGCAACTAAACAAATCTGGAAAATTTTGACGCAGCTATCAATGTCCTCCTTGACCTCTTACTCGCCCGCCGAACTCCTTCGAGACCATGAATTCTTCGTGAATCCGAGTGCGTCGCCCGCCTCGTCTACGCCTAGAGCCGCAAACCCTACACTATTAGAGCCGAAAGTGGCGGAGCTAGAAGATGAAGTGGCGAAGTTAAGGGAACAGTTGGGGAAAGCGAAGCGGGTGAATGATGTTATGTGGGAGACGGTCGTCAAAAAGGTTGTCAAGCAGGGGAAGGACAGCGATGGTGACAGTGCGAAGGACAAGGATGATGGAAGGGCTAAGAAGAGGGGACGGGTTGATAGCTCATGATCGCTGTGCAAGGCTCTCTAGGATTGGTGTGCCGTTTGGTGAAATGGTCAAGAGGGGCCACAGTGGCGTCAGGATCAACGTACAAAAATTCGGACCGCGCCGGACCGTGTCATTGTTGACCGGTCGACCGCCGAGTCAGAGCGTTGATCTTCTTTGTCGGCGACAATTTGGACGATTTTCGCGACTTTGTTCGTTTCCTTATCGATTACCATCTTAGATCTATACTATATCTACTGCAGGCTGAATCTGCGCTATTGCTCGCCTCTTGATTGCCAACCTCTCGAACTGAACTTTCAGCTCAAGCGACTTTGACATCTACACGATGCCCACAACTTCCACATCCAAGAAACGCGTTGAAAAAGCACGGCCTTCATCTACTCTCCATTCCTTCTTTGCTTCCAACACGACACCGTCCAAATCCACCACCGCTAAATCCTCAAATCGCAATGTACACAACAAGTCCGCATCCTCGACTCCTCGTGTCAAGAAGTTCGTACCACCACCAGAGGAGGACATAATCGTTATTGACTCTTCTGAGGATGATGAACCGCACACTACGCTTCCCCGGAAGCCGTCGAGTTGCGGTATGAAACGCAAGGCCGAGGACAGGTCCAGTGATATTGAGTTTATTGAGGATTCGCATACGGAGACATCGAAGGGGACGTCTGCGAAAAAGGTGAAACAGGAGGTTATTGACGAAACTTCGACAAGGCCTGAAGACGAGGCCTCAGGTTTCTTTGGAAAGCCCCACTTGTTGTTGAGCTCCAAATCAGGGGAAAGTCCACCCTTCAGCACACCGAAATTCAGTGCGCCATCCGGCGAAGCTCCCACTGGACAGCGTCATGCCTCTGTAATCTCAGCGCAACCTGCCCCTCTTGTGCGCGACAACTCTCACCGCCCCACTCTTCTCGACTTGGACCCTTCGAGTACCGAATCTTGCTCAGCACCCGCTCCCAAGAGACCGTCTGCGTCCACTCGCCAGGATACAGCTTCCTCCAGTACGATATCGACATCTGGGCCTCAAGACGACAGGCTCCACGAGGTCGTTGAGATTGACGATGAATGGGACATGGGGGACGACGAACAGGCTCAGGAGGGCAGGGACCCTACTGAGCACGACTTCGACAATAATGAGGACGACGATGAAATAGAGTTCGAAGACCCGATCGATATGTCCACCAATTCTTCTAGTAAAGCCTCCACCTCCCGACTTGATCAAGATAGACCCAAAGTGGCGTCCAACAGCAAGAGTGCCAACGCGTTCTCTGTCCTTATGTCCTCTCATAAAGAGAACGAGGCTTGGAAGGAAGCTACAATCGCTGAGGACCGGACGTTCAGGCCTACGAAGAATAACGGTGGAAGGAGGAAAGCTCCGTTCTATAAGGTCATGACGGGTATGCCCATTGCCGTAGATGCTTTTCGGTATGGTGCTATCCCTGGCGTCACAGCGTATTTCTTGACGTGAGTTACTCGTCTACCTTACCTGATGTAGTAAAGTTGAAGGAATAGCGTTTCTCACCGCGTTAAATCCCTTAGTCACGCCCATTCAGACCACTACACAAATCTCTCGTCAAACTGGAAGGCTGGCCCAATCTATTGTTCCGGTCCGCATATCATTTTATATTTTGTATGGACCACACTCATTGTCAGTTTACCTCCCTTGTAGAAGGAACCGCGAATTTAATTATTCACATGCTTTCAGTTGATCGCAAGTGGGTGCACCCCTTACCAATGGACAAGCCGACAGTAATTCCCAACACCGGTGGCGTCACCGTGACACTCATCGAAGCAAACCACTGTTTGTCAATTTTCTTGTTCTCTTAAACCTAGAAATCTAAAGTTATCACTGTTCCGTGCAGGTCCCGGATCTTCACTGTTCCTCTTTGAGGGCAAACAAACTATCGATGCTGGTGACAGTACTTTCAAATCTCCCTTCGTCGGGTCCTCCAAGATGTTTCGATATCTCCATTGTGGCGACTTCCGGGCTTCGCCACAGCATGTGCTTCATCCTGCTGTCAAGGGCAAGCATCTCGACATTATTTATCTTGATACTACTTATCTTAATCCCAAAGTATGTTTTCTCCCTTGGTTCCTTGCTCTAAAGATACGTTTGTTGACAGGGCATGTGTGATGGTGCGCGGCATTAGTATTGTTTCCCAAGTCAGCCGCAGGTCATCGATGCGTGTGCAGAGTTAGCAAAAAGGATTGTCTGTGGTTCGGGCCTCGATGGAGGACGTGCAGGCGGCAGTACCAGCGTCGGGAAGACTGTTGATAAGTGGTTTGTGGCGGGGCCCAGCATCAAGGTCGAAGACAAAGGCAAGACGAAGGCGAAAGCAACTACGGATAAGATTCTGATCGTTGTTGGGTAAGAAGGAGACGCTATATGTCAGGATGATTGAGCTAAATCTCTTCAACCTAGAACGTACTCAATTGGCAAGGAGCGCGTCGTCAAAGGCATGTTGAAAGATGTTATGTCTGTCTCCAAAAGGTGACTAACGTAGCTCCCATTTTCAGCCATCGCTCGGGCCCTACAAACGAAAGTATACTGCGATTCCCGCAAAGCCGCCATCCTCCGCTGTCAATCCGATCCAGAGCTACACGCTATGCTCACCAAGGATCCCTATGAAGCCAGTGTACATCTTGTTCCCCTGGGAGTCGTGACTTCTGACAGGTTGAAGGAGTACACGGAGAGGTGGAAGGGGCATTGGGCTAAAGCGGTGGCATTTAGGCCCACTGGGTGGACGTGAGTTTCACTTCGCCCATTTCTTAAGGTTGTGACGCTCGCTCAGTACGCACGATCGCGCGACGGATACTTTTCAGGTATACGCCACCAGTAGGCAGCGATACTCTCCCTTCTATCTCTTCTATCATCACAAAGGGCAACCCACATCAGTCATTCACCCACGCCAACCTCAAACCCATGCGTAATAGCACTTTCACGCATGAACTCTACGGTGTACCCTACTCCGAACACAGCTCCTTCTACGAGTTGACCTGTTTCACCTTGAGTGTGGATTGGGGGAGAATCATCGCGACGGTGAATGTTGGGAGTGAGGGGAGTAGGGGGAAGATCAAGGCGTGGGTGGAGAAGTGGGACAAGGAAAGGAAGAGGAGGAAGGCCGCGGGGGTGAAAGACATAGATGGAGTGGTACCATATAGGAGTCCAGAGTACTGGTAGTGAAGGGGCATATGATGATGATGACGGTGTTGTGTCGTGTGGTGGTAAAGCGTTGGTTCTTGCTCACGTTCTCTCATTTCGGTGTATTACTATAGCTCACTGGTTACCTCTCTCCTGTACAGTCCTAATATCGTCGTCAATCTTATCTACTGGTTGGTATGTCGGTCTCGTCTATCATCCCTTCGGCCGATACGCAGAGCAGTAAGGCTGCTGAACAATCTGTTAAGTTGGCCGTTCCCTCTGGGACACTTGCTGGGTGCTATGTCTGAATTGTGACGGCGCATGATTGGCCTTTCTTCGAAGTTCTGATGCTCAAAGAGGCAATATCTAGGCTATTGCGACTGCTCAGCGACGAAGCTTCGTACCCCTTCTGGCCTCGGGTAGACTACTCCTGGAATGACAGTTGATTCCTAAGCGCCCTCGGTGGTCGTTCTCGGCGAGTGTGGATGAATATTTTGAGTTCGCCGCTTCACCTGAATCTTTGCGTTGGCTTAAGTCGCAGTGTTTTGCGCCGCACGAGATGCTTCAGTGGCGAGAAAGTTACCTCTACCAATGAATTAGTGAGACTTGGGTTTATCTTCACAGCGTTTCGTGCTGGTCATCTTCAGCCAAACGAACTTTGCCCGAGCCGCTTGAGAGCTAACTGACAAAGACTTTGGGATGTGCTTGAGTGAGATGGTTGAAAGTCCAATACTATGCCTATACATTAACACACTCTCCTCAGACAGGCGCTCTTAGACGAGGATCCAGTATAAAAGCCTAGTCGAATTGGCCGAGTCAATCCCTCACTAACTAGTCTCTTCATCTCCCTCCTCCACGAAGACCAACTCCCTGCTGATAAACAACATGTCTACATCCACCACTTTTGCCGTCGCTGGAGCTGGAAACATCGGTTCCCTCATTGCTAAATCTCTCCTCAAGTACAAAGCTTCGGGACGATCAAAGAGGTCATTGTCCTCACTCGCTCCGTACGCAACCATCGCTCCATCCTATTCTCGCAAGAACCAAACTCACCCCTCCAACACATTAACACAGGATACTCACAACGCGAACTTCTCTGCCACCGCCTCTCAAGACGCCGCCATCATCCCTGTAGATTACTCTTCCATCGACACGCTTATCGCCAGTTTAGCTCCCCACAAAATCGACGTTCTCGCGTCCCCCTTCAGCCACCCCACTGATATGGCGGAATCACTCGCTGACGCTGCGAAAGCTGCCGGTGTGAAATTGTTCGTGTCGTCCGAATACGGTGATCCCTCCACGGATTTGAAGGAACCGCTGGGGTTTATGGTTGACAAGATGAGGATGCAGAAGCGGTTGAGGGAGGATCGGAGGAGATGGTAACATGCCGCTGTCATGGGCCTCGAAGTATGAATGACATCGCGTCGTTCGTAGCCTACGTTCTCACAACGCTCCCTCCTTCAAAACTGGAGTGGCAGACTTTCCGCATCGAGGACGAGCGTCTCGTAAGCATCTCGTGTTCCTCCCGAGCTCTAGTTGCATCTTCACTCTCTTTCCGCAACGACGTCTGAAGATTCGCTCTTGCTGATATTTGTGTTCCCTCCCAGTCCTTCAACCAGATCTTCGAGGCCTACGAGAAGAAGACAAGGAAGAAAATTAATGTTACGCACAGACCCATCGAGGAGTTGAAGGACACGGTGAAGAAGGATAAATTTGCCAATATTTCCAGCCATCTGCATTTGATGGGGGCGGTGGGTGAGGCGTTGGTCGGCACGCCGGACCAGTTGTCTAATGGGTTGTTCCCCGGGTGGAACCCGAGGAGTGTGGCCAGCGTCATAGCACCTTAGATTCGTTGGAAGGTCTCTGATGTCGCAGAGTTTATCTGGAGAATGTAATTCGCCGTCTGTAATGCTTTAGTGGCGAAAATTGTGGTTTTTCTCCCGATATGCCCATTTCTCTGCACGTTTACGCTGTGGATTCTTTGGTGGCAGCAAATCTAAATGCCTTAAGATTTTGAGACAGGGAATCACACAACTTTGATCCGGTGAGAATCAATGCTTTCTCAATCCAAACTATATTTCTCCCATACCTCTGCCACCTATCCCCTTCCACCATACTATTCATACGTTCACCGCTCACGGCGCAATGATGTCAATGACCTTCTTTGGGTTCCACTCCGGGAACAACCCATTCGACAGCTGGTCCGGCTTTCCCACCTGAGCCTCGCCAATCGCCCACATCCAGAAGAGGCTGCTCACGAACTCGCCATGCGGGTCTCTCGCAACGGCTGCCTTCAATTCTTCGACAGGCCTGTAGGAGACGGCGATGTGTTTGCCCGTTTTCCTCTCGAAGGCTTCAAAGATCTGGTTGTAGGACTGCCAAGAAGAAATCATAAGAAGAACGAGAAAGGGTAAGTCAGCTTGACTGGACATGAAGACGAGGGAGGTGCAAGGAATGGCTTGAAATACTTACGAGGCGGTCGCCCTCGATGCGGAAAGTTTGCCACTCGAGTTTAGAAGGAGGGAGCGTAGTGAGGACGTGTGCCACGAACGACGCGACGTCGTACTTGGAGGTCCACGAAATAGGCATGTTACCGTCTCCGCCAACTAATGCCGTCCCTTTCTCGAAATCTATGCTCAAGGCTCTGTGATAAAGATCAGATGTGGTATCCGTCAGCTCGCGGCCGCAATGTCCCAGAGAAAACAAAACGCCACGAACGGGATCAAACAATACTCAGGCCACAGACCCGTAAAGAACAGGGTAAACGGGAGGTTCAAATCCCTCAAACTCTGATGCAACTTTAACTTCTCCACAATAAAACCCTTCGTCTCTGGTTCCTTCACATCCGACGTGGGCATGCCAAATTCGGACGGTATAAACAGCTTCACGCCTGCGGCTTTCGCTGCTTCGGCGACGAGATCGACCTTTGGAGTAGCAGGATCAAGCTCCCCGCCAGGTCGGCTGAAGGTAGCGAAGAAAACTTCGACTTTGAGAGATGAAAGGGTGTTGATGAGAGAGGTTATGGAGGCGTAGTCTACCGGGACGATTGTGGCTCCTTTGGAGGCGAGGGAGGCGAGTACAGGGTTGCTGCTTTCCTGGGATTGTCAACATAATGAGATCAGGTCACAGTAATGAGAAGCATAAAACGATAGGATAAGTATACTTACAGTACGAGTGAGGACAAAAACCTCTTTGATTTTACCCGCTGATTTGTATTTGAGGAGGGCCTCCGCAATCAAGGAGCCGATAGTTCCTGCGCCGGCGACGGCAAAGGAGGTAAACGTTGACTCGGACATGGTGATACTGGAGAGTGAATTGAGCTGTAGATGAGATGATGAAGAGAAAGATGAAGTGGTTGATGAGGTATTCTCTGGCCTCAGTCGAAGGGCTTTTATACACGAAGGTTTCCAGATACCAAAACCAGTGAGTACGGTACATCCTAGAGTTCAGGGTCGCCAGTCCATGTATCAATAAGCACTCGGCCATGAATGTTCGAAGACCTGGATGCGTTTTGAATCATGTAAGAGAGGGACATGATTGTGTGCTGCGGTGGAAGACTATTTCGTTTCAAAAGCTCAGTGTACGACTCGTGGTCTACAGGTGAACAAGTTCGATGATAATAATAGATACTAGACGCTGGTCAAACAGAGATTGTTTCAGGCTCGAGACGATGAACCACGCTACTTAACCGCGAGGAGTTTACTTGTCAGCCGTTCGGAGAACTCTAGTAAAAGAAGCCCGGGGAGTTGACGGTAAATAAGCAAGGTTGAACTTGTTCGGCTCGGGCGTCTTGGTAATCTTCCGAGCTGTATTGTGGCCCCGTTGTGGCGAGGAGGCCAAGCCCTCGGTGACACCCGGTTCCGAGACATGTTACGTCACCGCAGTGCCGCGTTTTGCCGCAGAGCTTGAGCGTACTCGTCTGCTTGCACTGACTCTGTGTTCGCCACTTCACCAGTACACTCTCCTTGCATCCATCCTTGTCCTTGCATACGTGAACTGTTCACCTAGTTGAAACAGAGAATATCGATGACTACTGAACTCCCATATGCCGCTGACGCAGAGGTTTCGCTCTCATACGATGAGCTTGAGGTCAGTACGCACCCCGCACATTCTAATTGCTATCAGACTTCCATTACCCCCCACCGTCCTTTGCTGGATAGAGTGCTGATATTCTGAATCTTTGCATATTTGGTATGGTTGTTGGCGGCCATTACTCAATGCAAATCTCGTTACGACACTGCATAGGTTCTGCGACTACAATATCAGAAGGAACTCGCACAAGCGCACGTCACGACACAGACTAAATTCAACTATGCGTGGGGGCTTGTGAAGAGTCCGATCAGGGACCACCAAGTTGAGGGCGTGAGGATACTTCAAGGTGCGTCTTGTTTGACGATTTGGAGTTGTTTCCATTCCCCTACACGATCGATGTCCAAACAACTTTGTCTATCCTTCCATTCATTCGTCCCGTCTCATATCATGCTCATGCTCCTTGTATCACATACTCGCGTAACTCATGGTTTCTATTCCCTGTTATGCTTTGCAGAAATCTACCGAGCAGAACCACAGAGACGGCGGGAATGTTTGTACTACCTTGCTCTGGGACATTACAAGATGGGAAACTACGAAGAGGCGAAGAACTTCAATGGTGCGTTGCGTTCCCTGTCATCTCTTCATGTGCCAACCCGCTCATGTCTCACAATTGTCGATTTCGGTAGCTCTCCTCCTCGATAGAGAACCCACAAACATGCAGGCGCAGTCTCTGGGCGGGCTCATAGAAAAGGCAGTTTCGCGAGGTGCGTCACCCTTTCGATTCTCACTTCAGCACATCTTATAATATCTTCATCTTCGATCTCTACATCATACAGAAGGATACATTGGCATGGGTCTAGCAGCAGGCGCAGCAGCACTCGGCACGCTCTTAATCGCAGGTCTCATACGGCGAGCAAACAACCGCAAATGATTCTTATTCTACCCGTGAACTCGCTGTGCTTACCACCCGCCTTTCTTTCGCAAACTGCAACCTTCAAACCGCAACCCTCATCTACCTCCCATATTCGCCCTTCGCCATGCATCATTCTTCATCGACTGTCCTTTCAATTCACGACCCCACCGCTCACGACACCTTCGATTCGCGACTACCCAACTATCGACCATCGACGGCCCAACCACGAGGACAGGCGTCAGAAGTAATATTCTTCACAGGCATCAATCCTCTGTATCGTATTCAGTACACGTATAACCATCCCATTCATCCCAACTCTGTTACCCTGCCTGAGTCTCAGCTTGCCAGTTATATCACACTGAGTCGTTCTCCCGGGACTAAGGTGACAAGAGTGCAGGCCCTCACAGATACCCGAGCGCATGGTCATAAGCTTTCGATCTCGATCTGTATAAGTGACGTTCTCCGAGTTTTCAATGTACTCATCGAGCCGAACTCGTGCATCTAGATGGATTTAGATGATCTCGTGAAGGGCCTGGAATTATCAGGATTGCAAGATGGTTTTCTAGGGTGCCCCGCAGTATGTGGGACAGGCTCCGATGGACCATGTTGTTGATGGAACAATGGTCTCGATGGTGTACATACCCACCTTCTAACTCGTGACTGCCCCGGCAGGACGTCAAGTTGAAGGGGCCATAAACATGAAGACAGCAACAGACAGTGACAGACCCATGCATGGAACAGAGGACTAAATACCTTGCAAATTATAACGTTCTGTGACTCGAGCAAAAATGATTTCACGATCCCTTGACTGGACAGTGTACGGGTTGGGGTTCTCTGCAACGCGTCCTGCCGGCAGCCACAGTGCATCCGTTCCCGATGCCGGTTCTGGAGAGACGCGCAGGGCGTCCATTGCGGCACACCGCCACACACCCAATGGCATCGCTGACAATACGGCCATCGCATTACGCTCGCCTTGATGACCGTGTGTTTCGCAAGCCCTGCTAAGTCAAGTGCGGATGTGCATGGCATGAGCTGACGCCTCCTACCGGCCGTGACTTTAATCACTGTACTATAACAGCGGCCAGCGCGCTCGTGCTGGACGATCCCTTCTCGCTCTCCGTTGACTGCTCGGGCCTCACCCTCCTCTCGAATACTCTCGGCAGGCCTCGCCTCGTCGGCTTTCAAAGCACTCGTACGACACCACATCTCGATATTCATAAAAGACATGGGCTGCTACTGGAATCGCAGTCGCAATCACCCCTCTGAACCGTGCCCGCATCCACACCGGAACCCACATTCGACTTCGAACGCTCAAGTTCCACCATCATATTATACTCACGTCTCTCGCCGCAGAGGACCTGCACGTATGTTCTGGTTCGTCGTCGGCGCGATCACCGCTATCGAAGTTATGGGATGTTTCGACAGGGTCAAGGATGGGGCGGCGGAGAGATTGAAGTATCATCATGCTCGTTGGCATGAGAAACATGGATACAACTGGGGACATGGGGACTGGGGGAAGCATTGGGGCAGGGATTGGCAGGACTGGGGCTCGCATGGGGATGGAAGTGGACATGAGTCGTGGGGGTATAGGTCGAGGAAGTCGTGTATGTTGTCTGGGAAAGGGACCGTACCAGAGGATAGAAGGATACAATCGTCTACGATGGAGATGGAGAGTTTGAGTGAGACGGCGACTGAGGTGGGTGGCGAGGGGGTTGAGAAGAATGGTGTGGCGAAGCCTGGTCATGATCCCGTACGTTCCCTGCCTCACTGAACCTGTTTGAAGTGACCATACGTACTAATGATCGGTTGATTCCCTTTGTCTAGTTGACCGATAAATTTTGCGAGCTTTCAGAAGCCACAGTCGACGCTTTGATCATTAGCCTTCAGCGACTGAAGACAGCAAGTCTCTCCATTTTCACCCTTCCTCTCCGCCGATTCTAACATCGACATCGTTTCCAGCGTCTAGCCAAGAATCGACCACCCTATCCACCCAGCCCAGAATCAACTGAGCTCTCCTTGCCAAGCACGCCACACGCCGGTGACGCCACACAAACACCACCACCGCCCTATTCGCGAAGTCAAACTTAACATCCACAGTTCTTTGCTTTCTTTTTGTATTGTGCATCTCCGTTCAGTCTCGTTTCCTTACTCTCGGACCATACCCACCTACAGGGCTGTACTCTCAGTTTCACTGCTCCCACTATCCTTATACTCGTACCCTCACACTTCACTACTCTTGACTTGACCACCCGTCCTTCCGTCCTATGCCCCTGTTTTTCGGATTTGCTTGTTACACGCGCTTTCTGCATCATCCGCCTGACCTGTCTCTTCTTCCAAACCTATAATATTTCTGTACCATCGTTGCATTTCACTCTCAACATTTTGGCATTGCTCTTACTCGTCATCTTGCACATAAACTCCAGAATAAAAATGAGACTGATCCTGTGTCGTCCATCAATGAGAATGACAAGTTCAGACCACTCGCGGCTCAGTCCAGGGCAAGTCTAGGGCCACATCGGGGCCACATACCATTTTCGTGCCAAACGCCGCCGGGAATTGCCGCACACCCAGGTAAGATCAACTTGCAGAGGCGCCTAAGATGCAGTGCCTGCGAAACCTGGGTCCTCTGCTCTTTTCTCTTCCCATCATCCATCCTTCCCACTGAACGACTTGAAGGAGGCTCATCGTAGGATGTTCAGGAGAGTGAAGCAGATTTCTAATAGTAAGTTATTTGCAGCCGTCGCATCTGCTACTCTGCGACCAGTGCACTTAAAAGTTGACCTTTACAAATTGATGCAAAATCCGAGTATAGCTTCACAGCCGTGCAGATGCATCGACGACGAGAAGGGGACGTTTATGAATGGACAGCGCGGTATGTGGATCGAGAGCCGAATAATCCCACCTTTATTGATAAAAAGCAATGTACACAGGACAGACTGAACAAGCCACGACCCATGAAGACCACGACCAGAAATCCATCATCTCAGACGGTGCAGACACCGACACTCTCGTCGACCTGACTTCTTCCGCATCATTGCACGTCCATGCAGCCAGTCTCAAATCACTGAAGCTGCAAGACCGCGCTCTTGGAAAGGACGGCCGTAAGCCCTCGATACTACACTTCCGACTGCCACGCCGAGTCGGAACTCTCCTCTCCGCGACTCGGAACAAGCTATTCGTCCAAGCCCCACTTGCCGTGCGATACGATATCGTCATGACCCTTCGCGACAATTTCGGTTGTGCTAAACTGGCCGAGACGACTATCAAGGATCATATACTACCGGCCTGTGTGGAACGTCTCGGCCCCAAGCATATCCAGACGTTGGTCGTTCGAGAATCGCTCGGCATTTGCGCATACCGTGCAGGAAGATATGGAGAGGCGATGAAGTTTTGGCAAGAAACGTGGGAGGGACGGAAGGAGGTTCTCGGACGTGAAGACCTCGCCACACTGAGAGCCCAATATAACCTCAGTGTTGCCCTGTTTGAAATGGGGTCTTTGGCTGAGGCGGAGAAGACGGGCACGGAGGTAGTTGCTTCTCACGAGAAGGTGAAAGGAAGGACACATGTGTGGACGCTGAGATATCGGGCAGCGCTAGCAGTCACGATCCATAACCAAGGGAGGTATGAGGAGGCGAAGAAAATCCTGGAGGAGGTGCTGGAGGAGCAAGAGAAAGCGGGGCGAACAAACCGTCCGGACGCGTTGCTATCCAAGCAATGCCACATCCTCGCGATATACAATCTGGGAGGAGACCATAAGCTGGCAGAGGAGTCGCTCACGAAGCTCTTGCGGAACCAAACGAAGGTGCAGGGCAAGAAGCATCCGAATACGCTCGCAACCCAGCTGTCTATAGCGCATGCGATCGCGAGACAAGGTCGAGAGGAGGAGGCGGAGGCCATACAAAGAAAGGTATTGGAGACGCAGGAGAAGGTACTGGGGAAGGATCATCCGCATACCCAGAAAACTCGACGTTTGTTGTCGTAGATTGTTTGGGGGATGAGGCGAGTGATGTGGTACAATTGATGGACACAGAAACGACTTGTCGAGTATGTGATCGGTGCTAGAATTGGTTCAGCACATCCATGTATGAGTATTGAGTAGAAGGGAGAACGAGACCTCGAGGGGACAAGTACAGCACGAGATGTATGGGTGAACACGTACCGAACATTGTTATGTATCGCAAGCGCCGTTGCCATAAAACATCGAGAAGGTATCATTGCTTATGATCAGCATTGAGTAGTTGAGAATATAAGGTTAGGGAGATCGAATGAAACTGCATAGCTGCGACCGTATTCTCTGGGGGTCGATAATCAGGCCAGGTGCAAATCCGGCGAGAAACCTACGGTTGCACTTTGCTGTTCCGCACAAAGCGATAGACATAGTATCCAGTGCAGTGACAGTAGGATGAGTTTCAAAGAGTAATCGTTGGCGTGGAAGGGCACGATGCAGGATAATTAAGTACATCATACGTATGCATTGCGTTCGGAGGCTTCGTTGTAGTTGGGTCCGTCCGGGAAAGGAGTTGACAAGGTAAAGAGGGTTTCGTAAAGTATGGGAGATCACTGCGAGGAGTTCTCTGTACCCAGCTTCTTGAGATTGCGGTGAAGTTGCGGGGTGACAAGGACAACGCGATCCAGCAGTTTCTTGACAACGGCATCTTTGTTTGATTCGAACTGACCCTCGACCTCTTTAAGCTTCTCATCTGTCTCCGCGTCTACAGCGCTTTGTGCCGTCTGGGTTGTGCCGGCGTGCTGTGTAATGTGCGTTCACGATAGTGTTTGAACTCGTGAGCGATAGGGTTGAGGAGGATTGGAACGAATGGGACGCACCGACTCCTCGAAGGCCTTGAACTCGGCTTCCTTGGCCTTCCTATACTCCTCAATCTCTTTCGATGCTTCTGAGCGGGCATCCTTTAGCCTTTGTACCCTGTCTAGATCAGAGGCATGGTCTCAGACATCGATATACGGATGTGAATGTAGAATTGAGATACATTGGCGTGCCTGCGCGACAACCTTCGCCGCCTCCTTCTCTGCTTCAAGAAGAGTTTGGATTCCCTGGGAGTGTTGAGCAGCCTAGAAATAAGTTTAATTAGTGATGAGAACAACGTCGAGATTCGAAGAACGCACCATGGTACAACGAGAGTGAAATGGAGCTATAAGAGCGTGAATGGACCCGAGCAAGCTGCGTTGGGAGAATTCAAACTCCGAAAACGCGTCTTTCCCTCTTCCGTCATTTGCCTCCAAGACAGCGCAGTGTGCTTTCTTTGAAGTCCTGCAGCAGTCAAGCGCGTAAAATAACGATAAACGACCCAACATATAGCCCACAGGGCTTGAGTCTTGTCAATTTCCGTCATATAATTTGCGAATAATATGGCAGACCCACTTCAGGCGCTACAGACCGCCCTCACTGTTCCACCCGACTCGAAACAACAAGCAGACGTGCTCGCCACTCTGCGTGACACTCTAGAAGGACAACCGGGACCTATTCCGGTCATCGTATCGACGCTGATACAGACAGTGAGGAATGGAGGGGACTCAATACTCAAGCGCTGGGTCATTGATCTCCTTCATTTTGGGCTCTGTCGGGCGAACCTCCCTATTGAAGTGCGGACACAACGTACGCCCCGTCTGTCCTAAGTGTGCTTATCTCGTGCTGACTTTCAATTTACCCCCATCTTTTTGTAGTCGCCTCACAATGTCTGGATACTCTCGCTGGGTTGCTGCATGACCCAAATCCCATGACTGTGAAGGTGGTTGTGCAGGCGTTCGCAGCAGTGTATCCTCTTTTATTCCGTTACCTGTAAGTGTGTTCTCACTTACCCTTGGATCTTTACTGACACGTAGTCAGTATCACCAACCGGTCGAACCGACAACAATGGGACGTACTCTCGCTCGCGAAGGGTCGAATACTGGAGTTCGTCTGGTCACCAGGAGTCAGTGCGGGCGTGAGGCTATCGGCCTTGAAATTTCTCCAGAGGGTTGTATTGGTGCAGACGCGAGGGATTGCTGACCCTAGGGTACTCCCCACCTTCACCTCTGCTCTGTATATACATACTTACGGCGCCACTCGTGAATATAGCTGCAAAACAAGAATGACCCCAACCTCTCCATGTGTCCTGCAGACCATCCGTTCATTCATGTCATGAGTCTCGAGGCTGAAGGCCAAAGACTCTTTGAGCATACCCTGGCCATGCTGTTCAATAGCCAGTGAGTGCAAGAGTATCCCCTTACCCGCTGTTGGTTGACATTTCTTCACGCAATTCTAGGAATGCCGACATCATGTCTGCTATATTGAACAGTTGGCCGAACCTGGTCAAACTACGTCCTCTTCTCGCCCAAAATATTATTGGTGCTGTTTGCGCGTGGTCACCGGCCGCTCTCGTTGGCTTTCCATACGGAACTGTCCGCAGCGTCGAAAAGTCCATCCGTATCCTTCTCATCCATATCCTTCGGTAAGTTATCACACCCGTAGCTTCTTCCCGCTCATGTTGACTTTTTCTTAGTTCACCTCAAGGCGCACCATTCGCCCATCAAATCAATGACGCCCTTAACGTCCAAAATGCGCGGATGGAAAGGGCTACCCTGGACGAAAAACACCGCAAAGCAGCGGCGGCTGCCCTCTCCGAGTCTCGCAAACGTCCACCATCCACCACGCTGCCTACAGACCCTGCCGCCACCGATGCTAACAAGCGCGTCAAACTCGACCATGACCCCTCCTCAGCAGCCACTCTTCCGGCCTCTATCCTCTCAGCATTCGACTTCACGACATTGCCCGCGCCACTGATCACGGAGCTCATTGTGGCAAATCTGCAAGCTTTCGACGAGAGGACACTCATCGGACTCGTCCAGAACTACAGACAGGTGATGGCTGCCGCTACTCTGGTGGCAGGACCCAGCACAGGTGCGGCACCTATGGTCGCCCCTGTTGCCGTACCGGCGGGTGCGCCTGGGGCTTCAGATATTGCTACTGTGACACCAGTTGCCCCCGCTTCCACAATTCCTACAGCTGGAACCCCAGTCACGGCTGCATCGACTTCTGTCCCACCTGCAACTTCGGAATCTGCTCAGACAGCCGATGTGCCCACGGAGCCGGTACCTCCAACCGAGGTTAAAGAGGAGCCCGTCGACCCTCTCCAGATGGATATCGATCAGGACGAGCTCGAGTATGAGCCCGACCTATTGAACCAGGAACTCGAGCCCATGCAAGAGGACGACGAAGCCGCGGCTCTAGCGGCTCTCGATACCAAAGCCCTGCTTGCTCTCGATTTCAAGATCCCGCCTCCACGGACATTAAGTGAACCGGAACGAGACGCATTTGTCAAGTCGAGTGTGGCGAGAATATGGGATGGAAAAGATGATCTGTTGGTTGGTGGGCTCGAGGTCGCTCTTGGGCCAGGGACTGGGGGAGTTGGACCCGGAGTCAATGACATGTGGATGCTATTGATTGTGAGGATGGTCACTCGAGTTGTGGACCCGAATGATGAGGAGAAAAGTGATGACGATGACGAGGACGACAACCCTAAGAAGGAGGGGGAGGAAGATGAGCAGATAGTGAGGCTGTACGAGAGGCAGGATAGGTTGAGGCGGACGTTGTGCGACTACATTATGAAGGATTTCTCTGGACGGTAAGTCTGCCACCTTCATGTGGCTAGTCTACTCTGACTCTTCTGCTTATCCTCTAGAATAGCACTGGCCACGACTTGGATGAACGAGGAATGGTATAACGATCAAATCCGGCTTCAAAGAGATCGTAACTGGGTCCGTCAGCATTCTGAATGCGTAATCAACCATGAAAGCTAATGGTCGATCACTTGACTATAGCCGCCAAACTACGATACATGGCTAAACCAGATCGTTGCAACTTATCAAAATAGTTTGGATGGCAAGGACCGTGTGTTTGGGCGGTTTCTCTTGGACTTGCCGGCCGTACCACCAGATGTTTTCACGCTGCTCCGGGATCTCTGTCTAGAACAAGAACGGTAAGCCTGTCTCCTTTGCTCCATTGCCGCAGTATGTCACATCATTGACCATTCGCCCATCAGCATGCAAGTCGGGTTCACTACTCTACGAGAGTTTGTCACACAGCGGCCGACCCTCCGAGTAGAGGCAATGAACATCATTCTTGAACTCACGACTCACCCAGGTAATACCACAATATGGTCAGGTATGGACTGTGCTGACAATAATGCATTCTACAGAAAAGGTCACCCGAGCGGCAGCAATCATCACCGTCAAGCGGTGGATTGGCGAAGACCAGCAGCCAATGGACAACATGGTGCGAGAGTTTGCATTGGGCCTGCTTCGACGGTTACAATCTCGGCCACCGTCGGAAAAGAAGTCCGACGACCAGGATGAAAATATGGAAGATGGCCAGCTGCCTCAGGAAGAAATGCTGCAGACACCATACCTCCCTGATCTGGAGTTCCCAGCGCAGAAACCTGTAGTGTTACAGCACGTCGAACTCCTGTTCGCTCTGTCCGTAAGATCCTCCGAATTCCTAGCAGAGTGCGTATCTTTTTCCCTCTCATCCCGCGAAACCAGCGCTCATGTCGCTATGCAGACTCTTTGCCGCCTATGGAGAGATGGATGTCAGTGTACAAGAAGCGATTCAAGACCTCATCACAACACTCGTGCGCTCAATGGGCCCAACAAACGGCAAACTCCTCACGCTCATGCGCACATTCCCACCTGGTGCCGATACACTCGCTCTCCGTGTTCTCAACATCTTCACCGAACACTCTCGACCATCCTCGCAACTCGTCGCCCTTGTCAAAGCTCTTATGGCTGAGCGCGACCTTGATGCCCGTTTCCTCATCCCTATTATCGCGGAGATGGACAAGTCCGACATCGTTAGACATTTGCCCAAGATTGTATCGATGTTGAACGGGACCATGGAGCCGAAAAACCTGGTGAGGTCGGTGTTTGGGGCTATTGTCACGACACCGCCACAGACGTTTGGGAGCGTGACGAGTAATATGCCAAGAGTGAGGCAGAGTGAGTTGTTGACACCTGCTGAGCTTATGGTGCTATTACATGAGAGTGAGAAGGAGATTGGGTTGAAGAGTGCGATCGAAGGTCCGTGGTGTTAATGATTTTTTTTGGAAATTTAGATGTTGACAGTCTGTTCCGTTAGCTATTGGAATATGTTTCTCGATGACGGACGTGTTCCGTTCAGAGATCTTGGCTGTTGTGATGCAACAGATCGTAGATGAGTCTGTGCTACCTACCCTCTTCCTGCGGACGGTAAGAGATTTCAGATTTAGTTCTATCACAAATGCTGAACATCCATCACAGGTCATCCAAGCCGTCACAACCTATAAGTCTCTCGTTGGCTTCGTCTCAACCACACTCCTCTCTCGTCTCATCACCAAGAAGATCTGGATGAATCCTCCTCTCTGGGAAGGCTTCATCCGCTGCGCCAAAGTAATCGCCCCATCCTCCTTCGGAGCCCTTCTTCAGTTGCCAAAGGAACAGCTACGAGAGTTGGTCGACAAACAGCCGAGTCTGAAGGCAGGTTTGCGGGACTATGTAATGAAGAAGGCAGGTAATAAGGCGCGTGTGGCGGGGTATCTGGATATATTTGGGGAAGATGATGGGGGAGCAGCGGCTGGGACTCCGGCTGGGACTCCGGCTCCTGCAACTCCTGCTGGAGCGGGTACGGCGAACGGGAACGGAGCGAGTACACCGACGAGTGCCACTGCAGATGGGGCTGCAACACCACCACCACCACCACCGTCGGAAACGCCTGCTCCTGCTTCACCCACGCCTGCGTAGGCAGAAGTGTATTGATTACTGCGCACTGAAATTGCTATGAAATGGGCAGAACTCCGTCGATGCTCTTCAATGCATCCGTCGTGGCGCAATATGCTAGTGACTCTTTTCAACGTTCCGACTGTTTGTTAATTATAATTATTCCTCTTGTTGCATCGTAAACACTGCTATATCTGCATCTGATACGCGTATACTTTCTTTATCTTTCTTTGCAATTTCCATCGCATATGATCAACGGACATTTTCAAGATTGTACTTCAGTGGTATGGAGACCAGACGCCAGCATGATATCAGTGTCATGTAAGTGCTTATTTCTCGATTCTGCCTTCACTGCCTAACTCATTCAGTGCCAACTCTTTTCTTCCCTATAGTACTCGTACATTAGTGCACGCGTGTGACTATCTCTCTATGCATCTCGGTTTAGATTTGGTTTAGCCCATAACGTCCATCAAGGGCTGCGAATCAATTAAGCCATGCACTTCGACGTCAGCCCGTACGACCACATACCACACAGACCTTTCCTGAGTCTGACTCCTGGCCTTTTTCTTGGATTCAGGCGAATCCTGAACGTCATATCTTGGAGCAAAAGTGATTTTAGTGACTTCGTCGATGCTTTGAGAGACAATAGCAATCAAATAAATTAATTCAGAATTTTGTCAGTTGTTTTTGTGGGCCACACTATGTTCAAACATGCCACTTGAGTGAAATCTAATCTTATCTTATCTATGTCGGTGTGTCACTGTTTAGTGATGCCCCAGTTGTGGCTCGCTCTCGTTCCGATCCTCCTGCTTCCCCGACACTTGTGCCCTTCTTGTCTTCAGCCTTCATCATCGCTCGACGCAGATTTCTTGGCAAAAGGAATCCATCCGGTCATATAGTGTACTAATTCATCCCTCAAATTCTCGATGTGCTGTTACTGACTTGTTAACTTTCGGAACAATGACAGCGCCGGAACGGGACTTTTGCATACAAGCATTCCGGACAAACCACGATGATCGAGAATGAGAAGATGCAGGATACGGAGGACGCACCACCACATTCCAACGCAGGCTCACAGCGTGGAAGGCGCATGTCGAGGAGTCGGAGCCAAGGCGAGGAATCCCCAGAAAGTGTACAAGCGTCACCTTCGTCATGGGATCAGAGCTCTCGGGGCAGATCCCTCTTGCGCAAAATGACTGATCCGTTTTCCGAGGCTAACCTGCGGAGGAGGTACGTGAAAATGTCGTCAATAGCTGCGCTTCCCCCATATAGGACTACTGTTCGTGCCTAACGTCTTGATTTTGCCGAACATGTACAGGGGATACCATACACTGCAGTCGTTTGACAAGACGTTTCATGTTGAGAAGAGATGGAAATTGATTAGAGAAATGGGCTCTGGAGCATACGGTGTTGTCATGTGCGTTTCGATTCTAAATTCTGCTCGACGTGTGGGCGTCAACCTCGGACCCTCCATACAGCTCAGCCGCGGATGATATCTCGGGCGAGACAGTTGCGATCAAGATGGTCACCCGGATATTCGAAAAGACACAGCTTGCAAAGAGAGCCCTTCGTGAACTTGCTCTACTCCGGCATTTCAACAATCACGAGAACATAACGGGTCTCATTGACGTCGACGCCATAGCTCCGAATTTCAATGAGATGTGAGTTCTTGGTTCAGTGGCATATCGTGGATTTACATATCGATCTCATGGTTTGTTGTGCTGGATTTCCGGCAACCAGGTATCTGTTCATGGAGGTGCGGTGTGTTCCCAGTGTTTCATCCGGCGTTCTCATCGATTGACGTTTATCGAATTTGGCTAGCCAATGGAAGGTTTGTGGACCTCGCTGTATTGTTCGCCTGCTGGCATGCTCACCCACAAGTAAACAGCTGACCTGCACCAGATCATCAAATCTGGCCAGATGCTGTCAAATGAACATGTCCAATATTTCACCTACCAAATCCTTCGAGGTATCTTAACCCCTATTCCCTTCGTCATCTGCCCGAGGTAACCGAGAACGTGTCTACCCAGGAATGAAATATGTCCACTCTGCCTCCGTCGTGCACCGCGATTTGAAGCCTGGAAACCTTCTCGTCAACTCCGACTGCGAACTCAAGATCTGTGACTTTGGTCTGAGCAGAGGCTTCGAATCACGACCGGACGAGTACGTCTCGCACATGACAGAATATGTAGCAACTCGGTGGTACAGAGCCCCCGAGATCATGTTGGCATTCAAGTGAGTTCGGGATTCTACATCACCCTCCTGGACTTGGCCCAGGTTGGGCTTTTGTTACTCCTTCTCTCTCTTCTTCATTGCTTGTTCGGACTGCTCGTTCAACTTTGGCCGCCAGGCGTTACGATACAGCAAGTCCGTTATATTTGCTGTATTTTCCTTTGAGACGAATGATTTTGACTGACCTCTATCCCTGACTCATTGGTGTTGCTTCATCTCTACCTTCCGTCTTATAGTCGACGTATGGTCAATAGGATGTATACTGGCTGAACTCCTGACTGGGAAACCGCTCTTTAAGGGCAAGGAGTAAGTGACAGTTGTTTACTCATGGTAGTTCATTAGCTAACGCAATCCATTTAGCTATGGTCAGTGTCGCATCATCTTCATAACCTGAATCGCTTTGTGATGTTTTGTTCTAGTTGACCAGCTAAACAAAATTCTGGATGTCCTGGGCACTCCAAGCGAAGCGGTGATCAAACGGATAGGCAGCGAAAAGGTATCATGATTTACACATTTTTTCTGGTCGTGGGACCCTCCAAGCTGACTTTACACAGGCACAAGCATACGTCCGCACGCTGCCGATCAAGAAGAAGGTCCCCTTCCGAAAACTTGTCCCCTCCGCTGACCCGCAAGGTGAGGAAATTCATGAGACAGAATTAACCATATTTTCTTTGTTCACCCATGTACCTATAACCATAGCCCTCGACCTCCTCGAGAAAATGCTTTCTTTTGATCCCAGCGGCCGCATTACCGTCGCCGAAGCCCTCGAGCATCCATGGCTCTCAGGTTATCACGACGTCAACGACGAACCCGAATGTCCGACAAAGTTTGACCGGTGGCGCGATATCGAGAAGTTAGAGACCATAGAACAGTTCCGCGAGGCACTGTGGAAGGAGATCGAGGATTATAGAAGGGAGGTCAGGATGATTGCGTTAGAGATGATGGATGATGAGCCTGCGCCACTTAGGAGCCCGAGTGTGCTTAGTGCGGTAGACGAGGGCGGGGACAAAGCGCAGGTGGAGGTAGTTGATGAAGAGATGGTGAATGCGACTCGGCTCGAGGGAGTGGATGAGTGTACCCAGGAGAAGGTCGAGGGGCAAGGACAAAGCGAGGCACAGCAGGAGGATACGGAAACGATACCACCACTCGCAGAGTTCCCGTCGAAGGAAACGAGTATGGAGAAACGGAGAAACAGCGGAAGCAGCACCCAAGGCTCTTCATCACTCGCATATCCGACCCAGCGCATCCCAGCCGTTACAAGAGATCCACTCGTTTCTTATGCCCGACGCACGAGCATGTTCGGCGCACACTCTAACCGTGGGTCATTATATGAAAGCGCCACCGGCTCTCCATCGGATCCCTATCAACCCATGTCCACCGGTACACATCCTACACCGACACGCGCTTCATCTTTCATCGATGACGGCTCTGGCGTCAACTTCGGGGGGTATGCGCTTGGATCGGGTCACGTTAAAGACAGTAGCACCAGCACCGCCGGGGGCATCGCGTTCCCATCCATGCAGCAGCGAGATGGGTTCATCGTTCCCGCAAGGTCACGGACGGCGAGTATGGCCACGGGGTACGATGTACCGAGAAAGCTATTGCGGACCCTCTCGACTGTCTCGATATACGAGAGCTTGGGACCTTTGGCGGGCGGTGGTGAAGGTGGAGGCGAGGGCGCAGCGTCAGGTGTGGCACCGATTGCGAAGATCATCAGGGAGAGAAGGACGGAGGCGGATGCGCCACCTAGTGAGATGCCGGGAGACTTCCAAATTGGGGTCGGGGGGAGCGACAGTGAAAGTGGGGAGAGCGGGGATGGGAAATAGACCTGGAGATTTGGAGAGCTGAGGATGGCCTTGGTGGATACATCCGTTCGTTAGTTGACTGGTTTCGCATCACTATCTACCATCTGCTTTCGTTACGGCGACACCTAGAGTTCGTAGAACCAACCACTGCCACACGGTCATTTCAGGATTGCGATTATCGTCGCCTGTACAATAGATAATAGACTGAACGAACAACAATACAATGCAGCTTTGTCCTTGATGGTCCATGTTAGAGGCCGTACCTAGCCCGTTCGAAATATGGTCGCCAAGGTCACGACGGGCGGCCACTTGCTCTACGATTCCACATCCATGACGGTGCCATATACTTTGTCACACCGCGTAGCTACGAACTTCTTCAGACTCGATTCTAGACACGGACACCTTAGGAGGATTGGAAAGCATATTGTCCTGGATCCATGAGGATCCTTGTAATTACACGGAATATATAGAGGCGAGGTGATGGCTTGTGAATCGTTGAAAAGTAGGTGAAAGCTATATATCTTGCCCGTATCATCAGCAATTGGAAGGATGCGTAAGTGAGATATACGGACGAGCGGGAGGAAGGTTTGTTTACAACGAGGATGGGACTTTGTGTACAGGTCAGGAGATTGAGTTAGGTAGCGCCATCATAGAACCCTGAACAATATGAGAGGAAAACGTATACAACGAACCAAAGTTAGAGCACAGAAACGGGAAGGAGATAGGAGATAGCACAAACAAAGCGTCGACTACTGTGCACACATGTACTACTTTGGCTTATTGGGAATGAAGGTACAGAAAGGGGGATAATAAACGAATAACCGATACGATTGAGTAGATGATGTTGCCTGTGGCATCGTAGGAGAATAATACGCTGGGCGGTCAGTGAATTCTGAGAGGTTGTTAGTGTTGGCGAAGTTCCGGCTTGCTATGATGCCAGCGTCCAAATGCTCTTGGATGAAGCGTTTCTCGAGACGCTTGGTCGAGAGGCTTTCATCTACAAAATGCACTCTCGTCAGCATCGATGCTGCGTCAGATGTCAGTTTACCGGCGTACCTGCTCCAGCCTCAATTTTCTCGCCTCCCACTCAGGACTCAACTTATATATCTCCTGCACCATCGTCTCCACCAGGACTTTGTATTCTTCTTCTTTCTTCACCTTCGTTTCCTGCTTCACCTCCTGCACTTTCTCGACCTGCAACTTCTTCTCTTCCTTCTCCTCGTCACGCCTTACTTCGAGTGCTTTCTCACTCTTGGTGTCCTCCTGTAGCTGTTTTCTCCCCTGGCCCTCTTTGAGGGCTCTAAGACGTTGCTGACTGCGGATATGACCTAATTGTGCCCATGCTTCTCGTTCAGCTGAGCGGCGAATGGTTTCGATGCTTGGCATTGAAGATGGAGCGGCATAGGTGGATTGTGAAGAGGAGTCCGAGTGCGTAGAGTGGGTGGACTTCGTGTCCCAGTTGAAGGAAGAGGCTCTCGAGGCACCAGACGGGGCGGGAGATGTTGCAGGTGTTGGATGCGGGAGGTTGCGTGTGTGGATGTCATACGCCTTATGGACAACAATAAGTCTAAAATACTCTTTCGAATGAGCACACGTTGAGCAAGCACCTACCCTGCGTTGGTCGACATTGCCTAACACCTCAAAGGCTTCTCGTACCTACCAAAACGTTCAATGTGCTAGAAAAGGGGATACACTCTATGATGGCCAGCTTACCCTTCTGAATTGATCCTCAGCCTCCTGTTTCTCCTGTTCACTCGCATCAGGACCAAGTTTGTCTGGATGTGTCTCAAGCACTTTCTGTCTGTATGCCTTTCTGACTACACTCCAACCGATCAACAAACACGAGGTCAGGACCGAGGACACCCTACCTCCAAATGCGGTTATGGCATTTAGAGTCAAACGTAAGTACTTACCGTCATCAGCAGTAGCTGCAACACTTATTCCTAGCGCGGCATAGTAATTGGGTATCGGATCCATAGGACCCTCGCAAAGATCGTAGGATTCAATATGCGGGTTGAGGAGGGGAGCGTCAGCGTGTGAAGTCACGACAAGTTGAACTTCATAACGGCTGCGGCTCATCAAAGCGGAACCAAGCATTGGACGCCCCTCGCCACGTGGGCGATGGTACGCGGGCCCTCCCGGGCCGGCTTAAAGTAGCCTTACCAAGCGCCCTCTCCATATTTCTCTCTTCCGGTCTCTTGCCTCTTGTATTTTATTCCTATATTTTCCACATTTAAAGCATAATGCTTGCTGTACAACAGCCCGTACCTCTCCCAGATCCTCTCTCCGTTCCATCGAATGCACCGGAACATTGTCCAGTACGCTCAGCTAATACCTCCAGTTTCTTCGTCCCACTAATTGTCGTAAATTTATAGGGGACCGAATCAGACCTAGCAGGCAAATCAGATGCTTGCAATGGATGCGCAAATCAGGAAATCTGCGCATCTAGTACACCAAAGGGCCCCGACCCCGCACTTCCCTTGATTCGTGAACGAATGTCCTCTGTGAAGCGGAAGATCTTGGTCCTCTCAGGCAAGGGTGGTGTCGGAAAGTCTACATTCACCGCTCAACTGGGATGGGCATTTGCTGCAGACGAGGACTTGCAGGTAGGTTTATCCCTGCAGCATCAGCATGCTTGAACTGACCTGCATATCGTTAGACCGGTATCATGGACGTCGATATTTGTGGCCCCTCCATCCCCACCATCCTCGGCATCGCCTCTGAACAGGTACACTCCTCATCATCGGGATGGTCTCCTGTATACGTTCAAGACAACCTCGGCGTCATGTCCGTGGGCTTCATGCTCCCCTCATCCAACAACGCCATAATGTGGCGCGGACCCAAGAAAAACGGCCTCATCTCCCAATTCCTCAAAGACGTCGACTGGGGCACCCTCGACTATCTCCTCGTCGATACTCCCCCAGGCACGTCCGACGAACACCTAAGCATAGTGCAATACCTGAAGGAATCGGGAATCGACGGTGCGGTCGTGATCACGACCCCACAAGAGGTGGCGTTGCAGGATGTGAGGCGCGAAATCGATTTCTGTAGGAAAGTAGGGATCAGGGTGTTGGGCGTTGTGGAGAATATGTCTGGGTTTGTCTGTCCGGGCTGTAAGACGGAGTCGCAGATCTTCAAGCCGACGACAGGAGGGGCGAAAAAGCTGGCGGAGGAGATGGGGGTAGAAATGCTGGGTGCTGTGCCACTGGATCCGAGGATAGGAAAGAGTGCGGATTACGGGGTCAGCTTTTTGGACGAATATCCGGACAGCCCTGCGACCACGGCATACTTGGATATCATTGACCGTGAGTATATTTCACCCGTGTCCAGTCGACCGAAATCGATGACAGATCTTCTTATTTTATCAATAGGAATAAAGGAGATTCTAGGCGATGATTAGCCCGTCATCGTGTCCCTTTGGCGATGTTCGGCACCTTGTACACTCATACCATTTTTCGCATCCCTGTACTTTATCACTTACTAGATCACAGCACTCATGTACATTTCGCATTCCTTATCGACGCTTTCGGATTTTGGGATAGATTCATGGGCTCAAGGCAGCCGCTATATTCGCGGCCATTCTCTCTGTCGATGTTTCTCGACGTTACAGCCCAAGATAACTGTCAACAGTCTGCGCGAAGTAGCGAATATATTAGGTGTGTCGCCAGTTGCTTGGTCTTATTTGTTCGCACCGGTGTCTTGCCCAGTTAGTTTTCCGATTTCATCCTCCGCTTGCGTGTATCGCTGACAATTCTCAATCCACGTCTCGTAATGAAGGAACCCACCAAGTTTCAGATCGGCGAGGCTTCATCGGAATACGGTCCTACTCGACCTTGGCCTGCAAGACGCAAGCGCTCCACAGCCTGAGGCGTCTACGAGTATTCAGGAAAGCTTATTGAACGTCCTATCTTCAACACCAAGGTCTGCCTGTGGGAGACTAGGAAAGCTCCATGGCCTTACGGAAACAAAAGGGTATATCTTTTTCTTGGCTGCACTTGGGATACCGTGATCGGTCTGCTATAGGGCGCTGGGTCTGAGCGACTATCGTCACATCTCGTCCGGACAACATACTGCAGCTGTGATGGCCCTTTGAGTGTGCTCTTACTACGGCTTGGCCTTGCGGACTCTGGAATTATTCTAACACTTCCTTTGATTTGCGACGAATAGGTATACGCCTATTGGAAGAGCCATAAACTTTGTGGTTGCATTTGTATTAAATATTGAAGAGGCACAAATGTCAAGTAAGAGGCACACGTTAGCATTCCCTTCACTTACGACACTTACGACGATTCCTGCCACTACGACGATACCAGTCTTGTCCCCTCTTGGCATCTCATACATCTACTTTCACCTACTTGCGACATCACACACGACTAGCCAAGGAATGCATGGCGGTTCAATATGACGGTACAACCATTGAATCATCATCGCCTTGCCAAGACGGTCTGGTGAGACTTGAAGTTTCTGCAATCGCCAAGACCCATCGTTAACAGATCCTTGAGCAGATACCTGAATGCCCTGAACATCAACATTCGACAGGTCTCCGTGATGTTTCTCACTTCGAAACTGGCACTATTAAAGGCTCAGCTGGGCCCTCACTATCGCGACTATGGCATCCTCTACACTACCCCGGGCTCAGGTCGAGGCTGACTTTTCGCATTCAATGGCTGCTGCAGTTGACGCCAATTCTATGCAGCCAAACTGTGCGCTTCTCATCATCCGTATCTTCTTTCACGGTACCCTACTAGTGCTGTTTCCTATGCTCTCCGTGTACGCAATATCTTTTCCCAATATCTTTAGTCTCGTCGGCGTCGCCGTGCTCCTAATAATATGTCTACTCGTGATCAGGTGCGGGAGTCTTCTGTGTATCTAGTATTCATAGGCTAACAAATATTGAGATATTAGCGACTTTGTGACTGTGGTACGGAGAGTGCGTTATTCTTCCTACTGGATCTCAGCCTGACTACAGGCTTAATTCCATTCTGCTGGTTAGGTATGTTCAGTGTTTCAAGCCTCGGCATCGTAATGATTACAGTCCCCCTTGCAGCCGAAGCATACGACAAGTCCTGGGACGAACAAATCCTTGACGATTTTTCGGATTGGCAGGAGCTGCTCTACTACTGCTACCCCTTCTACAAAATCAGTCTCTGGTTCCCTAAGATCCTCTGCGGCGTTTACGTTCTATTCATGATCTCAGTACCCTTTATCAATATATGGAGGCGGACACCAGCGTTCAATCCTCTGTTTGCAATCCCTAACGCCCCGCCGCCGAACCCATCTGAAGCCGGCGCGCCTCGTCCGTGGCTACGTTCGGTCGTAGGTACAAACCGGAACGAGAATGAGAGGCACTACGTCGAGAGGCATTGTGCATCTGCCTTGTTTCGTCACTCGCCTTTCCGCAAGCATCCGTGAGTTTTATACCTCAATTTTCTTTTTCTTTTTATGTCTGTTTTTGTTTTTGATTGGCGTGAACAGGTTTGAACCTCCGATTTTGGGCTTCGCGCGTGGGTTGATCGCGGCATACGCAACGCTTGGTCTGTTGGGCTACACGGTTTTCCTCGTCAATTCGGAAGAGAGTACCGCGAGTACCACGCAATCCGTCCACATGTCTCTTACCTTGGTCGACAAAAGCGGAAGTGATCTTTCAACCGGTGCCAGCTATTCCTTCGGTTCGAATAATCCCCAGATCTACGCGGTAAGGGATCAGTCATGCCTTCCTTAATTTATATCCTCCTTACCCTCGTGTGCAATCCTCCGCACGTGGAATGTGCTGTAGGTCGCAAATAATATCGCTGATCAGGTCTTCGGCACCTTTCGTGATCTACACATCACAGTCCCCGAAACAGAGAGTGGAGTACACTGCGTACAGGTCTACGTCGACAGGCCGGAATCTCGCGATACTCTCTCACAGAATTGTACTATCCCCGCTTCGGGGAGCTTCTTTCATCACCTCAATTTATCTGTCTACGCCAACGTCTCATTGTCCATATGGATCATCGACACTATTGCCGGAGCAAGATTCGATCCCTCCACGGCCAAGACGCTCACCAGCCCCTTCATCCTTCCCGCGAATACACATATGTCAGGATTCCTGTCAGTAACGAAGAAAGTAAGGGGAAAGGTCGAATGGCTCGCATACGATCCCTGTAAGCCCTCCTATCAAAGATGCGGTGAGACTTCGCCGATACAAGGTCTGACTAGCAACTATCGGCACGTCCAGACCTCTTGCAAACGAACGCTTCCGCAGTGGAAGCAGCTGAAGCTGGAACATCTTCGATCGCACTTTTCACCCACTTCCCCGAAACTATCGAATGGATCCCTACGGTCGAAATCGTCTCGCCTTCTGTCCTCAGTACAGCCCTTGGGATCATCTCTACCGTGGGCGGTGTACACGTTGTCATAAACGGGCTATTCTTCTTGATATTCGGAAGGGGTCTGTGGATGGTTCTCGTCGGTAAGTCGACCATCTTTCTCAATCTCATGACCCATCATATGAGACGCGCATTCTAAATAGCCGCAGGGGGAAGGCCGATCTCCCCGTTTGGAGTGTTTTGTATGTTTGCATGGTATAGGCGCGCTATCTTGAGACATTATCCGGCGCTGGAGGACGACCTGGAAACCGGGGGCATGGCGAGTTTCATAGAAGAAGTTGGGATGGATGTCGTGGTTCTGCGAAATGCGAAGAGCAGAATCGTGGATAGGAGTTGTGCAAATTCCAGGCCAGAAGGGGGTGTGAAAGATTTGGAGTGCTAGTGGGATCTGCTAGTGTCCTCACTCGATTGAAGATATGAAGTATATTTTATTTTGTATCAGTGTACGTTTAGAGAACATCCACATATATATGGACCGTTGTGGATTTCTATTACCAAGCTCACCCGATAGGCCGTCCTGGTACTGTAACCACAACTTGAATGCAACTTGAAGGGTAGACTCTACATAGTAAATTCGAGGGAGCTCAGACGCGCACGTATTTTTTTGCCCTACACCTTCCTGTTGATCGTATGATAGATAACGGGCGATGGATTGCGATTATAGAGGAGTAACAGTAAGGCTATAAATCACACGGAAGGCAACAGAAAATGTGGTGTCGAAAAGGTTCCGAGGGCTCGTCAAGCCTCCTCAGCGGCCTTCCTGGCCTTCTTCGCGCCAGAGGACTTGAAATCATCCTCGGAATCTGCCTTCCTCTTGATCTTCGGGGTCGAGGCCTTTCTTGATACTTCGTTCTTTACCTTCGCGATCTCTGCGGTCTGCTTAGCCGCTTTCTCCTCTGCAGCCTTCTTGGCCATCGCACGGAGCACAGCAGCAGGAGGCGAGCGTGGCAGGAGAGCCTTTGCCCTAACAGTACGTTGAGCCTGTTCTATCTCCCGATACTTGGCCCTTTTCTCATCATCGGCCAGATCCTTGAGGCCCTCTTCGGCGGCCCCAAATATGGCGATGAACTTCTCGTGGATATCCGACCAGGAGCGGGTCTGGTAAGCCTCTCGAAGAACGTTCCAGAGTTTCACCAGGGTGTTCCCGAGTGGACGTAAATAGATCTGCATGTGGTTCAAGATTTTTTGTTGGAAATCGTTTTTGAGTGTGATGATGAGTCGTTTGTTGGCGGAATTAATTGGAAAGATTCTCCCTCAAACAATTCCTCAATGACGGTCTTCAAAAATTGGTCTTTCGAAGACGTCTGGTCGAGAACGACGCGGGTTCCTGGTCCTGTAAAAGAGATGCACAGCCAACAAAGTATCCAGAAGAACCTTTCCATGTCATGGGTTGTTTCGTGGCGGGTGACTTTGTGCTTGGACTCTGGGATATCCTCCTCAGGAGATGGAAATGTGAATTCTTGATCGGTCGTGTTATCGAAGTATGGACGATGGTTTACGTCCGATATCTCCGCACTCATGAATGCTAGAGTTCCCTAGAAGAAAATTCAGTGTAAATGTCTTGCCGCAGAACCATTCGCAACGAGCTTACCGTTCGTGCAGCGTCGAGCAAAGGCGTGTGACCTTCGAATGCGACGGCATTGTCAAAGTCGATAATGATACCGCGGTTTGGCTTACTATTACCAGTCAATAAGATGTTGCCATCGCTGATGTCCCGATGAAGAACACCCTTCTTGAATGCATATTGATGCCCTACCAGGACGGATATATCAGTAGGGTTTGAATTCGACGAGGCAGAAATACGATTACACCTTTAATAGCGTCATGTAATCCCTTGACTAATTCCTGTAAGTCGACGAATTCGGAAAGCGGGGAACCATGACTCTCAATTACCATGCGCGAGTGAGTCCGTCGTCGTGGGCTGGAAGATTTCGGACCTTGGGAAACTTCAAAATAATCCTCCCAGTCGCCGGGTATGCAGTCCTTATGAAGGTATATATTAGGATGGTACTCGCGATCGTAGAAATCCTGTCTCGTCCAGACATTGAGCGGCGCCCCGGAGTGGGCCAAGCCTTTTTGCGCAAATTCCAAGGTTGTATCAGCTCTACCACCGAACGTGACTATTTCATACGAATATACCACAGCGATCCCAGGAGCATCACACCCTATTTTGTGGTGGAGTTCGCCTTCAGGTTCTCGATGATCATCTCGCCAGTTGTCCTTGATGACATAGATCTGAAACCGACATGAGCAATGGCACAGGAAGAGGATTCAGGTACGATATCGACACACCTTTCGTTTAGCTTCTTCAAGCTCGAGATCGGCCTGTTTCCATGCTTGCCACACCCTCGTAGCCCGTCCGCAAATCACCTCTCCTCGCGCCACGCTGATAGCGCCCCAGAGCACGAAATTTTCGCGTTCGCCGTTGGACTCCGCATTCGGTTTCAGGACCGACAAAACCCACCAGTGCTGGTCGTACGGATTATCAGGATTCAAGCGATTCCCACCGGACACCTCCCACGAAGGGCGCGACTCAAGACGCTCGTTCGGTTCGCTGGTCACCATTCTGAAGTGTGTGTCCCACCCAAGCTCGAAGGGACTCTTTGTGGTCATGCATGCGATAACACGTATGAGCTGTTTCGGATCCTGAGATCAAGCAAAGCAGGGGCGAACCTCGTTAGTGTAGTGTTCAAGGGAGGAGACTGGACAGGCGATTCCTATGTACCTCATGAACATTGAATGATTGAGAGCCTAGCGCCCCCGACCGATCAACGAGCCATACAGTAAGGTGAGTCTTAGCGTAGACAAGACCAAAAATAAATCGTCGGTCCACCTGCTCGTAAAGCACTTGACGACTATATTTGAGAACCCGAAGAAGGCCGGGTAGCACCGCTATCGGTTCCTTGACCTCGACAACCGTCTGTATCAACCTCCATAGGTCAAATGAATCGTAATCGCATGCCTGTAAGAGACCTATGATATCAGGCTTGACATCAGCTGCTGCCTCTGGATTGACCTTCTTGGAATGCACGTCCTGCCAAACGAGGTTGAACATCTTTGCACTACCACATGCCGCTGTGATCGCGTTGAAAATTGTCACAAGGGGCTCATAAATGGAATCCACGCTGGTCGGGTTGGTTGGAAGAGAAGTCCAGCACTTGTTGGTTTCGGAGTATAGTGGGTGATCTCCGCTTGTCAAGTTATCGTAGATTTGGTCTATGAACGAATCGTCGCAGGAGAAGAGTGTGTCGAAGAAATCAGGAGTGTTGCCAAAGGCCGCGTGGCGAATCTCTGTAAGGATGATCTCCTCCGCTTCCGCGGCAGTCGTAGCCGTTCTATTGAAGTGAGTTGTGTGAGAGGTACGTTGTTTGATGGGACTACTTTGATAGAAGGAAGGCATACTGAGGATATTGGAGAATAGGGGTTTGGGACGAAGAAGAAACGCCCGCATGCGATATATATGCATCCGATGACAGAAGAGCTTCGTGAGTCCGTATTTGCGACGAACTTCCCTACAAAATGACACAAAAAACACGTTAGACCTGGCTGTACAAAGGCTGACACTGATGCCGCGTGTGCCTACAGGTATAGTTTGCGTGTCGTCGATCGCACCCTGCGCCTCGAGGGTGTCAGAAGAGCTTTCATCCATGGACGCGTTTAGTACCATAACGACGAGCGCAAAGAGTATAAGTCGAAAAGACCAGGGCCTCGAGGAAGTGGTACGGAGTGGAAACGATGACACAGACACAATCTACGGAAGTACATGATTCCAACTCCGATTCTCACGCCACCAACGCGTCTCGGAGTCGCCTCGTTGGCGAAATGTCACAACTGTAATTGAACTGTAATATCGCCGCTGCAAGACTTGCATCGCCCACCGCCACTGATAGCTATGACCCTGTAGTCTTGAAAAAACGCTCGAACAGGCTTCCTCGATTGCCCTAGGATGGCAGGATGAACACGCAGACTGGTGCATAACTTACTACTGCAGACGACCTGGTGTTGACCTGGTGCCGACCTTTGTCCTATCAAGCCAGAGCTCGAGAAGCTAGCGGTCACTAGGACTGATAGAGGCCCTAGAGTTCTGTCCTCTAGTTCTGTATGAGCAGCTTGATCGACCCTTCTCGTTCGTCCTGGCTCTAGTCCAGTGCCAGGTTTCTGTATAGCATGTTGACAGTTCAGGCGTGTTGGGCGCCAAGTCTTCGACGGGTCAACAGGAGGTGAGCACTCCGCATATACTGTCTGACGTTTATTTTATGGCTATTATTTAACTCAGGATCTTAACGACTACTAGGTAATCCGCCATCACATAACTCATGATGCGAAAGGTATCTCTGGATGCTCTGCTGCTTATATATCTCCTACACAGGGCCCAGAAAGCGTGACGTCCTTGACGAAGACTCGTCAGATTATCGACACCTGAAGGCTATAGTCTAGGAGTGGCTTCTGCGATAAAGAAAGACGATTGCTTCTGTAGGTTATGTGACGAGCTTGCTCGGTTCTGTGCCAGAATCCCCTTCGTGTCCGAAGGCATCCCGCTGCGTTTATATGTTTTAGAATATTTCTTACTTCGCGTATTCTACCATGATGTTGAATATGCCCATTCATTTCGCCACTATTATTTACCAGGACGAAGGAAGTGTGGTTTGAGTTCTTCTCAACGGCGTATGTGGCGCCCACACCACCGGGACGCCACAGTGCGGAGTAAGTTCGTAGGTTGAACTGACAGAGTACTAACCGAGGTGGAGAATGGGGGTTACTTCGAACATCCTTCTAACTCCAATACATAGTTATTCTAGATGTTCGGGTGGGAAAGAACGACCCGATGGAGAAACCCGTCACGTAGAGTGCCTCCGACCAAACTTTCACCGACAAACCCCGTTATTACGCTTATACGGTACGTAGATGTATAGAAATATGTACGAGACTTCGATGGAAACATAGCACTGTTATTTTAGAACGAGAGAGGACGGAGTTAAGGATAACTGGTCATGGACCAAAGTTCTTTCGTCCAGCGAAGCTCCCGAGTTCAACTGCTCGAAAAGACAAACGGGCGCCTCCGTCACACCTCTATTACACCGCCCAAGTCCATCAGGCATAAGCACGACACTGTTTAACATCCCGTGTCCGAAAGATATAGATGTATAAAATAGATTAACGAGGCCGCTCGTGCTCCAGCCAAGGCAACCCTACCGGCATCGTCGACTTTCCGCCGGCGCCTCCAAGACCAACCGAGTCTGTCATCATCATCCCGCCTGATATCCCCTGCCCATGCCCCTGATCACCATGACCATCCTTTCCCATACTTCCCATCCCGCTCATGCTCATTCCGTACTGTTGCTGACTAGATTCCATCCCCATGTCATACCCATGCCCGTGCCCCGACCCATGTCCCATACCGCCGCCACCTTCTCCTCCCCCTCCCGCCGACCCGAGCTTCGAAATCGCATCCGATGGGCTGAGTTCAGCGATTGATGTGGCTATTGTAACCGTGGCGTTCTGCGAAGCATGAGGAGCAGCATTCGCTGCGGATTGTGCCATGAGTGCGATCCAAGGCGGCGTCGGTAGCCTTGACTGCGATGGCGACGACCTACCGTTCCCATTGGGAGGCACCCATGAATCCAACAACCCCGACGCCTTCAAGCTTGGCAAGCTACTCCCGCCGGCTCCACCCCCACCACTTCCGCCTCCGCCGAGAACTCCTCCTCCTATGCTTCCCATTCCGCCGCTCATACCGCCGGGGCCCATTCCCGCCATGTCATTGAGGATGTTGCCTGCCGAAGCTAAACCGCCGGAACCACCGCCACGACCTGAGATGCCAGGGCCTAAACCTCCACCACCCATCGGCATCGCTTCATCTGTGATCCTCATCTTGCCATACGACCGGCCTAAAGATGAAGTGGAAGCCGGCGGTCCCATCATACCCATAGGCGTCGAACCCGAACTTCCACTCGCACCGGAACCACTATCTAGCGGGGTATCGGAATCGTGGATTGCTAGGTCGGTCAGTCCGAGTAAGTTGGTGGCGGTGTTCCGGGAATGAGGAAGGCGTTGCTGCTGCTGGAGCTGTAAAGAAGGAGCATGCGTTTGAGTATGGGGATATGGATTGGATTGGAATATATTATGAGAATTGGATTGTGATTGTGAAGAATGATGCGACTGAAGAGGCGCAGGAACGAATTGCTGAGGTACAGAAGCCGGGTGTGGTAGCGATATTGGTTGTGGCGGTCCGCGATGTGGTTGAAGCGGGTTCAAGGCCTGATGTTGGAGCTGCGAAGAAGACGCGGAGGCTGAGGATTCCAACGAAGCGGTCTGCTGCTGCTGCGATTGCCTGAGACCATAGAGCAGAACCTGAGAGAGTTCGGAACCCCACATGGCTTCGAAGTCCTTGCTCCAGGACTGGATGGTTGGATGGTCGGCAAGATCGTACTTATAGAGAGGCTAGATCATCCATAGGTAGGCGTATAAGGAGGATAAAGAGGCCGTTGAGAATTTAGAGAAGTGAGGGTGCAGACAGGTCATTGGTGCGGCGCAAAGTACGCGCAGATGCAGTGTGAGAGGCGACGAACGAAAAACCAGAGGGCAGCAGAATTGCCGCAGCCGTCCAAAGAAAATTATCCAAGAATAGAGCACAGAACGAAGATAAGCACGTCGAGGTGAGAGCAACGGAGAGGTCGCACGACGATGGTCAGACCAAGAGTAGATATCGGCAAGGGGCACGAAAGAGATACGATAGATGGGACGCCAAACAAAGTTGTGACAAAGAATGATAGGTCAGACACCGATATCACGGGAAGAAAGGAGCTATGCCAGACTTACCGAGAATGCCGCAATCGCTACTTGTCGATTCCATAAGACATGACGGCAGCATGTCAATCCGGCGTAAAAGACGCCGTCCATTCACAGCCATGACGGGAGACAAGTAGCCGTGAACGGACCATATTTGGCCGGAGAGGGCATCCAGGAGGTCGATCGTACCGAAGCGAGAAAGCATGAATAGGGGTGGGAATTTTGATCGGGCAGCGGGAGGTAGAAGATCGGACAGATGAGCGACGGGACAAAAAGAAGAGCAGAATGGGGGACGAGGCGGAGTACATACCGAGGAAGCTATTTTTTGCTCGGTTTCCAATAGAAGTGAGGATGTACAGCATCCTTTCGCGAGCCCAACTTCGAGTCTCAGAAACCGAAAGGCCTTGTGTGCGGAACTTAGCCTGATGGAGGGAAATGGAGACACGGTCATGGGCAATGTATGACCTAGAATAGAAACTAGGGAGACTCACGTCGTAAACCATAAGCACACATGCCGTATGTATGATATGGGTCATGAAATAGCACCAAGCACCAGCGTTAGAACTTGTATCGAACATCGACAGCTGCAGTTGAAGGCTCTCTTCGTTGAAGCGCAGATGATCCGGTAGCGAGGCATCCCATGTCGCGAGGGCCTTCTCCGCATCGTTCACCATTCCCTCGACGGCAGCACGGTCTAATACACCAGCTGTACGCTATTATCAAAGGAGAACCTGTCAGAGGCGAAGACCGACTGACCGGTAACATCGCGCAGAGTCGATTCGACGTTCCAACGAATCTGTGCCATTCTGATGAGATGGCCGAACTCTGAGGCATACTGCGTCTTCGGAGCCGGCACGTGCAAATATTCTGAAGTATTCAAGGTCATCCGTCAATGAATGATTACTCCCGAGCACATGAATCCGCAAAGTCTTTCAGGAAGCGAACGTACCTGATAAAGTCGAATGCACACCCAACTCGAAACTAGTCTCGTCTACCGGCAATCGCAACGACAAGTCGAGGGGTTTAGGCGGTATTGGGACATAGTAGAACGTGAAGGCCGTCAGATGCATGAATCGAATCAGCCAGAATGCACGACGGGCGCATTCTCGGTCGATGGCAGCGAAGACAAATTCGGGGGTCGGAACGGGTGTCAGTATTGGGTAATTTTGTTCGTGGACCTTAAGGTCTTCCTCGAGGATCTTCAGGGCCAAGTCTACGTACGAACGGAGGCAGATAAATCAAATAGGGACATTTCGGAGATTTCGTTAGTGTTTCGCTTGAGCGGGTGAGTGCGGTTCTTCGCCGTGGCCATGGCAAACAGGGGATATATAGGAGTATAGGAGACGGGTGTGTATCGGATGCAGAAGGGGGTTTTATGGCACAGGAAATAATATGGGCGAACCACTGACCTTGATATCGAGTAGATGCAGTCCAAGGCCATGACACCGTCATCTCGTGCGACTGGATAATCATTAGAGCCTGTACCGTAACGAGGTTGTGTTCGACAATCAAACGACCGTGCTGATCGAACATCTGCGCCATCGCGAGTTGTCCATAAGGTACACCTGCCATTCGTGGAGGTACAGTCTTCACGGCGCGTTGCTTTGACATGGGCGCAGCTAGAGCGCAGATAGCGTAAAGGAGATAGCATGGGGTGCGAGAGTGGCTGAGGGCCGCAGAGAAGGAGGGCTTGTGGATGAGGTTCCGCTGTGGATGGCAGTGCGCGAAGAAGACTGTGTACCCAGCAACGAAAAAGGTTGAAACCTAAACAAAGGAGAGGCAGAACGCAACGGTGGCACACGTACGGTTCACAAGCTCCCTCACAATATATGGATCGAGTCGAGAGACAGGAACTAAAGGATTGAACGGTGGCGCAGGTTCAGGAGATGGGTCTCGAGAGGGAGTGTCTTCGTCGCCATAGCGGCATCGTTTGCGGTTATCTGACGTGCCTTGGTCGCTGTCGTCGGGTGGCGCTTGTGAAGTGGAGGACTCAGCATTGTAAGACTGGACACGGCTGGAACCCTCTTGTACTGGAGGATGGTGACGGGAGCTGTCGAGTGAGCGACGACGCGGATTCGAGCCCGGTGCCCTGTCCGGCCTTGTCGATCGCGGCGCGGGAACGGGACGACCAGACGCGTCGGTATAAGTGCAGTCTTTCGATGCAAAGTAGCTATCAGGAAAATAGATGAGCCGAACAAGATGCGGGGTAAAGTGGGTGATTGAAAGATTACCAGTTACTGCAAGGCGCTGCAAACAGACAGGTGAGTACCATATAGAACGTCGAGGGAAGCAAGGAAAGGACACACCGGTGCCGTCACAACGGCGTTTGCTTTTATGGCAAGCATCACACGCCTTTTAGAGAAAAAGACGACGGAAGTCAGGAAAGGCAAGAGCGCGGAGCATCACAGAACACCCACCTTCGCAAGCCGTTTGCGTTTTGGGCCTTTAAGAAAGGCAAAGTTGATGGGATCAGCCTGTTGAGAGCCTGCCTGGGAAGAGGAGGGCTGCGGGGCGGCGTCCTGGCCTGGAGAGATTGAGGAGCTGGACGCCGGCTGGGACGACGGCGAGTGCTGGTCCATGTCGTTGTCGACGATGAGCGCGAAGAACAAGAGGTAGAAAAGTGACGGAGTGGGGTAGAGCAAAGGGGGAAGGAAGCGGTGTTTGGGTTGTTCGGGTGCGTATTCAAATCAAATGGGAGTCGGTGGTGGCATCGTTTAATTATAGTTCCATGCGTCCAGTCGGAACCCCAACTTTGGGCGGCGCCCATTTCCCGGGGTCGTTTTGGCATATATACAGAGTCCCTGCAACCAATCGCACGCGATCTCCATGTCTGCGGCTTACCATATATGGTGACTCCGGCGGCATTGTGCTCACTTGATCTTGTCTTGATCTTCTCGACGAACAGCCTCCTCACGCGATCGCCCGCCCAGTCGGCCCCGGCCATCTTCTAGGTCCCGCTTGGCGCCACTCGACGATGTGGAAAAGATTGCTACCCGCCGGCATGCCCCGACTCTCGCTTCAACTGCCTGCGGCGAACCTGTCCTATCGGGACAGGACGGGGTGCGTTCTTGTCGGGCGCGCAGTTTCCTCAGCCCTCACTTGCTCTTCGATTCCCCAGGGAGCGCAAGAAATTTTCGAATATTTTACATCCGTGCAATCTACTCATGCTCGAGGCGAGCCGCATGCTCCAGCAACGCAGACGTTGAGAAAATCCCAGCAGAAACAGGGCAGGAACATCAGGAACGCGCAGGGCCGACCAGGACCACTTGTGGACCACCCTCATCCAGGCAAAGAACCCAACGTACGTAGTCGCAGGCACCTGACCAAACAACCCAGAGCGTGTTCCTAAACGAACAAGTTTTGAATGCGTGGTGGACGGGTATACGGAAATATACCGTAATATACCCCAGCCCATATGTATAATACCCACGCAGGAAACTTCGGTCATGATAGTGGGATAGTTCCTCAATGCATTGATCGCAGGAAGCAGCGCAATGGCCGAGTTGACCTGGTTCGACCGCGCCGTGAGAGCGACATAACGCACATACTCACTGCTCAGTGCTGCCTCAAGACAAAACGGGCGGTCTGTGAACAGAAAGGGGTTATTGTCGATTATACAAATAGTCAATGCAAGACTTCACCTCGTGATAGGTATATTTGAGCTGTCATGTCAGAGGGGTGAGCCCAGCTTTAGACCAATGGACGAATCGTGGCATTGTCTACGTGACTTGCTTCTTGCCTCAACTCCTGAATTAGTCCTGGACGGGCCGTCTCCCTTGCCAGGATTGAAGAGGGCTTCGAACCCGAAGGCGGGACTACATCCTCCATAATTCTGCCTACTTGCTTTCGGAACCGTGGCACTCGAGGACAAGATTGCAGCCGACTCGATTGACGGTGAGCCTAGGCACCGGACAGAGAGCAAATGCTTGACAGGCTCAGTGTTTAGTGAGAGATCAGGCGGTTGTGCCACGGAACTTTACTCTCCGAAACCCATTTGATCGCTGACGAGGAATGTCCTGTAAGATCGACCGCAACTTCTCTCGTTTCGAGGTTGACAGTGAGAGGAAAGCATCCGTGGGCAAAGTCTCGCAGAAAATAATCTTGACAGCATAAACGTGCACGAGATTGGAGCATCACAACGAAATTGTGATTCGGAGACGAACTACAGACATCATAACGATACAGTGTGATTGTAGTCGAAGCAAAAAGGCGGATGCGTGGGGAGCGTTTAGTCGAACAGACCAAAGCCCATGTCGTCGTCGGACTCTTCCTGTGAGAGAAAAAGATACCATGATGTCAACATCAGCAATGCACGGCCGGCGGCACGAAAGAACAATTGGAATGAGAGGCATGAAAGTCTGAAAAGGGGCCACACGAACCTTCTCCTCTTCCTTCTTCTCCTCCTCCTTCTCGGCAGCGGCAGCGGGGGCGGCACCACCGGCGGCAGGGGCGGCAGAGGCAGCACCACCAGAAGGAACCTGAACCACGCGGACAGAGGAACACAAGTGAAAAGATGGTCAGCGGGACCGAACACGAAATCACTTTTTCGAAAAAGGGACGTACGGAAGCAAGCTTGCCGTTACCCTCAGCGATGAGCTATAATCACACCAGGGAGCATCATATGATCAGGTCTTGCACAATAGTGAGAAAAGATAGCGAACACACCTCATTGACATCCTTGCCCTCGAGCTCAGAGACGAGCTTCTCGAGGCGCTCTTCATCGGCCTCGATACCAACAGCACCGAGGACCTTCTTCACATCGGCGGCCGAAGGAGAGGCATTGCCGCCGATTTGGAGGAGGAGGTAAGCAGCGATATGGCGCATCTACAAGGCGGAAGGCAGAGTACAGTCAGGAGGCCACATCTTATACTGCAAAGCAGGCCTGGAACGCACTTTTGATGTTTAGTCGTAAGAACGGTAGCCACAAATCACTGTGAATTGTCGGAGCATTCAGCACGACTCCCGGCGACAACTATGGGGATTGGACATGATGAAGACTTACATTTAATCCTCTAGAGGACGACCTGTGGATTCTATCCGAAGATGAGTGTGAATTAACTTGACTCAATATCGGACGGCACCGACATCCCGCGCGCGCGTCGACTGTACAGTTCCACGAGATAAGGTTCGCGCCACCCTCATCCGATTTCCAACTCCGACGCGTCCCGCCACCGAGCACCAAGCGTGAGATTATTGGCAAGCCCAAGTCCCCAGCCTCGACGCCGCCCTCAAGAACCTCAAAAGACAGCAACCATGGTGAGGCCCCAAAGACGATGGAGGCGACAGAGTGCGAAGTGCTGACGGTGTATTTTGACGATGTTATTATAGGCTGATTCCGCCGTTACCGACCCCCAAGTCGCCGCCGACCTCAAGAAGAGGAGGACCTTCCGTACCTTCTCCTACCGTGGCATCGAGCTCGACAAGCTCCTTGACCTTTCCAACGAAGAGGTGCGTCCAATCTTGTATCATATCTCTATGTTTTTCTTACGTTTTTGTGCCTGCCAGTTCGTCGAGGTAATTACAACCTCTTGATTCGACTTGCGCATGTCCAGAGTCCTCACACCATGATCGATACAGGTCGTTCATGCTCGTGCCCGCCGGCGCTTCCAGCGTGGTCTCAAGCGCAAGCCTATGGGTCTCATCAAGAAGCTCCGCAAGGCTAAGACTGAAGCTCCCCCTAATGAGAAGCCCGCTGTCGTCAAGACTCACCTTCGTGACATGATCATCGTCCCAGAGATGATTGGCTCTGTTGTTGGTATCTACAACGGAAAGGTGCGTTCTTTGTCCCGTTTCTTCCTTGCTTTATGTTTCTGGGATCTCGAAGGTTGCTGGTGTTGGTTGAAGGGTTTTATGGCGACATATGACGGCTTGGAACGGTGGACATGAGGGTTGACTTGGTATGCGATTTGGTTCAATAGGTCTTCAACTCCGTCGAGATCAAGCCCGAGATGGTCGGCCACTACCTTGGCGAGTTCTCCGTTTCGTACAGGCCCGTCAAGCACGGTCGCCCTGGTATCGGTGCTACTCACTGTGCGTATCTCACCGCTCCTCCCCATTCTCGTCATACTGATGTCCCCGTCACACAGCTTCGCGTTTCATCCCTCTCAAGTAAAGGATTTATTACTTGTTGTTTGGGCTCGGGGGCCCGTCATGTTGTTTTCTATCTGTGCTCTCTCTCAGTACCTACCACCCACGCCGCGACTGTGTCTCTAAAATCTTTATGCATCCAACATGCGCATATGGGCTATGCTTTCTGGGACTGTACGATCTGCGGGATCCAAGAGAAAGGCTTGAATGATAAAGAGAAACATTCGATAAACATAACTTCACCAACGCGGCACATCCCTCGACTCAGAGTCTCGAGTACGGAGGCATAATAGTGAACGCACTGTATATATTTCGTATCGTTCGTGTCGTTCGTGCGGAGAAGGTGGTAGATAACTCTCCGCCACTGTTGAACGTTGATGTTTGAACGTATACTAATGCGAAACAGGGCATATTTGTAGCGATGTAAACTTTTGCATCCCCCACATAGGGCATATTTGTAGAGATGATAACTATTGCTCCACCGGCCAAGTCTGGCTGGGGATGCCAAAGTTTACATCGCTACAAACATGCCCTAATATTCCCTAACACACTTTACATCTTCAGTCGACAAGGCACTGCCAGATCCCCGTAGATTTCCAAGTCAAACCTTTCGCAACTCCTCGCCACGAGGCGACTCCGAGATATGTCGGTGGCGTGAGAATCGGAGTTGGAATCATGTAGTCGTAGATCGTGTCCGTGTCACCGTTTCTCTTTCCTACCACTTCCTCGAGGCGCTGGGTTTTCTCGATTTATACTCTTTGCACTCGTCGTTACTTATGTTACCAAACGCGTCCATGGATGAAAGCTCCTCTAACGCCCTTCAGACGCAAGGGGCGGTCGACGACACGCAAACGACACCTGTAAGTCACGCCACACGTACACGACATCAGTGTCAGCCTTCGTGCAGCCATATTTAATGTGTCCTTGTGTCATTCTGTAGAAAAGCTCGACTCATGCCACTCACTCCGACAGAAATGTTACGACGGCTGCGGAAGCGGAGGAGATCATCCTTACGGAGATGCGCTACGCGGCCTTTGGCAACACTCTTGGTTTCTTCGACAGTCTCTTCTCCTGTGACGATTCGCTCATAGACCAAATCTACGATGACTTGACAAGCGGAGATCAGCCACTATATTCCGAAGCCAATAAGTGCTGGACTTCTCTTCCAACCAACCCGACCAGCGTGGATTCCATTTATGAGCCCCTTGTGACAATTTTCAGCGCGATTACGGCGGCATGTGGTAGTGCAAAGACGTTTAACCTCGTTTGGCAGGACGTGCATGACAAGAAGGTCAATTCAGAGGCAGCGGCCGATGTCAAGCCTGATATCATAGGCCTCTTACATGCCTGCAAGTACAACTCATTGGACCTGTGGAGGTTGATACAGACGCCCGTCGAGGTCAAGAAACCGTTAGGAGTGCTACCTGGCCTTCTTCAGATTCTGAAATATAGTCGTCAAGCGCTTTACGAGCAGGTCGACCGACGATTTATCTTTGGTCTTGTCTATGCTAGGACTCGCCTTACTGTATGGCACGTTGATCGGTCGGGAGCGCTGGGCTCTAAAGCATTCGATGTTCATGAGGTGCGTGGAGTCGTCTGTTCATCCTTCTCGCTTAAGCACTGCACTAACTAGGTTCGCCCCTGCTTCCCTTAATCTCAGGATCCGAAACAGCTCATACGTGTGATCGCATGCATGACTACGAAGAGTCCCGTCGAGCTTGGGTGGGACACGCACTTCAGAATGGTAACCAGCGAACCGAATCAGCCTCTTAAGTCATACCCTTCGTGGGAGGTGTCCGGTGGGCCTCGCTTGAATCCTGATAATCCTTACGACCAGCACTGGTGGGTTTTGTCGATGCTGAAGCCGAAGAGGGAGCCCAACGGCGAACGAGAAAATTTCGTGATCTGGGGCGCTATCAGCCTGGCTCGAGGAGAGGTGATTCGGGGGCGAGCTACGAGGGTGTGGCTAGCATGGAAAGAGGCCGATCTGGAGCTTGAAGAAGCTAAACGAAAGGTGTGCAGATGTCGTACTTCAATCCTCTTCCTGTGCCGTTGCTCATAATCGTTTTCAGATCTATGTCATCAAGGACAACTGGCGGGATGACCGTCGAGGACTTGAGGGCGAACTCTACGACAAGATAGGGCCCGATGCTCCTGGATTCGCCAAGATATATTCGTATGAGATAGTCAGATTCGATGGCAAAAAAGATACAACCTCGGAATTTGTGCGAAAAGGCTTGGCCCATTCCGGAGCGCCGCTCAATGTTCGGACGAAACAGGACGGCAATCGTAACTACCATCCTGATGTCTATCTTCACAAGGACTGCATACCCGGCGACTGGGAGGATTATTTTGAAGCTTCCCCAGGTCCCAACCCACAAGGACGCATTCACTCGCGCACGGTAATGGAGAGTCATGGTTCCCCGCTCTCCGAATTCAACGACTTGCAGGAGTTAGTCAAGGGCCTACATGACGCTATCAAAGGTGACCTCATATTTCTGACTCGTCGAATTCTCCTCGTACTGACATTTCTTTCTTGATAGGGCATCAATATGCATTCCAGAAGGGTGTTCTTCACCGTGATATCAGCGATGGCAACGTACTACTCACTGACGATAATAAGCCACATCGTGGTATTATGATCGACTTGGACTATGCCGTCGCATTCGAAGGCCACACGCCTTTGTTCGACGACGCGCGTACAGTAAGTTCTTTGCGAATGGTTTTGCAGGGAGACGTTTAAACTGAATTCTTTTTCAGGGAACTTTAGCATTCATGAGTGCGGAGATATCGGACGTAAACCATCGTCCATACTTCCCGAACAGGATCGGTGGAGGAGTCATCAAGCACATAGTCACTCGTCACGAAACAATTCATGATATGGAAGGATTCTTCTGGATACTTTGTTGGTTGTGCATTTCTTACACAGGGCCCGGCACGCGCGTCGGTTTCGAGAAGGAGGACGGTGTTGATCACTACTTGATGAAGACCATCAAAAAGTTATTCGACGGCGAGGATTTCGATGGCAACGGCGATGCCAAACGGCTCATCATCAAGAACGTCGACGAATTCCAACAAAGCATCGCCGATCACATACAGGCTTATTTCCATCCGATCAAGGATGTCGTGACCGACCTTCATGATGTTCTTCGAGAGGCTTACCGAACACGCTCTTGGCCGGATATCCACGACAAGTTCATCGCCATCTTTGCGGCTGCCGAAGAGCGTCTCAAGAATCTGGCCGATGACGAGGGAAGGGCCAAGTATCGGGAGATGGAACAGGCTCAACGTAATCTTAGGGCAAAGGCTTGCCTGCCACGCTCGCCTCCTGCTGCTGTGCTCCATGAGAGGGCCAGGAAGGCTGCAAAGGAGAAAGCGGAGAAGCTGGCTGCAGCGAAGGCCGCGAAGGTAGACGGCGATGGACCAAGGAAGGCCTCGAGCTCGCAGACCAAGAGGAAGGCTGATTCCGAGGATGATGTCGAGTCTTCTGGCGCGAAGAAATCTAGGAGGACCACTGAGGGTAGGAGGACTACTGGGGGTAGGAGGACTACTGAGGGGGCTTCAAGCTGAAGAGTTCGTTGATTTCGTGGTGGGGCCCTTTTCGCCTGTGATCCGCGTCTGATCACTATGATCCACTACATTTTCTGTTGCATTTCGCGTAATTTCTAACTTTACTGTCGCCGTTTTCTATCTTTGCAATCCATAACCTGTTATTTATCATAAAACCCTCAATGTAGGGCGAAGAAAGCGTGTGCGTCTGATCATGAGTGGCGTCTCCCTCAGCCTCAAGTCCTTCATGTTGTGGTTACGATACCACGGCCTACCGGTTCAAGTAGTTCGCTCGGGTAGGTAGGTCGATTACGGTTCAGGTCGTGTCAGAGGTTAGTTTCCCCGTCATAGACACCGTCGACAAGAACGGTCAATCTTGGGCTTCACTACGATGTCTCCCCGTGATCGTGACTGCCAACCACCTCGAGGCAAATTCACTCGGTATGCTGTCTGCTCGAAGCGGCGAAGTCGGTGCTAAGTTACTTGAAATCAGATGCAGGTGCAAACGCGGCGACTCGGATTCGGCGTCCATGTACTAGTCACCCAGCCAAACCACTTGCAGCTTCGTAGAGTTTCTTCGAGGACCATGTACACATCGACTCGGATCCCCCAACCTAAATACATCCGAGCAATTCAGCAATTCACGTCTCACGATCTTCAATCTTCAAGCTTCAATCCTGCGACCATCGATCCGCAGAAAATAATATGTAGCTTGGTGTTCGTCTTGTTGACTCGAAGATCAGGAAGAAAAGAAAAAAAGAAATTGGAATGAAGGGTATCATGAGGATTTGCCAAAAAACAATTGGTCCATGAGAAAATCGTAGTGAAAAAGAGAGTGGAGAGAAAAAAATGAGAGGGTGAGAGAGTGACGATGAGAGATGAGAGAGATGAGGATGAGTGAGGTTTACATGTAAACAAAAAAAAAAAAGACGGAGACGCAGTCGAGAGATCGAGAGTCGAGTCAAGCGGTCACAGGGGACAGAGTCGAACGTCAACGTCATAGTAGTAGTCAGAGAAATGTCGGTAAAGGTCGGTAAAAAGTAATGATGGCAGGCAGCTCGACGCACGAATAAGTAAATAAGGAAGAAGGGGGGGGCAGAAGGAAGAACGTAAGAAAAGAACTATTTGAACTACGGATAGAGAAGAATGCCAGTCCCGCCATGAGCCATAAGTAAATTAGAACGCAGACGCAGACGCAGACGCCATAACCCAATAGACCCGGGCGGTGGAAGTAGAAACATGATGTGTTAGTGGGGTGGGAGTGGGAATGGTGGGAGACAGGAAGAAGCAAGTAGAGACAAGAATCCACTGTAGAGAGAAGAGCGAGCGAGCGAGTGACGGGATGGGACGGGACGTTGGTATGGTGATGGTAAGGTAAGGTATGATACGGTACGTTAGGATAGGTAGTTGGCAAAAATATACAAGCGCCTATGGAGGACGTCGTGACACAGTGTACGGACAAAAAATAATTCACGGTCGGATACGGACATGAAAACGAGAAAGCAGAGTGGGAGGTTAAGAAGAAAAGGCTGTCATCGCATATGCCCATTCCCATTCCCATTCTGATACGGATTCGGATACGAATCTCCCCCCGACCTCGAAAACGACCCCGAATTCGGCCTCGAACCCGGCCTCGAATTCGAATTCGACGTCCCATGGCCATTCACACCAACACCATTGCTAAACGGCTGTTGTGGACGCTGCAGTTGCACATTCTCCCATTCCTCGCTCGAACTCGGCGGCACGCCCCCTTCCTGCGACCTTGAAGAAGCGTACTGCATCATGCTCGGCCCACCCTGCTGCATCATGCTCGGCCCACCCTGCTGCATCATACCCGTCCCACCCTGCTGCATCATACTCGCCCCACCCTGCGACAACGACGACGGCATCCCACCACCTGCACCGACACCAGCGCCTCCACCACCACTGATACTAGGACCAGAATACGACGCCGGCGAGTGTGGAAGACCGGGGGCGAGTGGGGCTGGTGATTGCGATTGTCCTTGCGGCTGGTACCCACCATTCATATTGCGAATGGGATTTTCGGAATGCATCGAAGGACCGATGTTTGGCCGTTCGGGACTTCGTGATAGTGAAGGGCCCAATCTGTTCCAACGTAAGGTCGATGTGACACGATGAGAGAATATATGCTCACCGCGACTCCATAGTCTCCACCGGCCGTGTCATATGCACCGGGTTCGAATTATTATTCGCAAGATACGGCGATCCTCCCCCAGGCGACGTCGCCTGCTGCTGCTGCTGCTGTTGCGGCCCCGGACCGGGCAATCGTCCCGCCGCCTTCAACCTCATATACGTATCGCACTTCTTCAAAAACTCCTTACTCGGCAACTCCATACTATGCGCGAAATACTCCTGATCTCTCAATATCGGTAAGAACTCCTCGGGAACGGAGAAGAACACGTCCTGATTCTCGAGCAGATTGGTGACGACGCGGATGGAACCGAATTGGTCGTCGTAGCGCGCGGCGTTCGAGCCGGGCGAGTAGAGGATGGAGGGGCAGATGACGGTGGCGAGGTTGGGTAGGTCCATTTTGCTCCCGGTTTGTTCGTCTAGGTGCGAGAAGGATGCGACCCATTTGAGGAAGACGAAGAGGACTTCCATCGTATCTCGGTGCGCTTTGGGTAGGACCAGCGAGAGCATGTGAAGGAGCCGTTTGCGTTCCGATTCGTTCGGTATACCTATCGCACAACGGTCAACTCATACGCCTACACTATCCGAGAATGAAGAGAGGACGCACTTGACGTATTTTGTGAAGCGATGAAGATCTTGTATAACTTAAATGTCATGAGAGGATCCGGCAGGTCACGCAAGAACTTCTTCAATAGCGCCGCTAGCTGCACAGGGTTATCCGTCGTCAGATCCACAGACGATGGATCGCGGTCGATAGCCTCTGTCAGGTCTTTCAGCCGTCTGATGTTGCCGTTCTTACGGAAGATACCTTCGACGGACATGTCTGTTCAAGGAAAGGAAGGGGGAGTCTCATCAGTGTGTCCATGCACTCGCCATTCCGCACTTGAAGAGCGACTGACCCATTTGTCGCATAGCGGAGATAACATCGTCGATGAAACTGGGTACTCTGAGCGTAGCGCGTGAAGCCCCATGCAACGAATCCGCCCCCTCCTTCTCCACAAGCAAATCCAAAGGAACACCAAACACGCCGGCTACCCACCAAAAATCAACAGTTCGTCAGCGCCACGCCTCCACCTACAAAGCCAAAAAAAAAACCACGCACTCTTCTTCTTCAAATTCTTCTTATCGTTCCTATTCCAAAACTTTCCCCAAAATCCCTGCTTCTTCGCCTCCACCATCTCCAATATCTCGTCCAAATCGATCTGATCCCTCAACGGACTCCGATTCAAAATGAGTACCGCCGCATGCTTCACGATCATCAACTCCAACGGCGTCAGCTCCGCAATGAACGGTATCGAGTTCTGTCTCGGTAATGCCCTGTGCTGCTCGAACGCCTGTGCGACCTCGACGAGCTGCGGGATGTCCGCGAGCGTGATGGACGCGTCGTCAGAGGGCGGGGGCAGCATCCCGTCGTACGGCGGTCCGCCGGTCGGTGAGGCAGGTCCGGAATCGTCTACGATCATCACTTCGGTGTTGTTGCGAGCAAAGGAAGGACGGATGACTTGTTGGCCTTGGGCTTGACTTGGGCCTAGGTCGAGGTTTCCTGGGGGTTGTAGAGGTCGTAATGGTGGCCCACCGGGATAGGGTACGCCCTGCTGTGGTCGTTGTTGTTGGCCTTGTGACCGTCCAACGCTGGACTGTTGTTGCTGTTGTTGAGACTGAACATGGGGATTAAACGGCGGAGGTGCCCTTCCACCCGTACGTGGACCCTGTGGTACAGGCGCAGCGATAGCGACGGCGCCCACCGCCCCTTCCTGGTGATGATGTGGCCTATCCTGGTGGTGCTGGTGATGATGGTGTTGCTGCTGCTGCTGCTGTGATGTCAGTACGTCCGTCGAATGTGCGACTTTGCCTGTCGGAGACTCGACGATCGTCGACCGTTTCGGTAATCGTGCCGTCGCAGATAGCTTTCGATCGAGGTGGACGGACTTCATGCGCATGATGTCGCCTGAGTTGCGGTACGGATCCTGTACGGGTTCGGGCGCTTGACTCGGCGCTAATAAGGTGGAAATACGAGATGATATATCCGCGAGTTAGCAAACCGACGATACGAGACACAAAATGCGATGAAAATGGAGACGTACGCAGGGTTAACGGGATCACCTTCCGTTTCTTCAAGAGCAAGTATAGCCGCCTCAGCGCCACATTCAACAAAAACGCATACTGCTCCAACCTCGAGACCGCCTGGAAGCCACTCCGACAGCCCGCATGGGCATGCTCCGTGCAATAAACCACGGTCGGCACCGTCCCAAACGACGACGTCTCCTTGATCGTCTCGAGCTCATAAACGAACCCGTCCACATTCGCCGGTGGCCTTCTCACCGTCGTCACCTTCGACCCCGAGCCTCCCTCCTTCTCCTTCTCCCTCTCCTCGGCCGTCTTCGGTGGCTCCTGCGGCGGATTCACGGCCGCCGCCTTCCCACACTGTTTACACTGCACACAATGCGAATGCCACCGCTGATACGTCCCCAGTCGCACGCAGTCCTCTTCCACGGTGGAGTTACAGCGCACGCAGAGGTCCGACGGAGGGTTCACCACAGGGATATTGGACAGCGCGGGATCCCTCGGTGCGCCCAAGAACGGCGACTCGCCCGCGTTCTCCGGTGCGAGACTTCGAAAACCGTACGTCACGCCCGTCGTGCCTGCGTTGCCCGACCGCTGCGGGGGCATGATCGTCTCTCCCTTGGAGCCCTTCATCATCCGCCGTGCGGACGGGTTTCCGCCCTGGACGGCGAGGAGGTGGAGTTTGTCGAGGAAGGAAGACATGGCTTCGCGCATGGAGTGTTCCCGTTCGAGTTTGAGGGCGCCGGTGAGGGCGATGCGGATGAGGATCTTGAGGTAGTGTGCGAGGCCGGTGACGAGTGCGAGCAGTTCCTGCGTCATGCCCATTCGGCGGGCGCCGGTCTCTTGGGTGTGCGAGAGGAGGGTGAAGAGATCGACGGTCTTTCGGCAGAGCATACGCGCTTCCCGGACATGCGACATGCCCTTCAGGTTCAGACGGGCAAAATAGTGCTCGAGATCGTCGATGGTAGCGAACAAGACCTCGACATGGAGAATAAACTTTTCCGCCATTCGGATAGCCTCGAGATACTGGCCGTTGCTGACCTGCCTCAACATGTCTGAAATGCAAGCGGCACTCGACTCTTCAAACGCGGACAGGACGCTGGCGAACCCCCGAGTTGCCGGTGAGCAGCTGACGACAGGGGCGAAAGAGTGCAGAACTCACGTCCATATCCGGTAAACCTGCTGCTCCATCCTGACCTGCTTCTCTTTCAAGCTCACCGCTGTCTCCTTCGTCTCCTCGTCCTCGTGCGTCTGTTGCTCCTGCGGTTCGGTCCCGGGCGTGATGTTCATGGATCGTCGGGAGACGACTTTGACGTTCCAGAACTGTCATTGTCGAGGTCAGGTACGACAGACGTATCTCGAGAGGGGAAGGGGACGTGCCTTGTTGATCATGTAACATTCTGGATGCCAACACTCGTCCCGCATGTTACGATTGATCTCGACGAACTGTTTCAAAATCGCCGTATTGCACCCGGCGCACTTCGTCGCGAAGCGGGTCGAATAATGATAATGGCAATACACATCGCCGCCGTGCTCGTAGTACGAGTCCTGAGGGCCAAAGAGCGTCGGGCAGATGGAGCAAGTGAAGTGTTCGACGTGGAACTTCTTGTCTGAGATGATGAGCGTGTAAGCGATCGGGTAAGAGGGATGATGGCGGGAGAGTGAACGCACTGCAGGCTGTGATATAACTTCCCCGCAAAGCCATCCCGCACTTTGCACAAATGAGGTTCAGCCGCCGGAAATAATCGCGCTCGCATAGCGGTTGTTGCTTGCCGTCGGGGCCGTCGATAGGGAAGAACTTGGAAGCGACGACGGTGCCACAGTCCTGCAGAGGGACGGTGGTGGTGAGGACTTGGCAGCTGGTGGTCATTGGGATGAAGAACTCGGGGGAGACGCACCATGCATTTGAAACACTGGAGATGATATACAGTACCCAGTGCACGAACGAAGGCTCCCTGCATCGTCTGCCCGCAGGCGGAACATGTCCTATTGAGGGGGGATCAGCAGCGCATCGGATGGGCAGGACACGTGAAGGGCGGGTGACATACGTAGACGTAACGCTGCTGACCGACGTTGCAGTCGGTGGAGGACGATTCGGGGCTTGTGAGTTGGACGAGCCAGAGTAGATGGAGGACGCGCTGAGCCGCTTCTCAGACCTGTCCGAATGCCCGGACGACGACGGGATGTGTTCGTTCGAGCTGCCCGGCGTCGTGGGCCGCGACGGCGAGAGATAGGCGGGCGACGGGGCGGCGAAGACGGCGTCGTGCGGGTTCGGGGCGAGCGAGTGCGAGAGGTCTTCGCTCCTTGCATGGTCCTGGCTGTCCTCGAGCTGCCTGTGGTGGCTGAGCTCGTTCTCGGAGCCGAGGGTGGACGCCCTGGTCGGGACGGACGGCCTCTCTGGCAACAAGCTAGGTGAGATTGGGGGCGCAGACAGTGGCCCGTCGTGCGGGGATATTCTGCGCGGAGGCGCAAGGGCGCCACCTGGCGAGTGAGGCGATGGATAGGATGGCTTGAGCTGATTGGGAATGGGAAGCACGGCGGGCTGGGACACGCCCTGGTCCGCTTGGGTCGTCATGCGCGCAAGTACGCCAGTCTTTCGTGGATGCGCCTGGCGTCGGCGAAGGGTGGCTGGACGTCGTCGGCGACGGCGAGGGAGGTGTGTGTGTATGGAGGGACAAACGGCGATTCAGAAGGCTGGCAAGGATACCACCGTACGCACCAGCACCGCCAGTCACACCCTTTCGCACCCTGTCACACCGTCACACCCGCCCTGACGTCTTCAAGTTCCTCCTCGTACCGACTGCCCTTTACGGTCCCTTTCATTGTCCGTGTGAATCTCTCCCGCCGGTTCTCCTTATAGTCTCGCTCAGGGCGTCCCTCCTATTGCTTTGCCCAATGCCCCCTAGCAGCGCACAAGCACCTCAGCCCGTCTCTGACGTAGTTAATCACAGCGAACATACCTCGGCCACATACGTACACGCCCACGCCGCCCTCATGTCTCTTCTTGAGAACAGACCGTAAATTTAGCCTCCTCCCCTCAGACTCGTCACAAGTGCTAGTAAACCTCGGCGAAATCAACTGTGTCCCTATCCTCCCTTTTCAGAGCCATACTGTTCATCCCGAACGGATTGGATTGGAGCTCCTTGTCTTTCAAGTTCACAATCCGATCTCTCCCATCTTACTGCCACCGTCCAAAAGCAAAACCTAAACCCCATCCGTCCCATAGATTTCACACTCAGCCACTCCGTAGCGGACCGAGCAGGACGACTGTTACTGGCTAGTCGTCGCTTTGATCACTGCTGACCAGCGACGAATCGCACGCGAGCGTCTATAGCTAGCACGAGCCCTCATTGGTAGGTCGGATCTCTGCAACTGAGCGCTGAGCCACCCAATGGCCTATCGACGAGTCGTCTGTTCCGAGCTGGCAGCTTGAAGAAACTAACCCGTAAGTAGTACTTACTTCAACTCGCCCTCTTGCGAACCTATGTTATTCTTCCACCAGCTGCACATAACTCATCTAATCACAGCAGCCGCATCACCCATCCATCCATCATCCCGTCGCCGCTTTCAGACATCAGTCCACTGTCTCTTACGGTAGGTTACGGTATGTACTGCGATCGTGCCTCGTTTGTTCTGTGTTTAGAATAAGGATCAGACGACGGCGCATCCGTACGTTGTCGGCAGACGCGACGTGGGTCTTTTACTTCTATGTATCTTGTACTGTACTTCACCTCGCCAGAGGGATGTGTTTCGTCTCGTCGGTGGTGAGGCCGAGGATATCTGTGGATTGGGTACAGAAGGTTATGGCCATTCGTCGACATTCTCGTATGGAGTTAGCGGAATGAAGATCATCGCCATTGCGAGCGTATAAGAACTCTGCGCATGCTTTCGATGTGCTGTAATTCCACTGTCTTGGACTGCCAGGTACTTGCCACAAGTCAGAGGTTCATATTTCCCAGTCCACAAAACACTATTTCTCATACGGTCAGCCCTATCATTGTATCAAGCAGCGATACGAGAACGGCAACGGTACGATCACGACAGCAACAATGTACACTTCTGTACTTTCTGACTTCGAGGGACTTTCGAATCCTAACTTACGTTAATATTCCCACGCCACACGCTCGCCACACCATCCATCCATGTCCGCTCCAATAAATCAAGGCATATAACCTTTCAAACAAAAACATATCAGCATTCATGATTGACCTCACCGGACAAGGATTCACAAGGTCCCCCCCCAAAAAAAAAAAAAAGAGAAGGGAAGGAAAGAAACCAAAAAAAAAAACACTCACCCGCCTCATCCAACAACGTCTCTTCCTCCAGACAATCCTCGATAAAACTCGACAGCACGACGTTCCTTCGTTTCGGCCTGATTCATAACAATGACGCCCAATACTTGTCAGATGCGAAAACAAAACGGACGAAAAGGGGAGCAAGTAATAAGGGAAAAGGGGAGCAAGTAACAAGGGGAAGGGAAAGGAGGGAACAAGAAAGCTCACTTCGCCGTCCGCGCACCGATCTCCCTCCGCCGACTCGTATCCCGCTTATCGACGAGCACATGCGTCAGTTTCGGATCGTCGATGTCCGTGCTGATTCGGCCTCCGTTGTCGGTGATCAATTTCGAGAGTTTGTCGAAGCTGTCGAACGTAATAATAAAAAAACGAAGAGCGTAAACGAGGTTATAGTCGGAGTCGGAGTTGTCAGGAGAAGAGGAGGAGTGGGAGGAGGAAGAGGAAGAGGACAAGGACAAGGACACACCTCTGCGAGATGATGTCTTCGTTTTTGGATTGGGCGACGGGCACGGATAGGTTGTGTTTACGCGCGTTGGCGTGTGTGTCGAGGTAGAAGCGGCTGAACATCATCGAAAAAAATAGAACTGTTTAATGCCATGACTTGACGACCACACTTGGGAGAGACCTTACAGATGCGTGAATATTCGCTCCGTGTCGTATTCCATCGCCGAGTCGTCCTCGCCCATCTTCACGTCTTCGGCCTACATATGAGCAAGGGTTAATACGAAATCATTGGAATATTTGAAGTAACGACGAGATAACTCACCTTTGGGTCGTCCTATATTATAAGCGTCGTGGATGAGGACTGAGTCCATGGAAACAATTTGGAGAGAAGACTCACTTCATGTTCGACAAGACCATCCCTCGCCTCCATCTTTCCTTTGCCCTTCTCATCCCCCTCTTTCGCAGACAGATTCACCCACTCATCCCCATCCTCGTCTTCAGTCCTATCCCCATCCTCACCCCCCCAACCCACGCCCCCATTCTCATCCTCATCTTCAGTCCTATCACCATCCGCAATGTCATCAACAACATCGTCCCCTTCCGACTCCGGATCCGTCCCCTCACCCTCATCACCCTCATCCCCCACACTAGCACGCTGCGAGTTCTCCGGCTTAATAACAAACCAAGGGTCCGTCTCCTCTTCGTCCTCGTCTTCCGTCTTGTCCTCATCCGCGTCTTGAGTCTGCTCTTTTCCCAACGTAGATGCAGGGGCAGGGGTGACAGAAACAGAAGGCCTTTCGTCGTCATCGTCTTCGGGTTCCGTTTCACTCCCAGCTGCGTCTTCGTCGAATCCGGGCTGCTCTTGTCGAATGGAGGTGGCGTGGAAGAAATACCTTCACATTCCCATCATTAGGAGCAGTCTATGAAGACCTGATGAAATCAAACCTACTTCTTAGTTAGAGGGACGCTATACCTCGATCCCGCCGCGATACATTCGTGAATCCACTTCGAGCGTATGATATCGTGGAAGTCTTTCTTCATGATCGCTTTGATATCGTATGCTATCACCCAATAACACGCCAGATAATTATAACTATGAGCAAGTGCAAAGTCATCGCACGAGAGAAGAAATGGGAGAGGCGAGGACGTACGCGTCGTTGTACCATCATAAACGACCAGAAGGCCCGGCTGATTTTTCGCGACTTGTACGATCTTGCCACCGTTTGCGCGAATCCTGCATCAAGGCAAAGACAAAGACATTTTAGGAAGGAGCTCAAGAACCTCGGGGCCAATATATAGGTATGCATGCGTACAGCTTGAGGATGTTCTTCTTGTCCTCGTCCTGCGTCCTCGACTTGGGATCCGAGACGACGGCTGGTAGAAATTTACCCGTCAGGCTTCAAGTCAGTGAACGGTATGGTAAAGAGGCCGAAGGGGAGAAACTGGGCATACCGAAAGCCATTCCCTCGAATAAATCAGACTCGACTTGCACGTCCTTCAGATCAGTTGATCCTTTGTATTCCTGCAAGATCAACGGCTACAAGCAAAACAATCAAAACAAACTCGAGTGACACGACAGATCGTTATGCATACCTTCTTCGCCACTTTCACTCTCTTCTTCTTCGGTTTCCTGTGTAAAATTATAAAGAATTCGTAAATGAGCAATGAAGACGCCGCTCATCATCAGCATGTCTGACTTACCCCAACATCTCCTCTTCCCGCTTCCGCTTCCGTTCAGATCTCACACTGTCGAACAACGCTATCATGGACAACGACACTTATTAGCCACTTCCGAGCGCACACAGGACTGACACGCACCAGTAGCAGTAACACAGTCTGCAACTGTAAGATCGTCGCGGATACCCAAAGCCCTCGGGAATCGCATGGTGTAGCCTATGTGGTATGCATCTATAAAGGCCGAGAATCCAAAACGAGCGTAGTCATCAGTACCACAGTACAGTGCTGTACATATGAAGAGCATGGTGGGCTGGGGAGAATATCTGACCTGTAGGGGTGATTTCTGCGGCTTTGACCTTGATGATGAACGAGCTAGTATCCATGTGTGAGTAAAGAGAGTATGAGCAAAGTGGGATCGAGAATTCGACGTACTGTTCCGGTTCTAAATACAGCTCCGGCTTGTCCTCCAACGTTTTCGACTTCGCTACTTGCAAGAACGCAGGCGGGTTGTTCGGGTCGTACTCTTTCCAAGGCTTGTCTCGTATCCATAGATAATCGGTGTACGAGAACCCGGCGCCTACACGCACAAAAGTGCTGTACCTGTCACAGTACAATCACGCTTAGTACCAGAAAACAAGGACAATGAGAATGGCAGCACGGGGAGAGGACCTTACTTCGGCTCTCCTTCTTTGTAGCGGTCGTCCAGAACACCGCAGAGGATGGATGAGACGCCTCCAGCACGTCTGCCAGAGCCGTATTTGCCACCTAACAGCGGGGTGAGAGGAAGAAGATGAGTAGGAGGGAAAGAAAGGGTGATAAACGAAACCATATTGAACTCACCGATGACAAGAACATCTACTGTCTCGCCCATATTATCCTGTACTCAAGTATCAGTCACCACAAACTCACACTCGACCGAACGCACAAAGTCACGAACCATATACTCTGGCTTGACCTTGATCCAATCCTTGTTCCTCCCATTCAACACATACTCCGAATCCGGATGTTTCATGACAAGTCCTTCCCCTCTATCGTTCATAACCTCCTCCATCTTCTCCCGTACCTCCTTCGCCGTCTTAATGATAAACTCGTCTACGAACTCAATGTGGCCTTTGATGGGCGTGACACAGGCGCGGAGGTTCTTTTTGCGGAACCTTGTGGATTTGGTGATAAGGGATTGGCCGTTTAGGTAGAGAAGATCGAAGACCTTGACTTAACGTTGGGAAGCGAAGAAGGGGTAAGTTCGATATAGAGAAAATACTTGGATAATAGGAGGCGTACAGCATGGGCGAGGGTTGAGTCGTTCCTTGGATTTATCTGTGAATTCTGATGTCAGCGGTACTCACGAGGCGAAAATGGAGAAAGAACGGCACTCAGAGCGGCAGTCTTCAAAGTTCCGAAGGGCAGGTTACGTTCCGATACGGGATCCCAGACCAACATCTCACCGTCGAGGATGATACTATGGCAATGACTACATCAGAATTCTACTTTCAGGAGAACATACTCGAGAGGACTCACTCCTCAACCCGTGGGTCGAATGCTCCAGCAATGTGCGGAGTAAGACTACCTGCTGCAACATGTTTCCCATACAGGTAAGTATAATCTTTGCCTTTCCTATCTCGATCAAAACCCGATGAGTCGTACAATGCAAACCGAAACATGGGGAGAAGACGCACCGAGAGCAATAGAAGAACTCATTTCCGCGTTTGTGTAGCTGCATCCTCTCTCCATCGAGCTTTTCTTCCAGTATGAATGCACGGCCTCCCATCTCTTTGACAGACTCTTCGATCTTGCCAGTAGGTCGTTTGCAGAGCATCGGAGTGAACGGTCGGAACAATTGTATTTCTTTGTCCTATATGTGACTTCAGCTGCAAGATATCGAAGAGGTCTCGAAATACGTGAACAAACCTCTGCGTTGAGCCGCTTCTTCGTGTCCCAGAGCTCCCATGCCACTTTCTTGAGGTCAGAGCAAGTGTTGTATAGGTCATGAGCGTCGGGATGAAAGATTGAAAACACGGTGGTCTCTTTCACGGCAACATGTAGATCTGTATTTAGTAGTGGTTCAGCATCGTGCAGAGACCATAACAGACGAAGAGATCTGACCCTTCAAAATGATTCGCACTAGCCAACGCTGCTCTTCAGGGGTCGAGCGATTATATACTCTCTGAATAATCCTCGACTGAATATCTCTGAACACATCATGAGAGATAGGCGACGATAGTAATGAAAAGAGACACACGATTTGCCAATGTTGGTTGACAGTTCATCGAGAATGTTATTGATGTCTTCAATAGTCAAGGAGCCTTCAATGACAGAAGACCGCTTGCTCACGACATCATACAACACGAGTGGGAAGTCGCCCGATGTTTTCTGTGCATTGAAAGTGAGCAAGCCACTCCGGTGTGCACATCATGAGAGCAGCAAGACATACATCAGCTTCAGACGGCCTCTTCCAGTTCAGCAGCCTGATGGCTTCCGGATGCTTCGGTTCAAGTGGGATAGCCTTGATATACAGCCTTGCCAGATTCTTCTCTTTCAAGCCGTAGAGCGCGCGTTCTCTGTCTTTCTGTGGTAATATAAGCCTCAACACAGGATACAAATCCGGTCCGACTTTCTCTCTCCAGTGCTATTCACATTTCTCTTCATCAGTTATGCGACAAAATTCGGACTCCAACAAGGGCGAAACGCACGTCAAACCAAGCATTCAAGAGTCTCCGCCTCCTCTCGTGCTTGCGCTCGTTCTGTAGTTTCTCAAATAGACCAACAAGAGCGCCAAAGGGAGCGCTTCCGTTATTCTCTGGAGGAGGAGGGTATTGTATGTCGTCAATAGGCTCGAGGATGTCTTCAATCGGGTCTCCAGGTTCTGAGGATGGAGGCTGCTGTGACTGAGTGAACCTCGGAGAATGTGGAGGGGAAGTGGGTGCCGGGGTGGGGAGCATCGCCCAGGTGCACTATTCGAACCTAGCTGTGTATTGCGGTGAATAGAGGGTTGAGGGAAGAAGAAAGAAACGCGTCGAGGTGCAGAAGACGCGACTGATCCGCGTCGTCATATTGGTGCCACTGACACAGACTGACACGGTCCTCGTGACGGCGCTTTCGGTGCCGCTCGAATTTGCAAAGCCAACGACTTTCGATCCTAACAAGTCCAAACAACCCCGAGAAGTCGGCCCCTTGCAAAGAAATTCTTCCGCACCTTAAGCTTGTCTCCTCCTGCCCAGATTTTGTCGCTCTTATCGACTACACATCCCGGGACGACTACTATGGCTCCATCACATAACCCGAAAACCGGGACGAAAGAGAAAAAAGGAAAGAAAGAGAAGGTCTTTCACCCCCAATCCCGAAAAGCAGGACAACTCCAACGGACTCAGCTCCGTAACCAAAAACTTGCCGGTCAGGCTTCCAAGCGATCCAAGAAACATGCCTCCAAAGGTATATATTGATCCACTCTTCCCCATGGAACCTCTCCTTGAACTGACGTTTTGCGATGCTGTATGAATAGTCGACATGTTTGGCTTCTTCTACCACTCACTGCCAGACGAGGGAGTCCTGACTCTCGACGAGCTACACAGTCTCGTGAGAGATCTCTGGATGACGAGACATGATGCAGAGCTCGAAGAGGAGAGAGCAGCGAGGCGGAAAGGTCGGCCGAAGAGTGTGAAGGAGCAGAAGCTAGAGGAAATCAAGCGCAGTGAGGCAGAAGAGTATCGGACAGGGATGGGTGCGTCTTCTTCCTCTGCTGCGCCACATTTACCTACGATTTTGCTCACGGTTTAACATTGCCCTTGTAGAGGTGCTTGACTTGACCCACCCCGCAAACGTCGCTCTCTTCCGACAATGGGATCAGATCGAATTCGCATACATCCAAATGCTTCGATTCATCCGCATAACCAACATAAAACCCGAAGTCGTTGTCCTCTCAAGACCGGGAAAACACCTCTTACTCCAAGATCCCTCCCGCACACCCGCAGGCGAGGACGAAACTATGGACGATTCTGAAGCACCTGCACTGCTCGAGCCCAGCACGATCATGGCAATGGACGAAGTCTAGTAGTCTGTATTATTATGCGATCGTCTGGTGACATGTACTCTATAGGTTGTACGACTCTGCTACTGCTGATACACTGCTGATACACATACGCTGAAAGATATAGTGAAATTGTATGTTGGTATGTCGTGACGTCGAACTTCCGAACCTCTCCACCTCAACAACTCACCGGATCTCAATCTCACTGCCTCCAAAGTCTGAAATTCTGCCACTCTCCACCCCACCCATCTCCTGACCCCTTAAGCCCTGCTTCTCCGTATCCAGACACCACTCCCTCTTCAACCTCCCATATATCAACTTGAAAGTCGACAATGCCCCCTTCTCCTGCACCAACTGCAACACCGTCACAACCCCCGCCGCCGTCTGTGCCGAATCAGCTCTCCGAACCTCGACCCTAAACCTGACAGCCTTCATAACACTCATCGCACCCGCCGGATCCGCAAACTCATCCATCTTGCACTTCAACACCCCGAGTCCCTGACTATGAAGCACAGCACGCACACCCATAACACTAAGAAGCCTCCTGCATTCTTCGCGAGTGACGTCGGCGTCGTGGATGGATTGCAGAGCATACACTGCTGGCTTCAGCTTGAAGAGGTTACCGAACCAGGCGGGTGAGAGTGGTGGAGCCGTGGTGGGTTGGGACGAATCGGATGAGACCTCGAGCGCGGAGATGGTCTTTCGGCGTCTCAGTTTTCCTTTTGGCTCGACGATCTGGATGCGTTTCTCGCTGAGGGCGGCCCTCGGTTCCATGTCTTCGGTCGCATGAACGTCGTCATCTTCAAAGTCGAGGATGAAGTGGGAAGAGCTCGCTTTGTCTTCGTAGATGGACAGTGGAGCGGGGCGTGACCGACGTGTGTTCAGCGGTCTGATCTCCGATGGGTTCTCGTTCTCGTCGTTCTCGTCTCCGTGGGACGCGGCCTCTCGCGTGTGGATCGTGTGGATGAATTTATGGCTCGGCTGGGGAGGAGAGAGTACGAGCTGCGGTGACATTGCCCCAGCGGGGGAGTTTCCCGACGCAGCCTGCATCACGTTGAACTGATCCATGATCTGCTTGAAGAAGTGCTGAACCTTCTCGTCCTGCATATGAGGTACGTCCGCCGGTGGCGGAGACATATTCAGGGCTGACCAGATAGGCGAGGTCGGAGCCAGAGGTGACATAGGACTGTCGGAGTCAATATTCACATGAGGTGAGGGCATCAGAGGATCGACAGGAGTGAGGGGGAAGTTTGGAGTGAGAGGCGATGGTTCGAAGGATTGGCCGAACCCTGGGAGGGGAGAGTAGAACCCGCGAGGGGTCGTGACGGAGAATCCAGCCGATGTAGGCGTTCTATCGTCGTCCATATCGATGGCCATGACCCGTTCAGGATTTTTACGGTATCCGTTCGGAGCGAGGAACCGAGCTGGCGAATGCGTGACACTCTCGTCCGACACGGACTCCGGAACCCTCTGTAGTCGTTCCCCTGCACGGGCACGTTGAGGAGTAGGTGGATCGCACCGAGGGGGGATATCCCGCCTGTTACGACGATCTGAGGACGATGTGTTCGCTCTTTTCTTTGAGCGTCTCTTCGATGCCCGACGAACCATCTCCTCTGCTTTCTCGTCGTAGTCCTCCAAGCGCTTCGCACGATACTGGACAAGAAGATGGTACACGCCCTTCTCCCAGGTCCTCTCCGAGTTCAGCAGCTTCTCCATGATAGCGTCGTCCGACGTCCCGTGCCACAACGTCCGTAGGTTCCCGAAGATATCTGGATCAATGGCGGCCTTGCTCGATAGAGGTCTGGCGATCTCCTCAAGCTTAGGAGAAATGGGAGGGACGTTCTTGGCCTTTTGCATGGTATAGAACGAGTGCTTCATGATCTCGGGCACCGTGATCCTCCTCATCGGATTCCTTTCCAGCATCCTAGTGATCAGGTCCTTGGCACGAGCGTCCATCGAAGCCGGGAACGTGAACCTGCCAGAACTGACCTTCTCGAGGAGCGTGGGCACGTCGTCGTCGTCGAAAGGGAGTCGAGCGGCCAGAAGCGCGAACAGGATGACGCCGCAGGACCAGATATCCGCGATCGACCCGTCGTAGCCTTCACCGCGGATGACCTCCGGCGCAGCGTAATGGGGGCTCCCGCACGCCGTCTGGAGCAGCCCGTTCGCGCTCGATTTTTGCCACGTAGCCATCCCGAAGTCGGCGACCTTGATGTTCCCGTCTTTGTCCAACAAGAGGTTCTCTGGTTTAAGGTCCCTGTGCGCGATGTTGAACTTATGGCAGTACTCGATAGCGGCGATGATCTGCTGGAAATAGTTGAGGGCTTCTGTGGTGGAGAGACGGCCGTTGCGCTCGAGGAACTCGAAGACCTCGCCGCCTTCGACGTATTCGAGGATGAGGTAAAGGTCGGTGGAGGTTTCCCAGACGTCGTAGAGGTGCATGATGTTAGGATGGTCGATGAGTTTCATGATGACGATTTCACGTTCGATGGAGAGCAGGACTCTGTCGGCTTCTTCTTCCATGCTTATGTCGATGGGAGAGCGAGAGTTGACGAGGTCGACCTTGGAGATGATCTTGACCGCCGCGTACTTGCCTGTACGTCCATGGCGCGCTATACGGACTCGACCTAATTCAGAGAGGATGAGTTAGAGGGGTGTGTGAGGGAGGAAGGCGGCGGGCAGACGGGCGAGGACAAACCTGAAGCTCCTTGGCCGATGGTCCTGCCAATCTTCCAGAGACCGATAACTTTTGGATCGTCGTTCTTGCGGTTGCGGCGGGGAAGGCAAGGGATATCGTCGTCAGACATAGTAATGAATATTAGTGTGGGTTAGGAAAATAGCGTGAGTATGTAGCGTGGGCGTGTAGTTGAGCCTGACCAGCAGCAAGTTCGAGAGCAAGCGGCGAGTCTGAGGTCCTGGCCAACTTGGGAGGTGATTTTACCAGGTCTGGGCCTCACTTCGATCGAGCTGCATCGCGCCAACAGACAGCGGGACCGTCGAGTGCACAATCACGAAACAGTCAAGTTCGGGTGAAGACCTCGCTTGGCCACACTGATCGTGGTTGAACTTGTTCACGCCACCGCCTTGCTTATCGTGCTTAGTCATCGCCAGCCTGAACTCTGCTCGCACATGTACACCGGTCCTTCAAGCAACATCTCGCACGGCAAACAATTTCATGGCAAGGACAGCCAGCTCCCATACAGTCCATTAATCATTATCGTCGGTAACGAGAGGCGGAAAAATAGGATTACACGTTTTCAAGGGGCGCTGACGATGGGCCCATCAGAACTCTTGGAAATCCCTGAGAGGCCCTGAGAAGCCCTGAGCGTATGGTGGACCATAAGTTACGGTTCGTTTTCAATATTTTTCCGGTGTGCCGGCCGTTGTTTGGCCTCACGATCGACTGCGATCCATCTGGGCCTCCGCACGGACCCTGGCCACCCGACTTCAATTTCCAACTCCATAGCCGTTGGCAGGACTCGGATGGGATCTCCTGTGCTCCTGATGTTCGGTCTTGAAGCTTGATCTTTGGATCTCTAGGCTTGCCATGACTGGACTTCTGGTCTCATTTTACCTTTGGTCAGTTTGTATATGGACTCGTATGGTTGGCAGACAGAGTACAAGAGTGCTCCCACCTCGTCAGATATTGTCCACAGTTTGGCCGAGGTTGATGTAGTCTGACCAGGTTCAATGAGGTTCTCTGGCTGCTTGTGAAAACGGACGGGGACCAGCCACAGCCTCGGACGACCTCATCGGACCTTGTCCAACTTCGTTGTACTCCATCAAACCTGGTCAAGCTAGGTCGTTCGGCATCGTGGCGGACCAAGGTGGCCCTGCTCACCGTCAGTAAGACCTCGCCGTCCCTCCCACAACCACTCAGTGGGAGTTGAATTAGGCTCCAATGATCTCTAATGTGCTCAGACCGAGGACAACGCGGCTATAGCCTGTGTGAGGTTGGTAGTAGATCTCACCACGACAGGTCGTCTGAAGTTTGACCAGCTAACCAATGTGGCTTGCTGCAGTTTGACTAGCTCTGAGTCTATCTGATGAGGTTCCGTCAGGTTTGGTGAGGTACGGCGAGGTTTGATGAGGTCTGCAGCGATCTCACGCTCTCCCTCTCTTCCTCACATTTCTGGTCATGTGCTCCGCTTGAATTCAAAAGCAAGAGTACGACGCTGAAAAGTATGGTATATCTCCCTCTCCATCTCCATCTCCACCTGGCGTCCTTTTCCTCATCTCACTCGACCCCGAACTGTATATCTCAGATTACCCATGACCCTGCCGCCTGCGCCCGCCAATGTACCTGCTAGCTCAACCTCATCTACTCTATAAATGTTATCACCTTATCCTCGACATCCTCGCTTCTGTCACTTCCACCTTCTCTTTCTCTTTATCTTCATCCACCCACAACGCAAACCACACAGACCACCACACAACAAACCACGATCGATATTATTCGCACGACAACGGACAGGCCTTTGTGTCCCAGTCCCATGGCCAATTGAACGGAGATAGTAATGGTATGGTGGGGGCGTGAAGAACTCTTACAATTACGACTCGCACCACTCCGGAGAGTTGAAGCTGGGGCTGAAGACGAGGACTACAACGGGGATGGCTCAGGCGACAACAATGGAGGGCGGATGAACTGCGCCGATCTCGATGGACGCAGAGGATCGGGCTACGTCATTCAATCCGCCCACACGTCCTACGGGAAAAGAGAACATGAGGAATTTAAATGAGTTTTTCGTTAACATTGCAGTTAGGAGGGAGGGAAGAGGGAGGGAGGTGGAAGGGATGGGAGGCCGTCGGTTACAGATGAGGCGATGGAGGTGTTGATAGCGTGTGCAGAGGATATGAAGGCGCTTTGAGAGGATAAGACAGTGGTGGATTGTGAGTCGCTCTCTCTTTTTTCGTTGTCTACGTTTGATGTGTTGATGCCCCTTTGTTGTCGTGTGGCGTCACTGTGGCGTAGCTCCCTAGATAACATCCACTGGATAGCCTCCTAGTCATGCACCCTATCCAATCCGACACAGACGTAGTCCGCGCACAATTGTGCACTATCGGCATCCAGGAGCACATTCGAGGATGGTACCAAGGTCAGTTTCAGTTCCGGCTATTCCCCGCATTCTCATTCACCTTCTTGACTCTTCCTGTTTGGAGCATATGCGATACTGACAACACATGTGCGAATGCGATACTGACGACATGACATATGCGGCTATCCTGTCCAGTCCTGCAAAACCTCTGATGTGTCTGACAGACAAGAGAGTAAGGATCAAGGATCACGCAGTGTGGCATTGGAAGAACGAGTTGGGTTTGGAATGGATGTCTCGTGAGCATGATCGACTGACTGACTGACTGACTGACGTGATGTGGGTTGAAAGTAGACGATGATGTGCCAGTGGGACAATGATTACATGTGTTGAACCAGCTCATCAGAAAGTCGACTAAGGTGCTGGAAGGAAGGTGATGGGGCGTCCGCTCTGCTTTTGAACCCCACCCTATGTGCTCTACTCTCATACTCCACTCTACACATCAGCCTCATACCCCACCATGGTCGAATCATACTGCCACTTTGGCCTCATGTAGTTGTATTGATGCATAGTCTCGACCACATAATAGTATAAAGAACCCAATCCATGTACTTCCGAGTCCATAGCACCCAGTAGTACACAGGCCAAAAAAGCCCGACTCCCTGGTACTGAACTTAAGAATATACTTCCTGAATGAATGTATCATTATATGCAGGTAACGTCATGGGCCAGTGGCGCCGAACATAGCCAGGTGGCAGCTTCAGTACTAGCAGCTGTCTACTGCCTCGCAAATATATAATGTCCACTCATTCACACCAGTTGTATGATTTATGTAGGTAGGAAACATACCAATCACAGTCATTTCTCAGAGTGTATAGTGTTGGACAAGTGATCCATGACCTGGAGCAATTCAGCTAAGATATTCGATCTCACCACCGCTTGACCACTGGCTCCCAAAAAGGCAAGTGGCGGGCGTTGTGGCACCGGCGTGAGGCGTAGCAGTAACAAACCACATGTGAATACATGTCATCCACTCATTCACATCAGTTCTATGATTTATGTAGGCAAGAAGTATATACATTGGAGTGATATTACGGTTTGTGCAAGGTTGCGCACAGGATCCATGACCTGTAGTAATTCGAGTCCGGAAATTCTACCTGCCTCAGTGACGACCCAAAAAGGCAAGTGGCAATACTGTGGCGTTGTAAACTCACTTTGACTGCCACTGGCATGGGTCTGATGCGAGCACATAGCGGAGAAAAGTGTCAACAGTGGACTAGAAAACGGACGAAGCCTTGATTGCTATTCTAACAGCACTTTTGTGCAGTTACATTCTCACAGGGATTAGATACACAGAACATACAAATCCATTCGAGTCCGCGACTCGGTTCAGTCCTCGATGAAGAGCTGTTTTTTCTTGAAGCTCTCCTTCGCACTACCAGCCTTCTTGTCCTTCGTCACACACCCCTGCTTGCGACCCCTTCCTCTTCCTCTTCCCTTCCCTGGTCCAGACCTCTTATTATCTAGCCCAATTGTTTCTGCGGCGCCACTTTCTGCACTACCCTCGTCCTCCGCCATATTCTCCGCCACATTCCCATTCCCATTCCCCGCCACACCTCTACTCCCAGACCCGCCTTCATCCCTCGCCACATCCATCGTTATTCCCTTCAGCTGCTTCCCTAGTTCAGCGCTAGACTCATCTTCAGACCTATCCAATTCATCCACCCCATCCTCAGCCTCCTCACCGGCCTTCCCACCCGTCTTCGCTTCAAGCTCCCCATGCTCCTCCCCATGCTCCTCCCCATGCTCCTCCCCACGCTCGTTCTCCAACCCCTCATCACGGTTACTGCCACCCTCCTCACCACCATCATGGTCACGATTCTCTTCATACTTCTCGTTCCTCTCTCCAGGGTCTTCCGTCTCAGTCGTGGCTTCGAGTATCTCCAGATCAAAGTAGCGACAAAATCCATTGCAGATGTGCTGTGACGGGAATGCGTCGAACGCATGTGTCAAATTTCCTGCACCGAAGTTCTGTGCATATGCGCTGCTAGATGAATTAGTGGAGTGAATATAATGATGGTGGAGATTTGACAGCACGTACGCGGATGTGAGGACTTGGGGATCCGTCAATAAGTCTCCCCCTCCTAGGATAGATGAAGAAGAATCAATAATGTGTCAAGTAATGCGCAGCCAGCAGTAGATGTTAAAGGCACCTTGTAAGTCAGTTAGAATGATAGACTTCCCTGTGAAAACATACTGCACATGTTGGGCAAAACACAGAAACTGGGCACGTATCCAGTTCTCCGTCCGCCTAGCCTTAGACTTCTTCGTGTAACCGAACGGCTCGCATGCGGTTGCTGAAGCGTTACTGATATACTTGACGAACGGCCCATTGATCCTCTCCTCAAGCAGGAAGACTTGATTGGCCTTGTCTTCGGGAACGGCCAGGATAGAGCGAACAAACTTGAGTCGAGGAACTTCGTCAAAGTCGGCGAGCTCCTTCTTCTCGTTTGCCTCCTCCAACACTGAATCCACAAAGGAGTACACCAGGCTCATCAGAACTCCACCCCAGTACAGACAATTGGCCTCGCGTAACATCAACCCCAGCTCCTGAACGTGCGGGTAACGTTGACGTTTCGGTAGTTCCTCATCGTTCGAGCGCCGTTCGGGACGGTGAAAGCAGCGTTTGGCGACCCAAGTAACTAGAGAAAGGTCGTATGAAAGTGGTTGTTGCGATTGAGATAGACGAATTGGGTATAAGGCAGCACGATGACACGTCTTGAAGCTACCAGCGGCACCAAGCATGTCCTTGGAACGCGTCCAGACGGAAATACTAGCTTGGGGCGCCACAGCAGGATCCCAGTGTAAGCGCATACCAGGCCGTTCAAGGAGCTCGTTGAATGAATGTTCCGGGATCTCCAGAAGAAGCACGGTGAAGTTAGCGTCACCGTGGTCTACTACAGTGAGTGAATTTGTGAGTGGATGGTTTATGACTTAGAGGTGAAATATAACATACGGGGCTGAACGGCCTGAGAATCAAGATCTTTCTGCATAACGAGAGCCTTGCGTAGCAGATCGGGGTTTGGCACTTGGAAGCGGGACGTTTTCGGAATGGGATGACTCGAGACTTGTAACGGAAAAAGGGTGTCGGTATCGTCAGTTCCGGCGGAGTCGGCGGAGTCGTTTGCATCCACGACAATGGGATCCGAGAGAGATGTCTGCTGGGTAGAGCTAGCAGCAGGAGTCGAGCGGGGCTTATGGTGTCTCCGAGTCGTCTGCCCATGTGTACGAGCACGCTTGGTGCTAGGAGCATCGCTCTGGTTTGCAATATCCAGGGTCTGCTTCGAAGTATTCCAAAGACTAAGCATGGTACTTGAGTAGAAAATCTTGATATAACGTACCTCTGAGTCTGTTCCCTCAGGCTCTGGTACTTTCCGTTTGGCAATAGCACGTCCAGCATGATTGACGGGGCGAACAACCTCGTTCTATTGAACCAGGTATATTTTAGAGGCAGACCTGACATTCGACAATGTGCTAGGCTGGGGATCTACGCACCTGAAATTCGGAACCAGAATCATATTCCACATCCTCTGGTCGGTGAAACTCACCATCACCGTCGCTGTTGATGTTGCCGCCATCATACCCCTGAATCTCATCATCTCCGACAGGCAGCTAAGGTCGAACTTGTCAGAGACAAAACGTGGGAGATACTAAGTTGGTAAATATGGACTTACATCTGCCTCCACGCGTTCTCTGTATTCAAGAGCGGCCATATACTTTTCACGTTCAACAAGCAGGTAAAGTCTGGGCTTGACATTGGAGTTGAAGACTGGGTGGCCTAAGCTTTTTGCGTTCGTCCGGTAAAGTAGATCTCGAATGGCTAATTCACTTCCAATGCGGGGACCGTAACTGAACTTGTAGACCAAAAGTTTCTTATATTTGCAGAGCGTTGTCTCGTGCTGTTTTAGGGGAAATCCCAGCGACCAATTGACCCAGTCCTCCTCAAGTGTCTCCCATAGACTGTTGTGGAGATCGTATTTTGTGATGTTCTCCGAAACCAAGATGTTATAATCCGAATTCTGTCACAAAGTCAGCTTCTCTTTGATGGACAAGAATAATGGCCGGACTAAATGAAATATTGGTGGAACATACCCCAATAAGATTGGTGCCCCCTTTGCCAGACTCTCCTACGGTCTGCAGACTTATAGCTATATCTACCAGCCGGCCGCCTCCTCCAGAGTTCATACTCGTTGTTTTCTCTAGAACCCTGTCCCGGTTATGGAAGTACTTCGAATGTACATCCTGCTTATAGCCAAAGGACTGTCGAGTTGCGTAAGGATTAGGTAAATGGTGCCATGAGAAGAAGCTCGCACCTTCACAGGTACGGGCGGTGGAGCCATAGAGCCGGCCCGACTTGAACTGCTAGAGTTCGCCGGAGCACCTGATATGCGTCGAGTGGGGAGGGTAGCATCTGGCGTGAAGATATAAGAAGGTAGAAGAACTCGGAATCAAGATTGAGGAGATTGATATCATAGGTGACTTACGACCACGTTTTGCCGCAGCTAGAGCTTTACTCAATGCCTTGTCAGATATGAGCTTTGGTCCGGCAGAGGCTGGCGTTGTAAACTCCACTATTAGAGGGGGACATGACAGAATAAATCAATAAGGAGATTGCTAATCAGAGAAGGTCATACGTACACGATGGCGCCCCGTGACGCTCCTGCTCCTGTGCAGCCCTGCGCTTTTCACCGGTTTTGCGCGCCTGATAGTGGTCTGTGCATCCGGGACAGCACACCTTTTTGGTAGGCGCTCCTGTCTCAGGGTCCCTGCCATTAATAATAGAGCACTGGGTCTGAGGACCAGTCCAAGTACAGCCGAGGCGCTCGCAGTCAACTGTGGCAACATTGGCTGGGGTGAAGTCAATGAGGTGGTCGGCCATTATGATGCGTGGAAGATAAGAGTGATGGTCAAGAAATCAAGGGATATGTGTTAAAGACACTTAGCAGATGTGGACAACGACGAGGACAGCCAGGACGAAGAAAAAAGGACAAATGTGCAGAGGCTGAATGGCCCAGGATTTGTGGCGCTTTTTTGGCAAATTTCTTGTTTTGGCAAGTCAAAGCGCGATCAGACCAAACACATCGGACCAAACACGGCCATGGGCCCATGGATAACTGGTAATAAAAACCATTCTAAACACAGAACACATCAGTACTACTAGTCACTAAAGACAACCCCTGAGTCTTCAGAGTCGTCTGAAGAATATACCGCGACAACTTCCTTCAACGGCACCTCGTCATATTCCGAGTCCGTGTCCGATCCTGAGCCTGACCCCTTCATGTCCTGCACCTCGGCGTCTACACCACCCTCTGATGTTAAGGCCGATCCTTGGGCAATCCGAGCTGGTTTCAGGTTTGGGAGAACGGGGACAAACTGATGATCCTCCTGTGTGAAGCCTTGTGGTGGACATGGCTCTGCTGCTCGCTCAGTGAGCGCCACCTCAAGGTTCTCTTCGCCCTCTAGGGCCTCAAAGTAGCCCAGTAACTCGCTGTAAATATCCCAGAAACTGTCTCGGTTTACCTCTGGCCATCCCATATGCTCCATGAACTCTCGTGCGTACGCATCAACCTCTGGAGGGACAAGATCGAAGACATAGTGATTTGAAGGGGCATGGGCCTCCCGAACCTCGTCCAATAGCTCGGGGTCCACCTTGACCTATGGGTAATCGTAAGATTAGTGAACGCACAATTACGGGCGAGTTCTAACTGTGAATCCCTACCCCAAAATTCTCAGTCTGGAACCTGCGTGGCCTGTTATATATCGTATTTGGGCGGCCATGGGGGAGGACCTTGTGCTTGTGGTAGCGTCTTTTAGTGTCGTTGAATCGCTTGCGATAGTTGTCGAGTTCCTTCTGTAGCCAAGGGATGCTCAAGTAGTGGAATACAGTCCTTTGACACTCATGAGTTGAGCATAGCGTTCACGTGGGCTCAAGAAACTGAAGCTGATAACTGACGTACCGTTCCATCATGTTATCGGGATCATACAATCCATGTACCAATCCATACTCGAACACATCCTCGTACCCTGGTGTCCAGTTTCTCCGAAACATGCCCCAGAAAACCTCAGGCTTGATATTCTTATTGTTGACCATGAACTTATGCTGAAGAGACGCAGAAAGGGCGGGATCTTGGCGGTGGCGAAGAATAGTGTGGACGTTGGCGACCCCAAAGTTCTCCGTTCCAGCGTCGCTTTGAGTCAGGAGTGGCATTTCTACATAAATTGGTCGATCAGTATCAATAGCTACAGAGGAAATTATTCTGGATGTATACCATAATTTACGTTCTTGATTGTCTCAGCATAGTAGCCGGTAATAAGACGGGGATTGCGGTTTGTCCACCACACTTTCAGCCAGAGACAAGTTCCAGAGAAGGGCTCAAGTCCAACGTGACAGAAGAGCTGATACTTCCGCCACTTGTCGTGCTGGTCCATAACCCAGAGGTCATTGACTCCAGCGCACCAGAACGTCTTACGTTTCAGCACATGAGACTTGCGGGCGAGAACTTCCTGATGATGATGGATGTGCATATAGTCCAAGATTTTTGGCCTGTTTATTATATCGTCGTCAGAGAAAGAAAAAGGTATATGTAAGAGGTAGAGTTTGAGAAAAATACCTGCTGACATCGACTTCCTCATCAGCCAACAGGACTCTCTTCATCTCATGGGAGCCCATTGTTGGATATTTTGCTCGCACACGCTCAACTGCAGGACCGATGCTGTTCACAGTATGTCCCTTTCCACGAGCTGACCGTATCTGCCATTGGCTCCGCAGCTTTTTGAGCAAGGGAACGCTATAGATGAGAAATGGGACATGAGAACACTAGTCACTAGTCGTGTATAGCACTATCGGAACAGTGGAACGAACGAACGAAAAATTACCTAACATTATACCTATCCATATCATAATGATCTCGCAACTCCAGAACAATGTCATTATTGTTATAGCCTCGCTGCACAAGATCCTCAATGACAGGCCGGATGACTTCATGAGGGGCTTGAGTATACGAGGTTGTTAGTATTACAGTGCCAATTTCGAGACTGGGAACGAGATAAGGTAACTCGAGACGTACGACATCCTTTGGTGACACCATTTTTGCCTGTGGGATTAGGCATAAAATATATATGACAAAGGTGAGGTGAAAAGTCTTCAAGACGGTAACTAACGAGTACAGCAAAGTCAATGAACTGAGAGTTCGGAGTAAGCTATTGCAACGCCACAGTATTGCCACTTGCCTTTTTGGGTCGTCACTGAGGCAGGTAGAATTTCCGGACTCGAATTACTACAGGTCATGGATCCTGTGCGCAACCTTGCACAAACCGTAATATCACTCCAATGTATATACTTCTTGCCTACATAAATCATAGAACTGATGTGAATGAGTGGATGACATGTATTCACATGTGGTTTGTTACTGCTACGCCTCACGCCAGTGCCACAACGCCCGCCACTTGCCTTTTTGGGAGCCAGTGGTCAAGCGGTGGTGAGATCGAATATCTTAGCTGAATTGCTCCAGGTCATGGATCACTTGTCCAACACTATACACTCTGAGAAATGACTGTGATTGGTATTTTTCCTACCTACATAAATCATACAACTGATGTGAATGAGTGGATGATATATTTTCGCGACTACTATAGTGTTGCCAGTGTCCAAGTCAGTTTGCATATTCAGACATGCACAGATAATCTTCTCATCAGTACATCTGAGGCTTTAGTTCTCTTCATCTCTCAGTGTTGGGTCCTTTCAGATTTGGAAGCTGGCAATACTAGGCAGAATACAGAATATATTATAGCAGAGCGGCACAACACAAGCTGAAGGTGTAAAGTAAAAAAAGGATGAGACGAGATGAACAGATAACAGATAGACATAAAAAGAGACAGTAGAGAGTTCAAGAGAGCTAGAAGTAGAAGAGATGTGCATCGTCCGGATGAACCTTGGTATTTAACTCTAAGCCACGACTGACGCATCTACGTTTTCCTCCACCATTCAAAACCGCCAAATTCTCGCTGCTCCCTTCCTGAACATATAGATCTGCGCACTTGCGCTTGCGGACAACCTTCTTTGGGGGACTGTTAACAATCTCAGTAGACAATGGCAGGCGTGACGATGTAGTGGAGGACGAGTGGAAGGAAGATGAAAGAGAAAGAGACGGCGCAATAACAGCAAGCTTATCCCTAATACCCTTGTCTACCTCTGCCCGGTTGCGCTTCATGAGTTTCTCCAGATAGGCCTTTGTCTTCTCACGCGCCTTGGGCTCCCGTGGAAGGACTGACGGGATTCCGTGCTTGCGTTTGATCTCAGATCGAGTACGAAGTAGTTTGCACTGGTTCGAAACGACTGCCCGGATCTTATAGCGATCGGGTACACGAGCATTAGGATCTCCATATCCGGTAAGCACACTACAGAGAAGAGAGAGATGTCAAAGAGTAAGTGAACATAAGTCAAAACCACACAGAGCATCGACACAAGCATTGAAAACGGGAAACGAATGGATGAATATGAAGGTGCGTACTATTTGGTGCGGCCATTTTCGGAATTCTGGACTATAGCATTACCACAGAATTCCAATGGGCCCACAGCGACGTCGATTGAATGAGTAACGGCCCAATTGAAGGAACGCGAAAGACGTTTGAGCCACAAAACAGCGCTGAATGTTCCGGATTGGACAGTGCTGTTGTCGATGGAGGTAACCGACCAGACATAGCCGGCATCGGAATGGTCGTAGGTGAAGGTCGTGCGGCGAGATAGGGATCGCAGTTGAGAACGAGGATTGAATAACTGAATATAAGCGTCCTCCTGGAGATGGGTATCGTCTAGGCTGAGACCTGTTATGAATGTGAGTAGGTCAATTTGACAAGCGATGAGATACCAGAGTACAGACCCACCTTCGCGTCTGAAATATGCAGTAAGTGGATCGTCCACTGCAGAAGACGACACTTCCGGGAGCCTTTCTTGAGTATGTGGTGAGAGGATGAGGTGGCCCAAATGATGAGGCTGCTTCAACGCGTCACGGATATAGTCAAAGTCGAAGACATCGAATTCGCGATTTTTCTATGAAGATGAAGGAGTACCATGAGTAGGCCGTTGCGGATACGATCCATGGATCCATGAAGGTGCAGGAGAAATACTTGCCTCGTATGCGTCTGCGAGACCTGCAAAACGCATTGGTACAGCGACCTGCATTTTGCCCCAGATACGAAGAAGTTTACCATAGGATAGACGCTGCTTTATTGTGGGCGCCATGACAGTCCCATGCATAGCAGGCTGAACGATTTTTTTCCTGACACAACAGTGAATGGTGTTTAGCGCGAACAAAGACAAAGGAGAAGCACAGTTATGGTGAGGGAGAGGCTTACCACATAGAAGGATTCTCGATAATCTTCTGGAGGTAAGCCATGAGAAATCGAGCAACCCGCGAAGGGTTATCGAATACCTCGGCTTCTGTCAGTGATAGGCTAAGACCTAAATGCAGTGAAATAATCGAAAGAGGCATGAGCATTGTGATCTGAGAAAAAGCATATCCTTGAACAGAATAGTTACCAGCCATAAAGAATAGCTCCTGCACCAGATACTTCCCGATCCCTCCGAAAATATCTGACGCGTTTCGAATTACGTTCATGGCCAACACCTTCCAGCGCTGACAGTGGGCTCCCCGCCGGCGACAGATCCAATCAACAACACACTGGAGAAATGTGTCATAATCATCAACAAATGATATATGACGAATCGGGAGCTCCGAGAGGCGATTTGCCCAGTAAACCTGTCAACGGACATGGTTAGAGCACAATGCGACGTAGAGGAGAATGCAGAGAGACGAGAAATGTTATCCGTACCTGAAAAAGATGGCTACGTGTAAGGAAACCAAGGGTGACGTGCTCGAAGACGAATGCAACAGTGATGCAAAACTTGCGGGCCTATCAGTTCCTCAACTTTTAGCTCTCCAAGTCAGGGACAGCAGACTCGAAATGGCCCAACTCACGGAAAGCGGTGTTTTCTTGAGATTCACCCATTGATTTGCTGTGTAGACTTGAAGGGAGGTATGGAGCAAGAACTGCAGCTGGAAATGAAGATCAGAGTGAAACGAACATCAGCAGATGAATGCGGATTCAGAGAGAACACAGAACAGAGCAAGGTATTTATAATCAACTATACCTGTGCAAGCATAACACCGAAATTAATAATCAGAGTGCGAGGAGTGCCGGTCACATCTTGCAAAGTGAGCTTGGACAACTCCCCTCTCGGCATAAACTGATATGGTTCCCGTTCCGACCGAGGTTTGGCTAGGTCGTCCAAGGTCGGACATGTCTCAGGGACACGAGGCCAAAGAGGTGTTTGATTGACCTTAGCAGATCCACGTATGATTGAAGGAGCTAGATCCTCTGTGAGCTCCTTGACAAAATGGCTGCTAGCTTTTGACGAGGCGCGGCGCTCTTCTGACGAAGGGTCATGATAGATCTGATGCAGAGGTGAGCCCCAGATCTTTTGGCCAGTTTTCTCCTCGAGATGATCTATGGAGTAATGACAGCTTTGCACTGTTGCAAGAAGTTCCGGGAGCTCAGGCATCAGGAGACACGAGAGCAAGCAATGTCGCGCAAGACAAGCACGAACAAGAACGCGAACGAACAAGAACGCGAGCGAGAGGCAAGACACGTCTTATTGCAACGCGTCGCGTCGCATAGAGAATACAAACTCCGCCGGAATTTCCCTCCTGCGATCCGGAATCGCGCCACACCATTTGCCACAGTTCGCAGTTGTTGATACTTACTGTTTCTGGTTGGGCGATAGCATACTGTTCTCGCTCAGAGCTCCAGTTGCTCACAGTATCAATGCATGTTTCAACAGTGATTTTGTACTGTGAACAGGAAATGTGTAAGAGATCTGAGTATGCACAGTGAGTTTTCAATCTGTCATGGATATCTAGTAGGGGTGCCGAGGGTCCCAGCAGAGGCCTTGGCAGGGCTCACTCGATCGGGAGGCCAAACAACGGCCGGCAGAAGGGGAAAATTCGAAATCCGAACCGTAACTTATGGTCCACCATATGAGCGGCCCTGACGATCCGTTCCGCGAAAGTCCGTGAGGTCTCGAGAGCTCGTCAGGGCCTGTCAGGGCTGTCAGGGCGTCTCAGTGCGGTCAGTGCGATTCTGGTCGCTGTGTGGCACCCGAAAAGTAGCAAAAATTCATATATATATTCATATGTACATCGCAATCCTGACTACAAAGGGCAGGACCTTTCTGAGACTACTATACCGTACAGTACATCGATGCGACATAAAAGTTGGATGGGCTATGAGCCGATGAAAGTGGGAGAACGTCTCCTGTACAAACTAGCACAGCAACAACTTAAAGTTCTCGCTCCCTGAAAAGAAGGGATAGACAGCGGGTCGTTCGAAGTACCTACTACTGAGACCCGTGGTCTTCAAGCCTCGAGATGTATATGGAGATATGATATACACAATTCCACGGGACAAGCAGGGAGAATCGGGGTCTCTTCAGGACCGTTTGAATCCATGGCCCGTTGTCCATGGTACAGAACATGGTGGAGGAAGGGGACAGAGAATGGTGACGGGGAGCGAGAAGACATTGCGGTGTCATACGGGAATGCTGCGAATAGATGGAGCGAACGGAAGGTACTTGGAAGGACAGGACAGAGGTACGGAGTGCATATGTAGAGCTGTAGGGATGCCTGCAACTTACCTGAGCAAATGGTCGTGCTCGTGCTCAGAATCGCCACCGTTATCAACAAGCTACAAAGCCGCGAGGAAGTGAGCATCCTTGGTGTGCACAGTTAAACTGCAACAGCTTTCGTGCTCCGCAAAGTGTTGGATATATTCCAAGGGCGTGATTCGGGACGAGTATTCTATGTATCCAGCTTTGTTATTTGTGGATTCTGTTAAGACGAAGGAGCAGAACATACTTGAAACGTACCTTGGAGATGATGTAGCGAGTGTGGACGGCTGGAGGCAAGGAGTGGAAGGAGATGCCACGAATGTCAGCGCTCGTGCAATATCAAAGTAGGCGGTCAACAACGAGCGGTGTTCATCTTTGCTCTCATACAGTCGAGACAGTCAGAAAAAAAGGGCACGCCAGCCACACGGACACACCTATATCAAGTATTCAAAACGATATACGAGATCCGCCTCCGACAAGATGATGATTGAAGAGAAAGTCTCACCTTCACCCTCCCAGCATTCTATACAATCTTTCATCCCAGCCCTCGCAGTCTTCCGATGTTATGTCAGCGCTTGTTGACGTAGACCAGTCGTAGTCCATGAACGATTGTATGAGCCAAGTCAGTCAGCCTGACCTGGCAGTGTGGTGGCGCATTGACATGATGTCGAGCCGAGAGGAGCGACGGACTGGCTTGGACGTCGATTCTTTGTGTTTGTGGCGAAGTTGCGAGGCAGGTGGATATAAATCTGCACTTGGGACGGGTTGGCAAGAGTCAGAGAGCTCGATGAGGACTTCAACGAGAGAGGGAGCAAGAAGAGGAAGCGAAAGGCTGGAGTCGGCTTTGTTGACGTTTGTTTGCCCTGCGTTCAACGTCAACGGCCGTGCGACCGCTCGCTGCCTCTCGCTCGTTCTTCGTAGAGACGTTCTTCCCGATCTCTGTATCGTTCGTCGTCAGGCCCGTTCTTCTAGGTGCGTACCGAACTCGTTTCATGAAGCTATTCAGTACGCTCTGGGCTCTTTGTACCACAATTTTCAACCAAGCCGACACGACTCTCTTGTTGATGGCCATGGCTGAAAGCTGGAAGACATGATCCGCCGAATGACGTTGCTCAAAATCGCTTAGGTGGGTGAGAGAGAATTGCGCACGCAAGACTGTGAGTGAGAAGAATGATCAGAGTCAGCGTCAGCCATTTATGACCTAGGTGCGCATCTCGTCAACGTGCTCGGGCTTGGGGCGTGTTCGGTGAACTACGATGCACTTCTTGTGAGTCAAATCACCATCTCTATCTCTGCTCCCATCTCAAACACCTCACCGGAACGCTCTTTACGGTCCCTCCTCATCTACCCTCCTTCTCCATGTGCTTGGTTTTCACGTCATTCTCTTATGCCTCTGGCAGTTCTATCGGCTAAGAGCCTATTGCATGCACTGGGACATGATCAGAGAGGACTGGATGCTCTTGATTACACCGTGCGTACGAAACAACTCTTTGCTCTTTCCGTAGCTAACGTCAACTTTCCATCTACATTACTCCCTACGCAGTGCATCCACTTTCGTCTCCCTCGCACAATTGATCACTGTCAAGGAACCAAGTTTCCGAGTACATGTAGGATAAGGGTTATGTAGGATTAATGAAATTTGGATTGAACGAGAAAGCTGCCGGTTACTGTCTATTATCAGAGTACATATAGACATACGAATATATATATGAATTTTTGCTACTTTTCGGGTGCCACACAGCGACCAGAATCGCACTGACCGCACTGAGACGCCCTGACAGCCCTGACAGGCCCTGACGAGCTCTCGAGACCTCACGGACTTTCACGGAACGGATCGTCAGGGCCGCTCAGGGCTTCTCAGGGCCTCTCAGGGATTTCCAAGAGTTCTGATGGGGCGAGTAAAAACGGCACAGAAGACAGTGACATGGGGTAGGCTAAAACGGGATGACAGTGTATACGACAGCAGACTCGGAAGAGAACAAAAAACAAGGTGGAAAAAAAGCGATTAAGAAGTCACTGCACGGAGGAGAGGTTGTCAGCATTACAGAAACAACTTGTGCACGCGAACGATGGGAGAACACTCACTGTAGCTAGCAGGATCGATGTGCTCGGGAAGCTCAGGGATCGCAACTTCGAACCGAGACTGGATGGTCGCCATCACCTGCTGGTCCGCCTCCGATGACTGGAAAGTGATGGCGAGACCCTTCGTTCCAAATCGTCCAGCACGACTGAAAAAAGAGAACTCAGTCAATCAGAGAATACACGGCTCGAACGGAGATGACACTTACCCCACACGATGAAGATAGCTGTCTGCATCCGGGGGGCAGTCGTAATTGACGACGATGTTGACACGCTCAAAATCGATGCTACGCTCAACATCGATGCCACGCCCAAAAATATCGGTGGCGACAACGATACGCTTCTCAAACGCCTTGAACGCTTGGTAGCGGCTTATACTATGAGTCGGAAAGTGGCATCAGTTTAAGACCTCCAGGCCGACGTCCAGAGCAAAAACGTACCGCTCCTCTTGTGCGAGGCCGGAGTGAATACTGATACTGGGAAAATTGCACGAAACGAGCAGCTTGTCCAACTCGATCGCCCTCGCAACAGATTTCACGAAGATGACGGCCTGGAACAAGATGTCAACACACTGCATTGATTCTGAGATGAGTGAGATACGCACCTGGTTGAACTCAAGCGTGTCAAGGAGCTCGTTCAATTTCCTGTTCTTCCCGACTTCCTCCAACTTGACGAAGTGTTGCTGCAGACCGTGCAGCGTCAACTTCGTCTCATCATCGACGAAAATCTCCAACATCAGCAAATCTGACAACCTGTTTTGGCCTGTTTGGGCAAGTTTGAACGGTTTCGCGCAGTTTCACACAACGGACAGTTTCGGAGAGTCTGATTTTCTGCGTGTATTTCCCAACTATTTCCTCGGTACAGTGGACAGGCAATACATGATATTACAGTACGATATCCCAGACTTGCTACCTGTGCAGACACATCGCCGACCTACAGCGCCTCCTATTCTCGTCGCCAAATCACGAGCTCTCGACCATACGAAAACCCTGGTGCCCAAACGGTAATCAAACAGCTCAGAATGACACGTACCCAGAGCCAAATTAAACACGCCAAAAGCCGCATGGTGGAAATCACGACCACAGAAGAAAAATGACGCACACTGGGAACAACAGAGTACGTTCGAAGGGTTGATGACGAGCTACAGGGAAAGGTGAGGGATTATAATTATGTGGGACATTGGGAGTGAGATGTGGAGCTGACCGTTAGACCCAAATCACGGTCGCGAGTTCACTGTTCGCCGCTCGCTGTCCGCTGCCTTGATTCTATCGAAGAGCCGTGGCATCTCCAGCGGCCCGTGTGGGAGGTAGAATTGAGGATTAAGCTCGGATTCTTGAAAGGTGCTGCGAGGGAGGGGGACAACATGAGTCGTTGTCGTGGCGGGAAGAGAGAACGACAGAGAACGACGCGACTGGACGCGACGCGCGTCGATGATATTCAGGATTTTCAACTCCGCTCGGCCTATCCCGCTATCGTCATCGTCTGACTTATAAAGTCGATCTTGCAGAGTTCAGTCGCTCCCTGCTTTTGTGCCCTCCCGCCATGAGCTTCACACCTCAAAGGGACAATTTGAACATGAGGCCCGGCCCATGACGCTGGCTACTAACGCCAAACTCGAGTCTTACAGCGGCGGTGTTCTTTTGCTCGGACTAACGAGATTGTCGCCATTGCACGGTCTTTCACCGTTGGCGGGCACGGGGACTGCGATAGCAAGCCGCCATGTTTATGCTAACCGGTGACCCAGTCGGAATGATGCATGCGATGAGGGATGGTTACTAGTGAGGAAGCAAGTGTCGTAGAGTAGCAATTGGTCGGTACGCGTAGAGTCGCGTCTTGGCCTTTACGAGATCGTCAGAGTGCAGGAGTGCTATTGTAGAGAAACCGCAGTTTCACCTCTTTTTCAGTTTAGTAGTTTACGTCGAGTATGATTGTTTTGGGCATTTTTTATATCTGTGGTTTCGTTCAGTTTCGCGGTTCCTGTGAGTTTCACTGAGTTTTGGAAAATATTCCTTCAAAATCCAAACTCGCCCGAACTGTCCGTTCTTCAGAACCGAGAAAAACCGAGCAAACTGGCCAAAACTGGCCAAAACAGCTTGTCACATTTGCTGGTGTGATCGCGCGCAACAATTTGGGCTTCAACAGGCCATGCCACACGGCCATCCTAAGCGAACAATAGGATCTTATCGAACGGCGTTGGACCAACAGAGAGCGGAACCGCTGAATGCACCGTCACGAAACGGTCAACTTCGGGTGAAGACATCGCTTGGTCCCACAATGATCGTGGCTGATCGTGGTTGAACTTGTTCACGCCACCGCCTTGCTCGTCTCCTGCCACGTGTTTAAGCGCCACATCGCGCTTAGTCATCGCCGGCCTGAACTCTGCTCGAAGTCGAGTCTGTCTTGCTCAGGCTCTTGCCACGACCACGACCACTCCTTTCACGTCAACCACAATGTCTGCTCCGAATTCACCCCGGCTCATCGACTCTTTCACCGCCCCGAAGGACGTTCTCAGGGAGTTCGAGGAGCTCGCCGAGGAAGAGGACGTCGACCCTTTCGCAGAGACGGCCTCGAAACGTCAGATTGCTCAGCGCCAGGGCGACTACCACAAACGACGATTCAACCGCACTGCGAACGAGTCTGCCGATGCTTTTGCGGATGGAGAAGAGGGTGCCGAAGGCGAGGGAGGATATAAGGAGGCTATGAGGCTGCAGAGGTTGGAGAAGGAGGAGCAGAGGGTGAGGAGAGCTATCGAGGAGAAGGAGAAGCAGGACAGGGAAGAGGGCAAGATGAAGATGGACCTCGACAAGACGCCGCCTGCGAAGGACATCGAGGAGGCCGCGCAGGAGCTTGCCAATGCGGCCGCTGCTGGACAGAAGCGCAAGCGTCGGTGGGACGTCGCGGAGCCGGAGAAGGCAGAGGAGAAGAAGGAGAACGAGGCACCTGGAGAGTGGTCGGCTGAGGCTCTGGAGGCCTCAGCGCCGAAAAAGAGACGGTCAAGGTGGGACGCTACTCCTGCTGATGTCGCTGCTGTTGGAGAGACTCCCAAACGTTCTCGTTGGGACCAGACACCCGTTGCCGGCCAAGGCCCCGTCGAAGTACCCATGACGCCTATCATCATGAACGCGCCAGGCTTCATGCAGGAGGAGAAGCACAACCGCTATCTCACCGACGAGGAACTCGACGCTGTCTTGCCTTCTCAGGGATACGCCATTGTCACCCCACCTCCCGGCTATGCTCCCTCTGTCGCTCCTAGGAAACTCCAGGCGACCCCCGTCGCCGACCTTGGTGGCTTCCAGATTCAAGAGAGCTCTGATGCAGCAGCAATGGCTGCTGCTGCCGGTCTTGCACCCGAACTACCCACAGATATTCCTGGCGTCGGCAACCTCGCGTTCTTCAAGGCGGAGGATGCTCAATATTTTGCCAAAATTCTCAAGGAGGAGGACGAGACAGAACTCTCCGTCGACGAGATGAAGGAGCGCAAGATTATGCGCCTGCTTCTCAAAATCAAGAACGGCACGCCACCCGTTCGAAAGACCGCTCTGCGGCAGATCACCGACAAGGCCCGCGACTTTGGCGCAGGTCCCCTCTTCGACAAGATTCTCCCTCTTCTTATGGAACGGACCCTCGAGGATCAAGAGCGTCACTTGCTCGTCAAGGTCATTGACCGTGTCCTCTACAAACTCGATGATCTCGTTAGGCCGTACGTCCACAAAATTCTCGTCGTCATTGAGCCCTTGCTCATTGACGAAGACTACTACGCCCGTGTCGAAGGACGCGAGATTATCTCCAACTTGTCCAAAGCTGCTGGTCTTGCGCATATGATTTCCACCATGCGACCCGATATAGACCACGCCGACGAATATGTCCGTAATACCACAGCCCGTGCATTCTCAGTCGTAGCGTCTGCTCTCGGTATTCCCTCGCTCCTGCCCTTTTTGAAAGCCGTCTGTCGTTCCAAGAAGTCGTGGCAGGCTCGCCACACCGGTATCCGTATTGTTCAGCAGATTGCGATCATGATGGGCTGCGCCGTACTCCCCCACCTCCGCAATCTCGTGGACTGTATCGCCCACGGTCTCTCGGACGAACAGCAGAAGGTCCGAACCATGACTGCACTCGGATTGGCTGCCCTCGCCGAAGCCGCTGCTCCCTACGGTATCGAATCGTTCGACAACGTCCTCAAGCCCCTTTGGCTCGGTATCCGTCTTCACCGTGGTAAAGGTCTTGCCGCCTTCCTCAAGGCCATTGGTTTCATCATCCCCCTCATGGACCCGGAATACGCCTCTTACTACACCAAAGAAGTCACTGTCATCCTCATCCGAGAGTTCCAAACGTCAGACGAAGAGATGAAGAAGATCGTTCTCAAAGTCGTCAAGCAGTGCGCCGCCACCGAAGGTGTCACGCCAGGCTATATTCGCAAGGATATCCTCCCAGACTTCTTCAAGGCATTCTGGGTCAGGCGCATGGCGCTCGATAGGAGGAACTACCGACAGGTCGTGGAGACGACGGTCGAGTTGGCTCAGAAGGCGGGAGCGGCGGAAATCATTGGGAGGATCGTGAATGAGCTGAAGGACGAGGCGGAGCCGTATAGGAAGATGGTTATGGAGACGATCACGAAGGTTGTGGCGAGTTTGGGAGCGTCGGATATCGATGAGAGGCTGGAGGTTAGGTTGGTCGACGGGATTATCTACTCGTTCCAGGAGCAGACGACAGAGGACCAGGTCATGTTGGATGGGTTTGGAACCGTCGTCAATGCTCTTGGTAAGTCTTCACACCACTGCCGACTTTTCATGGCTTCCTTTGCTGACGGCCCCTTTTCTCCCCCAGGTATCCGCGTCAAGCCATACTTGACCCAGATCGTCTCGACGATCCTTTGGCGTCTCAATAATAAGAGTGCGAAAGTCCGCCAACAGGCTGCCGATCTCACCACGCGGTTGGCTGTGGTGATCAAGCAGTGTGGCGAGGACCAACTGCTGAGCAAACTCGGCTTGGTGTTGTTCGAGCAGTTGGGAGAGGAGTATCCTGATACACTCGGTAGTATCATCGCTGCTGAGGGTGCTATCGCCAACGTCGTGGGTATGACACAGATGAACCCACCTGTAAAGGATCTTTGTGAGTCGATTCAACCGTATGTTCTCTTGATCGTACAATTTGTTAACTGGTCGACGTTTTTTTTTCAGTGCCCCGGATGACACCTATTCTTCGTAACCGTCACGAGAAGGTGCAGGAAGCATCCATCAACTTGATCGGTCGTATCGGTGAGCCTTTCTCTTAGTTTTACTATCTTCCACTTCATACTAATGCCACATACCCCCTCCCTCTTCCAGCCGATCGTGGTGCCGAGTTCGTCCCCGCTCGCGAATGGATGCGTATCTGTTTCGAGCTCCTCGATCTCCTCAAAGCGCACAAGAAAGGCATCCGTCGCGCGGCCGTCAACTCCTTCGGCTACATCGCCAAATCGCTCGGTCCACAAGACGTCCTCTCCGTCCTCCTCACCAACCTCCGCGTCCAAGAACGTCAGTCCCGAGTGTGTAGTACCGTCGCCATCGCCATCGTCGCCGAGACCTGCGGTCCCTTCACCTGCATCCCCGCCATCCTCAACGAATATCGTACCGCCGAACTCAACGTCCGCACGGGCTGTCTGAAAGCCCTCTCGTTCGTGTTCGAGTATGTCGGTCCTCAATCGGCTTACTATGTCGACTCGGTCGTCACCATGCTCGAAGACGCACTGACGGACCGTGATCTCGTGCATCGTCAAACGGCAAGCACGATCGTCAAACATCTCGCGCTCGGTGTCGCCGGTCTCGGCTGCGAAGACTCGATGATGCATCTCATGAACCTCGTCTGGCCGAACTGTTTCGAGACCTCGCCGCACGTTATCGGAGCGGTCATGGACGCGATCGAGGCGATGAGGGTGACGCTGGGGCCGGGCGTGCTGTTGAACTATGTCCTTCAGGGTCTGTTCCATCCGGCGAGGAAGGTCAGGGAGGTGTATTGGAGGGTTTATAATGCGCTGTATCTTGGGGCGGAAGATGCGCTGGTGCCGTTTTATCCGGATTTGTCGGAGTTGAGCGAGGGGCAGAATGTTTATGATAGGCATCCTTTACAGGTGTTCATCTAGACGTTTCACACCGTGCGTTTGTTTATCTCGGTCGGTTTCCCTTTGCCAGTGTCATGGTGTTTGTCGCGTCGCGTATGAGATTATGCGGATACTAGTTTCATTTATATGCCTTTCTATGTACCAGTACCTTCTGTGTATATCACTCGATTCATCCATCCCTCGTGTAGGTACTAAGTAAGTCGGTCCGACTCCTACAAGAATCACCATCAAGGCCTTCATTAGTCTCATCCAATCCACATCCGACAAACTGAATCAAACAATTCCCTCTAGTCCACGGGAGGATCTGAATTTACGGCTGCAAGGTTTCAACGCTCGTTCCCTCGTCGTTACTACAAGAGCTCGTGAACGCATGAACGCATGAACGTGTGGAACTCCTCAGGTCAAACCCGCAGGGAATCCAGCAAAGTCTACTTGGTCCTGGACGGCTCGGCCGCCGAGGTTGTAGGATATTCGAAGACGGAGGCGGATGTTGCTCTGTATTGGTTCAAAAAAAGAAAAAGCAGAGTAAGCAATCATGGAGTGACTTGAGAAGGATGGAAATAAAGCTGGTAGACTTACACCTGCAGGAGCCAAGATTCGCATTTGCTGAGTTTCTGTCGCTCCCGGTTGAACGTCAGGGTTCGACACTGGTTGCATCTGCAATTGTTGTGTCTTTTGTGTGGCGAAGCAGACAAGTCAGTACGGAGTACGGAGACTTCTACTCATAAACACCAGTCCGAACTCACCCTCGGCACAGCAACCTGGAAGTTCAAACCCGTCGCAGGCGTCGACCCCTTCATCTGAAACCTAGCCAGTATTAAAACAACCCCAGGCCTCTGCGGCGACGTCTGTGGCGTCAACGTCACGAACAACTCATTCGCATCATACGCGGTATACGACTGCAGCTTGCTTGCGGCTGGGGCGTGTGGTGGTGCGGCCTGTGGTGGCGGTGGAGCAGGGGACGACGATGGTACGGGAGATGAAGTGGCGAAGAGGCTCGAAGGTGAGGGAGAGGCAGCTGCAGACATTGGGGCGGGAGAGGGCGTAGAGCCAAAGAGACCGAGGATGTCGTCGACGGCGGATTTCTTCGGTGCGGGAGTGGCGGCTGAGGGGTTTGATGGATTGATGGAGAGAGCTGGGGTGGTCTCGTTCGATGAGCCACCAAAAATCTCGGCAAGGAGGTCTTGGTTGCTTTGAATGTTAGGTTGAACAACGGTCGGCGCTGGGCCAGACGGGGCGATTTCGTCCCCTAGAAGATCAGCCTATGGAGACTGGAGGGTCAGTACTCTGTCGTTCTCAAAGTGTTTGTATCACGCACGTCTTTCCCTGTCCGCGTTGATCCCACAGGTTTGTTCTCGCTCACTATAATAGTATTCAGCAACCATGTTTCGCGATTTGACGAGAAATATGCCTTACCAACACCCGACACAGTAGCCTTCAACTCCGGTGCCGGCATGCGCTCCAGCACACCGGCCCTAAGATCACCAAGCGCAAACAAGCTCGCGAACTCTACCGCACGCTGCTGGAGCTCAAGCTCCATATTTGTGGTGTACGACGCCAGAATGGCGGCGATGCGGTCCTGTTGTGCCGCACTGGTCGTCGGCCTCGCAGAGATCTTGGTGATAGCGGCAAAGGTAAATTGACGAGTGAGATAGTTGGCGTATGGTGAGTCGAGGGTGGAGACGATGAGATCCACGATTTCGGTATCCGTGACCTGAAATTGAGAAAGGAATCACCGTTAGTGACTGGGTGCTAACGGATGGGACAGATATAATTACAGGTTTGGGTGCCTCGTCGTCTACGAGGCCACCCTCAATCATGATCTCGCTGTACTCGCCGATGACCCACGTAGCCGCTAAAGTCAGAGACTCTTGCGAGATATCTGAGCGTAGGGCAGCGTAAAGTTTTGACGCAGTGTAGGCCTGCAGTTCAGGCGTGTGTGCCACCAACCGGACGAAAGCGGATAAGATCTCTTCGCGCACGTAGTTCCCGGCCTAGCCACCGCAACCATATGTCAGTGTTTATACCTACCACCGGTGTACAATAAACATGCTCACCAGCTTCAACACTCGCAGAACAGTATCAATGTGCCACCGTTTGTTGGGCGCAAACCGTTCCGCGGCTAAACTGATTTGAGTCGTCATACCAAGTTTGAACTCGTTGTCGGCGACCTCCAAAAACGCGAGGAGTTCCCGTGTCAAGATTCGGACGTTCTGCTCATTGATCAGGGCATATGAGAGCTCGAGTGCACGTCGACGGATGGAGATATCTCCATCGCGAAGACAGTCTAGGATTGTGTTTCGGTGTCGCTGAACGGCATTTGTATCCATTGATACAACCTTGTTGAGGGTATTGAGGGCGACATACCTAATGAGAGTACCTTCAGTAACTGAGTCTCAGTATAAAGATAAGACCGTGTACCGAATATTGTTGTCGCGGTTACTGAGGAATTTGCCAAGGATGTTGATGGCCATGACACGCAGGCCGCTGTCTGCCTCGATTTCGAGCACAGTCAGTACCGTCTCGTATAGGATTGAGTTCCCGACATTCTTGGTAGAATCTGTGTTCGTCGCCACCTGGGCCAGGATATCGTTCATAGTTTCGCTCGCTTGGACGTCGCCACGTCCGAGTAATCGAAGAAGACGCAGGATCTTGACTTGTAAGAATGGATCCGTGATGCCGGAAACGTCGTGTTCTGGGCTATATCCCGTAGTGACCAGAGATTTGAGATGGCGGACGAGTAATGGCACAGCCTGCGAGTCATGACTCAATGAGCAATGGCAAACGCGGGTGACATATGAATAGCACGTACGTTGCGGAACTCATCTAAGCATACAGGCTCAGCTTGTACCATCTCGATGACCAGCGTAATGGCTGTAAGGAGTACGCCATGGTTGCGGTCGGCTAGGAGGTTTTTGGCTTTGGAAATGAAGTGATCTGTAAGGTCAGGCACTTTCTTGATGACGCGGAGAGCGCACAGCGCAGCCTGGTTGGGTGCATAACTGGAGTAAGAGCGAGTATTATAGCCAAGATCCAAGGTGCGGCTGAGGACGCACCTTCTTCCGGATGTAGGTATTGCTTGAACCAAGCAATTTCTCTATCTCATTGACAAGGTCACGAGACATCTCCTCTGAAGCGATATTGGCGAAGGTACATAGCGCCAAGCCGACTGCATACATATTCGAATGGTTCATATCACTACAAAGGTGCCACAATTCAGGTCAGCATGCTCTTCACCCTGTAGACATAGAAATACGCACTTCTTGAGTGAATTCGTCACGAGCGTTAATACCTCCTGACTCTCGTCCAGCAGTAGCATGATTCCCAAGTACCCGAGCCTCTTGTCACTGAACCGCGGACTGGCGACAAGCTTCAGACATTCGATCTGGCCAAAGTGTGCAGGGGAGCCGAGCATATGTATGTAAAGCAGCTTCGCAATGTTGTTGTGTCGCATGTATGAGTCCTCCTCTCTGAAAGAGGCCCGAATAGCGGCTGACTCTTGTTGTATGAGAGCGCGTTCATCTGCGACAGTCTAAAGGGGACATCATGTCATTATGCATGGGACGAGAGGCCTGATCATACTGACCTTACATGCTCGGATACCCTTGATGAGTGCTACGTAATTTGGTCAATCCTGAGTCAACATAGCGACCTTGATACAAAACCATACCTTTCAAATTATGGTAAACCATCGTAATACAAGGGAGACGAGCCCGACAGTAACCTCGGCGTTCAGTGTCTCCCTCGCCACGCCGGCGCGTCCAGAGATCGTCACATGTGACGCTATGTGACGTCTCCGCATAGTCTCCGCATGTCACACCGTGACCTGCTTCGCGGTGAAGTCAAAGGACGGTGTTTCTCCTTCGTTGTCGCTCTTGCATCCACCAGAGGTACGCCGTTGTCTTTATACCGCCGGTGGTTTCCTCTCTGCGTCATTTTTTTCTGGTTGTATTACTGAGGTACTCTTTCTGGTTTGTTTTTCCCCTTCAGCCACTGTTTGACGGCTCAAACTTTCTTAATCTCGGACCGCTAATTTCCTAGATGTCTTCTGAACTTGTTCGCTACGGAAAACTCTACTTCGCGGACGGAGACGTTGCCATTGCCTCTACGAAATTGAGCGAATCCAAAGGCCCCGTGTTTCGTGTCCATCTCTCTACTATCGCTAAACACTCTAGTCTGTTCGCCGACAGCCTGAAAAACAAAATCGAATCGGCAAATGGTAACGACCAGTACGACGACGTGCCTCTCATCAGATATCCAGACAAACCCGAACATATTGCATGTACGCGCCTAGTCTCACCTCTACATGAGTTTTGCACCCTTTAACGCTGTTTTTCTCAATCAGCAATCCTCGAGGCCGTTTACTTCGGGATGTAAGTTGTCTGGTTTAACCTCTTTTGTCCGTATTCCTGTCGCAATCTGACTGGTAATTCATAACCTAGCACGGTACCTCTCAGGTTCGATGCTGAAGGAGTCAGAAGATCACTCACGGAGGTTATGGAGATGGCGAAGAAATACAAGTTTGATGGTATACAAGCTAAATGTACTGCCGTCCTCCAAAAAGACTGGCCGCCCACACTCAGTGGCCTATATCGTGCCCAGGCTGAGATGAAGCAACTTCAGGGGAACCCACGCAGGACTTCGGACCTAGACGACGAGGACGATATAGACGACCCCGATCTCAAACAAGAAACACCTGAACGAATTCGGCCCAGAAAGTTTCGCGACGTAGATATCCAATGGGCCTCCTACTCCGGCCTCGCACATGCGCTCGATTACAAAATCCCCTCGATTTTCCCCGCTGCGTTCTACACGCTCTACGTCCAGGCCAACTTTCGCACCGTTCGCAGATTCTCTCTCGGTCATGATGGACCTAAAAATATCCGGCATATGATCCCAAACGATCTCAACAAGCTCACAAAGATCTTTCCCGCAGAATTCTCACTCGTTGTGCCTCTCCTCAACAAGTTTGTTTATATCGTCAGCTTCTGGATTCAAAAGAAGTTCAAACGCCAGTGCAGAGACTGCGAACGAGCGGAGAAGAAGAGGGCTGGTGATGTAGGTGATGAAATGGATATCGATGTTGGGCCAGTCAAGTTTCCCTTGCCTCCTTTCGTTGATCTTCGAGTCTGTGAACCCGACCCTCTGGGTAACCTGCGTTTGGAGACCATTGAGTACTTCCGAAAGTATCGTCCAATAACCAAAAAATACTGCCAACAATGCTGGACGGTTCTGAAACAAGAGATCAATGCCTGGGCGGACAAATTATGGGTTGATGTCCTCACAAAACAAGATTTTACGCATAACTTTATTATGGACGTGAGCAAGCATTTTCATCCCCATCTACTGTGATTGTTAATACACTGGTTACGGCGAGACTGACACTTCTCTGTTCACCATCTCACAGGAGGTGATGCTGGAAGGTGCATCTATGGACTGGCCCGAAAACGGACCTGAAGTCGTTCCACATAAGACACTCTACTTCCCGGACGGAGACGTAGCCCTCCAGTCCTCGGAAACGCCTTCTGTTGGAGATATTCACATATTCCGCGTCCATGTCTCTGTCGTCGCGTTGCGCTCTCGCGATTTCGCCACCAAATTAAGGAGTACACCCGGAAGTACCCTTTGCGACGAGTACGATGGTGTCCCTCTGATTACATTACCGGACGCACCTGAAGACCTAGAAGGTATGTACCTGCTTAATCAGTCTTTCTTCCCCAACCTGTCCATGAAGGTTCTAACTTTTCCCCCTCCCAACTAGCGATCTTGCGCATTGTATATGGTTACAGACTGTGCGTCTCATCCTTGCATCGTGTCTTGTCATGCTATCTCATCTGACTGGCGACTTCGGATGTAGCGAACTCCCCCCACGGTTCAATCTCGAGGGGTACAGAGATAAACTCTGGCGAATCCTGGCCATGGCTAACAAATACCGATTTGATGAGGCCCGAGCGGACATCATCGCCTTTCTCGAGAAGGACTGGCCCCCTACGCTCGAGAAACTATATATCGTCCAAGGTGAGATCAAGCAGCTCCAGGCAGCTGTCGACAACTTCGCGGACTTGGATCACGAGGACGACATCGACGACCCTGACCTCAGAGCCGGACCTCTCCAACATGTACCTGCCAACCGACTGAGCGACGAAGATATCGATCGTGCCGCCATGATGGCTATAGCAATGTCACACAAACTCGACATTCCCTCGATTTGTGCCGCCGCGACATACAGGCTCTACGTGCAGGCGAAGTTCCGTACCTCCTATAGACACTCTGACGGGATAGCTCAAGAGGCCGTCAGAGGGCCAATGACGAACGAGTTAGCTAAGCTTGCTAGCCATCTGCAGGATGGATTCCTGAACAACTCTCCTCTCGAACCTATTGCGACTTTCGTCAGCTTCTGGGTCGAGAAGAAACTCAAGCGCCGATGTCCAAAGTGCGCAAGGGAGGACGAGAAGAGACCGGAGGTCCGAAAAGAAGCAGCAGCGTCGATTAAGGAGCCTCTGCCTCCTTTCGTCAATCTTCAGGTCTGCGAGACTGATCCCCTAGTCCTCTTACGCTCGGAGACTCTCAAGTACTACCGCAAGTACCACCCAGACGACGACAGCAAGTACTGTCAAGAGTGCTATGCTGTACTCAAAAAGGAGATCCGAGGGTGGGCTGATCGGTTGTGGGATACAGTGTTTATGAAGCGCAAAATCGACATGCTCGACATAATAGGGGTGAGCACAACACTATCTTCATCTCTAATTCCCCACAATAGAACACAAGTTAACAAACACTCATCATTTTGCAGGACATATTTCAAGGCAACGATGGCTCCATGAACGTGAAGGTTTTTGGCAGTCAAACCGATTCGCTCGCGTCGCGCATGACGGAACTCTCAGTGGGCTCGCTGCACAACCTAACGACTCTTCCTCGTGTTCCACCTCCGACAAGCCACAACACTGATCGCGCGGGATCCTCTCGATCAGCCGAGCCTTCTCGTCCCGCTCAGCGATCTCGTCCCTCCCAAGTCTCTCGTCCTGCCCAGGCTTCGCGTGCTTCTAGGCCTACCGAAGTTTCTCGTTCTACGACCGCTCGTCCTACGCATCCGACAGCTGCAAGTACCAGTCGCGCTGAGGACACTCGTCCCGCTGGAGCTCCCCGCCCGACTGGATTTTGGGCTCCTTCTCCTTCTCCTGAAGCTTCTGGTTCCTCTCAAGCCTCTCCTACCGCAGCTTCTTGTTCCACTGCTGGCCGCCCCATCGCCCCACTTCCGAAGAGAGCACTGCCCAAGAGTACGCCGAATGAGGACGTTGCGATGCAGTTCGACGAAAGTGCCTACTTGGCCGCTGCATCTGGACGTCCAGTCATAAACCTGGGTTCGTCTACTCCATCTCTTTTTCTCTCTGTCATGTCTCAACGCACCGCACCCCTGTAGATGCCGTCGCCCCCGACCATCAGCCTTCAGAAGAAGAAGAAGCTGCGGATGAAGTGGATTCAGATGAAGATCTATACGGCGGCGCTCCCCTTCGTGAACGGTCGATTCCTCCCGATGCCTGGGATTATTAGTAGTTGGGGCCACAGTTCTGTGTTCCAGCAACTTCGGGTAAAAAGCCTTGGCTGTCGTTGTTCGTTCTTGCCGTGTACTATCGAGATTCTTGGTATCTTGTCCCCATGTGCCTTATAGGCACCCGTTTGTATATTCGTACATCTCCGTAACAGCGCTTTGAATATAGACGAGTGCAGGGGTCACAGTGCATTCATATCGATCAGAAGCGCTGAAAGTCAAACTCGACCTCGAAGGCAAAAAAAAAAAATTGGGCACGTCATTCTGAAGATTGGTGCTATATCGGCACACCGTGCTACAACTGAGAAACGGCTAAAGATGGCTAAAAGAAGTGGACCAGGTTATAGTTCGTCGTACTGCATGTCGAGACGTACGCGAATGCGAGAAGAGAAGAGAAAAATTGCAGAGTGCGAAACTACAACAGGTGTTCGTAGATGCCAGAGAAAAGGGGGCAGCATATAGTAGATGACGGTCAGGATGAGAAAGCAAGCGCAGGTGTGATGCAGTACGAAAAGATGCAAAGGGTACGAGGTCGTAAGGGTCGTAACGTCGAGGCACAGGTTCAAGTCCTGCCAAGCAAGCAAGAATCGTCCACGCACGCTTCATATATTGTACAGTAAGTAAAATATCACGACCTGCAAGCAACAAAACATAGACAGCGATAAAAACGACAACGGAAGCATCAAGGCAAGACGGAGCATCGAGGTCATTACCACGCCCGACTCCACCCCTTTGGACTCGGTCCATCAGGGCTCTCGTACATAAGCCCCTTCGTCTTCCCAAACATGCCCGAAAAGCTGTATCCAGAAGGACTGTCGATAGCTCCTCTCTCTCCCATCCTGGCTAGCTCATCGTTCAGCATAGCGGAAGGGTCATGCGGATCGTATACCCCACCGCTCGGCGTACTTCTAAACGGAGAGTTCGATGCAGAGCCAAAGTTTGGATAGCTGAGGGTGAGGTTGCGGGGAGTAAACGGATTCGAGAAGGTGGAAGACGTGCGACGGTAGCCGCTGCCGCGGGAAGGAGTACTCGTCATATCGGTCGGTGGGTAGGGCAGTGCGGAAGTGGACGAAGATGCGGCGCCCGGCGCAGACACCGTAGGAAGCGTGTCTGAGTCGCTCGAGCCCAGTGGCGATTTGTTGGGTGGCGGATTGAGATTAGACTTGTAGTACGCGAGGCTCGGTGACGGACTCATGTGTACGCCAAGGTGAGACAGTGGCGTACGCACGGCGGAGATCATATGTCCAGCAGAACCTCGCGATGAAGGACGAGCCGCAGCCTTCCTCGGTGGTGTGGACGGTTCAGCAGGTTGATGAGAGCGAGATTTGAGCGAAGGGAAGATGTTGTTGGTAGGCGGCGGCGGGGTTACAGGTCGAAGTCTATAGGGATTATTCGCATTGGATTTGCGGTTGAGACTCGGTGAGTCAGGGACTGGTGGAAGCTTGGGTGCCCGTGCGTGAGCGTGAGCGTCTTCTGGACTCTCCACATTTTTGCCCTTCCCCTTGGACGAGACTTTCGAAACTGTTGGCAAGACGTCTCTCGAAGGGGAGTCAGGATCGTCCACGATATAGTCTGCCATATCTAAATCGGGGGATCCGTCAAGAACAGCGGCCTCATCCTCGTCACCAGAGCCCGTAGGTTCTTCGTCGTCATCAGGAGGACTAGACGAGCTACCGTTCGTCAAATCCGGCATAGACATCTCCTCTCCGTCAGAAACCGGTGGCACCGACGGAGGGGAAGACGAAGGCAGGTAATCAGCATCGGTCGAGTAGTACGAACTTGATGTTCCGGGACGCGAGATAGAGGCGGCGTCGTCCCCGGTATGCTCCTCTTGTTCGTCCTTCTCTGCAGTGGCCTGATGAATTGCGGCGCCGGGTGGAAGGGGAGGAAAGATGACTCCGGCTGGCAGCATATGAGGAGGGTATGAGTATGGATCGGAAAGAGTCATCCCAGGCTGTGGCACTGGATACGAACTAGAAGGATAATAAGGCTGATGATGGGTCCCAGGACGAGGGGCAGGAAATATGGGACCAGAATACAGAGCCACGGAGCTCAGTGGAACACCCATATGCGGTGGAGGCGGAGGCATGGGGTAGGAGTGTTGGTGCGGTAGTAGACCTAACTCGGCGAGTGATGCGGGAGGTTCAGACTTGGCGTCTTTGCTCTCCTCCTCCTCAGTAGTGGGTGCGGGATCAGCAGCAGATTGTGTGCCCTTCTTCGAGCGTTTCGCCTTCCCCGTGCGTGGCAACTCGATATCTTCTGCAGGACGCTTCTTGTTTGCTTCCTTCTTGGCTTTCTGTTCGGCCATTTCCGCACTCGCCTCCTTGTTGAATCCACCTTTCTCAAAGCAAGGCAGATCTGCGTCCCATATTGCCCACAAAGTCCGACCAACGGCGCGATCACGTTGGACTTTCCGAAATACGACCGTCGTGCTCAACACGTGACGAATGGAGTTCATCCAAGTTTGTTCATTTCGCTTGAAATAGGGGTAGACGATGGTGATCCAAGAATAGATTTCTTGCAATGTCAATCGGTGCTGTGCAGAGGAAAGAATGGCCTGGCCAATGATAGCGGCGTACGGGAGGTCAGGCTTGTGCGGTGAATACGGTCCGGGAGGAAGCGTGAACGGGTATGCAGAGAATTCTTCTTCGCCAGATCCCATTGGACCAGGAGAAGAAACGATATTCACTTTCCGGATCGGGCTTGAATCGGGCGTCGACATTGAAGGCGATGCAACTTCCTCCCTGTAGTATGGGCGGCGAGGTGTGATAGGAGGAAAGACCTAGACGTTGATAGACATGTGAGAACGGGTACGAGGATTCTATGAGTGAGACGCCATACTTGACGTTCTTTAGCATAAGAGGAAGACGCAACGCTAGAGCGTGATTTCGACGGCGATGGGGATTCGGGTCGAGGGACATAGGTATTCTGCACAACGAAGCGTCAGTTTGACTGGAGTTCAAGGCAACAGAACCTTCCTACCGGTCTTGTAGGGCGTGATGAACTGGATTGATATAACACTGAATCCCTATAATACCGTCCAGCGGATGGTGTCACAGGAGGCGGCGGGTCCTATCGCATGACACAAAAAAATTAGAACACATCTACAATCAGGACTATGTTTGGCGTACCTTTGCAGAGTTTCGACGCGTCGTGTGCGAGTCCTCTGAGTCGGAAACGCGTCGCGAGCTGCTAGACTCGACAAGAGAATGTCTGCGTCGGGAAGAGTTGGACGGGGAGCGCGATCGTTCGGGACTGTCGTCATAGTCCCTACTACGGCTGTGACGGTGTCTCCTTCCCTTCTTGCTCTTCCGACTATTCTGCCTCTCTATCACAGCCTCCATACTATCGTATTTCCTGAGAGATGTAGGAGGGTCGACTGGTTCGGACTTGATGGGGGTAGCAGGGGGAGAAGTGTATCCGGATGCATCGTTCGTCGAAAAGGAACGCGAAACCGAGCGGGAAGAGCGTTCAGATGTCTTTGGCGTACTTGGAGCTTGGGCTTCTTCACGGTCCTGCATGAAAGCACGAAAAGAGTTTGCGCGTTCTGATGTGAGAAATTCGCGCATCTGGTCGCTCTTGCGGACGAGGTCTTCGCGTGTCATCCCCAGACCTTGAAGCAGCTGCGAAACAGGCGAAAGTGGTGGGGAACCATGGCGGTGCGCTGAGTCGGCCATGAGAGGTCGATATGTACAGCGTGAAGGTGTATCGAGAGAAAGCCGGCCAGCGTGGTCGTGGTTGATGAAACAGGACGAGCAGCAAAACCCCGGTAGCGTGGTTCAGACGCGATTTCAAATTCCCTCTTTTGCTCTTTCTGTCCTCGGATCGTCCATGAACGCGCTGCTGACAAGGAACCTTTCAAGCAGCCTTTGCAGGTCATGGTTTTATTATATGCCCGTTATGGCTAGATTAACAATGCGGCCTGATCGTTTTGTGTCCAGCTTTCGGGCACAAATCATCCTTCAACACACCGGGTGCCACACACGTTTTGCGCCACATTGCTACTATATTACCCCCTGAGTCCCTCAGGCTAAACAAGCAAGGGCCAATGTTACAGATTATGTATTCAACACAACAGCGACGACGAGAATATGACAGAACAATTGAAAGCCCTCGCAGCAAATTTCCGAGAGGTGATGGTACTCATTCCCCGGCAACGACTGCAATAAATAGCATCGAAGGGACTGCGACTAATCTGTGTCTGGCTCCAATACGCTGTGTCCAAGCATATAACCATCAGCATTATCTATACCGGTCAAGTACGCCGCCAACACGTACCAAGCCTCAGATTCTTTATTTGCGGGAGAATACGACGCGAACTCGAATGAGCGACCGACAAATCTTCCAGGATTGAATACGTGACACCCTGTGTATGTCAACCTATAACTTTCGTATTTGTCTGCAATGACGACCTGTGTACGCAGGCCAAGGCGTTCAGTGACATCCAACAATATTGATGGTGAAGGGTATATCTGACCGCGGTGGGTAAGGGAAATAGGCGCAACGCATGGTCGTAGTCCGATATTACGGGCTGTATGTCGTTCGAGAATGGTGCAAGATGACTTTGATCCAGAATCGACTGCACAAGCTATAGCAAGAAACAGACGTATATATGAGCAAATTGCGACGAAGACCGCGTAACAAGCTATCTAAGAAAGGACTTACGAATTGTTTGAGCTCTTCAGTGCGAACCGCAGGCTTCACTCCTACGAGATTCCTGAGCATTCGAGCCATCATATCTTCTCTGAGCACCACGATCTCTTGCCCAAAGAATTTGATTCGACACGGGTTACTGGCTAGTTGAAGTCTCGGGATCTTTGCACGTAGGCGCGCGGTGAAAGATGAAAGTAGGGGGCGCCGTGGCAGAATGGAGTTCATAGCGAGATCCAGTGGCCCGGGTACGAGAACGAAGTGCGTGGTCTGTGTGATAAGCGGGTACGAGGAAATGAGGTCCGCTAGAGCATCAAATCCCGCTGTTAAGTGAGATCCATGTCAATGAAAAAATCCAGAGGAAGATTGCATAGAGGAGACAACAGACTTTGATACTTCTGAATGTCGCGACTGTTGCCCTGTGCGATGCCGCGGCTGGTGAAGTTGCCGCACAAGACCATAACCTTGGGTATAAAGTTACTCTCTATACAATTGTCGAATATTCGGGACAGTCCTTTCATGCAGTCCGGATGATCCAGCCATACGTCCGAAAGGAAGAAGAAATTGATAGCCCCAAAATCTTCTCGGATTCGCATCGCGTATTGTGCCTGTTATGGAAGGGTTTGGAGTCAACTTCAACACTTTGCATATATAGATTTCAGATTTACATCCTCAAGAGGCGTCGTGGCGCCTTTCCCAAGAAAGTCGACATGCCCGTATATTGACCTGTGCACACGACGTCAGCCTGCGAGTACTCGACAACACAAAGCAGCACTAACCGCGATGTTTCTCGGGTCTCGGATGGTGGGTGACCCATGCCATACACGAGAAATGTTGAATCTTCAGTATAATCTCCTTCGACCAATGCGAATGCGCCCTCTGTGAAAAGTCCATCGCTAGGCTCGTCCTGTATGATAGTGCACCTTAATATCATCACTCAACCCCAACGGTGTATCTCATACCATCTGTGAGAAGTCGAGCTCTACAATGCCATCTTGGTCTTCTAGGCATAACTTGCCTTCCTTCGTATGCGAGAGCATCCCGAATAGTAGAAACCGCTGACCCGCACGACCAAGAAGTTGTTTAGTCGACTTGACCTTTATCATGAATGGTCAACTTAGTATATAGCTACTAAATTGCAGCAAGAGGCAGATGAACGAACCGTGATTAGGTGTTGCCGATCTCGAGAAGGGACTGTTGATGGCGTAAAGTGTTCATTCCGCGAGATAGTCTGTCGGATGATGTTGAGCCTGTTTCTTGTCGCCATTACACGAGACTCGGCAGAACTGAAAGTTGAGAGAGGTTGTGATGATCTATGAAGATGTCCAGATAAGTTGTGAAGTCTCCGTGGATAACCCACACGGCCTACTTGTCGAATGTACCACGTTCATCAGACCAGTTCCACAGGGGCATATCGAAAGCGTTCACAAAGAACAAGTAATCATCCGGGTCAAGGTAGGCTTCATCGTCCTGGGGACCGCCCTCTCCTGAGTTTTGTAAAGCGGAATAGACTCGCTTTAGAATGTCTATCGACACTTTTGTACCGGCATCTAGTTCGTTCAAGAAGCTTCAGTGGGATGGTCGTTCGTACTCAGAGGCTGTAAACATCATACCCTCTTGTAAATTGTATTGTTTAGCAATGACGTCAATGGAGGCCTCGACGTATTCATCCGGGATAGCGTGTCGATCTATAACCTCTTCTAGGAATTCCACTTCATGCGGACCAAGGGAATGACTATAATTTCGGAAGACCTGTGCATCGTCAGTTTCAAGCAGCCTACGCAAATAAGGGGAAACCAACTCGAATGATAGTTCGCTGGCGTGGCTGAGACATTTGAGCAAACTAGAAAGAGCAACGGATTTAGTAGCTGGACTCCAGACACGATGTGAAGGCAGTAGACAGAACGCGTGCGCTTCGACGCGTCCGATTCTGGACGCGTCGCGCCACTTCTGTCACACTCCACGTGAGTTCGCCTCGCGCTCGTCACAGAATTTATCGTGACACAGGGCAACGTCGTGTTTGTTACTGTTTGCCAGAGCTCACTCTCAGCGGCCAGGACTCATGCGGAGGCATAGGCATCATGTCCCCCAGCAAAGACTTCAGCGAGCGACACAAAGCTATCCCTTGCTCTCTTTGCTATGGTCTAATTCATCTTATGGCATCGTTCCAGATCAACGCTCATCTGGCCTGTTGCTCGGCAACTAGAGTATGTTGAGTTGATAGCTCACGAAAATTTCGTCTGCGTCCATCGGACTCGATCTAATTGTCAAAGATTGTGTGCTCAGCATGCGTAATCTCATCTCCTCGTACGCCCCCCATCAGTGCCTTACTGATGCTACGAAAGGTCTCGACTCGGATGAGTGTAGGACTCGATCAAGACAGGAGTCACTGTGTTACTAGCCTCGAGTTCTAACCACGTCTTGCTGGCGTTTCTGACATTCAATGTAACCTTCTGTCAAGTCCTGCATCCGACTTCTCCTCGTGGATGCATCTACAGTCTCCAGCCCAGTGGACGTTCACTTCGCTTTCAAACTACTGGCCTAGGCGCTCGGAACCTTTTGTCTGGATCTTAAGTCTTCACTGGGATCAAACACCGTTGGAAACCCGCACGCTCATACCTAATGGACATGGAAAATGTGGGTCCCGATCATCGTACTCGCATGCGTTTCTGTTACGGTACTCACTCCTACATATTTGATCTTTTTCTTTTCTCCATTCAAAATAGATTCTTTAGCGTCCCCTCGCGTTCCTCGTCATCCGTACCTTCAAGTTTTAATACTTCCATCTCCGCCATCTTCATGTGCTCGATTTCGATCCATCAGCCCACATGAGTCTGTGCTAATTATGAGCTTTTGTACTGCTGGTCCTAGGATACCTTAGCTCCGCTCGCTGTGCTCCCACTTGCAACATCGCTCAAGCTGATCGTTCTAAGCATGAGGTCCTCTTGATCGTACTTCACCCTCGGGGGTGTTTGGCCGTATCTTTGAGGTACAAAAGGAGTGCGGTCCTCGAGGTTGAGCTCCCTCAGCAGCCCCCGGCTAAGCCTCATCCCATTCATCATGTTCAAGCTCACGGCTCTTTTCTCTATCCTAACTCTCGCGAGATCTGCTGCTGCACAATCCAGTCTTTATGTCTGGAACAACTGCGGAGACACTATTTGGGCTCACGAAGTGTATGCAGGGTATTCCCAGGTGTACACGATCGGCCCTCAGAACGGCGCCTTTCTGAGCGTACCTCCGGACAACAATGGTGTTGGTCAGTTATTTTCTCTACCGGAAGGTGGTGCGGAGACACAGCTTACTAAAATATGCCTTCCACAGCCGTCAACTTCTACACAGGCTGTACCGATAATTCCGCAACGAGCTGTACGACTGGTGGAGGTATGATTTGTACCGTCACTTTCCTTATATTCATCGACTAACTATAGATCGCTCTACAGTGAACAGTAACAGTGGACAAACCCCTTTCATCCGTGGCGAAGTCACATACGTCGGCAACACCGCGAACTACGATATCAGTCCTCTCTACGGCTACAATCGCGCTTTGAAGATTAACACCGACGACGCCAACTGTCCCGGAATGCAATGGTATGCGCTCTCCTCCAGTCTTCTCCTCGAATACCCGTTCTAAGCTTGGCTGAATCTCGCTATTCTTAGCAACATCAACTCTGGGTGCCCTGTCCCTGGTCCTGACGGCTCTTGCTATGCGCCATGCTGCTCCAGCGCCTCTGGTTGTTTGGGCACTGAGAACTGCCCTTACGATCCCATATACAACATCAACTTGTACGCTTCATCATTGCCTCACTGTAGTGTGTCGGTCTTGCTGATATATGTAGCTACGTACGTACAGCGGTGGCCCGGGAGTGAACAGCGACTGGTACCATAATGCATGCCCCAATGCTTATGCTTTCCCCGACGACGACTGCTCCAACTACGGCCACTCTCCCGATGCTGGGTGTGGTGACAGTAACAGGGTCACGATGACTCTCTGCCCCACCGGTATGCTCTTCACCCCGGTTCGCAGTCGAGGTAGTACTTATAGGATACTTGATTAGGCAGCAGCAGCAACATCGACCTTTGTTGAACCTCCTCGATGGAATTTCTCCGATCTTCGATAAGCTCATTAGGTCTTTCTCTGTTAGGGCGGTCTACATGAAATGAAATGATATTCGGTGGTGTATTTGTGTATTGCATTTCCAATCATGTGCTATGATAATGCTTGTATGTGTATTATGTTGTGTAAGCAGTAATATCGAGTGAACGTGAGCGAAGTACGGTCAGTGTTGATAAGTATGTAAGTATGCAAGGTGCTGTAGCGCAAGTATGGTGATTAGTCTAACGTCAATCAGATGTGCAGTGCGTATGGATGAGTAAATGTCGGAGTGTGAGTGAATGAAGAAAGAAGAGCGAGAGCGAAAACGTAGCCATCAATTCACACAATGTTCGTAATGGGTTTATGGACGAGCCGAACCTTGTAACGTTCACAGTCCTCCCTCGCCATCCCCAGCGCGCTATCTTCCGCCCGGCGTGTTACCAACACGACCTTCCTCTCTTCCTCTCCCTCGTCCACAGTAGTCGCATCGTCCTCTTCCTCAGCCACAGTAGTCTCACCGTCCTCTTCCTCATCCCTCATCAATCCCTCCCTCAAGGCATGGCCGAACCTGATCCCCAATAGTATATCCACAGTCAACTCGACTCCTCCCTCACCACCCAACACCAACGTCCTAACCCTCCGCGGCAACAACCACGCCAACTCCGTCAAATCCATCGTTTCATCCACCTCCAGACACTCCAAATTCACACACATATGTACCAGATCCATCGCAAGCTCGGGACACGCACCCGACACAGATAAGGTCTTCACCCCAGGCAACTTCTTCTCCCGTTCATCGTCCGCACTGCTCCAATGATTCGGATTGCTGGCATGGTTCAAAGACCCTATCGCCGCGATCCTCCCGAAATACCTCATTCGCAAGCTCCTGAGGATATCTTCGGTGATTTCCCCCTCAAACCTGAACCTCACTTCCAACGTGCTCACACTATCCGGCAAGTCCAGCAACCTCGAGTGGTCGAGCAGGTCGTTGTAGCCCCAGTTGGCGTATTCGATGGTGACGTGTGTGAGACTTCGTGCCGAGGACGGCGAGTACTTGAGGCGATGGAGGATGTTGGAAAGGGCTTCGCAGGCATGGTGGTTGTTGTAACGGAGGTAGATGGGGCGTGGGTCGGGATAGCCAGGTCCGCCGGAGATATGGATGGTGAGTTGTTTGAGCTCGGAAGATGCGAGGTCATAGGAAGGGAGACTGAGGTAAGGGGGAGCGGGTAGTGCGATGGGGGAGCTGGAGCGAGGAAGAGTGAGAATGGAGGTGTAATGCTGAGAGAATTTATGATTCGGTATGTAGACCTCGCGGATGCAGAGGTAGTTATAGATGGCTAAGAAAGATTTGTTAACGAGAGGAAGGGATCGAAGAAGTATAGTGCGCTCGTCAAGATAGAGCTGCGAGCGCCAGGCGATCTCTACGATGTACTGAAGTAGCTCTGCAGGAAGCGTAGGCATATCCGGGCCGGTGGTAGAATTAGGCCTTGTGCTGACGAGAGCGTCTGCCATAGTGGATAGAGGGAGCCGATGAGTAGGTAGGAAGAGGGTAAGTGATGCAGTGGGACTTGAAGACAGTATGTCGGTCTGTTGGTGGTAAGCGGTAGAGTTCCTAGTGAGACGATGAACTGAGATTGGCCACATTTTATGCATTTCGAGGAAGCGTAGGGTGTCTTAGTCTCCCGAGCAGGCAGCCACTCCGATGAAATCGGCGTGAGTGAGACATCGTCCGAGACCAGTTGCTCTAGCCTTTTTTCCATTCCCAGGATGCAGAAGATCAAAGAGAGAAAGCATGATGATGGATATGATTTCCGGCGTGATTGTTGGTGGAAAGAAAATACCAAAGAGCCAAAGTGATTACATCGTGACGAAGCTGAGCCCAACCTGGAGATAGCCCACTTTTACGAGTGGTGCGGAGAATATTGTTAGCTGTGTGATTTCAGGAGAAATATAATAGCTTCTGGTTTTGTATGAGAGGGAAGTGCTTCACTCAGACTGGTTGTAGACTGGTTGTCGTCCGAGAAAGAGTGAACTTGAGAGTGAAGCTTCCGAACTCTTCCGAGCGTGCGGAACCGTGGGAACCAGAGGAAGCCAATCCGGGTGAGAGTGGCGGTGGCACCTCAGGGAGACCCTGCTGTCCGCTTCGGCGATATAAGTTGTAACTCGCGAAGAGATATTGACTTACGATGTTGTTTTCAAGAAAATACTAGTGACACCAAGCTGCATCGTTGCTGTCAAATAAAAGTACAGACAAAACAACCAAGCCGACATCTACTACAGCCATCTATGGCGAAATGGGCTAACAAAATAAAGATACACCTCGGAAAGTGCCTCTCCCTTCCTCGGAGCCCATTCTGGCGCATAAGATTTGAAGTTAACATTTGATAGATTGACTCTGTATGGTTTTTTGAGCTATCGGGCATGGTGAGGTGCAGGAAATGCGAGATCAGCTGAGATTTCTGTTATCATCCGTTTTATGACGGTTTGGGCTGTGACGAAGTCGCGTCGGTTATCAGCGGTCCGGTAAACCGACAGCGCGAAAAGGCTCTCGGAGATCTCCTGGTGTGACGGGTGATTACCATATGTGGCTGCATTGAAAATCCTCGTAAATTGCTCTAGAGCCCAGAAGTAGTGAGAACATATCACACAGGTCGACCTTGCACGAACAAAGTACCCATATCTCATCTTGTATGGATACATATGTCTCCGGATTAATTTCATGATTTATGAGAGAGTTTTGACCATGTTAGCGAGACTGCAAGTTTTAACATTTACAAGTTGTCCTTGCAGATCTATGTCTTGTAGGAGCACTATGATGATCCAGAGATTGAAAATATTCTGAAGCATGAATGAGATGTACAGCTAAAAGTACCAACAAACTCCGAGAGGTTTCATGCGGGGAGTGAAGAGCTATGGACGTTTAGCCCATTTCGGCATGCTAGCCCATTTCGCCATAGATGGCTGTACCGCCTCTAATCACTCCGAACCCCATACCCGACGCAGCATAGCAAAGTACCAATGGCAACAATGTCCGCACAACACATAGATCTATAGCCATCAATCACGATACCACTAGAGTCTCAGCCTCAATGGCTTCCGTCTTCTTCCGGTGTACTTTCATATGCCTTGCCAACTGATCAGGTCTCGAGAACGACTTTCCACAGCCCGCTTCGGCGCACGAATACGGCCGGACGCCGGTATGCGTGCGAAGGTGTTTGGAGAGGTTGGAAGATTCGGAGAACGCACTAGTGGAAAGAAAAAACGATGTAATGTGAGTAAGGCTGTTGACGTGGGCGAGGAGATGGGTCATACCGATCGCAGTACGTGCATTTGAACGGCTTGAGGCCATTGTGGATGCGCTTGTGGATCGTGAGCGCGCCTGCGATGGCGAATGCCTTTCCACATCCTGGGAAATCACAGCTGTACGGTTCTATAAGGTCATTTATCAGCGACGTTACGATTAGAGAACAGAAAGAAGGAACAAAGGAACGAACTTTCTTGTGTATGCCTTCGCATGTGCTGTTGTAGTGTGGCCGCCTCGGAGAACGACTGTTTACACACGGTGCACAAGAACGGTCTGTGTCCCGTATGCGTCTTTATGGACCACAGGCAGTGTTAGCGTCGCGTCCCGACATTGGGAGACACCTAGTCTCTCAATAATAATAAAACTTACCTGAATATGTCGGCAAATCTTCTGCTTGCTAGAGAATCCCTTCTCTCCGTTCCTCGGACAGTCATTCCAGAAGCACTCGTAATGCGCCTTCCCTCCGCCAACATGCGTGGCCGTAATATGTTCCGTCAGCGCATCGACCGTCGTATACACCTCCGTACAATCCTTCCAATGGCACCTATGTGCGCCCGTCGTGCATTCGTCGCATTCGGCCTCATGATCCATCTCAAGACCAATTCCGGAAAGTGGTGGTGAAGAAGGCGAAGGTGACAATGCTTGATGTACGTGTCCTTGCTGTGGCGGTTGAGGGAGCTGCTGCTGCTGGACAGATTTGGAGTAGCGGGCGAGAGGGCAGTCATGTGGAATAGACATGAGGTAGTTTATGGCTTGCATGGCGGAATTTTGGTCCATTCCTAGATGATCGTTCAAAACGTGATGCGCGACGATCTCTGCGGCTGCGTTGACAACCTGGCTATCTGGAGCGCCACTCTGGATGGGCGGGGGAACATTGAACCCAGGACATTCATTCCACTGGCACGTATTATTTTGCAGGTTGTATGACTGCGAGGTGCTGGGAAATGTGGGGCCGAAATTAAATAGGTTCGAAGACTGGTGGGCAGAAGAAGAGTCGTTCGAGGAGATACGGAGGTGTTGAGAGTTGACGTGGTTCGTCAGTTCAGGCAGGGAGAAGAAAGACATGTGGCAGTCGTTCCATTTGCAATGATGCTGAAGATGCGAGTGGGACATAGGCTCGTGGAGGGGTGGCGTATACATCGAGGAAGGCGAGCTATGGCTGGAGGGTAAAAAAGAGTATGCTGAGTCGTCCATGAGTTTGTTAAACGACGGAGGATGCTGGTTTATGCCATGATAGCTGGAAGAGGGTATTGAGAGACCCTGGCCAGCCATCATGTCCCAATTGTAGGGTGATGGTTGTTTCTGCGTTGTGGCGTGGGCATGTTGCTGCTGCAGACTGTCGATCTAAACGGCCGTTAAAACGACTCATTAAAATTATATTGAAGCGACATACGGGTCTGTGAGTGAAAGAACAGTCCGCGCTGGAGTCGCAAAGAGCAGCGCAGTCCTCGTCCATGCACAGGGCGCTATGATTTGGATCGTCGCACGGGACGATAAAACAGTCGTCTGTACATTGCTGAGAGAGCTCTGAGACACAGGCAGGATCCTGGCAGTTGACCAGACACTCCGTACAGTCCTCCTCTTCAAGATGGTCTTGAGAGGTAGAGGACATGAAGGCTGGACTCCTCGAACTGCTGGCCGGTGGCGATGAGGGTGAAAGCGATACCATGTTTGATTGTGTCACCCGCCTGACTCACGGGTCAGACTTTCGTTCATCTATTTACGAGAGGGTGAACTTACAGGGATGTGAATAGTTTTGGCGGCTGAGCAGCGTTGGAGATGACGGCGACGGCGACGAGCGCGTGAAGGCGAAGGACAATGGACGAAGAAAAGGATGTGGACAACGGTGAGGGTATGACTGTGGCGGTATGAAAGACACGACCGAAGCGGTCCTCGCTGACGTAAGCTGATCTCACCTTGCGTCGCCGCGCTAATTCGCAATTCTCTCCGTTATCATGTTCACTTGCCACATGATGTGTCCCTCAGTACATATAAGTATAGCGCTAGCGCAGTTCACCCCTTGCTCAAGTTTCCTTTCGCTCAGAGAGAAGAGAGAATGGTCGACAACAAACTTTCTCAAGATAGCTTAGGCTACCTCGGTACGACATCGACAGAGAACAAGACATGGACTTCACGAAAGACAGCGACTCGCCTGACATCTTGGATAGCAGCAGCACTCATTAGCTTTGGCTTGATTTACACCTTGCACATCCCTCGTACTGGAATAGCTACAGCTACAAAACCTTTGAAAGACGGGGTTTCAGCTCTAGATGCACTGGACTTCTCGCGTTACCCTCTTCCTCCGAACGAGAACTCGACGACTTGTCCCCAACCATTGCCACTTTCGTCGACGGGTCATGCGGAACTAGAGAAGGAGCTTTTCACTTTGTACGAAGAGGAAGATTACAGATTGATGGCATTTGAGGCATTGGGAGGTGCTGTACGGGTTCCGTACGTTTCTCAATTGCCATTTGACTGGGAAGATGCTTTGTGTGACGTCGAACCTTTGTCGCCACACAGGACCGAATCTTACGACGATCTTCTTCCCGTCGGACAGGATTCTCGATGGGACATCTTTGCCGAGCTGCACACCTATCTTGAGATCTCTTTCCCACTTGTGTGAGTGATAATTTGGAGTATAATCAGGTCCACATACCGACGCCCAACGACAGCTTCGACACGCTCGAGGTGACCAAGGTTAATACATACAATATGGTATTACATTGGCAAGGCTCGGACGCGTCACTCAAACCTGTTCTGCTGACGGCACATCAAGGTGGCTATCAGTCTCGCTCGTTCAGTACATCTTGGGCTGATCACACATTCATAGATGTGGTTCCTGTCGAGCCCGTCACAGTCGACGCATGGATTCACCCTCCGTACTCCGGGTATTACGACGGTCAGCACTACAGTCTCGCGATGCTATATCGTTTTAGCTCACGGTGAAGCTAGGAACATGGATTTGGGGTCGCGGAAGCAGCGACGATAAATCTGACCTCGTCTCTCAAATGTTCGTTCCGCACCATCTTTAAGCGAGAGGCAACTGGCTCAACTATATTTCAATTTTTCTGCCAGTGTGACGATCGATACTCTGCTCAAACATGGATTCAAACCTCGCCGAACGATCGTGATTGCATGGGGTATCGACGAGGAAGCTTCGGGTCTCCAGGTAAATTACATCCTCCCATATTTTTCATGCCCCCACCCTCGGTGTCGTCACATCGTATTGAGTCATGTTTATCGTACTAGGGCGCGGGTCACCTAGGACCATACCTCGAAAAGACCTATGGAAAAGATGGGTTTGCTATGCTAGTTGACGAAGGCGGTGCGTTGCGTATATCTCTTGCTCTTGACCATGAGGCGGGCCTGACCCATCGGTGTGAGCTAGGCAGCATGATCATTGACCCGGTCGACAGCACAATCCTCGCTGTCCCAGACGTTTCCGAGAAAGGCTATCTAGATGTCGGGAACACTTCCCTCATCTCCCGGCTAATACGCAGGCTTTTCTGACGCATTTATATCAGGTCCGCGTCGAGGTGAACGTCCTGGGTGGCCATTCATCCGTCCCACCCGAACATACCGTACGTCTTTGACCACCGCACCATTCGTTCTATACACCCATCGCTCTCTTGAACCTTGTTCTGCAGGGCATAGGCATCCTTTCCGCCCTCCTCACTGAAGTCGAAGCCAACCCCCACACGCCTCAACTCGGTCGCACCTCCACTCCGCTCCGCAGCACCCTCTGCTTAGCCACCTACTCAAATATATTTCCTCCTGCTATTCGTCGACTTGCCCTCGATGCTGGTTCCGCTCTCGACGATGAAGTGGAAGACGAGGCAAGGCTAGAGAACCTAATGCATGAATTGATCAAGTTGGATAAAGTGTATGGAGCGACTCTAAGGACGTCGCAGGCTATCGATCTTGTGTGGGGTGGTGTGAAGGTGAATGCGCTGCCGGAAAGGGCGACGGGTATCGTGGATCATCGGATTGCGGAGTTCAGGTTCGTTTTACCAACACATCAAGTTTACCCTCACGCTTACTTCAAAGAACGCTGACGGTTGGGCTTTACTTCATATTGGTACCATCGGACAGCTCCGTCAAAGAACTTCAAGACCACATAACATCCGTCCTCGCTCCCGTCGTCGCCTCTTTCAACCTCTCCCTCACCGCCTTCGACGACTCTGTCGGCATTCCAAAGTCAGAAAGCGCCGGTGAAGTTATTCTCTCCGACGCTTGGGGAAACCAGCTCGAGCCTTCGCCAATCACACCAACGGGAGAGAGTGGGCCCTGGAAGTTGTTGGCTGGGACGATCAAAGCTACTGTTGAGGCTACTGGGGGAGGAGATGGTAAGAAGGGAGGAAAGGCGGTGGTGATTCCCGGTTTGACTATAGGAAACACTGGTGCGTAACTAATTCACGATATTCTGTGGGTCATTAAAGCTAAGCTGACGGCTTGATAGATACACGGTTCTACTGGCCTCTGACGAAGCATATCTTCCGGTATTCCCACAAAGGAGATGCGGATTCATTCAATGGAGGGCACACCATCAACGAAGGTTGGCACAATTCTCTTCCTGACTTCTCCATGGTATTATCTGTTTCTAATAGGGATTACTCCCAACAGCTGTTCGCGCCGAGGCGATAATGAACGAGATAAAGTTCTTCACGAAACTGATCTTCAACATGGATGAGACGACATTGTTTGAGTAGTTTTGGGCGTAAGATGGATGAAACCGTGGAAGTTGAGATCTAGCGAATATTTACGGTCTTAAGCCTATGCTCAGATATTTGTATGGATCGTGCTAAGTTCCCACGATAACATCTCCTACCCACTGCCTCTAAAACTGTACGTATGAGTACTCGACGGCCAATTCCACAACCACACCTACGCCGATGGCGAATTCCAATTCTTCCATGTGGCGTAAAATGTGGCGAGCCTACTTCCCGAGTGCCGCGGGACTGGCTGGCGCTTCCGCTATCCCTCTTTGTCCACCATTCCTCGGCCAAAAATTGAATTCTTGTCGTATCTAATCGCCCTTCGAGATGTCGCATTCTTACCACCACTTGACGATGTTACACGAACCTTACTAGTACTTCCCGTTCTTGGTCGTGTGCTCACGTTGAAACGTATATCCGTCCCGTTACTGACAAAGCCCTATAAAGCACCCAGTTCTCGTGCGTCAGGGGCAAAAGCTCCACAGACTAGTGCTCTTCCCACCTATCGTCTTCTGGTTCAACTTCTTGGACGACGTTGACTATCGCCATGGCCTCCATAAAGCTTGACAGTAAGGAAGGTCTTCTGCCTCAGTCGACCGTCCCAACCGTCCAAGCCACCTCGTCATCCTGCACCTCCAAATCGAAGAAATGGGCCCTCATCGCCGGTCTCGTTCTCTGTTCTCTCGTCCTCCTCAGACCCTTCATCGAAGAACCCATCAAATCTGCCGGATCGAGATGCATGGGTATGATGCACGGCGCTCATGTTCATGGCCATCATCACAAACACGGATTGGGTGCGAGCATGAGGCATAAGCTCGGGTTTGGTCAGGAAGAGCCATTGTGTGCACAGGTTGGAGCGTTATACCCGGAGAAGGAGACCGAGCTCTATGAGAAGTTGGGGAAGTGGTACTCGACGGAGGAGTTCAAGCAGAAGGCGATCGAGTATTTGGGAGGGGCTGTCCGAGTTCCGTAAGTACTCGTCCCTGTGTTTGGTGTTCGTTGGCAGATTAATTTTGACCCTCGTGTGGATGTTGTGCTTAGTACTGAGAGCTACGACAAGATGGAACCCGTCGGTGTGGACCCACGATGGGAGGCATTTGGGCCCTTCCATGAATATTTGTCGACTACTTACCCCCTGATGTGAGTACCTCAATCATCCAGCCTAAATTACCGTCTTCTTATCGTCCGATGATAGCCACTCTACCCTGACTCTCACTAAGGTCAACACCTGGGGCCTGGTCTACGTCTGGAAGGGATCTAACGAGAGCCTGAAGCCTTTGCTTCTCGCTGCTCACCAAGGTTGGTTGCTTGCACTATCTCTTTCCTTGATTTACTCATTGAAATTGCGTGGCGTGTTTGTAGATGTCGTTCCCGTTGAACCGACCACCGTCGATACTTGGGAGCACCCGCCCTACTCTGGGTTCTTCGATGGTAAGTAGCATCGACGCTTCCGCATCTTCAGTAAATCAACAACTTCTCGTGAATTGTATAGGCGAACGTATCTGGGGCCGAGGCTCTTCGGACGACAAGTCTGGTCTTATCGGCATCATGTAGGTTTTTCTTCTATCTTCTATAAAATGTATATACCCGTTGCTTTGCATGATTCCATATTGACTTATATGTTTGTAGGTCCACCGTTGAGACTCTCATCACCAACGGCTTCAAGCCCACCCGTACTATCTTCCTTGCTTTCGGCTTCGACGAAGAGACTAGCGGACTTCACGGTGCCAACGAGATTGGAAAGTACCTCCTTTCTACCTACGGAGAGAATCACTTTGGAATGATCGTTGATGAGGGAGGTCAGTCAAAAGTCAAATTCGTCTCTTGCCTTTGAAAAGCGTAATGCTGATCCCAACTCCCCGAACTTGGCGCGCTCCAGGAGGATTCGCGAGAGACCAGGGAACCGTCTTCGCTACTCCAGGTATCGCCGAGAAGGGTAAGTAGATTCCTCTTGTTTCTATTGACTAAGGTTGACTAATGTCGCTCCCTTGCCAGGATACCTCGACACGGTAGCTATCACCACTCCTGGTAGAGTAAAACTCAGCATACTGACTTTTGTAGAGGATCCACGTCGCCAGTCCCGGTGGGCACTCCAGTGTCCCACCTCCCCACACTGTGCGTACTTGTCCGTCGCAGTTCATCTAACCACCAAGCATCTAACGAATATCGTAAACTCACTCATTTCAGTCCATCGGCATGCTCGCCCAAATGCTCGTAGACATTGAAGCCAACCCCCCGGAACCCCACATCGAACGTGACACCCCCATGTACTCCTACATCCAATGTCTAGCGGAACACGGTACATCCGTCCCTCGCGCTCTGCGCAAGGCCATCAAAACATCCGTCTACAGCGACAAAGCGCTGAAGAAGGTCGAGGATGAGTTGCTGACCACGAAACAATTCAGGGCGTTGGTGGGGACTACGCAGGCTGAGGATCTGATCAGTGGAGGTGTGAAGACGAATGCGTTACCGGAGCAGGCTTGGGCTGTTGTCAACCATCGCATCGCGACTCAGTCGTATGTTTTTCCGCCTTGTTCTCTCCTCTGCTGGTTGCGTCTTCAAATACTGATTCTCCATTGCCTGACTACACAGCTCCCTCGCTGAGGCAATGAAATCCGACACCGACCGCATCATCCCTCTGGCCGCCCGCTTCAACCTCTCACTCACCGCTTTCGGAGAGGTCATTACCCCTGCCGACACCCCTGCCTACGGCACCGTCACCCTCTCCGACGCATGGGGCAACCAGCTCGCGCCGGCGCCAGTGACGCCCACGGGAGCTGACGCTGTACCGTACAAGGTATTGAGTGGGACGATCAAGGCTACGTTCAATTCGCATCGGGCGGCCGGGTTTGGGTTGACGGACGGGCAGGAGATCGAGAATGAGACTATTGTGGTCAGCCCGGGGATCATGACTGGTAACACTGGTACGTTCTTTGCTTTACCTGGCTGGGAAGTGATAGGGCGAGTGGTGGACTGAAGGATATTGGTTGGGACAGATACGCGTTATTACTGGAAGTTGACGCCTCATATCTTCCGGTACAACCATCGCAATTCTGCCGATGAGGGCAAGACTTTCGGTGGCGCTCATACCACTAACGAATGTACGTTGTTTCTCCCTATCCCTCTCCCTGCTCCATAATTTTCGAGTACGATGAATTTTACTGACCTTGTTCGAACTGTCGTTGTTTAGCTATTCACGTCGACGCCTTCCTCGAGATCATCCGATACTTCACTGGTTTGATCCTCAACGTCGACGAGGCGGAGGGTATCTAGATCCCTGTTAATTTCTCCAAAGTGTCACGCACGCCTCTATACATACCGTTTTTGCGCGAGATCTCAAGTAAATTCCTGAATCGAAGGATCATAGACACTGTACAGAACGCAGCACACGATTGTAGATATGTATAATGTGAGCGGACAAGCAAACAAAGGAGGAAGAACGTGAACAGCTGAAGCACAAGATGGGGCAGACTCAGAGCGAGGCTGGTGAGCAAGCGAGTGATACAATTACAATATGTACAACCAGATCAAGACAAGGAGATCCGGGCGAGTGCGTATGACAAGTACAAGTACAGAGTGCGTCTAGGTATACATGTGGTGACTGAGTATGGTGAGTATGTAAGTATACCGTGTCGTGTGTGGAGGTATCGTAAAACAGCAAGAGAACAACAACAACAAGGGAGAAAGCGAAGAACATGAGACAATATGGAATAGTGAAACAGAATCCAGACCTTCAACCAGCGAAAGCTAGAGTACGGAAAACAACAAGGTCCCTCCCCCGGGTCCCTTCATTGTCCTACTTTTACAGACGACCATACATCGCACTCATCTCACTCCCTCCGCCCCCGGCCCACCACAAAAACACCTGCCCACCACCCTCCCGAACCTCCTCCAAGCCCCGATCGGCTCCCTCGCCCTCTCCCTCGGCGCGTTCTCCTCCAACTCCACACATATCAACAACGGATCCTCCGGTGTACTCCCATGAGATTTCTCCAATATCGGGCCACCGCCGTTGATCATTTTGGCGCCACCGCGCGACTGGGTTCTGCTGAGTACGGCATTTCCATTGCCGTTATAATGCCCGATGAGGCTGCCATTGTATTGGCCACCTCCGAGGCCGCCGTTAAGGGTGGAGTCGCTGAGAAGATTATGACCGAGCGCTGATTGTGCGCGAGATTTGGGCGCGCCACCGAACGATTCGTATGCTGCGACGAGCCGCAGGTGGTCAGAGTCGCCGTTGACGGAGACGTAGAGTTTGACCCGGGATTTGTGGATGGATTCGCGGTAGCAGAGGTAGTCGATGTAGTTCCCTGCGCGCCGGGGAGGTTGGACGTGGTCGTGGTGGAAATAGCTGTGTTTACATGATGTGAGAACAGGGGAAAAAAAGGGAATCAGATGAGTGAAAAGTAGGTGAGAATGGGTATTGTTATACCAGGATGGAAAGGTGTGCGATGACAATGAACGAGATTGGAAAGAGGAAGAGGGATGAGGTACGAATATAGGGAAAGATGGAGGATTGAGATTGGGGAGGTACATATACAGTAAAATGAATTCGAGAATGATGTCTGCGAGAACGAGATTGAGTCGTTCTAGAATTGTGTGGGAATATTTGAAGGTAAACAAGGACATAGAAGTTGGGAGTTTGGGAGGAGGCGTAGAGATGAAGAGCATATGTGACGTGATTGGAGGGACGTACGCTAATGAGGGGTCATCTGCATGGATTCTCCATTTCGAAGGGTATGCGCCACTCGAATGTGCTATTTCAAGAGTGAATTGACAGATAGAAGAGGGGCGGGTCAGTATAAATCAAGAAAGAAACCGAGCTTTTACAGCTGAAGGAGACACATACTAAATAAACGATAATAAACTGTCACAGAAAATGCCATCAGAATGAAGGGCCTTCGCGCATAGACGAAAGAGGAAAATGACGCACCTTTTCGCAACTTATCCACATTTGGGCCCCTATTCGCAAACGACACCTCCGTCAACGCGTCCCCGATACTCATGGCCCTCATCCCACCTAAGCCCATGTTCAAGTTTGCCATCGACGCGCTCGACATCCTCACGTCCATCATCTCACCTATCATACCGCCAGTTTTAGCGGTCAGTGGCTCCTCGCTCACAAATGTAGGCGGATTCTCATGCGTCCCATGGCTAAGTCCTTCCGCCCAATAACCGATCGACTCTGCCCGGGGCGACAGCGGATTGCTATTTCCGTTCCCCATCAATCCAGTCCCGTTCATGGCCATTCCATTTCCAGTCGTATTGGTCATGCTCACGATGTGGTCATAGTTGCTGTTTGGACTGGGGGTATGGTAGGCCATAGATCGGTGGTGAGAGAGCTGTGAGGCGCCGGGTGGAGGCGGTGGTGGTACTGCTGCAGGCGCGTCAGAGTCGCCGCGTTGGGTGAGTGAGGCGACGTCTGGTGTTGCTGCGTTGGCGATACGGAGAGCAGGATATGAGAGACGATGGTAGTCGACATGGTCTTGGATTTGGTCCTCGTCTTTATCGCTGTCATCATTGTCGGGGTATTCCAATTGGAATTGTGTTTGCAAGTTCGGGAGAGGGGGGATTTGCGGAGTGACGACAGCAGGAGAAGACATTGCGTGTGGATTGGAAGTACTGGGCAAGTGTGAGTTGCTATGAGTGCGTCTATGGACCCACGAAACAGTGCCCGGCACTGGTAATGGTCGATCGGCCAGCGAAACGCGTGATGCTCTTCGATGATCGTGGTGCTGGTATTGTTGGTCTCCAGCGCCAGTAGGAAAAGGAAAAGGAGAATGTATATATGGGTGATTTTGTGCTCGAGCACTGGGCGAGTCGAGGTAGGGGTAGGACGTGCGTTGTCCGTGACCGTGCGCGGAGTGGGACGTCGCGACTGGGAAGTCGTGGGTGTCGCCCATGATATTCGTCTGAGAGCGGCTCTTCCGAGTCCTTTGCATAGCGTCAGTGGCTGCGGTTCTGTGGGGTAAAAGAAGGCGCTCTGGGTATATTCATGAGCTTACCAACTTAAGAGCGCGGTTATAAGTGCGCAGATGTGAAGATACTGAACGCTGGCCTCCGAGGCTGTGAATAGTGAGAAGTAATATACGGACAGAAGTCCAGCAAGCCGAGCAAGCCGGTGTGAGCTGCCAGCGAACGAGTTGAAGATGACGGCTGGGAGAAAGGCTCAGATATATACTGCGTGGGGGAGAGATAAGTGGACGGACATGTTCGTAAAACGCAAGGCGGATCAGCAGCGCGTCATCCCGCGGGCCGTCGAGCGCAATGTGGCCCAAAAAAAGGCGATTAGAAATATTTGAGAAGATGTTCCAGTCAAGTTTATGTGCAATAGGACAGTGACGCTACCGGCGTCGTTACCACAACCTGGTACGCTCAAGCTCAAGGCTCGGCTACAAAAAACGTTTTCGCTTTGCGATTTCACCAACATACGCTGCGTCAAAGGCGGAGAAACACGCTGGCGGCATGTGGGGGATTATCGAAAAATTCCCACGCTTGCGCGAGTTGGGACCCCTATTTGGTGCCACACAGCTCTTTCACTTGAACTTCCATCAACACGCACCTCCAGAATTGCCCGCCTTGTATATCTCAGTACCTTCTCTGTGCGCTACCTACAACTTGAGCATGGCTTCCTCGGTACGAGTGCCAGTCTGGTTCCGAGCAGCACCGTTGGCGTGGATAGACTATACCTAAATACCTTTCTGACTTCAGAACCCTTGCGAGCAGAGTTTGCGATCCCGAATACTCTCAGACCATGTGCAACGTCTCAGTCTCTCACACCACAGTGATGCTCTCGAGGCGGGTTCAATTTCTCCAGATCGTTCTCTGGTGTCTTCGGCCCCGTACTGTGGGCTCAAAATACAGCCGTCACTCTTACCTGAACTCACTAGCGTCGTTTCTTCGTTCTTGTTGGCACAGGCAGCACTTCGCAATCAAGCGTTTGATCACTCATGGCCATCAGAGCAGGAGAACTCTCTTCTACCTGGAGGGCTGACCCGGGAGGACCTCCTACGTTTCGAAACCCTGCCTATTGTCAGTGACACCATCAATTTACCACCATTTTTCGTGTATCGTCCCCCGGTCCTAATCTTGCTGTTAGGGCCCTCCGGAGCTAGAGGACCTACTCGCTGAAGAATTGAACAATACTTTCCGCTCATTATGTGACGTACTCTACGCTCATAGTGAAGATGGCGAAGGTAACATTCAGTTGAACCAGCAACACGTATTCGTGATGTGTTCGCTGAATACGACGCATTCTATGCTTGACTCAAGAAACGGAGCATTCGCCAACGCAGCTCTTGCAAGATATATTAGCCCTACAAGCCGCTTCTTCCGACGCACGAAACAAAGTTGAAGACCAGCGCGAACGCGTGCTGACACTCGTATCCCAGATCAACGAGGTTTGCTATTCTCTCCGAGTCTCCGTGTCTCTTAACCCTGGCTGCTGTGTCTTGAACCATTCTGACATCATGCCATAAGATCCACCCGCGACTCGAATCTCACCTCCTCAAAGCCCTCTCCTCTCCGTCTACTATCACCAACACAGACACCGGCACACCAACAAACATCCCCTCAAAATCCAACGCCCAACTCTCCTCTCGCGTCTCCCTCCTCGCAACATCCATCGACACCACACTCCTCCGTCTCCAGCTCCTTCGAGCTTGTTTCGAGGAGTCATTATATAGTTTCTCTGCTCCGCCCTCCAAGTCCAAGTCTGGTCCGGTACCAAAAGGGACACATACGAGGGGAACAGGACAAAGTCGGACGTTCGCCGAAGCTCTGCAATCTTCCTCACAAAAACTATCGGAGGAAGAATCTCGACTTGCGGCTGAAGAGGAGGAACTAGACCGGAAGTTGGCAGAGTACGAAGCTCTACTGGATATCGTTGACCGCGACCGTGGCGTGGGTAAAGAGAGGAAGAGAACTGTCAGCAACCGTGACGATGGGAGAAGACGAGAGAATAATACGTTTGGGCAGGTGGTCGACGATTGGGCGAGGGTGAAGAAGGAGACGGAGGAGTGTGTGAGGGATTTGAGGAGGTTGGGGTGGGCGGAGGGGTGAAAATACCTTTGAATGTGTCAGGGACTTGAGGAGGTTGGGTTGGGCGAAGGGGTGAGATTACCATTACAAGCGAGGTGCGCCTTCAGTGTTCCCGGAATTCCGGCTGGCTAATCACTACGTTAAATTCCTCAATATGCAGTGTACGATTCAAGACAAGGGTTGTCGTTGTGTAAGGAGATTGGCGCCACAGTGGCGTGAGTTCACTCTTGCCTCGCTTTCCTCGCTTTCTTGACTTGTCCTGAGTGGCGTCTGAATGCTTGGGTCACATATGTCCCAGCCATCTCTTCACTCCATATTGTGATGCGCAGTATACAATAAAAACGATTGCTAGCAGGTCTTGGTAACGAGGGCTGGTAGGTTTTGGTGCAGTGAGCATTCTAATGGCGCCACCGTGGTGCCACATTACCCCCGGGCGTCTCGGTTTCCTCTGCTTCTCTCTTTCTTGTCTTGTGCGAGTGGCTGCTGGTGGCTGCCGTCGTCTTGAAACACCGTAAGTGCCGGTTGACAGTCTGTGTCTGGACAACCGGGGAAATTTCACGCTCACAATCCAGTGCACAAGGGTGCTAGCAGATATTGTTCTCAACTTGGATCGCTAGTACTTGTGTTCACGCTGAGAACAACTCTTTCTGCGCCACTAGTTCCTGTGACAGGCGACATGCTCTTCAATCTTTGTGTCCATGAACGAACAAAAGGACCGTGCGATTGAGTCTGGTCGATTCTCTATAAAGGCCAGGTCTATCTGCGTCGAATTCAGTATCCTTATTCCATCCTTTTTGATCATTCATGCCAATCTATCCAACTGTCAATCAGGTATGTCACTGATACTCTGTGCTGCCATCTCTATTACACATGATGACCTTCTCTCAATGCCAGATCATGAACGACAGCACAACGACAATAGTCCCAATCAAGACTCCTCCGCAACTGACCCCGCACCTGAAAGTCCCAGCCGGTCTCAATAGCGTTGGGTTCAAGGTCGTGGATCACACCGACAATCACAAACGAGAGGAAGATACGACCACGCTGTGCTCTGAATCTCAAGTGTCTTCGACTCCGGGGTTGCTCGGGTAAGCAATTTTATTCCTGGAGCGTGGCTTAGCACGCCTGATAGGATATGCCCTCGGTGTATTCGATTAGTACCTTGAGGCTGGATGTACCACCAGCGGACAGCTCGAAGGCCATCGAGATATGGCGCATTCGCGCGGTGCAGCGATTGGTACTGTCTATCTCCACAAGCGCCGCCCAAAAGGACGAAGTGATGAAGGTCATCAAGAGCGAACAAGAGCAGGCTTTGGAGACGTTGCGGGCGAGCTTTCCGCCCAGTTTCCATGAATACATCAATAATTTGTCCTCAGAAGAAGCGAAGAAGGAGGTGGTCAAGGTTCATCTCGGTGAGCGGAACTTCTGATTCTGTTGAAACTCTGGAGAACATTTACTTGATTGCTCATCTGAATGTCACCGGCGGTCAGTCATGACGGCCCCGGGGACCCCTGATATGATTTCTATTATCGTGCTCATCATGGATGGTGCCCGTCCTGGTGACTTCCAGTATTCACCCGAGGGACGGGCTATAGTCAGAGAATGGTATAAGAGAGAGAGAAGGCCTGTTCCCCGTGATTTGAAGCCGACTCGGAGAAGCATCGGTTCGGTGATACGCGACTATCTAAGCAGGTGTGTTTTGTGTACCATTTTTTTCGATGTTTCCAATGTTGACGAATGCTGATCAGCAGGAAATGAGACACAGAACTCATAGGATTTGAACTGTAGATGACTGTCACGGTTGGTACTCAGGGTATATTTCTCTCGGACACGATCCCGATGACTTGGGGTTTCACGCTGTTCTTTTATGTATACCACGTCTTGGATTTTTACTATTCTTCAGACTCACTTTCTCCTTGTGCAACAAGATCGAACGTCTCTTTTGTCTCCTGGAATCCGTTGCGGTAACCCTCTGCACCTAAGCGTAGGATCATAAAGGCGCCACAGTGGCACCGAGTGACACATTCCGAGTTTATACGATTCCTGTCGATTCGCTTGGGGTGGGTGAAAGTTGTCTGTTGGGGCAGGAAATGATTGTCAGTCATATACGGCATGAATACGACGATCATAATCAATTACTCGGATGAAGAATGTAGACTTGGCGAGCATAGCACTACAGGTCATATTCAAGCTAGTGCACATAAGGATACCTGCCAAAATGGGCGAACAAGGCCTCGCTTTGTGTCCTGATTAGGCAGAACTAGTATCTAGCGACACAATAACTCTTTCTTGTTCTTTTCTCTGTCGGTTTAACTGGTAACTATGTGGACATGTACACAAGGGTCTTTTGTCTATCTAGATTTGGTGAGCCATATATGATGGCACAAGCGAACAAAGGACCGCCACCGATCGCATTATCGTAAAAGCTAGAGCCGAATAAGCGATGTATTTAATCAGCGTCGTACCCTTCTTTCCACCCCTTTCCACTCACCCACCTCAAAACCTCGCCCATAACAGCCTAGCATCATGTGCGTCGCTAAACCCTTCTGCTACTATTAGTACTACTGTCATGGTAACGTCAGCTAAATGAGCCCGGATCTTCACTCATTGCCTCTTCTCCCCTAGGTCCTCAACCATACACCAAAACAGCAGCCCTGGCCGAGACTACTTCATCTTCAAATGCGGAAGGTTCCTCATCGAGACTCTCAAAGTAGACAAGAGTTCAAGCGAAATCGAAGCGATGGTGCATGAATACTGGGATAGCCTTGACGAGACCGAGAAGAGAGATTACGAACGGAAGGCGATATCGATAGCATACACCGTGTCTCCGTACGTGTCCTCGACATACTTCAGATCTAACAACCAAGAGTAAGTGATATTTCGTCCTCACCAGTCGTGCCACAATTCTAATGATTTCTATGTGACGTTCTTCGGGTTCCCTTAGGACTTCGATGAGACGTCCGAGCCATGAGCAAGAAGCCCATACCTCAGCACAAAGCAGTCCGGGCAGGGACCTGTTCCTGAAAGTTGGCGCGAAGGACGTCGGTCAAGGGTCCGCCAAGCCGAACGATTTTCAAGCCGTGCTCTTGAATAGACAGTGGGACAACATGTCTGGCGAAGGGAAACTTTACTGGGAGAAAAAAGCCATAAGTCCAAATCAAGCCGACGAGGAGACCGGATCCCCTTCCTCCGAATCAACCGACTTCAGCTCCGACTTCGAATCTGGGTCCGAGTAGCCGAATTGATGATTCAGATACGCAGTCACGGTGCATATATTCATTGATTCCGAGTATGTCTGAAAATCGAACCAGAGTGATTCAGATCTATCGAAATATAAAACATACAACAGTGCAGTAGTCATTAGTGGAAGGCAGGTCTGCGAGTGACCCAGCGGCGCCACTTGTCATAGCTATTCCTTCGAGATGCTGACTGACTCGCGCACGGGCGAACTGTATGCTGATTACATGCAGCGCACCAGTCCGCCGTATTGTTGATGGCTGCGAACTGAAGATCATCATCGGATGGTAAGTGACGAGACTGCGGGCCCAATAAATACACAAGACTGACCTCGAGGGCGCTTGTAAAAGTACTGAGTGGGACACTGGTGGTATTCGCTCCGAAACGGCCCAAGACGACGGGATGTAAGGCAGGATCCTCAGTGCCATTCTTGAACTTGAAAGTTAAGAAAGGCTCTGAATATCTCCCACTTGCGTCATTGACCTCCAAGACGAGTGCAGAAGCATAGTCGACTGTAAATGTACACAGCACCAAATAATGGGTCACTATGGCTCCACAGGAGTACAATTATGATTACTCACCGATACCGAAGAGGGGCTCATATACGCCGTTATTGTTAAAATCCGCACTTGCAGCGGTCAGGTTGAAGTAGCTTATGAACGGCTTGTAAGAGATGCCATCCAGTGCAAGTTTGAGCGGATCGGAAGCGTTGGCGATACGATTCAATGAAGAGAACATGGAGGGCAAAGTGGTGCGGATTGCGACTGTCACAAATAAATTCGTCTGAGCTGAGTTCCATTGAAGGATAAATATGCGTACCGTTTCCGACACCAGCAGGGGATGCATCGCTGAACACCCCGTTCTCGTGGAAGTTGGCGAACCCATATGCCTGTTCCACGAATGTGGGCTGGAGTGAGGAAGCGAATGTCGCGTTGTGGATGTTTTGAACGTTGACGAAGTCAAAGATCTAAATAATCAAGGTATAACATCAGTTATTCTCGAGCTCATGGTCAGTCGTATTCGATACCACGCACATTGAACTGGATAGAGAAGGTTCGGTCAGAATAATCAGATACAGAGAGTTCTAGACATCTTTGGGAATAGACACGAACCATGTTGGTAAAGTTTGTGGACCGTCCATTCAAGTATGGAGACAGAGCATTCAGGAAAGGCTGTGCACTAGACGCCTCTTGTGCAAATGAAGCCGACGCATAAAAATCAACGGTGTGTTGATCGAAGGTCTACACACAAGATCAGTCCATACTTTTGGAGAATAGTATTAACAACTTACAGGGCAGTTGGTGAAGGAGTTAAGTGAGACATCCTGTGTATTTTCAACAGACTCGACTATGTATGCCCACATCAGCGAAGCAAATTGTATCTGACTATGGGATGGATATACTTACTTGGAATATACTGGGCCCCTCCTTCGGCTCCTATGACCGTCGTTCCATTGGCAAGTGTGATATTGAATTCAGGTGTTGGAGGAAACAAGCCCGAGGTTAATGCACCCATAGACCTCAAGATCGTACTGCCTTCACCCGCAGCGTCTGCCCGAACAAGGAGCTGGTCGAGATTCGCAACCGGAAAACTGATTTTCGCAATGGCAGACGGAGAGGACGCAGAAATATACGTCTCTCGGAGGAAGCTTCCTAGCTGGAACTCTTCAACCTGTTATATGTGGGTAAGTTCTTGAACAAAGCCCTCGACGGGAGAGGGCTCACCGTGCCCAGAGGCGTGAGTTGAGTCTCAGATGGAGTGTATGTGAGCGGATCCTGGAAGAACTCGAGACGGTCGCCATGCCTGGCCAGAATAAGAACACCAAGCAGACCAGCAGACGCGTTTACCATCTGAGAGCTTGATTAGAGGGTGTGCTGCCAGTGGGTCACCGGTGGGGAACAGTGTATCACTCGAGCTGACCTTTATACATCTCAAGGGGGAATGATGGCTGTCACATCTGAGACCCGGCATAGACCAAGATCAGACAATCGTGTACTAGTATTTGCCCGGCGTAATTCCACTCGATCGTGAGGGTACTTTGAAGTAGTAGTGTTACCCATTCCGCTCGTCTGTTGCGTCTGTCGACAAAAGCGGCTCCATTGTATACGAGTTTCGTCGTCGAGCCGAACAACACAGCGCCGTGGCATACGGAAGAATGATGCGCGCGTTTTCAGGTTGTGCCTGGTTGCGCATTATAGCTGCTGAAGGGAGTGTCCTGCTTGAGATTAGTTCTGTACTCGGAAGGGGAACGCGGTTCAAGTTGTTCGTCCGATGGGAATCCTTACCAACCCTTCCTCAGCAGTCACCAGAAAACTCCAAAATGCACATACTTACATCGACCGCCTCGGAAAATTGCAAAGATACGAGCACGTACAAATAAGTCGATCCAAAGGCAAGAGGATGGGTCGAACTGCATTGATTGAGACGGTTGAAGAGTGAATGGTTCAGATTCTGAAGTTCTGAATCGGAGCGATTTCTCCCGGCGCGGCCCGTTCTTATATAAGCGCCGATCGTTGCGCAGTGGACGGTGTCGCAATTCGGCAACTCGTTTTCTTTGTTGATAGTTCCCTTATCTGATCGACGCACCGCATTGGCCCCGCGAGGAACGCAGCCTGGTGTCCTGCCCACCGCCGGCTAAAACGGATCTATCTTTGTCGCAGCTTGGCCGAATGAGTGCAAGATACAATAACATATATCTTTGTCTCGCTAAGCCGTGCCTCCGTCAAGGTGTTGCCTATCTTGGCTGAAAGGAATTGGGCATAGTCGAACATATATAAAGCATGATTCTCTGCTCGAGGTCTCCCAGTATTCATCCTCTCTGGCAGTCTTCACTCAATCTTTATCCAAGCTCGTCCTCGACCGCTGAGTTACGCACATCATGGAGTCACGGTTCGTGATTCGTTCCTATATGCCACGGTACTGGCTCAGTGACATCACCAGGAAACTGACTAGCTGTTTTCCTCTTGTGTTAGGACACCTACACGCTCCAACGCCGACATCAATAGGTATGCGCCTCTTTCTTTCTTGCCTCATGTCGTCGGTCTCCTGTCTACAGCTGATTCAACTACTCTGCATTATCCACCCCAATCAGCTCTGGCCGCGATCTCCACGTCCGACAATGCGCCTCGGCTCTCACCCCCCACAAAGACGTTTCTGATAGATTGACTTCAAACGATGCTGAGACCATGGGTTTCCCCAAGTGGGAGGACCTGGATCAAGAAGCGAAGGAGTACTTTGAACAGGCGTCACTGGCTTCTTTGAAATCGAAACAGGTGGTCCCTCAGACTCCAACTACACAAGGACGTGTCCAACCAGTCCCCTCCACTTCCTCAACGACAACATTTGAAGCGTCTCTCAGCGATCAAGGGATCAGTCCGTGGCGTGCTTTCTTGGAAGAGCGACTTCCCGTTCTCAGGCAATACTTTCTACAACTGTCACAGCCTATTCCGGACACGCAAGGACTGATAGTAGTCCTCGAGCAGGAATGGGAGAGTATGGACGCGAAACAGAAGGCGCCATATGAATTGAGGGCTAAAGGTTGGCAATATGTGCGTGGTCCTTCTTTGCCTCGACTCAGATCCTATATGAGATGGGCCTATTGAAGCTGACGGTTTTTAATTGTCGAAAATATAGGCAGGGTCAAGAAGGCATCCTCAAGAACCAGTGGAGGGGTGGGCGCGCTCTCCAGAGGGGAACTGATCGCCTTTAGTATAATGCCAATCGGCATTGTAGTATGCGCAGTCCATATTCCGACAATTCACGTTCCCTTCCCTCGGCAATCCCAGTCTCATCATCAATCTCAACCCATGTTCTTACAGTATAGCAAGACGTTCATCCTTTTCTAATCCATATTTCTCTCAATAAATCAAACACCTTGGCCGTAGCCCTTTATCCCGCCAGCCAGCTGTGATCTAAGAGATCGAAGGTGCGATCGTCTGCATCACTGCCAATGTGGCAGGTAGTGCCACTGACAACCTGCCGTACGTGGTATATGCTTGGCCCAGAACCACCGAATCATTCGGGGAGTCATCTCGTCTTTACTGGGGCGTGAGTCTAAGACTCTGGATTATATCAGGATGAGAGTTGGACGCTGTAAATGATGAGCACGAAGGGCGATTAGAAATGTCCGGCTCATGAGCTAAGCAATATCTATTATGGTTACAGCTTGAGAGACCCCATTGTCAATTGCACTAGGGAAGCTCCACATGCTGTGGCACTGACCTTGCTTGAGAGACCTCTTCTGACAATGGCATATCTACCAATGCTCAATATTTCTGTGCACTTTATTTGCAGTAGCAACTTTGTTAGCGATACTGCAGAGTACTATTCAGTACCGGAAATTACTTCTGGATGGTCACGCAAGAGTCGCGCCACAGATGGTTCTTCTTGGCTCGCAAACTCGTATTCAACTCGTATTAGAGGCAGCCTTTAAATCTGCACAATACATCCACGTTCCGATGGCCACTGATGTCGGGTTTCTTGCTTGGCTGACCGCAGCAGCGCCTCGAAGCGTACGTAGGCCTCAGGAGAAGCATCGGCTTGATTCATTGTGGCGTCGATCTGTGGCGATTGTTTGTCACCTGCTATACGTTTGTACTTCCGTTAGTGCATCCTGGCGTCACCACCTTTGTTTCCCTTTTTTTTTCAATTTTTCCGTTCTATTTCATGATGTGTCCGACCTTAATTGCGCTCCTTGTTTGTTTCGATCTCGCAGCCACACGCTCCTTACTTATGCATTTTCGCACTCAAGTCTTTCCTGTACCGTTCCGACTCTTTTTGTTTCGTTGTCAATAAAAAATAGCTGCTTGGTCCTATTGCATTGTGTGATATTTGTGGCTATCGTGCTATCTTGTAAGTGCTGCACGGGCACGCGTGGCGGGCGTTGCCACCTGTGGCCTTTCCCGTGCTTATGTGAGAAAAGCTTACGCAAACTGTTTGGCTTTGTGTGCGAAAAAGTCGCTCAGCCACAATTACCGGGTTGGGAGAGACCTTGCAAGCAAGGTAATACGACGCGCATCCATACACGAGAGCGACACGACTCCGTCGAAAATGCGATACTGTCCATCGGGACCCATTCTGGTTGCATTCTAAGCACTACCATGGGTTTTTCACAATAGCTGAGTCAGTCTACAGCATCGAAATAGCCGCTGAGCTTCTTCGTCTTACAAAGCCATAATGGATGGTAGATCTAGTGCCTTGGTGTTGGGTTGAACGACGAGTCGGCTATCTCGCGAAACGAAGTGTCAGCTATGTGGGTCTGAGTATATAAACTACTATACAACGACACTGCACAGCCCGCATAACAGAACACCTCCTCTTCGAATTCCTATGCTAGCGAACACCATGTCGAAGCTATTCCAGCCTATACAGCTGGGGAATATGAAGCTGCAGCATCGCATCGTATTGGCTCCACTCACTCGCTTCAGAAATACGGCCCAGGGCGTACCTCTCGATATCTCGACCGAATACTATACGCAACGAGCTTCAACTCCAGGCACGTTCCTAATCTCCGAAGGTACGTGTTCTTGTATCACTGCGTTGCGGAACCTCGCGTGATGACTTGGCTGACTGTATGCTTCAGGAACTTGGATCGCACCAAGAGCGGGTGGTTGGGAACACGTCCCTGGAATAACGACGAACGAGCAAATCAATGCATGGAAAAAGGTCGATCTATATCACCCAAAATTCGCAGCCATAGTAAACGCGCATCACTTACCGTCTCTCTCAACCCTGCAGATAGTTGATTCCGTCCACGCAAAAGGCAGTTTCATCTACCTTCAGCTTGGAACTGCAGGAGCCTACGCTTTCCCAGATATCATTACAGCCCAAGGCTTCCCATTCGTAAGCTCTGGGTCGATCCCGCTACCGAACCGTGAAGGCCCTTCTCCACGCCCACTCACGATCCCGGAGATTCAAGAGTATTTCGAACTTTACGCCACGGCCGCAAGGACCGCGGTCGAAGTCGCTGGATTCGATGGTGTGGAGATACATGGAGCTGTCGGATTGATCGACCAATTCTTGAAAAGCGATATGAATAACAGGACGGACGAGTATGGTGGCGACGTCGAGGGTCGGTGCAAGTTTGCGTTGGAGGTCGTCGACGCGATAGCCAAAACTGTCGGTCCAAGAAAGGTCGGATTGAGGATCGCTCCTTGGATGAGCCACTATGGTCGGTCCATTAGTTTAGTGAAGCTGAAACGTACTGACATCATTCATGACTCCATGTTTGAACCAGGCATTCCATCTTCTGACGTTGTCTCGACCTTCGAACATCTCGTCACTTCTGTGAAGGAGAAATACCCGGACCTTGCTTACCTTCACGTTATCGAGCCCAGAGTCCAACCCTCCGCTGGAGAGATTGTGATTAAGCCAACCATAGAGAGCAACGACTTCGTTAGAGACATCTGGGGAGCGGAATCGTACATTGCCGCTGGCGGATTTAACCGTGAAGAGGCTATCGAGACTGCCGACAAGAAGGGAGGACTCGTCGCCTTAGGTCGCTTTTTCATTGCCAACGTAAGTTTTTATACAAATTATATAGGGTCATGAAACTGACCTGAGGCAATCAAAGCCCGATCTCCCTCGTAGGTTCCGGGAAAATCTTCCATTGAACAAATACGACCGTTCGACCTTCTACGTTCCCGGCGAAAGTCCAGCGGGCTACATTGATTACCCATTTTATGAGCAGAACGAAGGGATTTCCGCCTGAGTGGGTTTATCTGAACGAGCATTTCCCAGAGTGTAATATGACTATATAGACCTATGCTGCCCTCAAACTGCCAGTGGTCGATTGAAAAGGAATAGCCGTGAAGGTTTGAGGACCGTCGTACGAGTAAAGGTACTCAATTTATAGTGAAAAACATGTCGAGCGGCCCCATCTCTTTGTTTCCAGATGGTGTTCCACATTCCTTGCTGATACGGAGAAACGAAGACAACGACCACAAGGACAAGAGGCCCGGCGTTGGCTTGGTGAGAGGTGTGTATGAAAACGCTAGCCTAGCTGGTGGAGGGAGAGCCTAAGTATGACACAGGAGCCCTGATCGGAGATCGAGCTGCAGACCCAGATTCCACCGAGCGCATAGTGACTTAGGACGTTCCAGTCGTTGTGATGCGAAGCATTCGTGTCCAAACGTTCGTCTCAACAAGCATTCTTACGCTGGTTCATAAGGGCTTCCGGCCTCTTCCGGCGCCTTCCGCAAGTCGCCGTGGCCACGGGCCACTGGGCACTTTCGCCCAAGCCCCCATAACTTACAAACCACGTACATACTCCCCTCGCCGATAACTCAAGGATATTTGAGGAGCAGAGTCGTACGTAGCCGCCGGAGTGTCTTACGGTGAAAGTGTCATCGCAATATGTGAAAGGTAAGTGCAGTAATACTGTGATACGTGCAAAAGGGAACACCGTCGTGACGTATGAGATTAGGAGAAGCCTGACGACGTACGAATGCTGTCCAAGAGGATGTCCTTATAATCGCCTCCTGCCTCCCATATTCCAAAGCCACGCAGGCCCATGACCTTGATGAACTCTCCCTTTTCACTGAAGGATGACGCGTCGTCGAAGGCGATGTAATCCTGCGTAGTCTCATTATAGACTCGAGGCTGTCATGACAGTGTGACGAAATATTAGAAGCTCTCCAGTTCGTGAGGGAAAGGATCCAACTCACAGTTCGATCGCATTGATCATACGCATACGCAATACCATCTGCGACAACACCTTCCTCTGTCAACCACCCGCCTTTAATCAAACCCCAAAAGTCCATGTCTCCGCCAGGGCCTTGCGGGTTTCCACACACATCATTGCCACTGGCATTGTCCCAGCTATCTCCCACCGGTTGAATACTTGCGTTGAATGCTGGGTATGTCTCGAGCAGGTTGGTGCCGTTGCCGAATGCGGACGAAGTATCCACACTGAATGAATGCCCGTACGACGCCACGCCCAAGACGATCTGGTTCACCGGCATCCCAGCCTCGTTCCACGCCTGGACGGCTGTTATGGCCGATCCCAGCTGGCGATCCTTGCTCTCACATAAATCATAGAGAGGAGTGTTTGGTCCCGCTGTCGCACTCCAAGGCTATGAAGTATATTCCAGAGGTTAGAGCCAGTCGAAACAAGACGAGTATGTGTAAACTGACCCCCCAAATATCATAGTTCATGATGGTGATAAAGTCAAAGACCTGGGAGAAGCCTGATACATCGCTGGAAGCGGCACCAGTCGCGTCTACCCATGGATTGATACTCGTTGGAGCAGTAATAACGAGATTTTTGCCGATTGAGTCCTCGCGGAGTTCTTGAAGGAAGAGAAGGAAGTTGGCGGTGTCGTTGACGCTAATGGCGTTGCAACCGATGCCTTGGGTTCCTGGATACTCCCAGCTAACATCATCCCATACTTAAATGAGCTCTCGAGACAGAGGGTAGTTTTTCTTCGAGCGAAGACGGGACTTACTCGAAGTCCAGCCCGTCAAGGCCATAGCTCTGGGCGAGACTGACCACGCTCTTGACGAAGGCCGTGCGGTTGGCAGCACTTCCTACATTTGTCGAAAAATGTAAGGATCCTGTCCAACCTCCTACGGAGATCATTGCCGTGACGTTCTGTGCAATAAAAGTATCATTCAGTCTAGACTGCCAACCCGGACACAAGGAAGAAGTCACAGATTTGAGAGCGTACGTTCTCGTGTGCCGCCTGCACAAAGGGTAACAACATGTCCGGGTCGGAACCATTGAGATTTGGTGTCTGAGAAGGATCGGGTACCGTCTCCCTGTCGACAGTGAAAACAAAATGATACAAATTAGCCAAAAGTCCGGACTATTCATTGATTTCGAGTAGAGTCAGACTCACGCAAACGCGTATATCATGTGTGTATACTTCTTCCAGCTCACATCCGTGAGAGGGAAGTCTCCGTTGTGCCATCCCGCGTAATAGGCAGCTGCAACCGATGGGGTGGAACGTCGGCCCAGGTCTGTGGGAGAGGCCAACGCGGATGCCACGTATAAAAACAATAGTTTGACTGCAGTGGGAAACATCGGTGATAGGGGTGGAGAATCCTCTGAAAGGAAACGGTCAGGAGAAAAGGTGAATTTATTCGTTGGAGCTGGGAAGGAACGTCAAATATTGTACGGTCGCGTCAGAAGCTAGGAAGTGCAAGTCTAGCACAGGAGAAACTCAAGACGATAACTGTATCACGATGACCAGTTCTTATACCACTGTGCCACATGCTGTGGGGTGGTGGGAAAATACCAGCCTCAAGCTTCAGAAGCACTGGAGGTCAGGAGCAAACCAGCTGGACCCAGCCATATCGCAGAACAACTGTCGCGTGATCTCGGCGAGGGTACCTCCGCACACATGAAGCGCGGGGAATTGGTGTATGAGCGAAGCTGCCGATATTACATGCAAAAAATATACAAATTCAATCTGTATTTCATTGGGCTAATCGTCAATAAGTTGCAAGAAACAGATTCACAATGACTCATCTCCGGAGAAAATACCCTCAGAACCCCGCCTCGTCTTGCTCCTATGTTTCCAAATGAAGCAACGGTCTTACTCCGCTGCTTCTCGCGTCACGTCGATACCGAACTCGGCCATCATCTGCCGCCGCAATCCCTCCACCCCGTAATGCGGAATGCTCTTCGCAGAATGCATCAAAGACTTGTACATCGCCCTGACACATCTCTCGTCTCCAGTAGAGAATGCCTGCTCACGCAGGAGGCAGAACTGCCTGGACATCAACGCATCGGGACATTGCATGCCATGATCAGGGTATGGAGAAGGTAGCATGAAGAAATAATCCGGCCTTGAGGTTGTCTTCTTGAGCATTGCGATGTGATGCACGAGGGCAGGCGATCTTCGATAGCCTGGGGCGGGAGGGCCTATGACGCTTGGTGTGGTGGAAGCAGATGAGGAGGAAGGCATGGGTGAAGCGGTCGTCTCGGTCGCTGTGGCCAACAGCTCGTCTAACGATTTGCCGCATGTTGACTTGTGCGGAGGAGTCCCGTACTTCCAGTCGTTCACCTGGCACTCCCTACGAAGAAAACCACAAGGTCTGTGATGAGCATGCTGCGGTGCATATGCACGACAGATAAAGATAACTTGGGAAGAGAAATTACATACCTCGAGCAGTAGAATACCAGGGAGCACTTTTTACAGACCTTCAGCACACCATCTATCTGGGCTTCGACTTTTTCACAGTTATGGCAGTTTCGCTGACCCAGCTTCATATCACGTCTCGTTTCCTTTTCGAGGGTACGGAGCTTCTCTTGACTAAGGGTCGAAGGCCTTTGGATCTCCTGTGCATTTCCCCGCTTTATCTTGGTCGGAATAACGTCTTCGGAGAGCCCGTAGAATGACAGGAAGATATTCCAAACGACAAGTGTGATCAGAAAGGTGCGGATGACGACAAAGCTAGACGCAAGGGTCAGGCCTGAGACTTCATCACAGAGGCGAGACTGTATACGGACATTTTCTGGCCATACACGGTAGCATCCTTCGGAATATTACTGGAGGTGTCGAAAGGTTGCTTCAATTTGAGATAGTCGTCGATCAACGGGTGTGGAATCATGGCGAATCGATCCAGACGGTCCCTGGAAGTAAAAATGAGATCGAGGTATATAATCAACGACTGAGGCGGAGAAGTCGGGAGACATACTGTTCTAGGAACGCTTCAGGCATCAAAAGCCGAAGGAGCTTCAGATAACCCTCCCCGTTATCAGTCTCGATGTTGCGTAATGTCATCTCCGGTGCGAATCTATCCCACAAAAAGGATGGGGCATAACCTCAATTTGTCAGTCTAGAAAGCGATGGAAGAAAGGAGGCGGCTAGGCTACTCACACTCGGGTTTCCTCCACACCAGGATACTTCTGCATCCTCCTCATACCCTCAAAATAATGTTCCTTTCGCACTTCCGCCCCACACCTGCGCCATTCCTCTTCAAAGTTCTCCGTAGCACACTTCGCACTCGCGTGCTTCGCCAAATCGCTTTGCAGAGCACAGAGTTGTCGATGCCAATCGCTGATATTCTGGATGGCGCTCGGATCCATGAACTTGTCTATAGCCTCAAATCCTGTTATATTGGCTCGGGAGGGAGAGAAGTAGACATCGAGCCCTGCCTGCCACGAACGCTCCCAGCCTTCAGGATCAGATATGAGTAAGCGTGGATTAGGATCCATGGGTGCACCTCAGGCAAGGTTGATGTCAACACGCAGGAAGAGATTGGGGCAGACCAGTATTTAGGGCACTCCGAAAGGTATTCCTGTGGCGTGCGAGTGCCTGTAAGCTCAGACAGAAGGCAGGTGCTGGAATTGGATCGGATCTAACTCACTGTCATAGGCAGCGCCTCTACCTTCATTTGTACCGCAAATAACACACTAACTTGCGCCCATGAATGAATAGCGCCTAGAACAAATCCCTGAATGGGTAACAAAAATCACAGATGTGGCCGCTCATACCTTTTCTTGATTGCAGATCTATGAGAAGATTCCGACATCTTCAAACAAGTTCAGATTTGAAAGTGCAGAGAAATTCCCCAAATCAAAATTTGACCACGTTCGATGTTCTTTTCATAACTTTGAACGAGGCTTAGTTTGCTGTGAAACCGGAATCAGCGGGAAACATAGCGTAAGAAGTGATATGGAGTAGTCGCGAGCTACCCACCTTCGAATCGTGATAGCACGCAAACCTCGATTCATAAACGCAGCGGCTGTATCTCAGAAATGAAACCGTGCGTGGGTAAGAGAAGTTACACATATGGATGAAGCCTATCGCACCTCTTTAGCTTTTCTTCAGCCAGTATTCTATCAGATTCGACATGAGTTCGTCGCATACCGATAGGCTTATCCAGCTTTCATGTGTCGTTGTTCGTATGGAGTGAGGGGAGTCGTCGGTTGAAGCTAAATTGCTGTTAGGGTCATTTTCACTGCCTGGTATATCGCCCGTAAGATAGTAAAGAACATCAATGGAAAACCTAAAGGAGGCGACTGAACAAAACAAAAAACCACGCACGCTCAAGTCATGTAGATATCTGTTAGCGTCAGATGCAGCCTGAACTAAGCAAAGAAGCAGTCCGAATCCCAAAGTTGGCCGTTCAAATCAGCCGCAACGACGCACCCGGTCGGCCAACAGTAGTAAACTTGAGTAGTGATCATTGGTTCGATAAGCAAACATACTTGTACACACAACGAGGCTGTGAAGAAAGCAAAAAAACAAGGACGGAGTCACGCAAATCAACCCTACCTCTAACTCTAGAGCAACTAAACCTTCAGACGGACTGAGCTCCCCAAAGACGGTACATGTCTACGGTCGACATTCAAAGGTCTACGCTCACAGCTTCGCATATTCGCCCGGAGCCGGAGGTGAGCCCGAAGGGTTATACCTCAGAGCCTTCTTATTACCATGCACGTCTCTCATGAGGTTCTGATACCCGCCCACGGTCATCGTGATGTCCAGGTCCTATACATCACCACCACCGCCAGTCAGTTATCAGGATCAGGTAAACCAGAATGGTTCGAACGGTACCACGAGACAAAACTTACAGCAAGCAAAGACTTGATCACATGTCTACACCCCGTCTCTCCTTCATGCGACATACCCCAGACATAGAGCCTTCCGACCTGTACCGCGTCCGCGCCGAGTGCGATAGCTTTGAAAACATCAGAGCCGGTGCGTATACCCGAGTCGAAGATGATTTTCATCTCTGTTGAAGCAAATAAATACCTTAGTCAGCACGTCGTTATACATAGAGGGGGAAGACGAGGGAAAGGAGGAGAAAAACGCACTCCCACCAACGGCCTCCACGATCTCCGGCAATACCTCCAAACTGCCGACAGCCCCATCCACCTGTCTCCCAGCATGGTTCGAAACGACGATGCCCTCGCAGCCGTACTCGAGGGCTTTGAGCGCGTCTTCGGCGCATTGGATGCCTTTGATGACGAAGGGTCGGCCGTTCGAGATGCGCTTCCACTACACCGGCCGTAAGTACGAGATTGGCAGTATGTTGAATGGGAGGAGAGGGGAGGGGAGTAGCTAGTGGAATGAAACGCACCTCTTTGATGAGCCACGGCATCTTCGCCCACGTATGCGCCTTTCCGTGCCAGACAGATGAATCAATCCATTTGCCGGAATCTTTCTTCAATTCGTCACCATATTTCTTCATGAACGCAGGATCGCTGGCACCGATTTCGTTACCGACCTATGAGCCATACCTATCAGCTCTGTCTTCGACAAAATTCAAGCGAGAAGATATGCGTACAGCACCGGGATAATAGAAACTATACGCAACGGATATTATTTTCTTTGTGAGTGAGGACCGGGACGTTAGAGAAAGGGAGGAACGGGACTAACACATAGTTCGCAATAGTGATATCCGTAGGTCTCCAGCCAAGCTGCCAAGTATCCACCGTCAACATACAAACATCGAACCCGCTCTTCCACGCCCTCTCGAGCAGGCTGATCGTCTACACCCCAGACCACAGCAAAAATTAAATTAACAAGTCAGCGACTAAGAATAGTCCAAATCGAAGGGGGAAGAACTGACGATCTCGTCGTCGTGCCCCATGTAAAGCTGGAAGAACCTCGGTCCCTTCGCGGCCCCTCCATTCGGTCCAGTATAACGATGGACAGCGTTGCTCTCGTTCTGGATAGAGGCACCTGCGTCATTTGCGGCCGCGACGGCCTCGATGGGCTGAGAGCCGGCGGTGGAGAGGCAGTACTGCACAATAAATTCACACCAGTAATATGAGCATTCGTGTAGCTGGGCGAGTGAAGGGAAAACGTACGGGGAGACCAAGTTCGCCAGCGATCTTCGCGGGTACGAGTTCGCCTTGGGGGCTGTAAAGCTTGTTGATGCCGATAGGGGCAAAGAGGATAGGTGCCGGGATACGGTGTCCGAAAAGTTCAGCTAATGAGCCCGTGAGCATCATAGATTTCTTGAGGTTGAAGGAATGGGGATGGTATACTGTCACGTACTGGTCAAGTCTCGGGTGTTCGTGTCGACGAGCATACGAGGGATGATGCGCCACCTGTAGAACGCTTCCCTACAAGTAGGCGCGTGTGATTAGACGGGACCCATCAAAGTGTCAATTGAAAGCCTGCCCCAGAAGAGTAAGTGAGACGCGCGAGTTGCACATACCTGTTCGCCTTGTCCGTCCACCCGATTCCGGCATTCGAGTTCGCATAGAAGTACGCGCGGTTATTCAACGTCTTCTTCGTAGACTCGACGAGCTCGTCCGTGTGTGTCGAGAAGTTCGGGACTATAGTACACGTGCGCCACACATCAAAGTCAACGGTAGTAAGCAGATGAGTATCCGTGCCACGGATTGGAATAGGGGCAAAATGGGGATAACGACTCTGAACATGACTTACGTTGTCCTTTCTCACCACCAGCTCGGAACATCTCTCGCTGATACAACGAGTAGTGAGGCGAAGATCCTTGGGGCTTGTTAGTCGGATCCATTCTACAGCTAGCTGTCTAATGTTCTGGCGGTATGTAGTACTCTGGATTCAAGTGAAGTGAGGAGACTTGGATGTACAAGTCGAGGATGACCATCCAAAGCACTCGAAACAAGCTGTATATAAACCTTCCACTCGTCGGAGACGGACAACGATTATCCTTCCGTCACCAGCAGCCACCGTGCGTCATCGCTGCCTCCCTCCACTTCGGACGTCCGCGAGATTCCTGTGGGGCGTGATACTTACAGCTTACCAGTTGACGGTACACCGTCTTCAACGTAAAGCGTAGAATAAAATACTATAAGGAGCTTGGGTCTATGTTTCATTGGAAGCGGTACCAGGACTTTCGCTGGATCCGAATGGTATGTGGGCTCTTCATTCGGTGATTGGTCTGCATGCGAACATAGAAGATAGAGAGACGGGAGACCGCAGGACAACGGAGAAGACGGAGAGGAGGATGTGAGTCAAGAGTAGGGTATTTTCTGTAGGCTCTCCGTCGATGTCGGCTCCCCGTGCGCATTATTGTTATTAGAGGTTGAAGGTGGTAGCGGTAAGTAGAAGAGCTCATCGTGATTGGTTGAACGCGTCGCGTGGGCGCGTCCTTGTTCTTACGGCTTAACCGGACCGTCCTTGCGGAGTCTTGTTAAACAACACGATAATTCCTTTCCACCATTCGCCGATTGTTTGCAAAGTAGAAGAACTCGAAAAAATGACCCAGACATCAGGCCTCTTGCTTAGAGCGGTAGCGGGTCCATGTTACCGCACGGCCCAGGTAGTCTCCTAAAGCAGAGTAGCCAATCCTTCAACCGGCTGGCGCAAGGATCGATCATAGGCCCAGGGCCCTCGACGCACCCATCCACATTTCCCTACAACCAACCATACCAAAAAAATCACACAAAAAACCCAACTTATAAAATCGCATGACAATGATAACCCAGCAAGCAAGTGGCAAGTGGCAGGTAAGTGGCAAGCAAACAGATATCGTACTCAGTAGCGTTACCACAAGATGTAACCAAGCAACCGTATAAGCGACTTGAACCAACCAACCAAAACACAAAAAAAATTCAAACCAGCGCTATGCACCAGCTCAAGAATGAAAACAAAAAGCCGACGGGGTATAAACGGTACGTATCATGATAGGAGGAGGAGGAGGAGGGTTCATTCAATGAAGGGGTATGTCGGTGTCGGTGTCGGTGTCGGGGTCGGGGAAACGATGACATAGAAGTATGAAGTGGAAGTGGAAGAGCTACAGGGGTGGGTTAAAACGCAAAAATATTGAACCAAGGAAATAGAAGCAGAGCATCGTGCACGACGACACGAGGATGAAGGGAGAGGAGAAGTCGAGATCGATGAAAATGACGACGGATTGAGGGAGGAAGGAGGGGAACCAGCACCACGCGACAACCATTTACCGCAAAACCGCGCGATCAAAAGCACGACCGACCTACGAACGAGCAGGGGGAGGAGGTAGTACAAAGTAGACAATTGAACAAGGTGGACAATCTGGACAATCTGGAAGAGTGTTCCAGAGGGAGGAGAAAAAGGGATTACACGATGAACTGACGGTGTGGACTTGCACGGAGTGAAAGGAAGGAGGGAGAGGGAGAGGGAGCGAAGGAGGAAGGCACAGTGGGTGGGCAGTCGGACCAAGACCAAGAAAAAGACAAACAAAGGAGCGAAGGGTAAAGAACGAAAGGACGGGCCCACAACGAACGCGCACTCTATAGAAAAGACAGTAGTTATCTCAGACCGAGACAAGAAGCACAGGGGAGGGAGGGACAGAACACCGGAGATGGAGATGGAAGCACAGGAGACGGGAGAGAAGAATACAGATAGTGGATAAATAAGTCTGGGGATAGTTTACGAGGGCGAGGAGAGTAGATGGGATAGGATGAGACCCGGGATAGGAAGAGAGGGAAGGAAGCATGGGCAGGACAAAATATCGACAATCCGCCTCGTCGACCTGGACGGCGGACAACTATATACTACCTTGAACGTCGAACGCGTCGAACGGCAGGAACCGTGTCGTCTTTTCTTGTTTCTGTTCAGAACCCTCCGTACGCGTCCTCCTCGTCGTAAACGGTATACGTCGTATCCGGCCTCTTCTGCTCCGACCTCATCTGCACATTTGCCCTCTGAACGGGCTCAGTCTCCTTCTCCTTCTCCTTCCCTTTCCCATTTCCCTGCTGTTCCTGCCCCTGCACCTCACCCTGAATACTCATCGACGAAATCTCCGCCAAAGGACTCCTCGCCACCCCCGCCTTCGCCACCCCAAACGCCCCCCCTCCACCGCCCAACTCCGTCCCAAACTCGCTCAACCTCGCAGTCCCGCTACCGCCGCCGCCAAGACTCAAAGACATGCTGCCCGCGTTCGACGACGAAGTAACAGGCAACGGGAAATCGTACGACATCGGTGAGAACGCGCGGTTCATCTCCGGCAACGTCGGCGGCGTCGACATCACGCGCGAGCTGGACAGCGACCCAGTCGTCATCGTCGGCGTCACGGGGAACTCGATCTCCTGCGCGTCCGCCTCCATATCTACTTCCTGCTCCTGCTCCTGCTCCTGCTCCCTTTCCTGCGGCCTCTGCTTCTCCGCTCTGAGGACGGGGGCTGTACTGGGGTCATACGCGGGGAGGTTCGCATTCGCGTCGACGTTAGGCGATCGGGGAGGTTCCGGGGTCATGTTAACAACATGCAACCCCCTCTGTTCGTCCTCGTCGAACTCCCCCAATTCCCCCATCGCCTTCTTCTCCTTCTCGTCCGCGAACGGCGAATAATTATCGTCGTCCCCACCGCCCGAAAGCGTCCTCTCCGAGATCGCGCCGAGAGACTGCGTGTTCCCGCCGTTGGCGGCGACTCCCAGTTTCTTCTTGATCTCCGCGTACTGCATCTCCTGGAACGGCGTCACGCTCGAACGGTCGTACGTGCCACCCTCTTCCTCGCCGTTCTCCAGATCCGCGGTCTTGGGCGTCCGAAGTGTCGAAGGAGTTCCGGGCGTGTAGGGCATGGGAGGTAAAGCCGAAATAGGTGTGCCGCCGCTACCGTTGTGCGCGTGAGCGTGAGCGTAACCATTGTACTGAGATGGGTTCGAAGGCTGCCTGTTCAAGTTCTGCGCTCCTTCGTCCCCATACGCCCTCGGAAGTTCCTTATTCAGCGCCACACTCTGCTGCACGCTGAACTCGCTTCCTCCGTAATACTGTTGCTGAGGGTTCGACGGCGGCCTCGTCAACGCGCTCTGGGGCGTCATCGGTTCACCGTACGGGTTCGAAGGCTGTCTCGTCAACGCCGGCGACGGCGGCACGTTCCCATACATCGCCATCTGGTTCTGGTTCTGGTTCTGGTGCGCACCGTACCTCTCGTCCTGCAAGAACGGATTCGCAGAGCTGGGAATAGCGCTCGGCGGCGCGGAGACGACTTCGCCGATATTGAAAGACGTGGAGCCGTAGCTGTCGTTGTACTGTGGGTAGTGACTCTGAGCGTTGGGCATGGTGGGTTGACGGGAGAGCATGGATGAGCCGTTCGTTATTTTGCGCTCGATCATGGTCGGGGGACGGGGCGAGCTGCCGTCGCGGCGGTTATTGGCGAAGGCGTTGAGACGGGCGGCGGCGTAGGGGTCTTCGTCGTCTGGGATCATCATGGATTGGCCTCTGGCGGAGGAACGGTTCCAGGGAACGTCCATGTCCGTCGTGTCTTCCTCCTTCCTGCGGCATCTCCTCTAAAGGAATAAAAAAGATAGTGAGAACTGTTCGGGTGAGGGTGATAAAGAGGGCGACTTACGAGGAAGAAAGCGATAGCAGCGATGAGGGCGATAACTCCAACTACAGCGGCAGCCACGCCTCCGACGACGGCACCGGTGCTGGTACCTGTCGAGGCGGCGGAAGTAGTAGCACTGGCGGCTGCCGAGGAGACGCTGCTGCTGCCACTAATGGTCGCAAACGCGGTATCGGTGACCACATTATGAGTAGTGGTAGCGGGGGTTGTGACAGCAGCCTTTTTAAAAAAGGAAATACGTGAGAAAGCGGTGACACGGAAATAGAACTTGATGTGAAGAAAAACAAACCGGAGTGGTTGATGTCGCGAGCAAGAGACTCGAGGCGGAGCTGGTGGTGGGCGCAACCGAGGAGCTAGACGAAGTAGTAGAGCTAGTCGTGGAAGTGGTAGAGGATGAGGTGGTGGTAGAGGTCGAGGTAGTGGAGGAGGAGCTGGTGGTGGAGGTGCTCGAGGTAGTGCTGGTGGAGGAAGTGGTGGGGGTGGTGGAGGAAGAGGTGGTCGTCGGCTGAGCGGAAGTGGCTATAATAAAACGTCGGCTACGCTCAACATGCACTCGACAGAGTACGCACAAGTAGTGGTTTTTCCACCGAGACCCAACTCACTGAGCAGGTTGTTACCGCTGTCCGAGGTAGTCGCCGCCGCGGCCGCAGCCGTGCTGGTTTCAAAGACGGCGGTGGGGCTGAAGCGGGCGTTGAGCTCCCTGAGGCGGTTGAGCTGGTGGTGGATGTTGTCCCGCCTGCCGAGCTTGTTATCTGAGGGCATGATGGGCAAAGACAGTGTGGGTATGGGACGTCGGGAGGGGTATAGCGGCCACAAAAGACAGTGGAATAAAAGAGCGAATAACGGAGAGGCGTAAGGTGGTCGTGCAAGGGAGAGTTAGAGAACGAGAGTGCGTGCGAGAGCGGGCCTCTGTCCTTCACGGCCTTAGCAACAACGTCGTGGTCCTGGCGATCTCAGCTTTCCGTTCCTCGTCCCCTCTTCAGGTCACATCCGTCACGCGTAACGAGGCATCAGTTCCTCGTGGCACCGGCTTATTTTGCTTCCGCGGCTCATTCAAAGCATGGTTCTATAAATAGTCGGCGGTCAGGTCGACGGTAAGGGAAGAGAAAATGACCATTATTCGCATCGTAACCTCTCGAGTGCCAGGACTAGCGATGATCATGAACTGAATGGATAGTTTGAATGAGGTCATTTAAGTGGGAAGGCGTATCCACGAAGGCTAAAACATCATGACGTCCGAATACACGAGAAGTCATTGAGGGCCATACAGCGGGTCGTGGAGACAGAGTGATAGGGAGTGATCCCGAGCCTTACGCCTGCCGTTTGAGGAATGGCAGTCCAGCTCATCGAAGCTGATGAGCAGACTCCGATAATAGCCAGATATATAATACGGGAAGATGATAAGATGCGGTCAAGATGTTCGTCAGCTTCAACGCAAGTACTGCTTACTGTGGAGGGACATCCTCTTCTCCTCCGCGTCGATCGGCGTAAAGGACATCCGGATGATGTATCGAGCTTACACTCACCGTGGCGAGCGAGCGCTCTCGCTCTCACCAGATGCAGCGATCCCCATCAGGACCTATTCTCGTTCCGCCGTCTTCTCCAGACCGAAACACGAACATTGCTGAACATAACTGGCCTCTATCCCAACTTTGTCCTCGATCTCCCCACAGGAAGTCCCAGATCAGACCTCGTGGATCAAGCGAGAGTGCCACCCGCGCGTCTATTATTTCCTGGCGGACGCTTCTCCCTTGTCGCCATTGCGACACAGCCAAGGAGGCCATGCTCCCATCATCATCTGCATCTCACTCTCAGCCCGGCTTCAGGCGTCTTCCAGCTCGCAGCAGCACAAGTCCTCCCCTCTACCCCCTTCTTAACTTACGCAATCTAATGCCCGACGTCTCCTTTCCCCTCCCGTCCTCTTTTAACCTCCCCTTGCCCTCCCTCTCCCGCCCCGCCAACATTATTACCTCCATATCACGGACAGTCTGGCGGCAGAGCTAGCTGATTGTCGGCACATGCATGCGTCTTCCGCTCCCTCGTCTGTGCCATAGCTCGTCATCATCTCTCCTATGCTGCACATCTCTTCATGTCTTCGTCTTATTTCTATCGCTCACGCTCCTCGGACATCACGCTCATGCACAAGTCGTCAACTCTATCGAGAACACCGACCCACGATTCACCTGGCTACCCGGTCTATGCAACACGACAGACAGCGACGTCCCCGATACCCCTTCCTGCAGTGGACTATGGTGAGTCCTTACGCATCCATCCATCCGCATCACACAACCTCTTCTCTCCCTCCTAACACTCCCTCCCACACCCCAAGGCAAATCCTCCCCCTCTCCGGCTCCGCCAGCGGCACCGTAACCTCCACCTTCGGCCCCTCCTCCTCATCCTCCTCCAACTCCTCCCTCTCCATCCTCCCCCAACTCTTCCTCACCCTCCGCGGTTCCTCCCTCGTCATCCACACCTCCACCCTCTCCAACGCCACAGCCAACATCACGCTCTCCGCCTCGCCGTCCGGGACGACGATCAGCACGACGGTGGATACGAGCGTGGGGAGTATTAGTGCGGTGGGGTTACCGGAGGATGAAGAGTTGACTTTGAGTTTGATTTTTGTTCCGCCAGGAGAAGTGGGTGGGGACGCGGAGGGGAATGAGGAGGTGACGAGGTTGGATGTGGATGTTGTGATTGTTACGGCGGATAATAGTAGGTCAGTCAGTCAGTCAGTCCCCGCCATTTGTTTCCCGTGGCGTCACTCGAGTCCCTCTGTCCCTCCATAACACATCCCATTTTATTTCATTCATATCCACTCAAACAAACACAAACACAAACACAAAAACAGCACGACATCCCTCTCCCCCCTCCCCTCCCCAACAACCTCCTCCCTCCCCTCCTTCGTCCTCCCCACCTCTTCCTCCACCTCCACCGCCCCTTCCTCCTCTTCTCCGGGCTCCTCTTCCTCGAGGCTCGCCCAACCCGTAGGAACGATCATCGCCGAATCCCTAGCTGGTTTCTTTGGCCTGATCCTCATCGGTATCGCCGTTTATGTTTTTATGATGGCTAGGAGGGGAAAATGGTGGTGGTGGGGCGTACCTGCCGTTCGACGAAATGGTGGGCGTAATGGGAATGGGAATCGGGCGGGTCGGGATGGCAATGTGGGTGGGAGAGTGGGTGGGATCGCGGGTCGGGATGGGAGCGGTTATAACGCGGCTCGGGCGGGTGGTGGTGGTGGTGGTGGTGGTGGTGGTGGTGGTGGTGGTGGTGGTGGTGGTGGTGGTGGTGGTGGTGGCCCTAATTATAACGTGCAGGTGCAGGGTGGTACGGGTTGGAGTAGGAATAGGGGGAGGGGATGGTGGCCAATATTAATGTGGCCGCGGTGGGCAGGATGGAGACTTGGCAGGACACGACCACACGAAGAATACGAGATGGGAAATATAGGGGCTGGGGCTGGGGCTGGGGTTGGGATTGGGATGGGGCGAGGATCGAGATCGGGGAGGACGGGGAGATGGACGTGGCCATGGACAGGGTGGAGGGGAGTGCGAGATGTCCTCGGGTCCGGGCGTAGGTTTCGGTTTGGGTTTGGGTTTGGTAGAGGTGATCATGGGAGTAGTACCGGCGCGGTCGAAGACATGCACACGAACACGGGCAAAGGAAAGGGAAAGGGAAAAGGGAAAGGAAGAGAAGCACCACTGCCGCCTTTACCGCTGCATAGTTACCCTTCGCATGGACAGCTGCGATTGCAACAACAGGAACAGGAGGCGTGGACGGGGGAGGGGACTTCGGACGAGGGTATTGCGGGTATGGATGTGAATACCGGAGTAGGACCGGGATCGGGAATGGGAATGGGAGGAACGGGGAGAGCGGGGACGTGGGGGTGGGGAGGGGGATGGGGAGGTGCGACGATTCGGAGGGAGGAGAGTAATATGAGTATGGGTATTGGGAGGGCAATTTGACCGGTTGTTGTCTGGTCGGTCGTGGTCGTCGGTATTCACTGCTGCAATACTTGTCGCTTCGGGCCCGGCACTCAGAGCGAAGGTGAGATTTTACAGTCGACGCTACTGCCATGCTCCCCGACCGAGGTTCAGGGTCACGTATTCTCGTGCATGCATCATGATTCACTGCAAGACACAAGGAACAACAGTGTAGCGCTCATGATTGATGTGATGATGCGGTGGCGTTTCGGTTACATGGAACGATGGCCGATGGACCATGGTCGACGATGGCCGATGTGGTGTCGGTTGATGCGGCTGGCGTTGACTGGAGGTTGAACGAGATCATGATCGTAAAACCGCCTTTCCTTTGCAGTCGACCATCGCATTCGGGGGAAGTCTCATTGTTAGCCTAACCCAACCTCTGGGAAGACTGATCATGAAGTATCGCATCGGAGACAGTGGCGTTTGATAGGGGCTGAAGTTCAAAAATCAAGCAGAGGCTGGCCTGCTCGGTTTGTAAGTGAAGTATCTACGCTAGGAGTGTGCTTCGACCAACCCTCTGAGGTCTTATATCACTTCCTATAGATGCCAGGTAGCAGGAGATTGCCAGAACGCATACAGGAGGAGAACAAAATGCGCTAGAACGAACCACACACAATCCCAACCGACACAATGCTGACGTGCGGTTTAGGTCTAAGGCATTGTGTCCCAAGACGAAGATCGTAAGACAAAGCGTGCCGCCACTGGTTCTAAAGACTTCTAAGCAAGACAGGCACAGGTCCTCTAGTAGATTCGGCGGAAGCGGCGTAAGTTCGTCGTGGATCCTGCTCTATGTTGAGGCTTGAGGGTGCGGCGAGCCTTCCTAGAAAGCAGCGAAGTGGCGACCGCGACACACTCTTGGCTCCCAAATCATCTTTCTGGGAGGCCTGTGATAGCGTTATGAGGCTGATCGCTGCCACGCTGCTCATACAATGAGTGCAATAAAAATGACTTGAAGAGCCATGAACCATGTATTATAAGGCGATAAATATCCAAAGAAATGGGCTATACTTTTCCGAATCTATCAAAAACCGCCCAAAGCGGCCACATATGGCGTAAATCCAAAGAGTAAAGTAGTGTCAGATATGGATGTCATCTAAAGCGAGAAAATAAACGGTCCACCAACGGCCTCTACTGCTGTTGCTGCTGCTGCCTCGCACCTTGCCACACCTCCTGCGTCGCAGCCTTGATCCGCATACTGATCCCACTGAGACTGTCGAGAGCGGGACGAACGTCGAGCGAAAAGACGGGAGAGCCGTCGGCGAGTGGGGGTGCGCTGTAGTAGTCAATAACGTAGCGGACTTCTTCGCCTGTTGAAGCTCGGCGGACGATCCAATCGTGACGGTCGAAGGGTGGCTCGTCACTGAAGACGGTAGATGCATCATGTTAAAAGATGTGCGAGGTGAAAATAAATGGAGGGAATAGCTCACTTAAAACGCATGGGGAGAAGCCAGCCTGCGAAGAGCCAGAAACGTGCTTTCGGTGAGAGCTCGCCTGGACGGCCTTTGAACCTCACGAGCTGAAGCTTGTCATCTCTATACGCCACACGTCCGCAAACACACAATACAGTCAGCTCGAAGCCGGAACACAAGTATGAAAGATCAGCCACTTACGGACACGCCTCCTTCTCCCACCTCTTCACTTCGTCCCATGCCATCTCATTCAAGAAATTATGTATGTTCACCATCGTCTCCACATGTTCCTCCGGCGTCTCCCATCCCTTCCTCACTAACGCATTATAAAACTGCTGTGGCGAAGGGTACTCCCACTTCCCTGCCTCGTCGCGTGGTATTGACGACGTTTCGCGGTCTGTGGGGAGGTAGGTTGATTGAGCGGCGGCGGGGGCTTGCGAGAGGACGGGCATTTGGTTCCGCGAGTCGAGGGTGTTGGGGTCATGTTGGATTGGACATTGTGCGAGACCTGAAGACGAGGGAACTTGTGGGTGTGATGGCGGTAGTTCAGATTTGGAAAGGGAAGAGTGGTCTATTGGGCAGCCTCCAGCAGAGGCAGAGGCGGGCTGAGAGCCAGAGGATGCTGCTAGTGCACGATGGTCGACTGGACAGCTGGCTGCCGAGGGTGCAGAAGCCGCCGAAGACTGCACAGACGTTGTCTGACCCATGATTGACAAGAAAGTATGTAAGAGCAAAGAAAGCTAGCGGAGGGCTTTGTAGACAAAGTCTGAGAGTGGGTGTAGCTAGCGTATGCGGGGTACGGTGCAGTGGTGACTTCGACTTCAAACTTTTTCTATGGCCCCGCGGTAGTCCGGCAACATCCGCTCACCCGAGAGAGCCCGAGCGTTGAACCTCCAATCGTGTTCACCGTCAATGTCACTGACACTCAGCGTGAATCAGCAGCGCAGTACAGAGCAGGAGACTCAGGGCCCTTCAACAACCATTCAATACTCCAGTCGATGAATCTTAGATTTTTTATCATGAAGAAATGTATCTATGATAATAATTGAGTCCAAATCTGATATCAGTAATACAATATCCGTCGACGGTTCTGACTTGGAGACGATAGACATAACGAACAACCCGACCTCGTCCCCAGCTGTGGATTACCAATATAATATTCACAAACGATCCACTGCCCTCCAGTATTTCCCAATTATCAAATATCAATCACCTTTCCTGCGTCATAGTCATCTCGTCCTTCACCATACCCCCTTTGATTGGCATAAACCCGGACACCATCCCGGACAAAGTCGCAACACCAGTGCGTGTGTCCAAATGCCCATAGCGCGACCCTTCCACTCTTCCAGCACTCCTCTACCGTCAATTCCGTAGCGAACGCAGAGTTAGTCGGCCCGTCATTGAACTTGGGATCACCCGTCCCATCCTTCGTCGGTGCATGATGAGTGAGTATGACAATTTTTCGTTCTGGCTCGTCCCTTGCGATGGAGGAGACGGTTGAATTCAGCCAGGCTAGGTCAGCGTTGTGCAGCGCTGAATAAGTCTCCGGATTGAAGCCTTCAATGCGGCGGAAGTCGGTGAGGGACCAAGAGAGGATATCAAGGTCATCGGGGTTCAGAGATGACCATAGGGTGCATCCGAGTATGGTGAGAGTTGGTGAGACATCATAGCGCGTGCGGTCGAGAAAGATGAAGGTTCCAAGGGATGAATCGGCGTTGACACGGGTGGCGAAGGCTCGCAGGGCATTGGACGATTCATCCTGTATATCAGAAAAAATAACGCATCAATGACGGTGCGCGAAAAGCATTCTGATAGTACTGACAACAGTTGATCTGTAAGGTTCTATATTAATAAAAATCAGTTGTTATCCTCTGCTACGTCCATGGCACCACCCACCATGATTCCCAGAGACAAAGAAGATGGTGGTAAACCGTTTCAGTTGCGATTCGAGCCATTCAAAAAGCCTGGGCTCCACGGTCCACCCAATATCTCCCAGAAGGGCAAGAGTTTCTGCCTTCACCGGGATGGAGTCGTAGTGGTAAAACTCCTGTCCGGGTTCTGTCCTACTTGGACGCTCTATCTCGAGATGGAGATCACTCAGTATTTGGATCTGCATGACCAGAGTTGTGAGTTTTTTACAGTCACTATTGTTCCAGGTCAATGCAAAGATGAGCTTGTGCTGAGTCAGAAGTTGGGGACCTCAGTGCAGGGATTGGGGAGAGTCGATCGTCAACCGAGTTCAATCATCGTGAAGGAGCGTCATACTGTGACCTGCACCCGGCGCGTCCGGCGAGTCCGGCGACGCCTGGAGGCATCCGGCACTGCCTGGAGGCAGACGAGTTATGCCTTCAGGCAAATTCGAATACAGACGAGTTGTGCCTCCAGGCAGGATCCAACACATACGAGTTGTGCCTCCAGGCATGTTCGTACGACACGCTAATTGCCTGGAGACACAACTCGCATGTGCTCGGAATCACCTGGAGGCACAACTTGTGTGCTTGAATATGCCTGGAGGCGCAACTCGTATGCGTTCGGATTCTCTCCAGGCAAAAACATTCCAGGTTGGTTCCCGCGGGGTAGGGGGTGAATAGGGGGTGAGCAGGTAGGTGGTCTGCAGGCTGTAAATGGGCAAAAATAGGGCTATGGGGTCTGTGAGCAGGGTGGACTGAACGGTGAACCAGGAGAGAATGATAGGCAATAAAATTGCGGGAAAATGGTAGAATAATAATACATATATGCCTGTGCACCCTTGGGGTACTAGCCTGGGTACCAATAGG